CGTTGGGGATCAATTCGCGAGTGATTGTTTGGCCCATTTCTGTGAGGAAACAAACTCGTTGTATGCGTGAGTGTCTGATCTTCTTCAAGAAATCATCAACTGTATGGTCGCCGTATCCTCACCTTCATCATCCACTGTAAAGTACAATGACAAGTCCTCGACATTGCCGTCATAGTTCTTCAGGAACATCAATCCACGATACAGCTCGGGGTCCAGCGAGGGTAGATCATCCAGATAGTTCACTTGACCAAGACACTTGGCCAAAAAGAACCCCGCAAATGCAGCATCAATCAGAATACCCTCATATAGAGCTTTGCCCAAGATACGTCCCAGGAACTCATAGTGCTTCAACTGAGTTTTTTCTTGCGCAAACCGATGGGGATTTGGATACAGCAAATGATCCGATGTGCTCATGAATAGTCCATAGTTGGTGTCGAACGCCTGATGCACAAGGGATGTTAAAAACTCTTTGAAGACACCTCCGCCGTCGATGCCGGCTTCTGGTATTCCATACCGATCGATAAAACTGATCGCAATCCTCCCCTTGAGTTGTGGCCCTAAAAGTTATTTACATCCAAGTCCGATCAGAAACATCCAGGCGGAGATTGCGTAGTAGCGTAGAAACGGCTGGAGCTTCATCGCGACAGTCCTACCTAGTTTGTTGAGTTGTTCGTATCCATCCTCAAAAACAGAGCCGCGACGGACCCGAGCCTCTCCAACAGGGTGAGGATGGAAGCCCGACATCCCTGGTGTTCGCTGTCGATCCGACTCCACAAATGCTCTAAAGATGGCTACGCGGTCCTCGAATCGGATTACAAACGGGATATTATTCAAAACTCCAAGACGAGGACTCAGCCGGGCCAGCTGGGAACTTCTCTGCCGCCTGTTGATGGCGCGGTGGCCCCTAACAAAATCAGGGTCTGTCATTGTAATGTCGTCTCCTTCAATTTCATCAAGATCCTGGTCCCGACTAAGGCTTTCCTCATCCTGGATGACTGCCCGTTTGAACGCCGACATATCTAGCGGCATAGAGAGCAACCAGTGGTCTTTGGGACAGAAGGGTCTCCGTGAGCTATGCAACGGTAAAATGTCAGCAGACTTAGCAAGTGGTATCCTTGGCAGTTAAAATAATAATGTGGCAAACAAAATATATACTCACTCTCGAGCATGCAGTTGCCGAGTAAGCTTCGTTACAATGTCTCGCAGGTAGCCAACTTTGAGGTTTTTGGATCCTCCGAGGTTAGACTCCATGTTTAGAGCATTATCGTTCCACCACAATAGGAATGTCACGTCCTACCAAAAAAAAAAAAAAAAAAAAAAAAAAAAAAGGCATTAATGGTTGGTGTAAGTGGAGAGATGTCGATTGACACCATTTATCCACATCGAAAGCTACTCACCCTCACAACAGACGACAAGGTGATCACACTTGTCAAACCGATCGGGTTCCGGGTATCGTCATGAAACTCATCGTCACCCATGGTCACCAAGATCTGACAATACAGCTCTGATACAAATGCCAGAAGGCTCCAGGCCTTCTCATGGCCAGGATTCAGCACCAATTCGACACTCAGCGGTGTGTCTTGCTGCATGGAGTGAAGTAGCTTCCCGTACAACGTTGTCGACATGAACGCGTCTAAAAAGATCTTAATGATGGATATGCCAAAGAATTTGCCTGCTCCCGGACTGGACGTCTCCTTAGGTTTGGTACCGAACCTAAAGTATATTAGGTTGCTGAGGATGTTGATCTTGTGGAGGGGGAAGAGGGTGATGAGGTTTAAAAGCAGCTGCGTAATCTCGCCAATGGACTCTGCTGAAAGGATTTCCTGTGTATTTCCCGATGAGGCTGCCGTTGTTGAAGGTTCTACAGAGCCAAGGATGTCGTTCAAATGATTGCTGTCATGCGCCAATGAGAGCCACTTCATTATCCTTGGATCCAGTTTGGCGGTTGATACTGATGTATTTAGCGAACTTGACGACGAATCCGGCAGCTCCTCTGATCGCCACTCCATATCATCCATGAATTCATCGTCATCAGGTGATCGCTTTGAGGCCGATTCGATCGAGTCTTGAGGAATCATGCCGAGTAAGATAGTCAAAACACGTAGGTATGCATTAGAGCTTGTGGGACTCATTTTGGCGACACGCTGATATCCAAAAGCGAGGACGTTGGCGACTAGCGGGGTGATTTTGTACTGAGGCAAACTGGCGACTGCTGAACATGAACTTGTTGAGAGATGCTGAAGAATCGCTTCGAGAGGTAGCCGTGAGGTAAATGTAGTCAGAGTCTCGATTGACATCCGGTTCGGAAGTAGAGGCACTGCCAAAATATGAATGATAAACTGATCCAGCACTTGCGAGTACTCCAGGCTGCGGTCGCTTATCCTGCAAATGCGTAAAGAGAGCAGCAATGCTTTTGCGACAGATGGTCTATTTTTTTCATCCAGGGCCTGTATGATGGATCATCAAGTCAGAAACTGGTGCCTTTTTGATCATTGCAAACAAACGTCAATAATAATCACTTACGATGCGGACAAGGAATCGAGCGATCTGAGTAAAGGCGCCTGATCTAGCCAATACTTGAGAAACGGTCTTTATAAGGCTGCCCGAAAGTGCTGTGTCCTGCATTGATTGGAACGACTCTGTAAGAGTCAGAGTATCAAGAAGTGTGAGGACTGGCGCTGAATCGTCCTCGCTCCTACGATTGTTTTATGAATGATGATGCTCACGTTAGATTGATCTACTCCGCTGTATCATTTTTCCCAGAGCCGTGCGATCCAAACCATCGACTATCGGGCTTACCAAGTCGAGTACTCGCCTAGATGCGCTACAAAGACGGGCAATAACCGACCCAGAAGAGAGCTCCATCGGTGTTGTCGATCTGGAAAGAGATGGAAGGGTATAGTGACAAGTTGACTCTTTGTCTTGGTTGTTGGCAGCGACAAAAGACCGCACAACTGAACCAGTCGCTGGTGATCATGCTGTGGACGGAAGAAAATCAGGAACTTTTGCACTATAGATTCCGTTTCTTGTGAAAGTTGTTCGGCGGATGCTGGTTCTGGTGATTGCGCCGACGTTTGAATCAGTTGCTGGAGCGCGTACGTATCCTTGTCCCAGCCTTCTCTGATATCATGACGTACTTTGGCAGCGACATGCCGCCCACGGTACCATGCCTATCCGTTCCGCAGCAGGTGTTTAGTAAAGGTAACCTCCTGTTTTGCCATCAGCAAAGATATCATACATGTTGAACAAGAACCAGCACTGTGTCTTACCTGGATACGTTCAGCAGCTTTGAGCCTTGAGCGCTCTGCTTCTCTGATTCTGCGCTCCTCCTGTGCTTGCCGAAGCAATTTTTGCTTATCTATCTGCTGCTTGTTTCCACCTAAGTTGATGGTTCTCTTGGATTTAAAGCTGCCGTCGAACATTGCGTAGGTGCGAATGACTCTTAACTCTGTTGTCCTGTTGCTGGAATCGCGAGCAGATTTTGAACTGGAAGAAATAGAGCTGCTGAGAAAGGCCAAGGCAAGGAAGAAAAGGTGAATGAAGAATTTAAAGAGTGAGCTGAATGAAGGTGAAGTTGCATGCATCCTTGCATATGCGCCTGTTGCGCGTCCTATCACATGACACTTGCCACCAATTTGCAAAAGGAAATACGGAGGGAAAGACGCTACGCTAAGATCAAGGCTGGCGCGAAGCGATGATTCATCATTCCCTTCCATGCAGCGATACTCAGGGGCAGCCTTTCTGGCCCTAGCAGTGGCCCTGGTGGCTTCGTTCTCAACCCTGAACATATCTCACGCTCAGGTCGAGGGCGCACTTGAAGAAAACGTCACCAAGCTGCAGACGGAAGCAGCGAAGAACATGGGCACCATAGAACTGGAGCATTCATATTCCAAGAGGTTTTATCCAGTCCGCGAAACTACTCTGTGGTTGTCCTCTTTTCGGCTATGAGTTCTGAGTATCAGTGTGTCCCTTGCAGGTACGTTTAAACGCGTAATGCATTTGCCACCAAAATAAGGTTTGGTGCTCACACTGACCTTTCCATCTCCATTGGAACTTTGACCCAGAATATCGGGTCGCAGCCCCTAGCTGGTCAGCTCTTCCAGAAGTTATTCTTCGGTGTAATCGACTACAAGTGTGCTCAGCCCATTTTCCAGAGATTCAATATGTCCAGCGTGCTCTCGGTCCTTTATTTCACAGCCAAGGGTTCTGAGGACGATGTACTCCACAGCGGCCATTACGAGTTCAAAAAGCGGAAAGGGTTCAGCATACGGATAACGATGTCTGACCTTGGTTATTATTATTTTCCATTTGGGACGATGCAGAAGATATGCGGCGGAGCCATTCGCAGCATGGATTAGTGACAGAGCAAGAGTTCCATTGAAGATTCTTGATATCGTGGCATCTTTATTAAAACTGTTTGGACTCAATTGAATGGGTGCTCTGGGCTACTTTCTTTATAACCGTGCTGGAGATGTTGTTCGAAGCAAGTATCTGTAGGCCGCCTTGAGCCTGGTATGTTCGCAGCCTTGCGCATGTATTCGTTTTCTTCACCAAATGATACACATGACTAATAACCAGTGAACACGCAGTTTACGGTGTTTATCGTGATCTCTGGGCATATGTGGAACCAAATTCGCAACACTCCGTACCCAATGCCCGGCCGTGATAGCCGCCTTGGCCTTATCGCAGCAGTGTTTCAAAATCAATTCGGCCTGGAGACCTAGATTGTGGCCATTATTTGGGAGTTTTGCAATGCAGCGGTTCCTGCAGGACCAGGTCCAAAACCTCTGGAGTTTCTTACGGTATTGTGTCCTCTTGATTCATGTTGTGCAATCGACCACTGCCTCATAGACGCGATGCTGTTCAACAATCGTGGACCCTGCCAAGCAGCGCATTGCGGTTTGGGTCCGGATGGGTATCTTCGCCCTCAGCGTGCTCGTCTCAAGTATCCCGGATATCCTATTGTAATTAGAAATGTTCCAATCGACATCCATGCAGGATGCGCCCCACTCCTTCATCCGTCTGTCCGACCATCCTCCGAGCCCCTATTCATATTTCTTATTACGGCGATTGTTGTCCGAGTTTTTGTTTTTCTCACACCCTTTTTTTTTTTGTTTTTGCCGAGCTGTTGTGCAGTATCCCCTCGTGCTTGCTTCATTTTTTTCTTTGACTACACAACCCCAGGCATACATGCTTCCTATCGCGTCTCCTCTCTTTGCCCTCAGACGCTCCTCTTTTCAACTTCTCCTTTATTGCCCTTGAACCATTTGGTTTGTTACCTATCCCTTTCCTTCTCCCTATACAACCAGTAACACAGCTTACCATGGCAACGTTCCGCTCACTCACCCCGCCAATGGGATCCCACCAGAGCCGCCAAGCACCAAATACAATGTCCATTGAGCTTGAGCTCGACCTTCCTCAAGACCATTTCCTTCCCGCAGAAGATATCCAAGCCCAAGTATGGACCAACGTTATCCACCGACACAATCCAGACGGCCCGGAAGTCTGGTCCGAGATCCCAATGAAGCTATCGCATGTGATACCAGGTCAGAGTATAGCAGTCTTTGCGACCAGGCTCCAGCCAACGGGCCGGGGAGACTTTGGACTAACCGCACGGTGGAAGTCGCACAAAGATATGACTAAATGGCAGTGGGCGCCTACGGCCACCGAAGAAACCGATGATGCGGCAGTCGAACGACAGCGAGGAGTGATGGCAGACAACAAAGTAACCAAAGATGTTTCTATAGCCGTGCGTGTGCCGAGAAATATTTCGGGCACAAGCTCTTGGACGATGGGTCCACAGTCGGTCATGGTCTTTGGTCAAGATGGTCCTCGCGTGGATGGTGCCGGCGTCGGAGGGCCTGGGCTGTATCTGGGTAATCACGCTGCGGCAACCCGAGCCCGAATCTCGGGGTACGAGGCTGTGCTGTCATTGGTGGGGGACTTGCTCGACTTTGATGAGAAGATACCCGAGAGTGATAAGGAGCTGAACAAGGCGGCATGGCAGGAGCAAGCCACGGCTAGCAACAGCAGCTCGTATCCAAAACGTTTCTCTTCCATTTCAAGAAGGTCCTCGTCCATTGCGTCGCTGGGAGTGTCTCTAGCGGACCTGGCAAGAGACGACTCGTCAGTCAATGGATACACCAAGGGTTTGTCAAGAAGGTCTTCCGTGGCCGATTTTATGCTGAACTATGAACCGGGCAATGCGTCGGCCCCGAACGAGATCTTTGCTGCGGTTGTCGACGAGCCCGTGGATCCACCACGACTGGTAAGAAAGAGTTCCGTCACGGATATGATGGTTCAGGCACCACCATCATCCTCAAAACGGTGCATGAATCGGTCCTCAGGCTTGGTCGGATCATCTGCATCCTTGAGCGAGTTCGAACAGGAGAGCGGCGAGCAAGACGCGGCGACAACAGCTGCTCCGAATACAGGATCCAAGGCCAGCCATGTCTCGAACGAGGATAAGATCTCTATCTTCCAAAGCAAGAAGGAGCCCAGCCCAACTGCGGCTACTTCAGATGCCGCCGCTGAGCATTCACCAGCGTCAACATCGATCGCTACACCGCCAGCTTCCGGCAACAGCACTAAAGGTACCGGCAAAAAGAAAAAAGGAAAGAAGGAGGCCTCGACGATAGGCTCAGATACTGCCGGCGCCGCAGCTACTGCCTTGCCTCCAGTCCCGACTGGACAGTCCACGAAGACAGGTTCGACCATACAATCAGAAATCATTGCATCTTCCACTATCGCTTCACTTGGGATCGCTTCAGTCCCTGATGTAAACTCGTGCTCCCTTACAGATTCCACAGCTTCGAATAACGCGAGTGGTACCGCAAATGATGCCACCAGTGGTATAAATGATGAGACGACCGAGAACAAAGACACTGCCGCCACCTCAAACGCACAAGCGCCCGATTCGTCCAGCAGTATTGATAGCAGCGATCCGCCTTCGAGCGCCAAGGTTGTCTCTAGTCTCAGCCGCCAATTCGGAGGTAGTCAGCAGAATGTGTCGTATCTATCGTCGTCCTCTTCCAGTCAAGCGCTCTCGTCCTTGCATCACTCTTCTGATCCGGTCGCTCCAGGAGCTCAGTCACCAACAAGTCCAGCAGATGATGACAGCAAAAAGCACCCATCTAACCAACTGAATCAACATCAGCAAGTTCTGCTGCCCAAACAGCCGTTCCAACACAAAGTCATCTCTATCGCCCCCGGCGCCCACAACGTCATTTCTGACGCAATCTTAAAAGAGGCTGTTGATTTTTTGAGGACCCAGATCGCTCTGGGCAAAAAGGTTCTGGTCCATTGTAGGGACGGCAACGGACGGAGCGGTAGCGTCGCGGTCGCATATATCGCCGCGCAGCTGGAAAGGACCGCTAAGCGAGGTGGACGCAGGAGCGATTCTTTGAAGGCAGAGGGAGCATATTATGACGAGGCGCTGCGTGAGATTTGGAAGTGGAAGTGCGACGTGTATCCGCACAAGGGATTGAAGCAAAGCGTCGCGAGGATCGTATGGTGATCAACAGCAGACTCCTCCAAGCATTTACAAAAATTACAAAGAAATAAACTACTCTTTGCTCATGAGATATTTAGCGGTATTTAGAGCCGTCCCTGGAATCCATATATAAGCCAGGAGCTGTCCCAAGTGTACTGTACATGCACAGTAGCCTAGACAATGTGATACTCCATGGACACACCCTCTTTACTATTACTGGCGGTGGGTTCCGGTCTGAAGTATTCAATCCAATTGAAAAAATTATATGGCCCTCCTACAAAACCTCTAAAGTTCGTATGGAATCCATCCATCACCATCAACCACCATGCCCAACACCAGACGCGGTATTTAAGCAAGTAAAGGAGCTTCATCCTACAAGAAACCAGGCGAAAGGAGCGACCCTCGACAAGGGCATCTCACGGGTAATGAACGCCGCTAGATGCAGGGGAAAGTGGCAGCCAGGAATGACAAGAGCGGTGTTTGTAGTGGGGGATACAGAGGTTAAAAACAAGAAGGGTCCCGTTTTCCACCAGCAGTCCATAACAGCCTTAAAGAAGATAACACGACTACATGAAAAAAGAAACACTAACAAGGATTTATTACACATAGGCGGGGTTCCACGACATGCTCATAGTCCGTGCCGATGAATGGAGGGCCTCTATAACATGTTGCCAGTGCGGCGACCCCCGGAGCTGACGTGTCCACAGCAACAACAGCAACAACAGCAACAGCAACAACAGCAACAGCAACATTAAGCGCCGCGTGAAGCGGGAGCGTAGACACACTGGAGGATGAAAAGAGCTGTGTCATTATCTCTTGTTGCAGAAATTGAGTCTTAAAACTTAGTTAGACGGAGCAAGGGATAGCACGATTCTTTTGCAGCAAATAACGATCTAGTAGAGAAGGTCTGGGGGCGATGATGGACCAGAACTGAACGAAAACGGCATGCTTGGTTGGGGTGATGAGTACGACGCAGATCCTCCAGTTGCGTTCGTATGCAGATGGGTGAGTGAGTGGCTGTGTTGCTGCTGCAGCTTCTGTGGTTGGGACGACCGGCCATCCTTGTCATCATCAATCTGCTCCTCCTGCCTTTGCAGACGCTCTCGCCTCCTGATACTGGTTGCCACCTTTGCGTTCCCCAGTTGCTCCTTCAGTTTTTCGATCTCTTTCAAGATGTCCCTAACTGCTTGCTCTGACTCTAATACACTTTTTGTCAGAGACTACATAGGGGTTGTATATAATAAATTTTAAAAAAAAGAACAATTTAAGGTGGGTATGACCTCCAACATCCAACAAGTAGGATATCACGTCGCCATGAATGGACCCCGTACCTTTGACGCCTCAAATGACTCCTTGTACATTGCCTCGTGTTCATCCACTAGCGTCGTCGTCGGTACTGCTCTGATCGTGTTCATCATGCCGATGCTAGCGGAATGTCTATGCCGATAAAATGAAGGTTGCGTGAGACCAATTTTTTTTTTTTTTTTTTTTTTTTTTTGGAGCGGATCGTTTCCTATGAATATCGCCCTCCTTGTTACCTCGATGCTCCATCGGCAAGATTTGATTGAAAAGATTGATAGTCCTCCTGGGGACTCTCGATCATATTGGAAATATCGACTGGTATGGCTTCAAACGAACTATTAAGTAAATAAACGTTCGTTTAGTCTCTCCGGTATTTAATTATTCGATCCGTAGGACGCCATTTAGGTCTGTCATACCTTTCATCGTCTCCCACAGACCAGAAGGTATAGTCGTAATCATGGGTTGATCTGTTTTCATTCGTCTTTGCGGTAAAAAGCGCCATTGACACTGGGAAGAGTCCGTCTTTTTTACGCGTCGCGAACGGATTTGAGGATGACGGAGAAAACAGCGCTAGCTTCCGTTCCAGATATAATTTGAGATTGAGTGCTACAGCTTTGTCCCGAAGCGAGAGCTGATGTGCCTCTGTCCTTCTGTATTTCAGATAGCCAAGGACCGAAAGCTAAGTAATTATAGCGAAAGAAAGCATTCGGCGTGAGCCAGCCATTTAATCTCTATCCATGTACTGACATAAATAATAGCTGATACTTACATTGGATGGAATGCTGTATTGCTCAAGCACCTGCTCATCGATCTGTCCTGAACGTCCATAAAACTTTGGAAGGTTGGGCTCAAGCTTGTAAACGCCCTGCACAACTGATGGTCAGGATAGTGTACGAGATCAGATACATATCCCACAGGGCAGAATAATGCTTGGCGTGCGTGTTCTCTGGCCAAGGCATCTTACCGATAGTGGTATATATGGTCTTTATGCGCGTGTCTGAGGCGTCGTCGACTACAGAGCGTGCTTTGGAGACAATTGTTCCGAGAATAAGTCCTTCCTGGTGAATAATCATGACACATAGAGGATGGAAACAAAGCAAGTCAGGCGTGCGACTAAAGCTAGTTGCAACATTCTAGCTAATACGCCCAAAAAAAAGCCGGGGAGTATTTACATAGTCCACCCGAGCATTGGCACATTCAAACAGCAGTGTCGACAGGAGGATGCCGTTGACTTGGATGCGGAGTGGAGGTGGAAGCGCTGACATTGATGACTTTGGTCGCTAGAATGGAGAATGAAAAAAGAGTAGAGGAGTGAGCTCAATGCCTACTTTCACACTTTCAATAAGAGCCAAGGCAGGACTGCCATTCTTCTTTCAGAACTTGAACTTCCCAGGAGCAACACGCCCTGCAGACATCACTCTCTTTGCGTTTTCAGCACCGACAAGCACCAGCGACAGTGGCATAGCAAAAACCAACTTCGACCGCACTCACAGGCTGGCATGGACAATGCCTTGTTTCCGGACTCACTGATGCTTCGGCGGATCATCAACCGCCATACTAAAGACGCGCTCATCGACACGGCTCTGCGCTGGATCAACCTATATCCCATCACTCGGATCGGTGGAGAGCATTCAGACGAGGACGACAACGACAATGAAGATGAATACACTGGCCCATTGCTTGACAGCGAAGACAGGAAAGCCTGTGTATGGAGTATGTCCCTCGATGAATACAAAAGACACGTCGCGACGCGGTATGAAAACATGCGGGATAGCAGCACTAAGAAGACAATTGTCGACAGGATATTGGGCGCCGATTGGAACACAGGGCTGAGTTCGCGACAGATCGCAGACTTGGATCTAGCATACTACTCTCAGCATGCAAGCCTCAAGAACTGGAAAGCTCTCAAGCTAGACTATGGAAATCAAAGTAAGCCCGGACTGCAATCATCTTCAATGCGGTTGTATCGACATATGAATAAGAGACGCTGATCGTACGTGTTTTCATGAACTGACTTATCGCTAGGCGCATCCATCAAAGCTCATGTTGATCCGGCAAAGATCGAACGAGCTTTCTCGCATTACTTAGGCCCCTACTTCAAGCACGTAGGTCAATCATGTCAACCGAACCCAGGATACTGCTCGCCTTCGATTGAGACTAACGCGATGCCCTGCTAATTCTACAGCATGTACAGATTATGCAGGAGAAAGAGATGGTGTGGATCAGGATAAGCATTCATGACGGGCTGGCTCCCAATGGGCTTCCTGCACCAACAACCATCGTCTACTTTATCTGGTTCATCAACTCAGAATATCTCTTAGGCGTGACAATCAAGGTAGAGTGGAGGGAATTCATCATGGAGGTATGTTCAAAATCCATGTGTTGTGCGTATATGCTATCTGAAGATGATAAAAAAGCGGAAACTAACCTGCACTGTACTCATGGAACACATGTCGCAGGCATTACTGCGTCTATTCAAGGCAAGCGAAATTGACGAGTGGCCATTAACGGGAAAGTCACCAACTTCATTGGCAGAGCTATTGCTTTATAAGGATTCGCAGGGACCGCATAGTCGATATAGACTGAACCAAGTCGACGAGAATCCGCTTTCAGGCAGCATTAAGAAGCGGAAACTTGAAGGTAATATAGATCTATCACAACAGCAATGCACAGAGTGAATTATTATTGACACTTTTCATTCCACGTCTCGAACCCTCTACACGTTCATATTGTTCAGATCCGTTCGACAAATATACAAAGGGTCGGCGGGACATTCGAGCTGAGGACATGGACAAGATCGCTACCAGAGATCGGTTTGTTGCAGCAGACTTTGGACCCAACGCGCAGCCTAGTCTTCAGAGGGTCGACATCCAGCTCAACGTGCCATACACAACGGAAGCCAAGAACTTCAGCTTAGGTCGAATGACGAGGCAGCCTTTCCCGATTAAGGTGATCATTGAGGGCTCGAATGTGATTGAGGGGATCAAAAGTCTGATACCCCTTGGTGTGGCCAAGAACCCGATGCCAAAGTTCCTGACAGAGCTGCACTCAATGGCTACAAACACCATCATAGTTGATCTAGACGAGGAGAATGACAACAAGCAATGTATTACAACTGGCTGAATGAATAAAGACAGCAGACCAAAAAGAAATATTTATAGTGGGCGGATGAGCAATGCATTGGTGCGGGCAAGGGTCATAATACACGAGTGTCAACACAGGGCAATCGAAGAAGAGCGCACGGTTCAAGCACGCACCATTGAAAGCATTGCTAAGTGGTTGAGCCATTCATGGTCGGGTGCTCTGACGATCCTCTTTCCCCCTTTTTTTTGCAGCGGTGCACAGATGTTAGCGCGGCACAGACCGATGCACACAACACTGCAGTGCTCTGATTCACGCTGGTCTGCATCTTCAGAAACGCCCACGGGTAAGGTCTACTTCTTGGAAGAGGACCACGACCATGACCAGGAGGAACAAGAAAAAAAATAGACAGGCAGACAGAGGTAAAGGACGTATAGAGCAGGAAGGACGGCGGAGGAGGCATTCTCTGGGGGATCTTTTTGGTTAAAGCTGGGAAGGTATTCGTTTTTTGTTCAATTGCCTCCATTTTCAATAACTCCTTCTGCAAGTGACATAAAGGAGATAGGCCCTCTCATTTCTCAAGATTCACATTCCTTTCTTCTTCTTCTCTCATCATTCCTCTTCCTGCCAGTCGGGGCTCTGTCTCTACGCATGGCTCATGTCCCATTAAACATCACTGATCCTAATGACACTCCACAGCTCCACAGCAGCCTAGAAACCCCTCTGCAGCAGGAGCCAATTGACAGTATCGTGGGCACGCATAAGAATGATTCCACAATGGCTTCGGGGTCTTTGGATAACGCAATGACATTGTCCTCAAAGCGTGCCATGCCAAACCAGCCACTCAGATACGACCGGGACTTGGAGCAAGACACTTCCGCACACAACCCATCTGCACTTCAAACGGGGACGGAGGACACTGCCGCATCTTCGCTACCTCTACCAATCAGCAGTACATTATTGCCTCGTAATGCTGTTGGAGCAGCAGCTGGAGAAGGAACTCAGAGTGTATCGTTTTCTCCATTACCGGCAGGACGGCCCTTCTCAGAGTCCTACCCGGCGCGTCGCACGAACGAATTTACGCCTTCGCCAGCCAGGTCACTCGTGCAAGTGCTCGAGGCTGCAGAGGTCGCTCAGGCCATGCAGCGACATGGTGGACGGGGCGATCCTTCCCCAGCAGATCAAGATATGGATACACATTGGGAAACACACGCATCTGTGGGCACTGGCATCTCTGCCGTGCACTTTCAGCCCCAGAGGACACACCACCATGGACATCGAGGCCGCACTGGATCAGGAATGGGGTGGATGGGTACTAGCGCGCCTGAGAGTCGCTTCAGCGAGTTTGAGGTCGTATACGATGACGGTATTCGCAAACAGAGAACGTTCAGCTTAACGACTGAACTGGACAATGACGACGAGTATGTTAGATCCAGCCATGCAGCTGACAATGGGTACTTGCTGCATGTTGAATTGCTTGAAATTGACAGCAACCTTATATCACCAGTTCAGACGATAGTGATGGTTCTGAGAGTAGCCCTCTGCTCGAATACCAAGGGTCCCAGGCACGATATGGTCAGGATCTTCACAGTATCCACATGCATGATGGAGGCAACGGATCAGATCCAACGCCTCTTGCCCACTCTGCGTCCTCCTCGGGCAAGTTGCCATTTCACCAACCCCAGTCAGCCGCGTCTAATGGACGATACCTTCCTGGATCATCCAGGAGCAACAATCCCTTCGCCTACCTTATCACTGCCATCCTCACCGCATTTCACCACATCGCCCACTTCAGACTGTCACTCCCCAATAGGCGGATACTAAAGGCATCCATAGCATATCTCTTGGGGTGCCTTGTATCATTTACGCCATTCTTTCTGCCATATATTGGTACCTCTGGCCATTTAGCGGCCACCTCTGCCGTGTTCTTTAACCCAGCCAAGTCTCTCGGTCGAATGGTCGATGCCGTCACCGCAGGACTCTCTGCAATCGCATTCGGATTCTTGGTGTCTCTCGGGAGCATGGCAAGCGCGCTTTGGTTCAATAGCAGAAACATGTACATTTGGGGTCATGTGGTTAGTGTAGTTGTCTTTGGAGGCGGCTCTACGTTTATCATCGCCTACGCAAAGGCCTACTTTAATCGGCCCACGGTCAATGTAGGCAAGTCTGAGTTGTGTTAGTTTCTGAACAATGAGGATTATATACCCCTCTTGACAGTCGAACTTACATTGTTACATTGACTTCTTTCCTCTAATGCTTTCCGCGTCAATTAGCCTGCACCCTCTCTCATATCGCGATCCTGGTAACCCTAACAAAGGAGGGTGCTATGTCGCTGGCCGACTTCAACCTGACGCGAGTGCTTGCCATTACAACGTCGATGCTCTTGGGAGTTGTCATTTCGACCGTTGTTAGTATATTCCTTTGGCCCGAGAGTGCGCACGAGAAGCTAAGGTATGACTCACCTTACTGCCGTACTGTATCAATGACACGCAGACATGCTCATTACAATAGTGAATTTAATGTTTGATTGTCCTTAACGCGCCTGCCCAATAGACAGGACATGGGAAAGTCGTTGAGTTCTTTCCGTCTTTTGCTCAAGCTGTTAACGAAGACGTTTCTCCTCGAGGCCGATACTACGCCATTCGGTTCAGAGTCGGTTCAAAAGTTGATCGAGACACAAGTCAAATCATTTTCAGCACTGGCAAAGTCTTTGGAGGAGGCACAGCTCGAATTTCCAGGATCCGGCATCTCCAAGTATGAGGATTGTGTCAAGTCCCTCAACACCCTCGCTCAGTATTTGAACGGCCTTCGGAGCTCTTGTGGACTACAGTATGACATGCTCAAAAGAGATGAGCAGAGAAAAGGCGGTGATTCTCACAACCAGCCGGGACAGGCAACTGCTGGTAATGGTGCGGCTGCACCTAGATCTGGAGCAGCAGGAAGGCGAGCCCTGGGCATGGGCATGAGGATGCCCTCATATAGCCTTATCGGTAGCCTGACCTCGGACCAGGAACAGAATACGAGTGCGGAACTGATCGATTTCTTGGATCATGTTGGAAAGCCCATGAAATCTCTTGCTTTGACTTGCAAGTTGACTATCGAGCACCTGCAGGAAATCTTCACCAGTACCGATGTTGCCCGCCCAACCGACCTCGAGAGATTCGGTAGTCGCTCAAAGGCGTATCAAACCCACACAGGACAAAGCGGATACGACAGTACAGGAATGATTTCAGACTCGGTCTTTGACGTTGGCACATCTCGTGTCCACCACGGCTCTCTTCACGACTCATCAAAGAGGAATCCCAGTTTCGAAAACATGCAGCACAATCTCGCCAAGGCTCTGGACATCTTTGAGGCCGCCAACTCAAAGGCTTTGAAGCGATTTTATTCGCACCAACATAGGCGACGGTCAGAAAATTTCCAGCGGCCGATTGGCATAACCAAGCACACGAGTGAACCGTCACTGTTCGATATTGCCTCAGGCACAGCAGGTTCCGCGACTGATACTGGCATAGGAATGGGTTTCGGGGCCGGAATTGACGGTGAATTATCAGCTGAAAAGGCCCCCATCGGCGAACAGATCTTTTTGGTATACTTTTTCGTTTTTAACCTCATGGAGTTTTCAAGGGAGCTATCGCAGCTTGTGAGCTGTGTTGAAATATTAGTGGACGGAGACGAGGGCCTGCTGCTCTGGATCGAAAGGAACAGGCAATCTTGGTGGCGGAGAGTCTGGTTCAACCTCACTGGCTTTCCTAGGAGACTGAGGCGACATCCGGCGGAAAGTAATCCGGTTGACAGCTTTGATGGTAAGATCGATGGACTAGAGGCAATATGTGCGCTTTATTATTATTATTTTTACTCCGGATGTAGCTAACTGAATAGTGTTTTCACAACCTATCTAGACCCTGAGACTAGCCATGATCCTCCAAACAGTGACCCCAGTCATCATCCTGGTCACGGATCTATACCTCACAACGCCTCTGATCACCAGCAATACAATAGCCACGGAAGCACAAGGTTCCGCAGGAGACGCAAGGAGAGATTGTTCCCGAAGCCCAACATCCACAACAAAGCAAACACGCTGCAGACACCGGTGCCGTCCACCTTTACACAGCGTTGGTCCACCCGCCTCTGGAAATTCCTGCACCTCTTCCGTTCGTTCCAGGTCAAATATGCGGTCAAGGCAGCATTCAGCACTATTGTTCTTTTGATCCCTGCCTTTGTTGACTTGACTCGTCCGTACTTCGTACAGTACCGAGGCGAATGGGCGTTGATTTCGATGTTGATTGTGATGGTCCCGACCGTGGGGGGAACGAACATTGTGGGCATCTACAGGATCATGGGCACAGTTGTAGGGTGCTACATAGGAGTCGCCGTGTACGTCTTGTTTCCAGCACAGCAGATCATGTTGCCAATATGCTGCTTCCTGTTCGCAATCCCCAACTTTTACCTGGTACTCTGCTCAAGCTATCCCAGGATCGGACAAGTTACCTTACTGGCCTTCAACTTGGTTCTGCTCCAGACTTACAATCGCAAAAACGACGACGGTACTGTTCCGCCAGATGAAGACGATGAGGACGACGATATGCCAGGATTTCCGTCTCCTTCGGCGATACTACGCAGGATGGGTTCCCTTACGATGAACAGACCTCACGATCCGACCCATGTCGATATTGTCTGGACTATCGCATTTCATCGTGCGGTGGCAGTCAGTATTGGCGTCGTTACTGGCGTGTTGATAACGAGCTATATCTGGCCGTATGAGGCGCGCGTGGAACTCCGAAAGGGTCTGAGCGATCTCTTGCTAAACATCAGTTGGTTGTATAACCGGCTCGTGTCTGTGTATTCGACCAACTTGGACCGAGTATCGGTCATTCCGCCATCGGACCATCAGCAGAAGGATCGATCAAGGTTCCGGGAATTTGTGAGGAGAACGACCTTTCAGGAACGCTTCCAAGAGCCGAATGAAGAGCAACAGGATGCTGCAGGCAACTCCAATGATATGGACATTGAGAGGATGAACAAGGAGTTTATGGCGATTGAGCTCTCCCTTCAGTTGCAGCTCCTACGACTCTATGCCTTGCTGGAGGAAACACCAAACGAACCACGTCTGAAGGGCAAGTTCCCTATCGGAACCTACAAGAACATGCTGGGCAGCTGCCAAAACATTCTAGATCGATTCTTATCCATGCGACTGGTCATCACCAAGGACGAATGGCTCGAGAGTGCCAGACGCGATTTTATTGTTCCTGTAAACAGGGAGCGCAGGGAAATGGTCGGCAATGTACTCTTGTACTTTTACACGATCGCCTCGGCTCTACGCCTCAAGACTCCCCTTCCACCGTACCTGCCGCCTGCCAACAACGCTCGTCTGCGGTTGATCCAGAAGATTCGACAGCTCCCCGTGGTCCAGAACAAGGTGGTGATGACGGAGGACAATGATGATAGGTATATTTTTTATTATGCGTATGCGCTCGTGATGGAGGACGTTATCCGCGAACTGGAACGACTTGGCCGGTGGTCACAGGATCTGTTTGGTGTGATTACGCCGGCAGCCGAGTTTGAGGCATGGTTCACCAACGACGGAGTGGCACCTTTGATTTTACCATCCCCAGATTTGCCCTCGTCCGCGACCCGCGAGGCACCTCAGTCACCTTACCACGATGTAGACCAGCCCTACCAATATCCAACGTTACAGAGACACGAGCGACCGGTAATGTCTCCGGAACAGCAGGAGCAGGGACAGAGCCCATCTCGACAACAACCCGGCTTGTCTCCTCGTAAATATCACCATGCTGACGAGCACAGCGGGCTGCTTGATTCTGGGGCGCAAAGTACTTCGAACTATCGGTCTGTCGGAAACTCGGTCAATGAGCGAGAGGACATGTTTTATCTTGACTTCCATGATCCCTTCAGGGATTCAAACCCCATCTCAATGGGCGAAGATGCGGATGGCGACAAGCATATGGATACGACTGCATCATTTCGGGGACAAGCTCTTTCTCAAAAGTCGGGACGAAGAATCCAGAACTCACATTCATTAAACTCAACAACTTCAGCCTCGCGGGACCAGCGGCACCAGGGCAGTCAAGGAGGTCAAAGCAGGCGGAGTCAAGGTTCGCAAGACAGCCAGGGCTATGGGGCGATATCTCGGGACCCTAGCGGAAGCGGTACTGCTGGATCAAGGTCCAGGAAGACAAGCACACACTCATCGTGGTCTTCCTCCCAAGGTACGAGCGTCGTAGGTGGACTAGAGATCCAACCGGCAGGCAGCAATGGTAATGGCGGTCGGCCGGAGAGGCCCTTGACAGCATCCATCTCTGCGACGCGTCTTGGGTATGAACCAAACATCCTTAGACAGCCGCTAGTTCAGGAGCCTCAACAGCAGCAGCAGCAGAGCGTTGGTCGTAGGGTGGCATCTGGGTCGAATTCGGTATCGCATGCGTCATCGGAGGAAAGGATTGCGGATTTAGAGAGACCAATCCAGGAAGACGAATGACCCTGTACTGCCAAGTAATAATGTGAAGATATAACAATAATTCATACCTCGAGTGTCTCTAGAAACGATATGTTCCTTGGATCAGAACGTTTTACTTTTTATGTACCAGAAGAAACCATGGTAATAGAGAGATGATACTCCTTCATGTCATGCTTGGTGACTCTTCACAGCTTTCAATGAAGAAGGATCGTTTGGCACTTCTGAATTGAAACCACTTATCGCTGCTGCTTGAGCGGGAAGATGATCCCAGAAAGAGAGTCCTGCTCCAAGTAAGCTGTTCGAGCAGCCTGGAGAGGAATTGGCTCAGTAAGATCATTAGTATGCATGTCATCGAAGCTGAGAATCGAAGCTGAAAAAGACATTAAGGACCCGCAGCCAACTTCGTGGTGCTTGTTAGATTGTTGTCGTTGGGCGCTCAGTTTTTTGCCGATTTCGCTTATCATTTGTCGACGCCGGCTAATGGCTCAATATTCTTGTGAAATGTTACACTTTTGGACGCCATTCTACCTTGGGCAGCCAGTACGTCTTCGTGTCCTCGGGCAGAGGGAGGGCGAGGTCGATGTAATCTGGTGACGGATAAATACACCAGTTTTTGCGCCAGGTGGATATGTTGACGTTCAATGCCGCATGGGCACTCAGGCGTCCACTCATCCTAAACATCTGGGATCAAAGTCCCCACTCCTTGTATTTAGGGGACCCTGTATGGAACTTGGCCTTCAGGCTTGCTGCGACAGCGGCGCGCCTGAAGAGTCTGAGATATTGCACCATCGAACCCTACGGCAGTAAAAAGTTCACCTTGTTGCTAGGGCTGAGTGAACGGATGCTTACCTGAGCCCAGCGTTTGCCGCCAGTTATTTGACCTCACATTTAAAAAAAGCGCAATGTTTGAATTCGATGTATCCAGCATAGCACCTTCCTTTGATGCCTTTAGGAAGGGCCTACCTAGAGTACTATCCCGGTACTGCACTACCGTGTTGGAGGTATTGGCGTCCCTGTCTACAAGGAGTGCTGTCGTTCGAATCCTCATTTCAATCGTACTGCATACGAGATACATGCAGATGTAGCATGGGTACCAGGGGTCTCTTTCAAGTCTCTCAGGAAGCGATAGGAATATCTCTAAGATGCTCGCAATGTTACACGACAATACAGTCCATTTCCACAGTTCACACGCTCACCGTCTGCGCCCCTCGCCCTCTCTTTTTTTCATTCCTTCAAAGTGCCCTCATACAGACCTCTTCCACTCCACTTCCACCTCCTTAACCATTACGACAATGACAGATCTCAAAACTCGCTTCGCCAGGGTGTGGCCCCGTCTCGTCGTCGGTCTCTGGGCCAGCCACGACCTTCTCACAGACCTTGGTATTCTGTATATAGGTCTACGAGCTGACAGCCTTCTCAAGAGTACGTTAGCCTTGGTATGGATACCATGTTAAAAGAACCCCTTCGCCTTATCTCCCCATTGACAACCTCTTTGTTCTATTTCTCGACAGATGGATATTTCCGTGGCTATCTGTCCAATTCACCCGAAGAAGAAGAACGCATCGTCAAGGCCACCCTCATCTTCGTGGGGGGCCTCTTTTCAGTCATTGACGTCGTTGCTCTCTATGCAGCCGTCCGTAAATCAATTACTGCCACGAAAATCTCCTTGGCTGTCTGGTGTTTCCGCATGGCTGCTTCCTTCCTGACCCTGCTGTTCATGAGCTTCGTCCTGTTCTTAAGCGACGAGACCCGAGATCACATGCCCCGCCCGGGAGTTCAAGCTGTTTGCCTCTGGGTAATGCGTCTGTTTTCGCAACTCCTCTATGGATGGTCGCTGGTGGTAATCTTGAGGGACCTGAGAGGTCAGGGCAGGAACATATGGGGCCGTTTGGTCGGACCGCATGAGCAGCCTGTGTATGAGGAAGCACATATCCGCCTCCCAGTGGAGTAGGGCGGCCATGTATTGACCAACTACCATGTCAATCTAGCAAGGATACAAGCGCCCCTTCATTCCTGGACATTGATGACAATAAATAATCGGATTATCTATGCATGATTATTTTGTATTTTTCTATGCTTCTTTATATGGCTTCCTTGTTACCGTTCCCGCCCTTGGCGCCCTCGGACTTGGTCAACTTGGGGATCTCCAAGATGTTCTTGTAGTCAGGCTGGTTCAACTCGACCGCGACATCCCTATCCGCCTTCAATATCTCGAACGCAATTTGACGCTGCTCCCATTCCACCTCCATAATCGCACCAGGCGACTTCTGTATCAAGCACGAGGTTCCAAAGTCCCATGCTCCGTCCTCGTCCTTCATATATGCTGTGTACTTGAGGTATGGCGATTTCTGTGTAAATTTATCCCGCACCACACCCGAGTTCCACCACAGCGGCTGTCCCTTGTAGTCGAAATGCAGCTGATTTCCACAGACGCGGTCCATGTTGGCGCTGCTCCGATGTGTTTGTTCTCCAGTGGAGGGGTTGATAGGGTTGGTCGCTGTTAGGGTCTCGCCCTCCAGATAACGGTCGATTTCCTCCTGCGGCAGCACCTCCTTGTATGGGATGGCATCACCGACGTTTCCAATGACACCGCCTCGGTAGCGGATAAACGAGTACCGCTCCTGGATCATCTCCATAGCAATCCAGAACGATTCCTTGTCTCCCCATGTCCGTTTGTAGGTCACTTGGTTGCGCTCATAGTAGTCATTGATCTTGCAGATCGCCAATAGGCTCAGGAAATGCCGCTTCTTGTCCATTACGACAACGCCGGATTCCATTTCATGGTCACCCTTCTGTTTGAACCACCGTGTCTTGGAAGGATGGTTGGACATGGATGGCAAGAACGACTCCAGCCACTGCTTCTTGTCACCGCCGGCACCCGGGAATAGGGTTCTGTCGTAAAAATAGACGGTTCCGGTTTCCTTATAGCCCTCGTCTTCAAACATCACCTCGGGGTCCGCCAAAAAGTACGCATCCGAGTCCATGAGGATTGCCTCGCTGAACTTGCTGGCCAGCAGTGCAAAAGGTTTGATGGCCCATCCTCCCAGCTTGAGCATGTCGTTGTCGATCACGGTCATGATGTCTATAGTCCGAACGTTCTCGAGCTGCTCGTACCAGGCACGGTTCTCTGCGCTGAGGTCCCTTTCCCCCATGTAGTAGATCTCAACGGGCAATTTCGACTTGACGACTTCTCTCAAGACCTTGAGGGCCGCCCGAGCATACTTTGTATGGCCATTGCCGACGCACATGACGATGCCTCTGCCCCCTTGTTCGTATTCCCGAAAGAGGTCGTAGATCATGTTGTGATGCTTCCGGATCCAGGGGAACGTCACCTGCTCCAGTCGTTGCAGGAGCTGGACCGCTGGTGCAATGTCTGTTGGTGGCGCATTATAAAACTGATTCTGATTGCCCTTCTTGACCAATTCATCGTGATACCCCTTGAGAGAGTGCCAGAGTGCCTTGTAGATCCGAAGCCGTTTTGTGAGGACGCTGAAATAGTCCTCCTTGAGCAGATATGGATTGTTGTTGTTCTCGGATGATGGCTCTTGGAAGGGTGAATCTGTCAGGTACTCCACAACCCTCTGTCCTTCGGGTGTCCTGAGTGCAGCGGTGTCTCCTTTGGTCCAGGGCTTGATGTCGTCCGGGTTGAAGGTGGCGATATGATGGGTATAGTAGACGTCGTGCTCGGTTGCCTCCTTGGGGACAGACTGGACCTGACCGTCCTCGTCAATTGAGAATTCGAATGAGCCCTGGTACCTTGAGACGGAGGCCAAAGTGAAGAAGATGACGAGGACAACAATAATACGCAACGTCTGCGTCTTACGAAGTGTTGACGAGAGGAAGGTTATAATCTGCATTATGATTGTTGTATGCAGAGTAGAGTGGAGCAAATTGGGCTGTAAAAGTGAGGGGGACCCCTGTCTTGGTTGCCGATGATTAGAAGCAGAGAGTGGAGATGAGGGAGAAGAGATGAGTGGCGGGGCTGATGGTGTGCGGCTGTTCCTGTTGATTGGATATTCTATTCATAGGTTCTGTCATTAATCTGACGGAGTATGTCAGGAAAAACGGTCCAACGTGGGCGACGCGGGCTCTCTGCGAGCTCCCCCTAATATCATCTCCATTTCCAGGCACGCTTTTGCTACCAATCGATCCATATCATGTTTCATATTCATTTATTTCTTAACCACACATATCTGAATACGTTGGCCGCGTTTTCGTTTTCTCATCGGGCCAAGGGCTTAGTCCCGCACTCCGCGTCTCTCGTGTTCGCGTCGTTCGCGTTCACGCGCACTGTTGCTGACAAGACCCATCGCTGCCAGCTCCGCCTTGTCAGAGTCTCCTCTCCGGAACCGGATCTCCTCCACCACTCCATTGTCTTTCCTTCCTGCCTCGTCTTCATCTTCCTCATCCTCCTTCTCGTCGTCTTCATGGCCATAGCCTCGTCGTCCGCTCGTGCGACCGCGATCACCCTTTTCACGCGCATTCGATCTCGCAGCCGAGGCACGTCCCTTGAACGAAACTACCTCTTCCTGACCATTATTCTCTGAGGTTTTAGTGCCTCCTCCTGCGCGCATGTTCATAACATTTTGTCTCTTCAACTCGTACTCGCGCTGTGGATCAGCCGTCTCATGTCTTGTCGACGATGCGCCAGTTAAAACTTCACGCGCATGGCGACTGCCTTGGTCTGCACTCGAATCATGTCCACGATCTCGGTGATGGCGGTGTTCGTTGCGATCCGACCGTTCAGGCCGCTCAGGATGGTGGTGGGATGACTCTCGGTCACGATCATCTCTTCGATCATCTCGTTTATCGTCACGTTTATCACTGCGTCTCTCATCGCGTCGATCGTCCCGACGGTCATATCTTCGATCGTTCCTGTCTCGGTCATGTCGTGATGAGCGCGAACGATCGTCTCGTTTGTCTCGACTGCTATCCCTACGGCGGTCACTATCGCGATCCCGGTCTCCGTTTCTGTTATCACGGTCGCGGGTACGGTCCTTATCCCTATCCCTCTCTTTCTCCCGCTCTCTGTCTCGTCCACTATCTCGGCCTTTCTCAGGCTTACTTCTGTCCGTGCTCTTGTCCCTGCTTCTGTCTCTGCTTTCTCGGTGACGACTACGATCACGATCGCTACTGTAATCAGCTCTCTCACTTCTAGCTCTGCTGCCAGATCTGTTTCGCAGTCTGTCTGCCAAAGGTGCAGTTGGTGGCGACTCTGATCGTCCACCGCCCGAGCGGCGATCGTACTCAAAATCAGGCCCTGGCCCCGCACGTGGTCCTGTGGGAATATCTTCGTCGTTATCATCAAACGATAGTCTAATTGTAGGCAGCACCAAGAAATCAATAGATTAGAACCCATAAAGGTAACGAAAAAGAAAACCTGCGTACATTAATGCGTAAGTGAAATGCTCAAGTTTACCTCCTTGATGCACGCGGTCCAGTGGGGACTAGACTCATATCGATATCATCATCAAATCGTCCATTGCCGCTCGAAACAGAGTTTCGATGACTCGGCGTCGTGATATCCTTCGTCCCTTCAACTGAAGCTGAGCGCTGTACTGGTCCATCTCCACTACCAGAGGCAACGTTTGAACCGCCCTCTGGTCGGCTGCCAGGTCGATTAGGGCCCTGGTTAAGGGTTTGCTGTTGCTGGCCGGGTCCCCTGTTGTTGGCATTGTTGGCATGATCTTGCCACCCTCCGCGACCCCGACCTCGACCGGCGCCTGGGCTATCACTAAATCCAATTCGTGGAGTGGGGAATCCAGGTCCCATTGGAGGCAGACCTGGGATACCCCTTCCCATTCCCCACATCTCTGGTCCACCTGGTCCACTTGGTACACCTGGTCCTCCTGGTCCTCCAGGCACTCCTGGTCCAGGCATACCTCCAAACTCTGGTCCAAAAGGTGGCATGAACCCTGGCATCATAAACGGAGAGACTCCGTTCGGTCCGAAGAAGGAGGGGTCCATAAAAAAATTGGGGTCCTGCATCATTTCTGGAAACGAGGCGAGATGAAACTATATGTTATAACACAAAGTTTCCCCCCTCAATAACGACATTCGAGCTCCAATAATCAACTCACTTCTTACCATAAAATCCTGGAGGTACGCCTTCGGGGAACATCAGCGCTGGGTCCATAGGACCCATTCCACCTGGTCCGTGCATCGGCATCCGGTTTCTGTTAAAATTCTGCTGGTTGAAATTGTTGTTGTGGTGGCTGTTATAGGGCTTTTTATTCTTCCAAGACGGCTGATCTCTATCATGGTCACCACCATTGACTGGATCCTGACTGTCATTCGACATCCTTCTCTTCTGACCAGTCTCCACTACAGCTCCTCCAGTGAACGAGTCATTATCACCAATTGCCTTTGGCCCAGATGGGCTATCTTGCTGAGAGGGTCCTGATCCTGAGCCATTCGCTTCGGATTCAAGGCTGGGCGTTCCGCCACGAGAGTTCATAGTCGCAGCGCCTCCACGGTTCTTAACCCAGTCCCGAAGGTGCTGTTCTGCACGCTGACGAAGCTCTATATTGGGAATGAGTTGATCAGGCACCAAATATTGATGACAGTTTTGGCAATTGAATGGCTCCTCGCCCTTTGGAGGCTGCACCAAGTAATTTCGAATACCTAGGTAAACCAACAAAGAGCAAAAGTAAAGTCAGTGAGCTGATTGTAAAGCAAAGAGTAATGGCGGACTACATGCCCCTATGCAACTTACATTCGTCGCAAAAGTTGGTTCCGCAACATGGGGCACGAACAGCGCTCTTCAACAGCATGCTGCAGATCGAGCACTTCATATCATCTGGCACGGGCGCTGTCGCATATGCCTCCTCCGATGTCAGCGCTGCTTTTGATTTCTCGTGAAATTTCTTCCATTCATAGCTAATAAAGAAGGGCAATTAAGTGCTGCCAATTAATGACAGGTTGTAATATGAAATCCGGTCGCAATAAGCGACAACAATAAGAGCAGCTCGACCTACTCGTTCGTGGTGGCAACAACAAGGTTTCCATCTTGCGTGACCATGACGCCCTTCTTGCTCTGCAGACTGTCACTCTCCACAGTTTTCAAAAACGAACGTGGGATTCCTGTCGTCTTTTTGATACCAATGGGTTCAAAGGACTTGTCGTTGTTAGTGGGGCAAAATTGAATCCAATGCTCGCCTTTCTTGCCACATCTATAGCACACATATGTGTTGGGAGGTGGACGTTGCTGTTGCTCCATCGGCTGCCTCTGATACGGCCCTGCACTGGGACCCCCTGAGGGTCCTCCAGATCCTCCTGGTTTCTGTCCTCCTGGTGGTGGATTTCTGACGACTCCTTGAAACTTAGCAAGTGGTCGGTATGGAGCACTAAAAGTTGCCAACAACGTAAATCGAAAGAGTATTAGGCCATTAATCCAGATCATACCATTGAAAAGCACACCAAGAGGTACATTCCTACCTAGCCATTCCTTCCTGAGTCTTGTCCCAGTAAGAGGCAGACTGTTCAAACACAAATTTCATGCGCTCCTCTTCGGTCATATGGGAGGTATCAACGGCAGGCGCTGGTGGTCCATCCTCCGCCAATAACGACGTGGTGTTTTTGTAGACCTAGCACAGGATACAAAGGTTAAAAATGGATATCGCCGTTTTGATGAATGTTGACTTGATGGAAGCAATTGCTTAAGAATACGTGACCGAAAAACACCAGCAAATGTGGTTGAAACGTCCATACCTTTGCGCCCATGAGGTCGTGGGTGCTGCTCTGCGTCGGTTTCTCAAACACATTCCTGGTCATACCTCCTCCTCGTGGGATCGGTCCTGCGCCTTCAAGGTAACGTTGAGCTCCACCCCTGCCCGGCTTGGCAGGCACGCGGGCGACTAAGATGGAAGTATTCCTTGGGATCAATGTCGCATCGTCATAGTATTCTATATGCCATCACATTGAGGTATTATAGTAAAAAGAGGAGACAAATATGAATACAATTGCCGCGAAAAATCAAACTGCAGCGCCCCATGGAAAATTTCGATTTGAGTGCACAAAGCAGGTGTATTATTTTATTGTTCTTGATGATAGTGGCACCAAAACGAAGATTACCCTCTCCTGATTCTGCATGAGTGAGCTGCAAGTCGTCCGGCCCCTTGAGGCCCTTTGCAATCAGAATCTCCTTTTTCAAATCAAAGACTGAAATTGAATGACCATCGAATGTTGCCGAGTCGTAGTCCTTGGAGGACTTGAACTTGTAGTGGACCTGGGACATCGCGTTTCCTTATCCGCACTCCCTGCTATGCTAATCGAAATTAGGCCTGCTTCACTGGAAAGCCGACGGTGATGCGGTGGTGAACCTGAGATATAATTCAAGCGACGGGATCTGGTTGACAAAGAGCTGGCCGTATAGCAAAGGGGAAGGATTGTATGAAGATGAAGACGAAAGTGAGGAGGGAGAGGAAAGACATGGAGTAAAGGTTGGTCAAAGGGACATGCCATGTGGTGGCTTTGCAGCCTGTGACGACGATGAAGGTCACTTTCCAAGAGCGTAGCAAGAACCGTTGGGCGTACCTACTACTCATCATCTCTTGAACCAATCCCTTCCCACAAACTCCTTCTCACCATACACCGCGTAAATACACACCCCCTCGGAACACAATGATTCTCCTCGACTACCACAATCGCATCATCGAGGACACCCTCAAGGCGCGCTTCAATCCGTAGGTGGACACTTTTTTCCAGGCTGGCACGAAGTGGTGACGTGACTGGCGAGCGAGGACTTAGGTGGTGAATGAGTACCCCTGAGTAACCGAATTGCTGGTAACCTCTCCCATTTACCAAGGAAAGACCAAGGACAGCATGCTAATATTGCCGCTTCTCGATGCTCATACCTCTTGCAACGTAGTGAGAACAAACCCAAGCCAGTGGACATGAACATTGTCGACTTTGATGGCGTTTCGTACCACCTCTCAACTCTCGACGACCAGGATACCAAGCTGAATCTCTCCATCCGCTGGAATTGCTGGCCTGAGCTCGTCCAATACGGCGCCATGGATGTGTTAAAGCGCGAGTACAGCCAATGGATCGTTAACCCCGAGCAGGGCTACAATTTCACCCTCCAGTTCGACCTTGAAAACCTTGGCGCAGATCCTGGTATGATACGCGTTCCGCAACATTGAAGCCCCCGTCTGTGAGAAACGTCTTTTGCTGCTTTCTTAACACGCCATTGTCTGATTCTACTATCCACCATTGCAGAGGATCTGATCCGCAAAGTGTCATTATTGAAGCGCAATGCCATGGCGGCACCATTCGAGAGAGCATTTGATGCACAGGCCCTGGCTGAGAAGGAAGACACTTGGGACCCTTCAACCTCACAGCTGATGACGATCCACTACCGTGATGGCGAGGCTATTTATGTTCAGAACCAGCAGGACAGAGTCACTGTTATTTTCTCCACATTGTTCAAGGAGGAGACCGACCGTATCTTCGCCAAAGTCTTCCTTCAGGTACGACTTGTATTTCCGCTCTTTGTATCGTACCTATCGCTTTGTCGTACTGTTCATGGAGGATATTGATACCGACTATTACTCTTGCTCTTGCTGTCGGTCACCAAACTTGATAGGAATTCGTGGATGCCAGAAAAAAGCCTCACCTCCAGAACGCACCACAAGTTATCTACTCTCATCGCGAGCCCCCACTGGAGATTCGCCATGTCCCTGGCCTCCTCGACTCTGAAAGCATGGGCTACATCACATTCGGTATGGGCTTTGCAGTTGACACTTGTTTCACCAATTGATGGGCTCGACTGTTATACGTGCTTTTTTTTTTTTTTTTTAACACAATACGTTTCTTCCTATCGCTTCTACTCTTTTGCTCGATATGCACCGCAATAGTTGTGTTCCCCCGCAACTTTGCTGCTGGAGCTGTCCGTGAGGAGACCATCTCGAGGATCCAGATCTTCCGCGACTATCTTCACTACCATATCAAGTGCTCCAAGGCCTATATGCACTCGCGTATGAGAGCTCGTGTCTCGGACTTCCTCAAGGTCCTCAACCGCGCCAAGCCCGAGATCCAGGCATCGGAGAAGAAGCTGGCCAGCGGAAGGGCCTTCCGTCGTGTGTAGGGCAAGGCTAGGGTAGATTCAATTACAATGTATGGAGGAGTGTAAATGAACCGCTTGAGGATACCAAACGAAGTATTATGCATTGTGCCCATGCCTCAAATGAACCTTATTGGCGGTGACTGTCGCTTATCACCCCGGATAAACAAAGTGCTGGCCACCTCAGGCACGAATCAAGCACCGTTCACCTCCTTCACCCATCAAACATCAAAAACACTATGAGTTCCGTTTCAAGGATAATCTTGGCCGTCCGTCCTACACTCACATCCTCCGCAAGGACATATTCCACAGCAGTAACGTCGGAGGCATCAACAGCATCATTAGCAACAGGACACTACAAGGTCACACGAACCCGCTCTCTGATCGGTGTGCCAAAGTCGACCATCAAAGGTAACGGCCAATTTCACGAGCAGCGAGTCAGAGTGGGCCCGGCAAAGATGGAGGATGAAATGTCGTGGGAGGAAACTATCTTTGCTTATTGAAGACCCTTTCATGGGAATGAACAGGATGCTGATCTGCTTTTCTTTTCTTTTCTTTTTTTTCCTACCCTTTCCTTTGTACGCATACGCGGCACGGAATACGACCCTTGCTATCGGATGCTAACGCTCACTGCAACTAACCTACTCGATCAACGGATACAACGACCCACAACAACGACAAAACTACGGGAACCATAAAACAAACGAAAAAAAAAAAAAAACGCCCTACCTCAATAACCAACAACCATAACGAAAAATGGACTGGAATCCATCCTTGTTGTTCAACGACATTGGACACTTTCTTCTTTCTTCTTTCTTTCTTCTCTATATCAACGTAACACAACACAGTCCTCAAGTCACTCGGACTCGGCCGCAAGATTGGTCGTCCAGTCTTCCAGCCCCACGATCCCTCGGCTGCAGGAAAGATCTTGAAGGTCAAGGAATTGGTCAAGGTCGAGAATATGTCCGGACCGGTTCCTGCAGAGGGATACCAGCGCACGCGCGCTACCAAGGGCTACAAGGTTGTCGGAAAGATGTAAAAGTCGGGATGACATCACGGAAAACATAAGCCTGCAGGAAGCGCATTTGGAGGGAAGGGAAGAGGAGGAGAGGAATATCGACATTGGATAGTCGCTATTAAACAGCAAAACAAAATAAAAACAGCTGGACTCGAAGCATAGGGTTAAGAACTATTGCACACAAAGGATCAAAGGACGAGGCGAAAAATTATTGTACAGATCGATTTTATTTTTTTTATTGTTGCTACAGACCGTAAGTGTGGGAGAATGGCGGTTAATGATGATGGATTTGTAGAAGAACAGAAGAGTATAAAAGCAAGCCAGGGTATCTATGGAAAATGCTCAGTAGACATTAGATGTCGGCTCAAACGAGCAGATGCTCCGTCTGACTATCGACTTGTCCTAAACCCAGGTCCCCATGTTCTCTATCCGTATCGTTCCCTGTCGTATCCCTATCGAAAGCGACGTTTTTCGTGGCAGAACTCTTGGCCTTTAATGGGCTCTCTGCAGGACTTTGGGATGATCCTGACGTGTCCTGTGCCTCCTCGTCTTCGTCTTCGTCTTCCAGCACATACACATGCTCATCGTGCTGTCCAGGTACCGAATTCGCCTTCTTTGATAGCGATTGTGATTGAACGCCTTCCCCGTTATGGTCACCGTTGCTTTGACCGCGCTCGACCTCATCCAGGTCCACCATGGCCAATCCAACGTAATCTCCGCTGCCTTGGCGGCCTCCTGATCTTGTGCGGTGACTTCCACTCGAGCTCTCGTCCTCGAAAATGGCCCCTGTCAAAGCCGCCTCATCGTATGCGACCTTCCATGCCCAGTATAAGATCCTCAGCAGGACAATCAGGAAGGGACCATTGTAGAGTATGATATCGACGAGAATCTCGAGTGGGACCAAAATCTCCTTGGTATCCCGATGAATATCGCATAGCTCCAGCAGCAAATAATGCACAGGAATATATAGGATAAACAGACACCACTATTTGTCGTTATAAATTAAAACGAAATGAATGTTTGAGGGACCTCGTTCGTTAACATGCGCAAAACAATAAAAAGAACCCTATTGAGACCAAAAAAAAATGATGGTACCTTGTACGCCCAAAGGTCGCGTGGAAACTTGCCAAAGAAAACAACGCCGCTTTGGGCAGGCCGTGTCACCACATGGAACAAAAAGATCATGCCGATCGCATACCAGATTTGACTGGTCAACCAACGGACAACTTCCGAGGACCGGTCAAAAAAGAACTCTGGCTCTTTCCATCCACGGAGCATATATAGGACATTGGATGTGAGAGTGAGGATCGTCGCTGCAATGCACACGCCTCCCATGACTCGATAATTCCTGGCGACCGGCGCTGGCAAAAGAGCTATGTAAGAACAGAGATCAAGTTGGGCAGGCTGACTGAGTCATTGCTGATGTCAAAGGGTCGTCGTATTCGTAGGCACAAGATGAAAGCTGTACCTTTTGCAATCGATTCATATGTGATGTGCAGGCGATTACTATTATTTCAAGAAGAAAGCATGATGAAATTAGAGAGCAAGATTACGGAAACATACACCTCCATCCATGGTGGTGCATCCTTGGCCAATCAAGGGACCAACCTCTTGTGCCTGCAGTAGAGAAAGAGTCCGACCATGACCAATATATCAAAGACAGGTCCCAGAAATGAGGATATCTAGTCGATCCACGAATCAATTAAGGCGACCAAAAAAGTATCAGTACATCTGATTTTCAAGCGTCCATAGATTGATCCCATCCCATTATGCGGGATGTCCCTTGGTGTCTGCACTATCGATGCTCCGGCCATGTCAGAAAGCGCTAGCAAGGGCATCCTTCAAAGAAAAAAAGCAGGGAGGGGATATCGGGTATGTCGATCCTGACTAATGCTGTTGGTTCGCTCCAGATGATTCCATGTGGGGCTGAAAATTGTGAAAGCTGTCCATTGCTGTGTTGCGAGGGCATGAAAAGCAGAAGACTTACAAGGCACCCTAGTAGGATGAAAAAGACCCATCAAGAAGGGAAAGCAGATATCATATGGTTAGCAATGGAGGGATTGGGGCTTTATCACGCTGACATGTACGATCATTTGAGGGTTGCAGTCGAGAGAGAGGGAAACTCACAGATAACATAGCCGACGATCTCCCAGCGCCCCATCCGCATCCGCAACAGGACCTGGCTCTCCATGATCAAGACTCCGATGCCGAGGAAGACACTGACGAGGGTGACATAGCTGCGCCAGTCGTCGAAGTAGGGCTTGAGAAAGGTGATGACAGCGTGAATGTGTTTCGACCAGTCATCGTAGGGCGAATTGGCATCCATGGCTTCCAATGAGCAACTTTTGTATTTGTTGCTGGCTAGTCAGGATAAGGGTGAATGGGGCTGCAGTAACAGGGGCGCTGTTATATAGGAAAGAGGGTGTTATCGATGTAAGCGGGAAAGAGAAGTGCAGGAGGAGCGCAGAACTATCAAAGGACAAACATTTGAGTGTGAACAGCCTCTCCGGCCCAGGCCCAGAAAAGGGTTTGCAGGTCGCTTGCGCTTCATGTGGCGAAGACCATTATATGTATATCTAACACGGCCACCCAGCATAAAAAGCACTATATCTTACTGGGTAAGACTGCATTTGGTCATCCATCCACGCAAAGACCACCCAGTGCCGGACTTCTTGGATTCGATGAGCAGCTCGCGCAGGCTAATTGGCGCGACATTCTTTGTTATCAACACTATCCTTTTAAGCATTCCACGGTCATCAATTGCGCAAGGAAGAAGATGGTTTATTACGTGTTTTAGGGTAGAAAAACGAGCAGAGATAGTCGAAAGGCGAAATAAAGTCGTCGCATCTAGGCGGAGCAAATGGTCTTGATCTGGCTAACTTCCTTGACGGAAACATCCGCACAAGCCTGGGCACACAGACCTGCCGCGGCCTTGAAGCGCACCACGACGCTGTTGCTCACGTCCACATCACCCGTAACATTGATCTTGACCAACCACAGGTTAATTGAGAACTTCTTAACCTCGATATCGATCGCCGCCTTGATCTTCAAGGCCAGCTTGGCCGCGATCTTGTCCGAGATCTTGGCTGAGGCCTTGGTCGTCAACTTAATCGCGTCCTTGACAATGTTCTTGGCCTGCAACTTGATGCACGCAGCATCGTTGTTGGGGCAGCGCTTGGTCACGATCGCAGCAAGGTTCGCACGCAGGTTCAACGAGAACTGGGACTTGATCTCGGCATCGACCTCGGCCTTGACAGTCTTCTTGATCGAGGAGCGAAGAGCCGTCGACAGCTTTGTGCCCAGTCCAAAATCGACATTGATGAGACCACTATTGGACAGAGAAGCAGAATAGATCGTATAATTGTATGAGGGGTCGTTAGTGTTTGTTCTGCGAGGTAGATGTGTACAACGAAAGAAAGAAAGAAAGAGAGAGAAAAAAAAAAAAAAAAAAAAGTGGCGCAATGCTTTTTTCAAGAGACGCGTCCTTCGTAGCCGTCTACCGATTGGTTGACGCAGCAAGGTTGCGCAAAGAGCATCGAAAACACAAGAGCCTTGATCCTCCCACTTGGACAATTGCCTCCCGAAGAGGTTAATGAATAAGGTAATCGCCACTGAACATAGACTATTCTTGAAGCCATAAGCACTTTTCTTACGTGATCTTAACGTTGAGGTCGGTCGAAATGTCCGTTGACAGGTTGGCATCGGTGCAGACATCGGCAAAGGCTTTGACAACAATATCGGAGTGCTCCTTCACCAGCAGGTCCAGGGTACCCTCGAACGCGGCACCCGCATTGGTAGTGGTATTGACGGAGCGGGCCTCGAGTCCGCTCTCGGCAGAGACGGTGCTGCACAGCATGGCAAACATGCCCAGGAAGGAGGCGAAAAAGATAGTGGTCTTCATGATGACAAGCGAGAAAAGCGGTAGATGGTTATGTGCGAAGAGGAGGGAAGGGAAGGGAAGGGAACGGAAGGAAAAGGCGGTAGGGAGATGTGAAGGGGAGCAAGGGTTTCTGAAAATGAGTGGAAGGGCGGCGAGGACTGAAGGTCTCTGCTGGCTCTGTAAAAGAGAGTGAGGGGAAGGATGAGGGGAGGAAGAGGTGAAGGGTTGACTTAGAGAAGACAAAAAAAAGATGGGAAACGCAGGTTGCCCGATACGCTTTATATTAGGAGCACTAGGGTGCCGGTCTGTAGAGGGCTCCAAAATCTTTAAGGAATGCGTGGTTTTCGCTAGGCCTCGACCACCAAAATCTCTAGTCCTCCACGCGGCCAAGACTCCCCGGAGTAATACTTATTTTGGTAGCAACTCAAAGGAGGGGACGGATTGTCAAATGCAAAAAAAGGAAAAAACAAACCGGTGAGCACTCAGGCATGTAGACGATATGTGTTATTGAGGAAAAGGAAAGCACGAGTCATCGACAAAAGACAAAAGAACAGAAGTGGGTCGTAAGTCGTGGAGCAGGCATATGTGTTTGTGTTTGAGAGCGTATTGAAAGGCTCCACCTCAGCACTCGTGTCTCTTGTCTTTTTCTCATGAGAGCCTGTTGCTGGAAGGTGATCGAGATTCCTATGGTCGTGGCCGGTTCTCTCAGGAGCATGAATCTTTCTCCAAGGTCTAGAGTGTTTGATAGGATATGTGCATATAACTCGTTGCCTCATGGTTAAGGCACCTGAAGAACTGAGAGAGAGATAATAGTGTCAGTTTGCGCTCCTTCAGACGTTACAGTGATAGGGCCCAATGGTTGTGGAGGCACAGAAGGCCATTCGGAGCTACTCTAGTGTAAATACGGATCATTGGTCACCTATCCATTCTCCACATAACTCAATTCATAAACAGAAGAGTCGCTCCAGAGCTCTCAACCTTGTGATGGACAACTTACGCCTTTCTCGTCCGATTCGCTGCCTGTGTTATTTTTCTTTGTCTGGCTCATGGAAAGGCTCGAGCCACTTGCGCCTTAAAAGGAAGAGGAAAACGTGCCCGGGCATGGATGAAAGTATTTTTGGTCCGGCTTGGCTCTTCATATGCTGCGATCATGATGGTTGCACCAGTGTGTTCGTTACATGCGCATTTTTGGATGCATGAGGGTCGCTCGCCCCCGCCCTTGCCCGTACATAGTTGACAGCGGAGATATCGGTACGTGTATAGTTGTAGTGTATGTTCAGAAGAAATAATCATGGTTCTAGATGCTTTATGGTTTATGCTGTTAATTGTTGTACAAGATAGTGTAAAAGGGTTGGCTATATACGATAAGCAGACCTAGGAAGGCCCACTGGGAATATGAATAAAATATACAAAAGGAAACGCCTTCTTCCTTTCTTAAAAGTGGCAGGAGTAAGGAAGAGTCGATTCATCCGCAGGCTCGACAATCTCCTTGTACCAGAGACGGGGGTCCGTCTCTCCAACACAGGCACCGACGGTCATCACATCATATCCAAGATTCTGGACGTATTCTGCAGCCCAGACGCTGGTGGCTTCTTGGTAAATACCGCCCATGACCATGGCGTCGCGATCCAGGGTCATGTGAGGAACGCCTCGAACAGCCTCAGCCCACTTGGATGAGAACGATGATTGGGTCTGATGTCTATGAACGGAGTACTCGAGGAACTCCTCTTCTATGTCTGATTCCTCTTCATTCTCCTCCTGCTCCCTTTCCTCATTATCGATCTCGTCTTCTAAAGGCCCATGAGAACCGTCCTCGAGCAGATCGACGTCCCAGAGGATGATGAGGTATCCCATCTCCTCCATAATCTTGCGGACGCGCTTCGAGTGCTCGCCATATGGTGGTCGCATATACCGGGGAACGACACCGAGGATGCTTCGGAACGCGTCTTCAACCTTGTGCATCTCCTCTCGGATCTCATCGTCTGAAAGAACCTCAAAGTTGCGGTGAGACCATGGGTGGGCAGCAATCTGGTGCTGGGCCTGAAATGCGCGCTTCAACAGCCTTTGAGACTCGGGGCCTGAAACCAAAAAAAGGGCGAAAATGTAGAGATATGTTTAGTCTATTTCGATCAGACTGAGAGGGCAAAAGACATACAAAGGGGGGCTTTTTTTTTTTTTTTTTTTTTGGAATAGGAGATGGATGAATCGATGAATCAATGACTTACGATAGATGCAGTTCCAGTTGTCGCCGTTCATAAAGAAGGTGACCTTGATGCGCTGCTCGTTCAGGTAGTCGAGCAGTTCATCTGTGAGCTGTCCAGGGCCATCATCGAAGGAGATGGCATAGGAGCTAGGTTTGATACACGAGTTCAAGACCTGGCCAGGGCGATAGAGGGGGCTGGGTGTTGGTCCTGAGACTGGATATGGGAAGTGGCTGTAGTCGATGATCTGTCGAGTTGAAGGTACTGGTGCCGAGGAAGCTGTTGGATAAAAAAGAATATCAATTGGTGGCAAATAAAGCAGTTAGGTTTGGGATCGGATAGAGGGGCTGTGGAGGGGGTAGGAGCTCTGGAGTGGGGTGTTTCTGTGTGGAGAGGGTGGTTTGTTTACCTTGGTGTGTGATTGAGGCTAGGATGGAGCCCAACACAGAGAGGGGGAAGATGGCAGAGCGTGAGATACGCATTCAGGAGGAGGAGGGATATGTAGTGGGCGGTGGTGGCGGTAGGTGTAAAAGTTGTTGTTGTAGTCGCAGTAGCAGTAGTGGTAGTAATAGTAGTCGTAGTGTGTATACGTATGTGTGTGAGTGAGTGAGAGAGAGAGAGGGGAGAGATACGAGTATAGCGGAGACTAGTGTACAGCAAAGATATGGGGAAAAAAAAGAAGAGGGAGAAGTGGGGGTTTCCTTGCAGGGCGCGGTCTTTTTATATATCTGATAGAAAAGATAAAGAGATAAAAAATAGGGTCAACACAACGCAGCAGCATGCGGTCATGCCAAAGTCAGGCTGTCATCATTCCGAGGACAGCAGAACCCAAAGGAAGCCAAGACCAGCCTAAGACGAACCATAAAAATTATCCGCGCGGGATGGCAGTGCACGAGCTGCCACCCATTGGACGACAGCGTCCGAATGCTCCGCCCGCGGGCCACAGACCGCAGATCAGAGGCCAAAAATAGACGTCTTCCCTCGCCCCCTGTCGACTGTGTCGAATGCCGGCAAACAAGGTTGTTGTTGCTGAAGAATGACGCGCATTTCTATCCCTTTTCCAACCCCTCAAAACATCGCCACTAAAACTTCGCCACTAAATTGTCTCCTTGCGCTGGACCAGCACAGCAGCACCCGACATCGCCACCTGCTGTCCTCCATGCTGCTGCCGCTGACCAATTAGCCCCCCGCCCGACTGCTGTGCCTAACTCATCCATACCCCTAACTCGGGCCAATTTGCACCAGACTCAAACTGCAGTCAAAATAACCGAGCAATATACTCTAGTCTATATCCCATCACGCCCATGGTCACTAACTCTGTTACAGCGCATATACCGTTCTACCCCTACTGCTCTTCCGTCGCCGTTTTTCCAGAGCACGTCTCACCACAAGCACCCTCGTTTCAAGTTTCAATAATGGCTCGACATACATTGCTCAAGCACATAAAACGAGCATGGCGCCTCCTGTCTTTCTCATGGTACCCTTCAGTATACTATCCAAACATCAATCTTCCCTCCACCCAGGTACATCAAATTGCAATCCACTATCAGGTTCTCCGTCGTTTCGTTTCGTTAATATTTATTACATGTGTTGGGATGTGTAGGTTACATTTTTTTTTTTTGTTACTTATGCCAAGTAAAGAACCAAAGGTACAGAAGGGAGGAGCCAGCACATCCCACCCCACCCTTGCACCCAAGTCCTGTCATTCTTTCTCTCTCTCTTTCACCTTCCGCCATCGTACTTGTCTGTATTGCATCACAGCACTCCTTCATAGCCTGCTACTCCAACTCCTTTATAGCCTCATCCTGTCGTTGATACCACTCCACGCTGCCTTGCCTTAATAGCCCGTCTCCACCTTGGCACCGAACAGCCTTAGGACCTCAAAGATGGCTCCGCCGCACATGACGATGAGCAAGAGTCCGACCATGTAAGGGCTCACAGGTGCCTTCTTGCCGACTTTTTTCTCGGATTGGGACGAGGGCTTGACATGGCCACGCTTAGTCACATTCGCCTGGTACTTGGCTGTTAAAAAGAAAATGCATGTGTGCAGAAATTGAGGGTATGCCCTGCATTAGAAAACGTATTCGTTCATTGCTGTCCTTTCTTTCTTTCTTTTGTAGTCGGTCCTCCATCAGAGTCGTTATTCTGTTCACCTTACCGTTGCGGGCACGGATAACGGGGGATGTTGCGGTGGCCATAGTTTATAAGAGATGGATGTGTTGCTGAGAGTGTGCAGAGAGAGGGTTTGTGTATGGAGGTCAAGCGGTGGTACTATTGAAAGTTATGTCCTGTGCTCCTCGTATGTCTTTGCGGATCGAATTGGTCAGGGTTATGTTGGTGTCAGATTCAGTGCTGAGAATGAGAATGAGAAGAGTAGTGGAAGGAAGAGAGAAAGAGAACGAGAACGAACGAGAGATATATAAAAAAAAAAGCTGGTTTGATGCGTGGAAGCGCTTTAGTGGGCGAAATAAATGAATGGTTATTTTTATTCTGACAAGGGGGAAGAGAGACCTTGCAGCGCTTGATTGGTCGAGAACTAGGGCGCCCTCTCGTGCCGAAAATGTGGAGAACCCATGTGCAAACAGCAAAATTATCGGCTTCATTTCATTCTATTAAGTTGTTTGCACTGGTTCTGCTCTGTTGTGCTCAACACCCTACTACAACTTGGGCTCCACTGGGTTGGTCCTCAGGCGCACAACTCCCTCCTGTGCAACAGACACTGCCAACGTGCCGTCCTCCTTGTAGATCCTTCCAAATGTCAATCCACGATCGCAGCCCGATCGAGGACTAGAGAGGGGGGAAGAAAAGATAAAGCATTTTTAATGCAGCGGGTCAGTATCCCACCTACTATTCGCTATGCCATCAAAAGAAGGAGCAGGGCAGCATAGTTACCTCTCGCACACATAGAGCATCCACTCGTCGGCACGGAATGGAGAATGGAACCACATCGAGTGGTCCAACGACGCCATCATCGTAATCCTGGGATTGGGTCCAAGGCGCGAGAACCAGGTCGCACCATGGGCCAGGGGCACAGTTCCCAGCAAGTTGTGGTCTGAGCCATATGCAACCACGCACTGATGCAATGCCAAGGCATCGCCAAGCTTGCCCTTGCATTTGATCCAGAACGTTTGCTCCGTACGCTTGGGTGGATTCGTAATATCCTTCAGGCTGTGCGTCCGCGTGTCCTTGAAATCCAACGCCACGGGCTACACATACAACAAGAACCCGGCAAAATAAAAATAAATATGTGCATCACGACAGCAGCAGTGCTGTTTCATACAGCCAGGAGAAGTGGATATCTGCTCCTTTACCTCTGCGAGGCGCAGCTTGAGGATCTCGGTAAACTTCTCAGGGACCTTAGGATTGTCAATCATGGACTTCAAGAGCTCTTCTTGACTTGGCAGTGTGCTATGATGAGGCACATTGGGCATGGGATACTGATGGCTCGGAGCATTTGGGGCTGGGACCTGGAAGCTAGCCGTGCACACAAAGATGGCTTTGCCACGTTGCTTTGCCGTAACAGTTCTGGTGCAGTATGATTTTCCTGTGGAGTAGAAGAAAAATATAGTAAATGGAGAAGCAAGCATGAGCGTGAGATATTAGCTCTCCACAAATGCTGGAAAGTCCGCTCAATTAATACCGATATCCATTCCTTACCGTCTCTTAGACGCTCCACATGATACAGAATGGGGATCGAGTGATCTCCAGGCAGGAGAAAGTACGAGTGCAGGGACTAGAAAGGATGAACGAAGAAGCAGAAGACGATGTTTAATACATCTTTAAAGATAGCAACGACATCCTAGAGCACTCAGCTGTCAATTGTAATGGATGCCGTTTACTTACATGGACAGAATAGTTGTTGGATACAGTGTTCGTGGCTGCAACCAAGGCCTGACCGACAACATTACCGCCTACAAGTTGCCAAGGAGAGGCATTGGGAATTAGGCATATAATATCTCTCACGACTTCGAGCACAGCTATGCAGTCAACAAGTATGAAAGCGATTGCTATACACACCAAAGACACCTCGGGCACCCATAGGCAGCCAGAGTTTCTTGGATCGGTAAAGATCCTTATCGATTTCCTCGAGATCGAGCATGCCCTCGATAATGGTGTTGTCTACGGAATTGAAATAGTGCAGAAGTCGTAAGAACACAGTCAGTGTCACTCAGTCGGTATACGTGAAGGCGATCCGCTTTGAGGAATGCAAGTTTGGAGCTAACATACTAGTTTCCCCATCTGGGGTAGGTGGTGCTGTAGTAGACGACATTCAGAGAGGAGAGGGGATGGTTGAAAGTGAATGCGATGTCTGAAAGTTGCATGGAAAGAGAGAATCAATGGGGGCCACCTATGCTGCAGCGCACACCTTCGGTCTCACACGCGGTATGCGGTATTCCCTGAGCCGAGGTACATGCCATTTACAGTCTTAGGTTAAACACTGAGACTCCGAGGTGCCGCAATTGAACCCTCAACAGTTGGGTCATCTTATCGGGCAAATATTACTCTTACGCTTCACTGCTGACGGTCGTGCTGCCCCCATCGGTCCATCGCTCGCCGGCATATTCTTCGCCGATGTCAACAGGAACTACGCAGACTGGTGGAAATGTCCTCCCAGCAGAGGTGCTGCAGAAGAGCGCAAACACGGCCCTCGACCTGTAGAATTCAAGATCGAGGACGGGGGGGCTACTTCAGCACTCGGTCGATTATAATTTTCAGCGGAAGCTTGAATGTACCCTCGTTCCTTTTTATCCAGTCAGCAGTGCCTCATACATTCTCTGGAGACTAAAAAGCGCGATCTAGAGAGCTATATGGCCTTTAAAATCCTTTTCCTAGAACTGCTGCAAATTACGCGACCAGCATTCGCGCCGTCGACGTGCCTGAGAAACGGGCCAGGGTTGCGAGTGAACGACACATTCGCATTATTCAACAAGGGCATACCAGGATAATGAGGAAAAAAAACTCGTCGGAAAAAAAAAATGGCTTCGACTTTGCATCATTCCTGTATACACACTGTCTTATATAGCTTTAATCGAGCAATCTCCTCGACCATTGTCAAGATCCATACACCCCAAGCCATACCCAGCTCCCCTCGTTGTAGTTTATCTGAACCAAGTAGACTCATATGCGGAGAGAAATACGCTGATGCGGATGTTGCGCACCCGCCAGCAAACGCAGTTATCACTGAACCCATCATGAACCTCGTGCTGACCTTTATTGCCATCCTTTGTCCACGGTTTCGGTTACCGATCCGTCTCTGTCATGTTGACACCATGTATCCGATGGTCCTTCGGTCTAGCGCCTCCTACCATGAATGGAGCCTTCCTAGTCTACGAGATGTTGGAGAGGGGACTAAAGCAGGTTCATGGAGTACTTTATGCTGCCTCGGCGATTGTCTTTGATTCGCATGGCACTGATGGCCAATAACGAGAACAAGTACTAATCAGTGTATACTGATGACTATGGAGTTGAGGATCTACGGCCGAATTTGGGCCCATGCAGATCGATCAGATGAAAATATGTTGACGCATTAGCAGACCGGGCGAAGCGCGAACGGACGCACGAGCGGCGCAGCAAGATCCTTGTGCGATTGAATGAGAGTAGTTTCGCTAGGTATTTGTGGCATATCTGATGTATGTAGGATCCTTTTGGAGCATGCACGAAGAAAAGAACGAGGGTGCTGGTTGTGGATCAGTCTGGGGCGAGGGTACTTGTCTCTTTATCACAGCATCAAGATAAAGATTAGATCGCCCGATCTTTGAGTGTGGGGAAGAGAAATGGCAGGTCACAGCACTGTGCCTAACATTCGAATAAAGACTTGACCCCTGCGCCTTCTTTCTCTCCATCGCTCTCCTTGATTCCTTCTCATTCACGCAGACGAAACCAACCTTCGCCATGAGCATCAACAAAGTCGACTACCAGCATTATCTCAGCGAGTCCTCAAAAGCAAGGAAGCCCAGCGCCAGTACGATTTGCTATACATGTCTCTTTCAGGACTGACCAACAACGAATGTCGCCTTATTCTAGTTGCGCTGCTTTGCTGACAGGAACACCATATTGCTTTCTTCAATGGAACCCACAAAACAGTTAGGCGACTGATTCCTCTGACAAAGATCCCAGGAATGGTAATGGCAGCAGGCAGTAACGGTGTCTCTGTCTGTCCCAACGCTTTTGCTTATCCCTGCAGAGTATCTGACAGTTTTTTCATTGATCGAAAATAATTTAGATCTCGCTCGGTGCAGGCGCACCGAACGGTGACCTGTTCCCCTTTGAAGGGATCAGCATCTCGCTCAAGAATGGAGAGACCCTCCAAGTGGATTCCAAAGTCCTAGCCGAGTCCTTGACTTACGGCCCATCTGTAAGCAGATCATTGACAATTGAATAACTACGGGATAGTTCAAATTTGGTGGCGCTCTGCAGCAAGCATATGCCGACGCCGCGCTTGACACCTCTTTTATTTTTTATTTTTTTTCTCACGTTCATTTCTGTGTGTTGTAGGACGGAATCCCTCAATTGAATGGCTGGCTGAAGGAGTTGCAGACAATTCGACATGCGCCTCCTCGTGAGTTTGCAGTGACGATTGGTACAGGATCTCAGGATCTGGTTACGAAGGCATTGCAGATGCTGATTTCGGAGGGCGATAATGTCCTCTTCGAATCGCCAGGATATGTAGGCGTCATTGCGTTCTTGAGGCATCAGCCATGCAACCTTGTCGGTAAGCTATGCTATTTTCAGGCCTGCTATCACTCCGTGGTCTAAAGATGGATTTCCAAGTCTAATTGGCGACTATCTTTTCTATTGACAACCATAATTAATGCATACTAGACGTTGAGCTGGACTCGCACGGTGTGGTGCCTGCAAAGCTGCGTGAGCAACTAGATAGCTGGCCTGCAGACAAGAGAAAGCCCAAGATGTTGTACACGGTCCCTGTGGGAGGCAACCCGACTGGTGTCAGTCAGACGTTGGAGCGCAAGAAGGAAATTTACAAGATTGCTCAGGAACACGACTTGTTGATCCTGGAGGACGACCCATACTACTACCTCCAGTTTAACGAAAAGATCCCATCGTACTTTTCAATGGACGTGGATGGACGGGTGTTGCGGTTCGATAGCATGTCTAAGATTCTGTCCTCGGGATTGCGTGTCGGATGGGCTACTGGACCAGTGGAGTTGATCAATGTCATGAATCTGATGACTCAGGTACGGAGATGTATCAAAAGTCAGATGGCAGGGGGCGACCCGAACCGTCAAGAAGCAATGCTAAACAGTTTTTTTTTCTTTGTCTTTCATCTTGATTAGACTAGCAACTTACAGCCGTCGAGTGTTGCACAGGCAATAACGTATACGCTTGTTGAGTCCTGGGGCCATCAGGGATTCTACGAACACACACTCAAGGTCGCAGCGTTCTATAAGGAGCGGTGCCAGCTTTTCTGCCAATACGCGCGCAAGCACTTGACGGGGCTGGCCGAATGGGTCGAGCCTGATGCGGGGATGTTTGTGTGGTTCTATCTGAAAGGGATCGAGGACTCATTCGACCTGATCCTGACCAAGGCCGTGGAGAAGAAAGTGCTGCTTGTGCCCGGGATTGAGTTCTTCTGCGACCAGGAGAAGAGTGGGCCCAGCCAGTGCGTGAGGGCCTCGTTCTCGAATGTGACGGAGCAGGACATGGACCTTGGACTGGAGCGCCTGGCGAGCCTTCTCCGCGAGCAGATTGAGCAGCAGCATTAGTTTCAGTAGTTCGTAGTCTATCTTGCAATGCGGGTCTCAATACATCCGGAAAATGATCGGCCTATCCATTTTGAGTTCTCTTTGTCTCCGGGGGGCAATTGGGTGTTCTGCATTTTTCTTCCTCTCCACATTCACACTTGCTCGACGGGACTGACTTGACTCACCATGCCTCCATCAACACAAACCCTCCATCAGTCCTCCGCCTCTCCATCACTCTCCTCCGCCTCTCCATCACTCTCCTCCGCCGGCACCGGCACCTCCACACCCACTCTGTCGGACTCCTTTTACGGAGACAGCACACACCAACCACCGGCACAGATCCTCGTATTATACCACAAGGCAACCTCAACCTTCTTGCTCCGCCAGCTTGCAACCGCCTACTCGACCAGTTTAGAGGCCCTCGAGCTACTAGCGAGGACCAACCAGGAGTATGGACTAGACCATTCCGACAACATCTCCACCCGGCGGACCTTCTTTGTGATGAAGCAGAAGCTGTGGATTCTGCACACGACGATCTTTGGGGCGGTGCTGTCGGATCGGACGGCTGCAGCAGCGGTGGCGGCAGGATCGGAGCGCGACCGTTATCGCCATCACCAGCATCACAAACAGCAGCAACAGCAGCAGCAGCAGCACCCGAGCAGTGGCCGTGGAATCGTCAATGGTGTAAAGAAAAGGATTTCGGGCTCGTCGAATAAGGACAGTTCAGAAAAGTTGGTGAAGGATCTGTGGAGGCGACTGGTGGAGGATTATGGTGGACAGGAGGGTGATGTCGACGGACAAGTTATGGTACTATTGTAAGTCTTTGTTGCTATGGCACTTCAGCCCTTTCTTTTTTTTTTTTTTTTTTTTTTTGTTCGTTCATTTTTCAGCTGACAAAAAGATACTTGCCTATGGATTTGATAACTTCAGTACGTTGCTATGCATCAACCAAAAGTTGTACGCATTGGCACGGCAGATCGTAGAGTCGTACTTGGGTACCATCCCAGAGGGGATGCTCATCCATCTTGAGACTGCAGCCGGTGTCTCTCTGGACCATAGCGTCGCTGGTGGTCAAAATAAGGATCCGCTGATGACGAATTATGAGCGATTGGTGGAGTTGTATCTGATCCATGTCCTGGCCAAGCTGAGTGAATGGGACTATGCAGCCGAGTTTCTGCAGTACAACAGCATCTTATCAGACTCTTGCAAGAAGGTACACATTCATGAGTGTTTGCTTGCTTTGGTTGTCATATTCGTTCTTTTTTTATTTTTTAACAATGACCATACAACTTTCAAATGCATTTGCATTCTGCTTGTACCATCTGGGATCAACTGGATATCTGTAGACATATAGGAAGATCCTGGACAGGTTGCATGAAAAGTCATTGAGACCCAAGAAGACAGTGTCGGCAACAAAGAAACAGATTGCTTCGGATGCAGAGCAGTTCGGAACAACGAGATCGCTGTTGAACTCGGGGTCCCCATCGGGTGCTTCGACCTCTATATCCTCACCGACACTTTCCTCGGCCTCGACCATGGACTCACTAGCGGGGTCCCAGACATTGGAACCCCGGACAACGGTGAATGGATCGTTGTCACACAAGGGCTTGCCTTCTTTGTCTGCGGATGTGGACGACCTCAAAGCTTCAGTATCATCGTTACCGAACAACAGTGCGCGTACAAAGATGGCAGTTGTGTCGGAGGAGTCAATCATGACTCCCTCGACTTCAGAGCTGACAGTGTCATGGCAGGGTCGGATGATGTTGCTGTTGCAGCATTATGTGGATCTGATCAAGAATGCGTCGAAAAAAATGGGAACCAGTCAGTTGATGATCGTAGTTGGGCTGGTGGTCTTTCTGGGTACGGTTTCGAGGAACAGGACGAGGGCGTCCGCGTACCTGAAGACGGGGATGGCCAAGGTGATGGATACGGTCAAGATGGGCACTACGGTCACGAGTATCTGAACCACTGCAAGTGTTCATTCATACGATCAAACCATTGAAGCTTGCGATGCGATGCGATGCGATGCGGTGCAAGAAGCAAAACATGACAGTAGCAATAATAATCTACGATGATGATAATAATAAAATAGCATGTCTGCATGTATGCCCACCAGTGGCATTTTTATCCCCCGCATTACTCGGGCTCCTCTTCTGCCCATTTGTATTCCCTCCCCTGTTGAATTATGAATCGTACGATAACAATGACTTCAAAGTGGCCTGTTCACGCCTTTTGACTGGCGACAACAGTGACAGAATCGGATGACCCTTCCCTCGCTTTTTCACTCCTCTTTCACCCCTCTTTCATATCATTCTTTCCTCCCTCACCTTCCATACCTTCCTTTACACCTACACCATCATACACAGATCTCCCAGGATACTTCCTCTCTCTCACATACACATACGCATTCTTTCATTCTTCACCGCAGCTGTGTCGCTCGGTTCGACTGCCAGCCCAGGTATCGGAATCGCCCCCCCGCTCCTCCTCCTCTTCCCAACCCTCTCCACATCCGCACACATTCACACATGTCCCTGGGAATATATTCCACACCATCCATTTGGAGAAGACAATCAACTAACATCCCCTTTTCATCCCTGACATGCTTCCCCTCTCTCCTCTTCCTTCTTACTTTACTTTTACGTTGCTCTACTTTAGTGTGCTTTACTTTACTTTTACGTTATCTCAAGAGCTTGCCTTGACACTCGTTTAAAGCATGGTCGACACGACGCAGTCGCCGCTGGCGATGCTTGTCCTCATCACGCCCTACACCATCCTCTACTTCTTCAACCAGCGTGAGTATTATTATATTATTATTATCATTGAAACCAACAACAACAGCAGCAACAGCTGCGCATTCCATATATGTTAATGCCTATGGCTAAATCGCAATTATCCATACGCGGCAACAATTACAATTAGTGTTCCTACACGGGATTCTCGACAAGGTTCATTATCTGTTTTTCGAACTCATCTTTGTCCTCGCCTTCCGCAAGGTCTTTGGCCTGCCCGATCTCACGGACCGGCTCTTTCCCTCGCACCCGCAACTCAGCGGACCGATCAACATCCAGTCTGTCGAGGGTCTGCAGCCGGTCAAGACCACGCTTGCCAGCCCTGCGGTGATCGCGACAGCGGCGGCGGCTACAACGACCACAACGGTCGCCACTACGGAGACAAGGACAGTGGTGGACGCGACAGCCGTCAGGTCGACGACTCCTCACGAAGGCGTTGTCAGCACTGTCCAGGGAGCGGACCTGACAGTCAAGAAGTTGGCTATTCAGGCTCCTACCACGACTTTGGCTGTCAGCAAAACAAAAGGAAAAGAAGATGGTCCGTTTGCGAAAGAACTCGCGGCGATGGAGAAGAAATTCATGGATTACATCGATCACACCGAGATCTGGGAAAAGGTCTACGAGGACAACTCCGTCAAGGCCTCAAACAACACGAACGACTCGACAGGATGGATCCAAGTCTTTCAGTATAAGAGCCGACCGATGTGTTACAAGATCATCGCCTACATGAATAACACCCCCGCCGTCACCTTTGACACACTCTGTGATTTGAGCCGGCGATCAGAGTGGGACCCCATGTGCGTCGAGGCACGGGTTCTGGAGGAAGTCGCACCGGGGACGACCGTGCAGTATGTCCGGACAAAGGCTGTTTGGCCGACAGCATCGAGAGATACAGTTGTATTGGGGACTATCAAGGATCTGGGCACCAAAGGGTTGTTCATGGTGAACGCCAGTATTGAGCACCCGAGCATGCCAGAGCGAGTGAAGGAGAAGATCGTGAGGATGGAGACGGCTGTGGCGGGACATATTATCACACCAGAGGAGGGTAATCGGTGCAAGCTGATCCAGATCTTGGACGCAGATCTAAAAGGCTGGATCCCGGATAAGGTCATTCAGATGGGTAGGTGAAAAAAAAAAAAAAAAAAAAAAAAAAAAGCATTGTTGCCGCTGGACATCAGGATAACAGTGATGTTTGACTGCATTGGTTAACATCGAACTCGTCATCTTTTTTTTTTTTTTGTTTGTTTGTTTTAATTGATATATATATATAGTTTCAACAAAAGCGGTACCGGATGGACTTCGGGCTGTCAATGGACTGATTCCCAAGACCCAGCTGTACTTCCAGTCGGAGGTGCTTGTTAAGGCTGCCAAGGCGCAGATGGAGCTCGATTCAACCTTGGTAGAATCACGATCTGGATATAATTCTGGAGAGTCCATGCTACTCGAAGGCCGTGCACAGCAACAGCAACGACAGCAGCAACAACAACAACAACAACAACAACAACAACAACAACAACAACAACAACAACAACAACAACAACAACAGCAACAGCAACAGCAACAGCAGCAGCAACAGCAACAGCAGCAACAGCAGCAACAGCAACAGCAACAGGAACAGCAACAACAACAGTGGCAGCTGACGATTGAGGATATGGATCCAGAGGACGAACCCTTGGCAGAAGAGGAAGTTCAGAACCAGGAGGACACAGATCTTGAGGCTGTTACTGAAACAGAAGCAGAGCGCATACATTCTCTGAGGAGGCCACTGAGCACGGGAGATATATCGTCGGAGACGCTCTCTGAACGTGTGCTGGCTTTCGAGGCCGAGCTTGGGATGGATCGAAGGGACCGGGGCAATAACTCTGTGCGGTCACGACAGCATCCGAGGAAGGACTCTGTCCACAGCGATGTCAACACGCGGATTGCTGGGAGCAGTGGCAAGAAGACCACACAACATCCCTCGTCTGTGGGGGCATTGGAGAAGACAAAGGGAGCTGGAGGTTCTTTCCGAATGTTTTGGGAGGGTATCAAGGAAAACCTGGGGTTTGGACTCGGAGGCAAGGCGAACAAGATCCTGGTAGCGGTGATTGTGATTGCGGTGTTGGGGTCGAGCGTGGCGAAACTGAAGCGACGCTGAAGCTGAGGCGGAGGAGGGGGAGTGTGTTCTATTTCTGGGAGGAGAAGGATAAGAATGGGGCACTTGCCTCGTTTTGCATTCTTTTTGTATCATATAATAATCTATCTACTATCCTTTGCTGCCCTGCTGCTGCTTACCACTTTTGTACTTGTAATACAACATGTTGCTCTTGCGCATCCATTTTGAGATCTGAATAACATGCATCAACGGGATACGTGCAGTCCACTGCCACAGCCCCTTTCTCTGCATGGACACAGCTTCAGGGCAGGGGGGGGGGGGGGAAGATGCGTCGGAAATAGACCCGTGGATGCATCGTAGTCGTTTGTTCCACGGGTTTGTACCACAAACCAGAATGTATGCAGTATAGAACTATGCACCCTTGAAACATCCACGCCCCCGCATTCCATCTATTCTTGCCGACACCGGCACCAGCCGACCTTCTGCTGAACCGTGCATATATAAAAGCACGGTGCTCCGTTCTTCTGCTATGAACTTGTCAACACCATCGCTTCGTCCCTATCCCCTTTGTCGATTATACATCTCAACTTACTAATCAGTGCCACTATGTTCTCGCCATTGACAGACCTCGCTTCCTTGACTGACACGCGTCTGGACAGACTCCATCTCTATGGAATTGTCACCCGTGTCATGCGGCCCCCTTTCCAGTGTGTCAACGGCGATAGTACAAGTGCGAAAACAAAAGAAAGGAATGTTTTTAGACGCTGCGTCAAAAGTCGATTCGCTAATTTCTCGTGCTTCTAATTTTTTTTTTCCGGGGGGGTAGATCATGGCATCACATTCAAGTTGGCCAGCTTGACGGATCCCTCGGTCCAGAGGAACTGCATCTACTTTGCCAGTACGAAGGAGGGCTTACCTAAAGTCTGGGCAGGCAGCATATTCGAAGTCGTCAACGCCAAGGTAAACAGACCGACACATCCGTTCCTTTGTTTTCCTAACAAGACGGAAGACGACTAACAGCTCCTCGCTGGCTCAATGGCATTATGGACTCGATAGTACACGCGGCATCATAGATACGGCTGGGAAATCCGTGTTTCGCCATATATGAACGCGCGCTGGCAAGCCATCCCGTTTCTTCTTCAGCGTCAATCATAGAGCCATGTCAGAGTGATTCGTTCAAGACTCCAAGTTCAGATAGAGAATTAGGGCGCGAGATTACAGGCCGCTGTTTTTTTTATTGAAGAAATCTATTTGTTCGACTATCGCCCAGAATCATTGACCTCGTTGCCGTCTCGTATCGCTGTCTTTCGCTTCGCTGTCTTTCGCTTCGCTGCATTTCACTTCGCTGCCTTTCGTTTCGCCGATGTTCCTAAGGTACTAAAAAAAAGAGAAGATATCTCCAGTATTTTCATCCTCATTGTTCAGCTTCCATTGTCCATGTAAAAATCTTCTCACCGTGAAAGCCCACCCCTTTCCCACAGACCTTTAAGGCCGACCTTGATCTTCCAGACTTCTGCCCCGAAGGGTCGTGAGCCGGGTCATGCAGACTTCTGCCCCAAGGAGACCTGAGTCGCGTCATCCTTGCTTCTGTCCCCGAAGAGAACGTGAGCCGGGTGTTCCTGAATGTGTCCTGTATATCCCGATCCTGCATACTTCTATACTATCCTGATGCTACGTCATACGGCCCCTTCATCCGTAGATGGTGCGGGTCGCGCCATGCAGACTTCTGCCCCGAAGGGTCGTGAGCCGCGTCATGCTGCCCCTTCATCCGTAGATGGTGCGGGTTGCGCCATGCAGACTTCTGCCTCGAAAGGACGTGAGCCGCGCCATGCCACCCCTACGTGCTAAGACGGTGCGGGCTGCGTCCTGTATAATCCTGATCCTGCATGCTCCTATACTATCCTGATACTACGTCATGCGGCCCCTTCATCCGTAGATGGTGCGGGTCGCGCCATGCAGACTTCTGCCCCGAAGGGACGTGAGCCGCGTCATACTACCCCTACGTACTGAGACGGTGCGGGCTGCGTCATGCAAACTTCTGCCTCGAAGGGACGTGGGTCGCGTCATCCTTGCTTCTGTCTCCGAAGAGAGCGTGAGCCGGGGATAGGTGCTGGGTGCTGAAGATGGATGCTGGGTGCTGGGTGATGAACGATGGGTGATGGGTGCTAGGTGATGGGCGATGGGCGATGGGCGATGGGTGATGGGTGATGGGTAATGGGTGGTGAGTGATGGGTGATGGGTGGTGTGTAGTAGTGTATTGTTGGTTTGTGGAGAGGGTGTCCGTGCGCGTGGGTTGTTGTGCTGTGTGAGGGTTGGTTCTGTGGAGAAGTGTGGGAAGACAAGAAAAAGTATGTCAGAGAAGGAGAAAGTCAAAAGTGAAGGCGGACATGTGTAGAGTGACGTGAGAAAGTAGAGAGTGGAGATGGAAAGTGGACGTGAAGAGTGTACGTGCAAAGTGGATGTGGAAAGTGGACGTGCAAAGTGGTAGAGGGTGTAAGTGGAAAGGGCAAGTGGAAAGGGCAAGTGGAAAAGGCAAGTGGAAAGGGCAGGTGGAAAGGGGCGGAAAAAGAGATAAAAGTGGGCTTATGAATATTACTTACCTTGATAGCTTTGTTGCTGTCTTGCGCCCAGTTTTATCCAGTCGATCCTGTAGGAGACATCAGATTAAGAGGTGATGGTGAAGCTGAAGCGAAAGAAGAGAACGCCTCCTTTTATAACCCCCTGGGACAAGTCACTCCCAATTGACCGTGGTGGGATCCTCGTTTTTCTAATTGCACACAGTAGCCACAGTTAGGCCTTGAAGGACTAGCAAAGGCAGTTGAAATTGGCGGTCACGTTCCGCCTATCCGTATGATATCCAGGGTGCAATAGCAAGCAATGGGTGCTTCAATCCACCCTCCTTGGACTCCAGATGGAGTTTTTCTACGATAATTTCCTCCGGTCAAGGCAGGGCTCATTTCCAGGCACAGACACTTGTTTAGGTTAAGGATCTTCCCACCAACTCTGCTCAGCACGACCTAAACGCAGATCGGCCTATGAGCATGAGAGCAAATAGGAGTATGAAACTTAACCACATCAACAAAATAAGATTGAACCGCACATTGGAAATCTGTTTACCTTGGGCACTGCCACACAGTGCTTCATACCTTCGCGTTTAACCTTACCGCCATGCATGAGAATGCTTTCATGCATTACATAACTCACCAACCATTGTACAACACCTGAAAATTGATGACAAGCAACTAGTTTACTATTCCATACAGACTGTTCCAGCTTCTAGTTAATGACCACTTTAAAAAATTGACTCAATAGTCTAGATCGATGTATTCGATTTAATTCTGGTTTGCAAAGACGCAGAGCCTTTACGAGTTCCACATATGTCAAGAAGTCTCTTTAAAAAAAAAGAAATCCAGACTGCAGTTCAATAGGGGGCTTCAATCTTGGCTATCATAGAATTCAAATGAGTGTTTATTTGCGTTGGCAATGTATACAAATGTGCACATCAAATACGCCCTTGCAAACTTCACTTCGATGGCGGGCTTCGTTCAATGCTGGAGGCGGATTTCAGAATTGCCAAGCCACGCTTTTTTCTTCTGCTTCTTCATCGCTCAGTAGGTTTGTGAGAAGTATGAGCTCTTCTAATTCCTGGAGTAGTTGTTGGCGTCCAGATCTGTAGGGTATTGATGAAGTTCTAGAGAGGGTGGTGGATGTATAATGGAAGGATTGAGGACGCTTGCCTTGGCCTGTTTATTTTTTTGGGGCTGTGAGAGAACAGTCAAGGCGTGTTTGAGATTAAATATACTGCGTATAAAGGTTTGATGTATTTCGAGAACGTATATGGAGGACAAATACGCCTTGACAAAAAGAAATCGGAAAACCCGTACACGCTCAAAGTTCAAGATTGAAATCCTCTAATATATCAATTTTTTTTTTTTTTTTTTTTTTTGTGTCAGTCGATTCGTTATTGTTGTCTGCAATATTCATAAGTTATGTTACTACCACCGATGCATGCGCGCATCTTTGGATAGCTCTGATTTTTCTGACCGCCGATCGTGCTCCACAGAGTCCTTTGTCGTTTTGCGCCCAAGATGCTTCAGCAGCCTGGTACGCGAAGTGTCCACGGGCTTGGAAATATTGACCAATGCTGAGGGTGGTTTCTGCGTCTTCTTTTTCTTCGAAGCTAATCCCCCTCCTTGACCTCTTTTCCGTTTCGACTCAATCTTTTCCAAGCCCAAGGCATGATTTACGTCATCCTCAATATCTTCCCAAGTTGACTTGTCCTTTGACATCTTTGAAGAAGAGCTGGTCGATACAGATGAACCCGACGCAGCCGCGATAGCCCTGTTGATCAAGTCAGCCTCCTGTTCATCATTTAAGAAATTTTCATCCTGTATAAAACCTCCTTCTACAGTAGGCCGTTGAGTCTGTCCATGCTCGTCGCGGGGCACGATAGGTCCATGGAATGGACAGCGTACCAAGTCTCTTCTCATGCATAATCGTCCATTACTCATCGGGTATCGGCATGCCTGTTGGGCGAAAGAGTAAAGCAAAGTTAGAGTCCACTCGTACTTTTGCTGTTGATCAAAACCGACATTGTACTTTTGATATCGAGACTCAAAACGTGCCTTGATGACTTTAGGCAGCTGAGGGTCATAAATGCGTGTACGCATCTTCATCCGGTCCAGCGTTGCCTGAGATACCAGATTGCTGCCGTCACCGACGCCAAGAAATCTGTGAGAAAACTCAAGTCCTGAAGTGTTGAATGCCATTTCTTTCTTGTCCCACACTGCTAAATCGTCATCCCACGGAATAACAGGCGCCCTTGCCAGTAATTCTATAAGAGTTTTCAGTATATCCGTGGTCAGCATGTCTCTTAATAGCTCAAAACTCACAGGTACCTAAGGCTGATCAAATAGCTGTCTTACCTTCTCTGGACTCTGCTGCTCCGTCGTCTTTTTCTGTTGGTGGTGTGGACACCTCGCTCGCCGCTCTTGAGTGAGTCGCTGCCGAGGGACTCTTCGGTTCAGTAACCTTGGTCTTCTCATCGCGGACAGGAAGAATGGTACCTCCGACATAGGTAGGGTCGTCTTCGAGAATGTCCTCTCCGTGCATTGCAAAAACTGGATTTCTCGGTTCCCGTGACAATGTTGCTTGGTTATTTCTCTTCATCTGTTTTCCTTTCTTTTTGTCGTGAATGGATGCAGATACGTCCACTTCCTCAAACTCCTCATTATCATCGTCCGAGTCGCGCTCATTCGGACCTATATGAGCAGCGGTGCAATGGTTAGACAAGCTCGCAATATAAAACTATTTTCCATCCACGAACAGAGTACGCAGCGTACCATACATGGTGTCCATATTAACACCCAGATCCTCGCTCTTGCTTTTCGCGTCCGCCACACCCTTCTTGAGATCGATCGCCATCTTGAGTAAGCGGTCGTATTCTGCCCTTTGGGGACCAGGCTCATGGTCCGCCTTCATCAAGACGTCAAGCCATTCCATAACTATTGGCCAGTGTTTCTTCACAATCAACTGATAGCATTCTCGTAGAGTTGCAAACAATTCCGAGTTGTCTTCCGTTTCTGCAATATCCACCGGATTCTCCCTATTCACATTGATGGTCAACTTGTAGCGGTTCGAGCCCAATGCATTGTCGAAAACGCCGATGGGATCATGCCTCAACATCGCCTCATTGATTATAGTTGAATTATCGACCTCCTCTTCTTCAATGGTATCTTCACCGGCAATTTCCTCCGTCTTATTCCCAGAGTTGATTTGATTATTATCTGTAGGCGCGCTGAAAATTGCATCTAACGCCGCATCGTCGTCCAGTTTTGGAACCAAAATCTCGAAGCAAGAGTTCTATTGTAATGAAATTAAGATTAGCAACTGCACGCTGAGCATTTGTGGGATGGGTGATATACTAGAGCTTTTTTTTTTTTTTTTTTTTTTTTTTTATAAAAACATACCATTTTCTTGAGATTGTCTTGGATATCATCTGCCCTCTCTTCCATCTCTGCAGCTGCTTTTTCGTACCTCTTTTGGCGAAGACGTCGACTCATCTCTTCCTGTGCTTTCTGCTCCGCACTTCGGGCTTCTTCCGTGACAGGGACAAGATTGGTGAAGTCCACCTTCAGATGATGTTTTAAAAAATCATATCCTAGAGCAATCTATAGCAGTCAAAGGGTGAGTGGCACTGTCCACGAATCATGGGCACGACGACGTTCCACATTTCAAACGCAGCAACTTACTTGCTTGTAGACGGCTCCATACTTTGCATTCCACTCATTTGTAAGCGATATTGCGAGTTGCTTGGTCTTTTCTGCAAAGATCTTGGGGGGTGGAAGGGTATTTCGGTGTATCCCGACAGTTAGCTGCAAAAATATGGAATAGTCCGCCACCAGCAGTTCGCGAAAGACATGAGATCGTTGAAACAGCTCCGCAATGAGCTGTGTGCTTGAGTATCGGATCTTTCATGTGATTCAGTAAAGAATGTGAGTCCTCTATCCACATTGATGCAGCCTAATTGCATAGTTAACAGCGTGCTATGGTTAATTAAAAAAGTACCTGGGCATGCTTGCGCTGGAGCTGTATCATGAGCAGTTCGTATGCGATTTTAACATTGGTGTCAGATTTTCTGCATATGGATTTTACTTGCTATTTGCATCAATTGACAACAAAGGGGTACAGCCTGGTTAAGCAAGGACATTCCAGTGCCTTCGATTGCCAAGAACAGAACGTAAGCTCAAACGGGCGCAGCCGTTCATCAACCGTTCGTGTACCTTCACCTGCACAGGATCGAGGTAAAGGTCGCCTGTCTTGGTAATAGTCAGAATAAGAGCTGAAAGGGTTTCTCGCTCCTGAAGGTCAATAGTCATGTTGTTGGCGAGGAATGGGATGGAGGAAAAGAAGTGAGATGACCAAACGATTTGTCATTGGGTAGAAGGCAAGTTCTCTGCTGTGCACTTTTTTTGGTGGCAATAAGTAGGACTGCATTTCCATTTTGGGTATTTTAGGTTGCCGAGATCCTTGCATTTCGCTCATCATCCCCTTTTTCGTTCTCTCATTCAACATCCTCCCATTTATACCATACTCCAGTGCCCTTCCCCGCTCTAAAGCCGTAAAAGACTAACTAGACATCAAGAATCAAGAGCCCTTTCACTTCATTATGGCATCAAAAAAATCGGCCCTGGATGACTTGCGCTCGCAGGTCCTCTCCCACACTGGTGCAGAAGAGCGTGTTGAGGGTAATAAGCACATCCCTCTAAAATGGACCAGACATTACTCTGGGGTCTACACTGTGCAAGATACTCACCCTCCGTCTTTTCATTGCCTTTAGTGAACCAACGCCATCTCATCGACAAGATTTTGGCGAGGTAGGAGCCTTTCTCCCTACGTCTGTGCACTGTTGTCTCGCGTGATCTGTCAATGATCGCAGGCAGATTGATGTGCGTTCAGGCTAGATCACTACATGGTCCTTTCTCGGTGCTGCGCCTTTTCTTGGCAAGCGGAAAAGGATGGTACCGCTGTTGCACCACCTTTTTTTCTGACGCTGGTATCGCACCTGAACTTTTTAGATATTCTGCTGAATTTGTCGTTTACCGAGAACTCATGCAAAATTCGGGTATGTTTCATGCTGAGTGCCCTTTCTATTGCCATCTACGGTTATAGATGATTGTGTTTGCTAAAGCCTATGTCTCCATTATTCTACAATGCTCATCCAAGACGATGCGGGAGCCAAAGGAATTGAGATTGTCTTTGAAACTGCATCACCGAGCAAACATGAGACGGTTCCCAATTTAAGTGCCAAGATCACAAGAGTACTCTTCAAAAACAATGGAATGGACTTTCGCCCTGAGGACTGGAACCGTTTGAAGAAGATTGCTGAAGGAAATCCAGATGAATCTAAGGTATCGCACCTGTCTATCGCTTTGACCTATACAATGAATATGTTACAAAAATAAATGTCCAATACGAGTCCTCTTTTATTAATATCTTATAGATCGGTGCATTCGGTGTCGGATTCGTAAGTTTGAAGATAGTTCATGACGTACTGTATTGATTGCGTCTCGCAATCGTATACTAAACTATGGCATCTTATCCTGCAACACACAATAGTATTCGCTCTTCTCCATTTGCGAGGAGCCCTTGTAAGTCATGCACATCATCGTCTTGCCTTTCAGTTGTCTTTGACAGAGGAATCCAACAAATCTAATTATATTGCATACATATGCAATCTCATATAGCGTGTCCTCAGGAAAGGAATGCATGGCGTTTTATTGGAGGAACGATCAGCTATATGCAAAGAGAGCGACGACCCCAGACGACCAACTCCAAAAGGATGCCTGGACTACATTCTTACTGGATCTACGTGAACCCATGGATATGGTCAACATGGACGAGTTCGGTCCCTTCCTCGCACGGTCTCTTGGATTCACAGGCAACCTACGCGACGTCTCTGTATACCTGGATCACCATCGACTCCTGAACATCTCCAAAAAGATGCGAGAACCTCGCCCGATGGCCCTGCCCAAGACCATGTACACGATCTCACCACAAAAGATATTCACACTAAAGTCAGTTGACTTGCAGAGCGTGCAGATGGATGCCACAAGGATGGAAGTCTCACGGTGGACTCGCGAGGTCACGACAAGTGTCACGACCATCTTTCTAAGAACAGCATCAGGAAATCTGGACGTCAAAGTCTCGAAACAGTTTTCAGCAGAAATGGAGCGTACGACGAAAAAATACCCACCGAGCCAAACGGCAATCCAAATCCTGTATGTTGGACACGACGAGAAGCAGGCATCTGCCGAGAACAAGACGATATTCAAGGACCTAGTGCCCTTCCCGGAACAGGGACGGATATTCATCGGATTTCCGACTCATCAGACGACAGGGTTCTGCAGTCATGTTGCAGGGCGATTTATCCCGACGGTGGAGCGCGAGAGCTTGGATTTTGTCGACAAGTGCCTCCAAGTCTGGAATCATGAGCTGCTTTCTATGGCAGGGTTGCTCTCCAGGGCGCTGTACGAGGATGAACTCTTGCAGATTGGCAATCTATATAATGAAATGATTCGCGCCCATCAGAAACCAGACCAGCCAGATGATGAAGGCACAGCGACGGCAAGGGGATGGCTGGAAAAGCGCGCACTTCATGCATTGCAGGCGTTCCAATTTCACCCCAGTACGCCGAGTCCACAAGTCGGGCACTACATTGACGCTTACTTTTTCAGGATGTCGACTCTGGCTCTCTCGATTTTATCGTCGCAAGGCGTCAAAGAGCTGGACAAGGTCCGCATTCCTGAACCAAGCATGGCCACGTTCTTGACACATACACCGACCATTCCAACGAGCGTGTACACTGGCAGCCAAAAGTTCATCGAAAAGCTGGAAAAGGCAGAAAAGGTTCAGAGGATCTCGTTCAAAGACGTGCTCAAGGAACTGGAGAGCCGAACACTAACAGAGATGCAGATGGTAGCCATGCTCAAATGGTGGATTGACTATAGCGCAAAGTATTTACTTCCAAATTCGGATGTCGATGCATTCTTCCAACTGGCGCTCGTCTGTTCTGGTGATACGGTTAAGCCCTTATCGGCCCTGAAATGGTTTGTCAACCCGAGGGTGACTCCGACCGATATGCCGCTTCCGCCCAACACGATACCGTACGAAATTACAAAAACGTTCAGTCAGCCGGAGTTGTACAGGATCTCTGGGGCATGGCAGGAACTCAATTTGCTCGAGTGGACGAAATTTATTGTGAACGATCCAGAATTGGAGCTTTCGCCTATATTCGCTGAAAAGGTGCTTCTTATCCTGTCGCGCGGCTGGATGCAGCTCCAGGAAAATCAGCAGAGAGCCGTTGTTGCGCTGTTGGCCCAAAAGAAGTGCATTCCCACTAAGTACGGCATGAAGGTCCCGAACGAGTCGTATTTCAAGACCGTGACCCTATTCCCCGACCTTCCAGTCATGGTATTCACAAAGCAGCCTCTTGAGAAGTTGTTACTGACTATTGGTGCTCGAAAGGTGAGATGGTTTTTCTCCTTTGTTTTGCTATGGCTGAACCTTTGATTATTGGTAACCACAACGCAAATCATGGACTAATTTGTGTAACTGTCTTAAATGTCTATATTTCTAGAGCGTCGAGCTGCAGCTGGTGTTTGACCGATTGGTGAATGCTGGAAGCTGGGACCATATGCAGCTCGTGAAGTATCTCACGTCTGTAAGGGACACGCTCTCGTCGGCCGAGATCAAGCGACTCAAGGCGACATCCATCTTCCCTAAGGAGGACTCTGTCAAGGACACATCCGTGATTTCTCCACCCCCACTTCCTCCAAAGAATGATAGCGCTGCGCCAGAGTCCTCGGCCACTCCTCCTCCGGTGCCTATTAAGCGATACGCCGCCAGCGCGCTTTATGTTCCTACTGAGGAGCACATAGCCCTTGGCCTGCCTGTGATTGAGTGGAAGGTAACTGATGCGCCACCGTTATGAGGAAGATGATTTATACCCGGAACGCATCAAACATACTGACAAACTGATTGACTCGAAATAGGGTCGCTGGAGGTCTACATCGGACGAGGCCAAGCTGCTGCTCGAGCTTGGACTGATGACGCATCCTTCGCTGGATGTCTTACTCGCGTTGGCTACACCCCCGAACGAAAAGGACATTCAAGTAAAGACGCTACAGTACCTTCTCGAGAATTTCAAGACCTTGTACGCATCTCAGTACAGTCCCAGCAAAATCAAGGTTGCATTTCTGCCGACGACCACCGGCACTTTCGAAACACCAGACGTAAGACTTCCTTTTACGCACCATGTGTCGGCTTTGAATTGCAAAAATAGGAAGAATCGGCATGGAGTGTAAAAAGCTAACTGGATATTATTGGATTATTGACGTACTACTATAGAGGTGCTTTTCGAACCCAGCCTGCAGTGTTATTGGCTTCCCGGTCTTGCGCGAGGATTTGAGGGTGCATGCACCGATGCTGCATATTAAGGAGAATCCTGACGCAGTCAAGCTTATCGAAAGACTTTCACAGACACCTCCTCCTACAAAAGAAAAGGCGCGGCAAGTGTTTGAAGTCATGAACAAATTCCAAGGAGAGTTCTATCATCAACACTGGAAGGCGATGAGCACCCTTAAATTTATTCCTATGGACGACTCTGGTACTTCGTTTATGGAGCCCCAAAATTGCTACTTTTACAAGAAAGATTCGGCATTCCATCCCGACCTCCTGCCTACGGTCGATTTTGGGCGGGCTGCAAATTTGTTCCTGAAGGGCTGTGGCGTCAAGGAAGAACCGACGCCATTGGAGTTGACACAACTAGTCGTGCGATCCCCACAGGATTTCTTGAACCGGAACGGAGGCGTCGAGAGCTACAAGTCTGTCTTGAGACAAATTGCCACACACATGCATGTCATCAGGATGAAGCGGTCACTACTGGAGGAGATGATTCGGTCACCGTTTTTGTTGGGCGAGAAGAGAATCAGCCAGGACTTTGATGAGGAGATTTTGAAAACTACTAGTGGCTCTGACAGCAAGGAAGGCGACTCCGAAAAGGACGAGGAGTCCTCTGATACGAATACAGGTCAGGTTGTAGTCCAGTACAAACTGGCGCGGGCGAGCGACATTTATTTGATCGACGACACTGTGCTTCAGCAGATCTTCACGCCTCTCAGCGCGCCTATGGAGTCTCTATTGGAGTCGCTTTACGAGTCCCTCGGTAGTACTTGGATTTCGAAGCAAGTTAAAGAAACCTATCGACCCAAGGGAGCCCTGGCAGCGACGCGTCGGTCAGAAAACCTACAGGAGTTGATTGTTGAGCGTGCACCGCTGCTTCTTAGCGACCATCCGCCAAATCGACTTAACTTTAATCTGGACTGGTTGACGACGAAACTGAAAGTGCGCCATGTGCCAGAGATTCAGCTGCGACGAGAATTCATCCCAACTAGTGCAGTCCACGTCGAGTCGACAACGGCATGTATTGTCCAGGACCAGGCGAAAGCGTACTATCTATTGGTGACAGATAAGGGAGATATGGACTATTTCGATATCGCGGATGCGTTGGCGAAGCTATTATTGAAGAAGAAGAAGCTGAACGACTCGATCTGGTGGTCCAACTTGCTTTTTACCAGCTTGTTGAACCTGAAGCGCAAGGTGAGAAGAAACCACAGCGTCTCCGATTTGTAGGCGATTCATACTCATAATACTCATCATATTAATCCTTGTCGGCCTATTGAAATTTTTAGGGATTCCAAGTGGACCGAATTCTGAATGCGAAAAGGGCGGAGAAGGCGAGGATTGAAGCAGCTGCCAAAGCCGACGCTGCTGCTGCACTGCAGGCGGAAGCCAGCAGATTAGGTCCTAGGCAGCTGGCAGAATACCTTGCGCAGCTGAAGGAAGTCTTTCCAGACTGTGACCCAGCCTTTTTAGCGGACGCCATCTCAAAGGAGACTCAAGATCATGTGCAGCGGGTTACGATGAAGCTCTTGGACTCTGGATATCCTCGTATCAACAGCGGTAAAGACATCAGCAATGACAGAGCAGCATCAGTGCCTGGATCATTCCCAGTACAGGATTCAGCCGTCTCTACTATTTCTACGCTGCCTCCAACACCGCCTGCGAATGTCAACTCGCCATTTGGTGGCGGCGGCGGCGGTTCGTTTTTCAGTCGCCTGAAGAGCATCAGGGATACAGTCATTGGGCGTCCTGTCTCGACTTCTAGCCAAGATGGAACGGCCACTGGTGTTGAAGGCTCAGGATCAAGTAGCTCTTTGGGCAGCAAGGGAGTTCTGTCTCCCCCTCCGCCTGCTACGACAACGACCGTCAAGGGGTTTACACCGGACTACCAGCAGAACCTAGAGCAGTCGCTCAGGGCCGCAGTTTCAAACTGTCGGTCGAACGGGAGAGACGATATCAGAAGCGAGCCTACAGTGTCGCAGGTCTCAGAGGTCCTCACCAATTCGTACTGTGATGTCAAGCCTGGCCACCAGCTGAACTTTGTTGGCCATGCTGGCGAGCTCGAGTTTTACCTAGACAAGAGCTGTGATGCAGACCAGATTATGACCAAGGAGAACCTCAAATCTTTAGCACGGTTTGTGGGGCTGTTGATAGTCCTGGCACAGGACGTGTTTGGACTGGATCCGAAGACGATGCATGTCTATTACGATCCAGAGGGCCAAGCAATTGCATTCAATCGTGGAGGGGCCCTATTCTTCAATTGGCGGTATTATGTTGCGCTTGGACATGATGATAGCGCAGGATTGGCCAAGAAGCACGTACAAGGACGAGCTGTCAGTGCGAGGGAGGAGGGATTAATCTATTGGTTTTTTACGATGGCACATGAACTGGCACATAATTTTGTGGGTGACCACAACAGCAAGCACGAGGTAAAGATACAGGCTCCACGTTCTGATGACTTGCATAGAGAACGTGCGCTAATCACGATTACTATTTCTTTTTTGCATAGTTCTACTTTTCCTCGTTTTGCGAACAGTACCTCCCAGCGTTGATGGTTGCGATGGCAGCCAAGCCTGCCCTAGAGTCGAGCACAGCAGCAGCAACAACCTCCAACATCATGGACACCCCTCTGCCCAATTAGTTGTTGCGGCATTTAGAGCCCAAATGAAGACTACCCAATGAGCGATTGAGCCGTCTAGGGAAAGCGCTGCCGCAGGTTGGCCTTCAACGGGCACCATAGATCACCACTTGCTCACTAACGGCGACAACTACTGAAACTTTAAGAGTTAAAATAAAAAAAACTCGGCTTTCAGGAGAGAACATAGGGCATGCCTCTCTTTAAAGTAATAGCTAATGGGACCATAAATTTTCTGCCCTGTGGTCGCCAAAAGCGTTTACGCATTTCCGCGCCTAGTTGCTTGAGTTTCCCTGTGCATGCCTTCGTGTGTGGCCATCGACTTTTGATTGCTTATTTGTAACACAGAAAAGTATAGGACTGAAAAAGAGATTGATGGTTAAACTTGTCTACCTTTGCTGGCTGACAATGCATGCTGCATGGCAAAACAAAAATTAGCTTGACAATAGCAGCATCTGTGGTGTCAGGAGCAACAGCATCCTGGCAATAGAAAGTGCACACACAGGCAACAAGCATGTATAAAAAGATTATGATCCGCATGCAGGGGACACCCGAGGATGCAAGTTGTTTGACGGCTGTAGACGAGGGCGGGCGCATGCATGTCTTTTTCCTCGCTTTCTCTTTCTTTCGTCTGCTCTCTTTGTTTACTTTGCTGCCGTCGAAAAAGCGCCTCAATACTCATTCTCATTTCACCATCTTGCCATTCATCACCTCGGTCTGGTCCCGGTCCTCATCTGGCGCATCTGGCGGGTCTTCTTCTTGTTATCACTACACACGTATTTTCACCCTAATCAACCTACAGAAATGGATGACAACAAAGTCAGGGTCCTTATCGTAGGAGCCGGTCTGGGTGGACTCGTTCTTGCCATCCTGCTGGAGAAGGCGGGCATTCCATACCTAGTCTTTGAGCGGGCGATCAAAGTGCGACCTCTTGGGTCCGCCATGTTTGTGAACTGCAACATCCTCCCTTTTTTTGAACAGCTGGGTATCTACGACGATGTCAGGGCCCTAGCGAAGCAAGTCAAGTACACCCAGGTCCTGAACCATAATATGGAAGCCATTGGGGGTATCGACGCTTCGGAGACAGAAGAACGGTAGGTTGAAGGAGTACTGATACTGAGGTGTTGGGGATGGGCGCCGTGTTTCAATGTTAACCTTTATTTTGTTTATTTTATTTTGAAATAAGGTCTGGGTATCCTTCCTTGATTGTCCAGAGGCCAGAGCTCTACGATCTGCTGTTAAAGATGGTTCCTAAGGACAAGGTTCATATGAACCACAGGGTCTTGTCGATCAAGCAGGACGAATCAATTGTCAAGATCCGGTTCTCAGATAACTCTGAAGCTCAGGGTGATGTCCTTGTGGGGGCCGATGGTGTCTATAGTGCCGTGCGCCAGTCCCTCTTCCGACAACTCCAACTGAAGGGCGAACTACCAAAGTCAGATCAACAAGACCTGACGTACTCACACATCTGTCTTGTGGGAACCACACTACCAGCAGACCCTGCAAGGTATCCGATGGTGCTCGAAGATGACTGCAAGCATACCATTCTCATGGGTGACAAAGCACCGTATTCGGTAAGTGCCCCCACCTTTTTTTATCATAATTTTTGGTGCAGTTAGAATGCGGGCTAAACGAGAAATGGGCTAAGATGCTCACATTCTCTTGTTGCGCCTTATTGATATGGATATACATTTAAATCCTTGTAGTTGTGGTGTTTTACGATCCCAGGTAACCGCATCTGCTGGAATTTGACAATCCAGCTCAAGAAAGAGCTGAGTAAGAATGATGACGCGTTTCGTAACTCGGAATGGGGTCCTGAGGCAACAGAGTCTATGTGTAATGAAGTCAAAGACTTCAAATCGCCTTATGGTGGTACACTCGGCGATCTGATCGATATCACACCCAAGGATCTGATCAGCAAGGTTATGTTGGAGGACAAACTGTTCCAGACATGGACCAGCGGGAGAGTCGTGCTCATGGGTGATGGTAAGGATTCTATGTCCACTCTTCCTTTTTTGTTATTACGACTGCAGATGATTTCGCGATTGGCATTTAGATGAAGGTTTGCAACCCTAAAAGCCTTCTGTATCTATCAACATCTGAATCTTATGCCATTTAGCCTGCCATAAGATGTTGTTGAGCGGCGGTCAAGGCGCGATCAATGCGATGCAGGATGCCATTGTTCTCAGCAATAATTTGAATGAACTTCGGGGAAACAAACTGGACGAGATTTCTGCTGCACTGAAGCACTACCAACAGTCGCGGTACAGGCACGCCGAGTTCAATGTTAATGCATCCAAGCAACTCGGCAAGGCGCTCATGGGTCAGGTAAAAAGACTAAAGATCAACACAAACAAACACGCCGAGATATCAGTTCCACTTCTAACAACAAACGAGATGGACACGCCTTTTTTTTTACCTTATCCTTTATGGGCTGTGTATAGACCATGATGGAAGAATTCTTCCGTAGACTGACACTCAATTATATACCCAAGTTCTTGGTGCGAAAGATGCTTGACCGCAGTGGCGCCTACCGTCCACAGTCGACGATCCTTCCGTCGATATCCGAGCGCGGCATCGTCAAGGTCCTTCCACAAGCAGTGCCACTCAGGCACGGAGCGACGAGTAGCAGCAGTAAATGCAAGGGTAAGGAATCCGAGCCCGTGTTTATGGCAGAATCAATATCGAAATCTACAACTACGGTCTAGAATGTCTTTCAAACGCATGATAGGCAACGACTTTGTACTTGTAGATGTGGATGGGCGCATGGCATAGTTTGGGTTCCGAGGCCAGTTTAGAGTTTATACGGGCAATGTTGCATTCATACAATGAAAAACGAATAGAGGACTTCACAAAACCTGCTTGCATGGCTGCATGGTTGCATTGGTGCTCTTTAGATACGAATGCGTGATATTTATTCCAGTTCATCATGGATTCAATAGCTCCTCATATCGGGGAATGAAGATACAGAGAGGCAGGAATAGACCATGTCCGGCTATTCAGACAAGCATGGATGCAATGGTTCCATAAACCAGAGTAAGGAATCAACCGTTGAGGTGCAGTAGCGGACAAGCGATCGCTGTGGCACAAAGAATAAAGTGCTCTCGACCTTCCTCGCCACTTCCCAACAACAGGAATCCTTCTCCATCCTGATTCTTCAGCTACTCCTTCTCATCTCAATTCGACTCATCTCTCTCTCTCTCCTTCTCTATTCCTCACTCAACCCTCGCGCTACCTTAAATTCTTACCACGTGATGGATAATCCGAACCTCAAGGTCCTTATCGTCGGTGCAGGTGTCGGTGGGCTGGCCCTTGCGATCCTCCTCGAGAAAGCCGGTATTGCCTACGAGGTTTATGAACGAGCCTCCAAAGTTCGCCCTCTGGGGTCGGCAGTCCAACTGAACGCAAATATCCTGCCGCTCTTCGAGCAGCTGGGTATCTTTGATCAGATCTGGAAAATAGGCAAACCCGTCAGGCGCACCAGGGTCGTGGGCGATAGGCTCCAAAACCTTGGATCCATCGAGGCAGCAGAAGTCGAGGCTAGGTAAGCCAGCCGCTGCATCAAACATGATTGGGTCGTCGCATGTTTTAGGAACTTGGCTGAAACCATCGCTCACTTCGTTTCGTTTTCAATTTCAATCTTGCGACATAGAATGGGCTATCCAAGCGTGATCGTCGCTAGACCTGAGCTGTACGACATCTTGCTCTCCCAAGTTCCCGCCTCCAAGATCCACATGAGCAAGAAGATTACTGCTGTCGAACAAGACCTCTCTTCTTCCGCCGCTCCAGGTACAGGTGTCAAGATCACCTGCTCTGATGGCACCGCGGCACAGGGTGACATCCTCGTTGGTGCTGACGGTGCCTACAGCGTGGTTCGCGATCATATCTACAATGATCTTCTCGCCCAAAACCGTCTCCCTGCTTCGGACGCGCAAGAATTATCGTTCACTCACACGTGCCTTGTCGGGACCACGAAGCCGCTGGATCCTGAAAAGTTCCCTATTGTCAGGGAAGCGGATGCAAGACATATGATCCTGGTGAGTCCAGAGAAGCGGTACTCTGTCTGGTGCTTCCTCGTGTCGGAAAATAGGATCTGCTGGTTCGTGACGCTGCAGTTGGAGCGAGCCTCGAGTAAAGCCAGGGAGGAAAAGATTGTCAACAATTCCGAATGGGGACCTGAGGCGGCCGAGGCCATGTGCCAGCAGGTGAAGAATTTCAAGATGCCCTACGGTGGAGAGCTGGGTGACCTGATTGAGCAGACAGACAAAGGTTTGATTTCAAAGGTTATGCTGGAGGAGAAGCATTTCAAGACGTGGTACGATGGACGGTCTGTGTTGATTGGGGATGCATGCCACAAAATGCTTCCGAGTGGAGGTCAAGGTACGCTGCGAACTGATCCTGCTTTCGCTTGAACTCTACATTCGTTTCAATAAGAGATGCTAACGCGGTGAAATTGTATTATAGGTGCTATCAACGCCATGCACGACGCCATCATCCTCGCCAACATGATCTACGATATTCCCAAGAACACCCCTCAGGAGATCACGAATGCGTTCAAAAAGTACCAGGACAAGAGGTTCTCACATGCAGAGTATCATATCAACACCAGCAAGCAGCTCGGCAAGATTCTTATGGGAGTCGTAAGTGAAATGAGCCTTTTCCCCAGTTGTGCCGTGTCGTATATCTATGTTTTACTATTCAACGCGTTTACTGTTAGTTAACAGCGTGATTTTTTTTTTTCAACTATAGAGCGTCTGGGACCGCATTCTACGCAAGATTGCGTTGAATTATGTACCAAAGTTTTTGGTCCGCAAGGCTATGGATGAAATGGGTGTTTATCAACCCCAGGCAGGCTTCTTGCCCTTATTTCCTCATAAGGGCTTTATCAAACCGCTGCCTCAAGAGCCCTGCAAGAGGTATCTCGAGAAGTTGAGACTGGAGGAAGGACTGCAGAATCCAAAGCAAAATAACCAAGAGGAACAAGAGCAGATCGAACCACAATCGACGGCAGCTGTAGTCGTCTAGATAGCCTTTAATTTATACAATTATATTTAATTCATTATAACATTGCTCCCGACAGCGCCTTTTTCTCATGGACTGTGCTGCTTCTGCCGAAGAAGGTCTGTCATCTCCCTGAGCTGTGGTTGAAGCGCCTGATTGTTCCTGTCCGCCTCCTGCCGCAACTGCTTCATATCTGTCTGCAACTGCATCAGATGTGTCTAGAACTCTTTCTCCATCTTCTCCAGTCGCTGCTCAATGTCATCTGTTCTCTCCGATGTTGCCGCGGCCGCCAATGTCGTCGACGCTGCCTTGTCGAGCAATTTCACCAAATCCGATTCATTTTTGGGGGCCGAGGACTACACTGCGGTCGAGGTCTCGAGCGTAAAAGTGCCCGAGACTGGCTCATAGTCCTTGAAGTACTTTTCATGGTACTCTCGGAATTCCCTAGGCGTCACCGTGTAAGTAGATCACGCTCGGGAACCAGTGATATGTTCTTCGGAAACCTGACATTGCAGGGAACGGACCCTGCACTATCATCGATGGCTTTTGTCAGTTTCACCTTGTTGAGTGCCTGTGCTTGATCATCCGGACGCTGTACCTGCTGAGAAATGTTGGTTTTCGGTGTCTCGAGATCCTGATCAGCAGCTAGTAACTTAGGAAGACGCGCTAGATGTCGAGTAAAATACGCAACAATGATAGGCCTAATCGCTGGTATAGTCTGTCGCTTTACTGCATTGGCACTGAGTCCGTACGCTGCCTCAATCCTGGCTCGGGCTGCTCGCTGAATAGTGTCTCGGCCAGTGGCTCTTGGAGCATTCGCAAATGTTGCAATGTAGATAAATAAATGTACATAGATGAGTCTGTCTTCGTTGCTCAAACGCCTTGCCTCCGAACGCCTGGCCTTCTCAATTCTTTCGTCAAAGGTCTCTTTAATCAATTCCTGGAAGTGCTCTTGTGCGGCGCTATTTGGAGGTTGAATGTATGGAGGTGCATCGGTTGGCCATTCCATCTCCTCGATGGTAATGACGTGAATATGGATGCGCTGGTAGACTACAGCACCAGTACCAAAAACCAAAGCTCGACTGAAGACTAATCGTCTCTCTACACCCATGTGTCACTTGCATTAACCTTAACCCCTTTGGATACACTTGACCCAGCTATGAAAGTATGTACCTCAAGCATACAAATTATGACCTGATTGGCTTGTTATTCCATCATAATGCCTTTAGAATAAAATGCTCCATTCAACCGGATCTGTTTTAGCCCTATTAAACAGAGGTTTGACGTATATGGGATCCATGCGGTGTGTTTGCGTCTCTTGCGTGCCAGCGAATTTGATCGGGGTGGTGGCATGGGTGGAAATGCAGCTAAGGCTGGCAAAAATGTGCTCCGTAGTGGTGGCCACTGAGAGTGCGGCATGGATGACGGCTGCCCACCCAATTGCAGTTGCCATAGTTGCGAAATCTGCTGCATGAAGACTTGCTGAAGCCACCTCATCTGCTGCTCATATCGCCCCTGCTGCTGCTGTTCCTGCCTGAGAGGGAGCAGCCTGATATCCTAAAACCCGCTTTGAATTCGGGTCAACATTTGCTGCCCCAGCTGTTGTATAGGTTACTGCACAGCCCGCTGGATCAATTGAGTCAGTTGATATTGACTCTGCATAACCGCTGGCTGGACTCTCGATTGGCCTTCTATGATGGGAATCGCGTCTTTATGTTTTTGTATTGGGTCCGTCACGTCGATTTCCACCACAGCACCCATCTCTTTCCGAGACTCCATGAAGGTAGGCGACTTGAAGGTATCATCCTGCAAAGCCCTACTATGGTGAACATGATAAAGTCGACACGCAGCACCTTGGAATATAATTTGTCAGCACCGCACAAGCAGCCTCAAGGAACCGGCCTTGGCAACACCATCTTCAAAGTAATCGGTCTTGTCGACTGCAGGTTTCTCATTCTGCTTGGTTCCTAATGTGAGCTCTTTCCCAATAGGTAGTACAGCATCCGGATCGACCTCATTTATCTCGTTCAGGTACTCGTTCCTCCGGTCCTCGTTGTCGTTGCCAAAAGTGCCCTCAATCCAGGTGAAGATCATCTGCTGAAGCAGTATCGGTGGGCTAACGGAATTACGAGCGAGGAAGAAGGGCTTCTCGCAGTAGAACCCTGCTATTCCAATTGTAGAGTTAGAATTCAAGCGAGGAATGTAAGAACTTTCTGTCCTTCTCCTTTCAGCTGAGGCTTGAATGCCTGTAATATCCATCATATCGGCCATGAACTGTTCCTCAGGGCTTTTTTGAAGTTGGAGCTCGGTCTCGCCATTTGTATGGCCGATTACTGCGGTCAAGCTGCGTCGTGCCGTTGGCGTTGGCTCATCGGAGGTGCTCAGCTTCTCTGGACAACCTCTACCTCGTAGTTCGGTGTTCTGCTGCGGAGTCGCCACTAACGGTTGATTGTTGAACGCCGGCAAAAAGCCTTATGATGCAAAAGCGGCCCCTCCTCTTCTTCCTCTCCCTCCTCCTCGAGCAGCTGTGAAGACGTTGTTGAGGGTCGGTAGGCTGCGTTACCTTGTCTTGTATCCATCCCAGAGTGTGCTACTCGACTAGTTTCCCAAGCAAGTTGATTGTGTCCGATGGGATGGCTTCTATCCTGTCGCACACGCGTGCGGGACTGTGTCAGTCACTCCCGAAAGTGCGCCAATTCGAAAGCCGACAAACCTTGTGGGGATCAAACGACGGGGCTGTGGCCTCGGCGCAGGCTCTGTTAAAACGACCTTGATTCCTGCATCACTTCATTCTCCATTCCACGTAACGACATCCACTTCCTTGGTCTGATCCACCCATGGCACAACTACTCAGGACATACCGCCCGCTAGACGAGGACGAGGACGATGCGCCCCCACCCTACGAGGCCACTGCGACAAACACTATCACAGCTACAACTGCAACTACCGCTGCTGCTGGAGCCACACAGTACCCGGTCCTTGATACCTCCCATCTCAGTCACAACAGCAACGCCCTGCAAGATGACGGCACCATGTCCATGCCTCCACCACCAATCGACTACTATCCTCCTATGACAACCACTGCCATCCCAACACCTGCCTCGACCGTAACTGCAGCTCACACATCATACCCTGTCCTCGCAGGATCAGCGTCCTACACTGCATACCCGACTGCACCACTGCAACCTCAAGCTTATCCTGTGATGCCGATCCTAAACGCCAATAGCTCGTATACAATGCCCTATTCAACCTCACCGGGAGCGCAGCTACTACAACATCAACCGAGTGCTCCATGGGCAGTGATGGAAGCTTCTCCTGGGACACAGTCAGCAGCTAGTCAGCCATACACACCGCACGCCATCCCAGTAGAACCGGCAATCCTAGACGACAATGACGACACTAACAAAATCGGATCATCTCAAAGCCTGGAGCGCAACTTGATTGATTTGGACGATGGGGCCAACGCAGAAAATGTCTCACTGCGTAGCGTTTCTTTGCCAACACCGTCTTCTTCCCCGCCGCCAACAGTATCAGCATCTATATCAGTGCCAGCTGTTTCGCTAGTCACTAATTATAGATGCAGAAGGTGCGGCGCAATCCTAGAGTCGGAAACAGCTGTCTGCAAAAGACTTCATACCCTGACTCTCAACCTAGCGGAGAATCAGGTTCAGCATGCTACAAGAGCAGATCTTGAAGGACGCAGCAGGGATTATGGCGGTCTAGGATCCTCTTCATCCTCCCCGACTCAGGCTGGAACGACATGGACCAGTATAGAAAGGGGAAGTAGTCATGGAAGCAACAATAGTCCGCCTCTTGACCACAGCTACGTTGGAGGGGAAAGTGCAGCTGCATACTCAAACAACCCATCCCAGGCAAGTCCGGAAAACAACTATGGAACCAACGCCACGTACTTTCGTCGATCGCGCAGTGTGCAGACCCCAGTAACGGCGCTCAAGAAGTTGTGGCGAGATGCCAAGAAGGAAATCAGTTACCGACAGTCTGTCAATTCCCGACAGCCTGAGATCGTGGCCCCTTCACCGCTGATTTCTGTGCATGGGGGCACTGGTTACGACGATGGTACAGGTGGCACGGAGGCTAGCCTGGGCAGGTCCAACACACTAGCGGACATTCAAACACCAGCGTATAACCCATCATACACTGGTCATCAATTGCTCCAGCATTCGGATGAGCAGCTATCCGCGCACATTCCTCTCCAGCCTCAACCCTGGTTGGCGCCGTCCACTGCGCCGCCAAGAGATCCATCTTGGGAATAAAAAGAATGAATAAATTCCCTTTTTTGTAATGCCTTCGAATCTCAAAGAAAATTCGCAGAGCACATTTAAACCCACCGTTTCTCGACTTTTCCCCACTTCCTTAATCACCACACCTTTAACCTTTCTTTCTCAATTCGTTCATTCACGAAGACACAAGACATCATGGCACCAAACAGGAGCAGCGACCACCACGAGTCGGAGCTACAACAGTCCGGAGACACCAACAACGACGGCAGCCGACCCATTTTTTCGCTCACAATGGATCCTAACGCTCTGGAACAAGAAATCGATCAAGCCGCCCAGGCCCTGCACTCGACCGTGAACTCGCTCCTCAACACGATGCAGTCCTCTGTCTTTGGCGGTCTCGAGACGCTCTCGAGGGAGATGTCGGCCTTTGAAAAGAACAGCAAGGAATACTTTGAGCAGCACCCGCTCCAGGGCTATCACCAGCATTTCTCTCAGTTTCCCTGGAGTTTCAGAACGGACGGTCCCAAGAAGCGGTACAGGATCACAATTGAGGAGCTGCCCCCACTCGAGGACGAGAGCTCTTCTAAGATCTTTAGCAAGTCCTCCGATTCAGCTTCCTCCTCAACAACGACAACAACAATTGTCAAGGGCAAGGACGATGGAGACGACTTTACGATTTCACAGGGCAAGGCTGGCACGCCGGACGAGGGCAAAACTGTGATCACGGCCTCAGTCGCCCCAGGATTGTTGGACTGGCTACTGTTTACGACCCATGACGATTCCTTCTTTAAACGGCTCGGAAATTCCAAGACCGAGACCGACGCTAAAGCTACCGAGGGAGAACTCGACATCGTGGGCGGCACCAAGATTCGTGAGCTGACCGAGGCAGAGCAGGCCAGGGAAGGGGAGCAGGAGGCGGCGCGGAGAAAGATTGTGCCAGCATTGGTCGAGAAGGTGAAGCAGGTGGGGACAAGTTGGGAGAAGGACGCGAGACATTGGTGGCAACGCAAACGTCAGGATGAAACCCATGAGGATCTAGATCACCAACATCACCTCTTTTCGGGCACTAGCCAAAATGAGCAAGACCAAGAGAAGGAGCGGAACTCGAGACGATGGCCCCGTGGCCGCAGCTGGGGACGCTCAGAGGCAAGTAATTAATGAACTGGATCCCTTATCCCTTCGCAGTCTTGATGTCCATGTATAGCCGACTAACTGACATCTTTATTTCTTTTGGACAAATAGTCGTTCAGTCAGACAACTGTCACCCGTCCTGATGGCACGGTCGAGCACCACTCTGTGAGCAACGTCAATGGCGAGGTCGAGACGGTCATCAAGATCCACCACCCCGACGGCTCCATTGAGGAGACGGTCACGCGAGAGAACCATGGAGACGGTGGCCGAGGCTGGGGACGTCGTCTCCAACATGAGACGAACGAGGATCGCAACCGAGACTCGGTCGTAGCGGTGGTTTCAGAGGCAATGGCCGCCGAACGGGATGCAGCTGTACGCAACAATGGACAACAGCAGCAGCACCCGGAGGGATCAGAAAAATCGAAGAGCTGGCCTCCTAAGACTTGGATCCGTCGCCAGGACCGTAATGACGAATAACAGAGCAGCTTGCTCCTACTACTTTTACTCATCCTTGCACAAATATCAATTGTGCAGATGCAGGAGCTGTATAGCATTATCTTTTTTCTTTTTTTCAGCAAAAACATGTAAATAAAAAAAACTACTGAAAAACGGATCTTTTTTTGGCCACAGCTTTTATACCCTCAGGTAAATTTTCTTTGAATGGCAGCCATATAATATCACGCACCCTAAAATACTCTCTCGTGCCCCAAAGGCTTTAATTTCCAAGTTCGAGTCCTACGTGTAATTCCATCAGATACATAAATAGACGTGTCTTCCCTCCTCTAGATCCAGTTTCTTAGTATCGACTTCGGAATGAAGGTCCTGTCTGATAGTGGAATGGGCTTGCCTCTTTTAATTGGATCAAGAGTCATTACTTCTGCTCTATCTGGGAATTCATAATGCATTGAATCGTTCGATCATTTTTTTGCTGTTTCGCCTCAGATTTCTTTCTGATGGCAGGAAAGACAACCTCAGTCATGTATTGTAATTGTTCAAGCAGTTCTTCGTTCATAATTCTGCCTTCTTCGTTGGTGTAGTTAGAGAAACCATTAGTTTTGCGTGTGAAGAATAATGAGGACGGAGATGAATTGTGCAAACTAACGGTTCGCATATTGGCAGCTAATTGGACAAATGGAATGTGTCGATCCCCCTGTCGATGATTTCCTTTGACTTCTTTGCGAATCATATTGCATGTTGTCTTGACATGATTCTCTGCCACACCGTTTCCCCTTGGATGGTATGGTGTTATTAATTGATGATCAATGTACATTTGTGTGGTCATGATACGGATTAACTCATTTACAAATTCTTTTCCGTTATCAGATTGCAACATGCGAGGGAAACCAATATCAGTAAACCTTTTAAATAAAGTCTTTCCGACGGTATATGCAGATTTGTCTGGTAATGCATCCAGCAATACAAACGTCGACCATAGCCAACAAATAGACATTTTTGTCCTCAGACTCTTCGAAAGGGCCTGCAATGTCGATGGCGATGTGCTCCCCAGGTAAGTGTGCATGAATTGCCTTCATTGGGTGGTAGCCTTTACGTGCGATATTTACGCGTTGGCATTCTCTACACCGTTTTATGAAATTCAGACAGTCATTGACCATATGGGGCCAGGTTTTCCCTTCTTGATGGATTGATTTCACTATGGCATTTGTACCAAGATGACCCATTGCATGCGTTTTGTGCATGGTTTCTCCCCTGACTTTTTTCAGGTACTAATCCTCGTTCTGTTTCCTCATTTTGTAGGATATGCATGTAGGCAAGAGCTCTTTTGTGTTCTGTAGTCGATGAATGCTGCTTGAGTTTTGACCGAGAATAGACATGACAAAGCGTCCGGTAGAATATTCAGAAAGCCCGATCGGTAGTGAACCGTAAAGGAATAGTTCAGGATGGTACCCTGCTACGCAGTCATCACTGGATTAAGATTTTGCTGAGAATGTATGAACGTCAGTGCACGGTGGTATGTGTACAGAATCAAAATGTCTTCCCCACAAATAGATAGTAGTGGAATTTATTCAGGGCAAACACAATCGCAAGCAATTCTTTCTTGGTGGCACTGTATTTGCGTTCTCTTTCTATAGACCACCGACCGGGCCGGACCTGGCGCAACAGGTACAACGGTTTATTCGAGAATGATGTCATAGCCACAACCATACTGCGCCTACTTTCTAGAGTAACTTTTCCTAGCCATATCCTTCGTATATAGGAGCTCTTCAAATATAGCAATCAATCATCGAATAAACCACTGATTCCACCCCAGACTGTTTACAATTGTCATGTGACGCTAGACGGATCTAAACTCTGACAGAACGTCAGGATCAGATCTGGATCACGTCAAGTAACCACAAATCAAGGTCAAGAGTAAGTTGGCAAGACTTTCAAGCCGTGGGAGCTGGAATGGTTCGGAAACTGAAGAGGCAAGGAAATGGTTTGAAGGTAATGTTTTATTTGTGTGGTGAAAGGAACTGAAGAATTAATCTGGGAGGGGATATACTCCTGCTTATATAGAAAATAAAGATAAAAAAAAGAACGCATTTAGACTCTTATAAAGTGTTAGATACTTGAACGTCGGCGCTTGTACCTGATCATTAATAAAGAGGAAACCAGACGCGTAGGAATGGGCCTCGGCCGTAGAGGTGTGCGTAGAAGACGCATTGTTAGGGATATGGAAACCGTAGAAAGCATTAAGATAAATTACAACGAATGAGCGGCCACTTTCAGTTTTTAAAATCGGTACCGATGTTGAAATCGTTGTAGACCTGCAGCGAGGGCTAAAGGGTGTAGTGGAGCCATTTTGTGTAACCTTTTCTTTGAAATCGGAAGCAGCAGCATGAACTCGCCTTTCCAGACGAGGTCCAGCCTGAAAAAGATGAAATCGCTCAATGAAATTCCTTCTCTTCTCCCTCTTCTCTCTTCCCCTTTCTTCTGTCATCTCTCTTTTCGACATCACTTCCAAATGGCACAGCATACCATTACATCTCCTACAATTGACAAGGCGCTGTCTCCTCCCCCCCACACTCCTCAGAAAACTCCGTACCCTCCTCAAGTCGTTGCGGAGAGGACGACAGCAGTATCAGACTCCGAGCAGGACACCCCGTTGGTCAGACGAGCTCGACGCTACAATTCTCAGCGTACTGCGTCCAATAAGGATTTTTTTCGACTGGACAACATGGCTCAACAGCAGCAACAGCAACAGCAACAGCAACAGCAACAGCAACAGCAACAGCAACAGCAACAGCAACAGCAACAGCAACAGCAACAGCAACAGCAACAGCAACAGCAACAGAGGTTGCAACAACAACAACAGTTACAGCTACAGCTACAGCTACAGCGGCCGCCATCTACTCAGAGCCTTCTGAGGCGCCAAGCTCAGTCCTCTATGGGCCAGGTAAATAGCGCTTTTTCTATATGGTTTAACCTATCGCAACACATCAAATGCTTTGTGAGACTAACAGGAGCCGGTTTTGTAGTGCCGAGATAGAACTCCCATGTCTTCTTATACATTTGCGTCAATAAGTGCGCGTGCAGGCCCGCCTGGAGCACCCTCTACACTTTCTGAAATTCTTCCGCGTCCCCCATCGGCTGAGAGTACATATCGATCACCACCTTCTCAGGCTTTATCACTTCCAAACGACATGCGCCTGCCATCGCCTGTCACCTCAACTATGCCATCTCCTTCTCCGTCGTTTTCATCCCCGATTCTCCCTTCAGCAACCATCGATACGCCCTCCAGTAACTCCGTTGGTCGAAGGAAGCCTACTCGAGACACGAGAGGCAAAGGGAAAGGTCACGTCTTTACACCAGAACAGAAGACCTATATTGCTGAGCTGCTTGCGGATCCGGAAACTTGGGCACTTTTGGACGGTCCAGACGAGAAAAACAACCACTACAAACCGAAGATCGAGGTTCGCGAGGGTATCGCCCAGAAGGTCAACAAAAAATTCTCCACTGAGGAGAATCTTGTGAACCTTGACGCCTTTCAGATCAAGAACAAGATCGAGACGATGAAGAAGGTCTGGAAAAGGGCAAATCAATTTCTCTACAGAACTGGGAACGGGGATTTGCCGAGCCAGACACTAAAAGACAACGTCCTCCAGATTTGCCGTTTCTACTACATCATGGCGGACGTGTGGTCCGTGCCATGGTTTATAAATCCCAGAAAGCCCTGCCAACTTACTGGCAACCTAAGCCGAGGCACGTACGACACAACAGGTGACGCAAGCGAGGAGAGCGACGAGCAAGACGCCGCCGTTGAAGAACAGGATAGCAACACTCTCAAGGATCGACAGGGATCAGCAAAACCTGCGCCATCAAAGAAGTCAAACAGGCGCGGAGATGACCACCTGGACTATATCGGGGCACTTAAGGACATATCTGAAGTTGCTACAGTAGCACACGACCTCAAACGTCGAAAGCTGGACATGGCAGAGAGGAGTTTCGAGACCAGCCGTCTCTCTCAAGAAGCGCAAACCCACATGCTTGAGATGCAGATGAAGAAGATGCAAGCGGAGATGGACAACGAAAGAATAACGATAGAGGCAGAGATTGCGTTAAGGAAGTTGAAGGCCGAACAGGAAACCTCAAGGTTACAACTGAAGTTGGTGAAAGCAGAAGCTGAACGCGCAAAAGCAGAAGTTGAACGCGCAAAAGCAGAAGTTGAACGCATGAAACAGGAAGCAGACATGACATGGCTCAGAATGCGTAATCGAAGTCCACCAAAAAGCCCATCAAAGAAGTTGCCTAACGAGCAATAAAGTATCTTTGCTGTTATTGTGGCTGTAAAGCTGAGCCATAATTCTGAGTCGTTTGCGAAGCGCCTGCTCTCGCCTTTGTCTGTGTTGAGCGGGCGTTGGGTCCTCGTCGTCATCGCTATTACTATATCGCTATTCCTATCGCTATCCCTATCTTCATCATTCGTGTGTACTCTCGAAGCATCTTCAATTATCATCCATCGTTCTCTGCCCCGCTCAAATGGATCATCTATGCCAGATCTTAGGAGAATGTTGTGCAAGATAACACATGCTGTAACATACATGCTTGCTTCATGAACACTCGCGGCGCTGTCGATGTGAATTCTAAGGTTGCTAAGGGATCTAAACCGCCCTTTGAGTAATCCGGAACTATGCTTGAGTTTTTTGTTGAACCCTATCTGCTCGGGCGTCAGGGTCCCCTTGAAGCTCGTAATGAGTGTGGGGGATAACCCGTACGCAGCACCGCCAACGATGTGCTCGTCTCCAACGAAATATCGTGTCTTGAAGAGGTATAGGTCCGTGTCTTTGTACGCTGCCGAGTCGTGTCTGCTGCCAGGGTACTCAGTTGAGAAGAAGATAAATGCTCCTTGATTATCGCAAACACCGGTTGCGTCCATGGCAAAGTTGCCCTTTCTTGTCGCCCAGCTGTTTTTGTCCATCGATGGCACGCGGTAGAAGGGAAACAAGGTGCCGTCGATGACTCCAATCAATTCGCTAAAGCCCTTCATCGAGAAGTGCGCCTTGATCTCCACCTTCCTCCTTGTATCCGGCCAGCGAATGAACGTGGTGATGATCGCACACAGCGCTTCTATGCACCGCTGTGTATACTTGACCGCTGTTCCTTCAGTCACCCCCAAGACACGGGCAATTGCTGCATATGAAGACAGCGACCATCGTGGCCTAAGCGGTGAAGTGCAACCTTGAGCTGGATAGAGACATCCTTCTGGCCTTTCTTGCCCCGACGCTGAAATACTGGGTGATCCTGGATAACCTTGACCACATAATCGAACTGCTGAGGTATCAATCTAAGGGCCTCTTGAAAGATGCGTCCATTGTCCTGGCACAACACCGCGTCTCGATAGATCGACGACTTGACCAGGGTTGGAGAGCTCCGTGGGTTAAGGTATCGGTTGGTTTAAAAAAATTGTTTGATGTATAGGACTTTCAGGAACAGGGGAGTTATTTTGAAATCTTTCTCACTCGCGTCCAGGAACAACATAAGTTCAAGACGTGTTAGCTCTTCCAGCATACGGACGCGAGGGACCTTTTGATGGCGAGAAAAGTTGCGGAACGGGGGCATATCAAGACTCAGGAGAGAGTGAAGAGGATTCGTTTGGGTGGGGAGGGCTGAAGAAATTCAAGTCGATAAAATCTCAAGAACTGAATGCAACCGATGCTTCACGATGCGCAGGTTACACAAAATGGCTCCACTACTCCCTTTAACCCTCGCTGCAGGTCTACAACGATTTCAACATCGGTACCGATTTTAAGAACTGAGGGAGGCTAGTATCTTTTAGAGAAAAAGTTCTGTGAGCCACCATGGTTAGTGCGCGGACCAAGGACAAATATTTTTTTAATGCATTAAGTGAATTGATTCAGCGTTTATAATAGGGAGTGACATTATATGAACGGATACGATTGAGTGATGGCCCCCATGGGTGTTGACATAATTCGAGTGCAGCAACAGTAACTCAAGTCAGGAAGTCAGGGTAAGAATGAGTGCTTTATTAACAGGTAGCGAGGGGCATTTTTATAGGTTAAACAGGGCTGGCACGGTCCGGTTGAAGAGCTTGTTGGCATGTGAGACTGGTATCTAAGGCTCCGTCAACCAACGCTTAGTCCCGTTAGGGTTTCCTGGGGCCCAGTCCTGTGACAGCTTCCTCTCTCGGCCTTGTTACAAAGAGAATCAACAAAGCTCACCCCAGTCGCCAACTGACTTTAGTAGGCGCATGTAAAAAGGAACCAACCTCATATAGTGCATTGATATCAGAATATTAAAGGGAGGATGCATTGCTCAAGACATTGATGCAAAAAAAAAAAAAGACTCAAGCACCTGAAGGTGCGGCAGTCAGAACTTGAGATAACAACATCTGTTTGACGTCTGCGAAGTCCACCAGCAGAGTTTCAAGTTGCTTCTCCAGCTCTTCCTTTTGAAAGCACTTCTCATAGTCCTCCTGTTGCTGAAGTGTCGCAGTGTAGTAGATCACGCCAGGGAGCAACCGTCTATAAGAATTCCGAAAACCTATTAAACGTGGCCGCAGATGTAAACAAATTTTTTGTCGTAAATCCTCCACCACCTTAAATGTGAATGATGATGCAGAGCATCCATACCCTTGTACATCAGTAAGAGCGACATAGTAAAGCGTACCTGGGATATTGTATGTGATGGACTCTACTTCTTCAATATATCTTAGCTTGGATTGCATCCATGCAGCTGTCGACGTCCTCTTTGCGTCTTGAAATCCGTCATTCATCAGTGCTAAACGAATATACCACTATGGCACAGAACGACAACTTAGTTGCAGCTTGATGGAAAGCAAAAGGTCAAAACCGGTAGAGAATAAAGAGACTTACCAATGAGTATATTGAGGGAAATCATGGACATCAATATGACATAGAATACCATGATCAAATCAAAGGCCCAGCTACGACCCTCTAGTTCAAGGACATCCCCAACAGAACCCCATAACCCAGTCTATTCCAGACTGAGAAAAGAGAAAAAGGTCAGATCAACAAAATACTGCTCAGTGTTTGTTAAGCTGCAAATCAAAGAAAACATAAGCGATATGCACCAACCAAGAATAAAAAGGTAATCAAAACAGCGCAGAGGGGTGCCTTTAAGAATTTGGTATCCACCAATCCACCACAGTCGGTAATAGGACAACCACGGAGAAAGTAGAGGATTGCGAGGGCGAATGCTACTATCCCTACACTAAAGAGCAGGAAGAAGAGACGAATTCGGCCTACGATTTCGAGAATGACTGTGACAAAGTAACCGATGTTCTTCTTGACCCGAAGCTCGGATAGCTGTTTGATAACAGGGTAGAGAGAGAAAGAGGAAGAATTAATATCGTTAATAATCATTACCACCACAATCCAAGCATACGATGGACAAAGACTCGTATGAATTTTCAAGGCCTTACACAGCGCAGGAAGATAACCAAGACGGAGAAACTGAGAAATGAAATGTCGCCTTTCTCATCCATATTCACAATGTTTAAAATCTGGATAATGCTTCTTACTAGCGGGAGCACAAACACTGCAACCTCGAAGGCACCGTATAGGGAGCTATGACCAGACGAACAAACATTGTTATTCAAAAGAACGAGACGATATGAAGACACAGCAACATAATTGGGGACGCGACGTACATCAAATCCCTGAAACGATTACGGCGAAATCGGAGGCACTTGAGCATCAAGAACACGGAAGCCATCACAATGATGGCAATGTAAGCACTGAAGAGTGAGACTCGCGGAATCCTGCCATACACTTGAATGGTAACGGCCCCCAGCACCAGCATGTAGAATATGAATTCAGAGTAGAATCGCACACGCCAGTAAGCGTGACCGATTGTGTTCCTACGTCAAAGGGACAAAAATCAAGGCACAGGTATGGTTAGCCAATATATAGAAGATATTCGAAAGCATTTCGCAGCGACACCATACCACTTATATTCGAGAAGGGCTTTTATAGCAGGGTTGTCCAACATCTCTGAATTAAAGTCATGGCATTTGACCTCGACCTTGGGCCTGATCTCGCACTTGAACAGAATTGTATAAATGAGTATACGGAGCCAAGACGGCCGTGAAGTGCCGTGATCAGTTTGAGGCTCGGGAACCTCCCACAGCATGTCAAATGAAGCTTCAAAGACGTCATGGCTGAAAATGCGGTTGTCTTGATTGAGGCGATCGTCTTGATTGATGTGATCGTCTTGATTGGGGGGATCCTCTGGATTGGGGGAATCCTCTGGATTGGGGGAATCCTCTGGATTGGGGGGATCCTCTGGATTGGGGGGATCCTCTCGAATGTAATTTGACATGAAAACCGGATTCTCCTCTTGGCAGGCATAGATCGATCGAGTGTCAAGCTTCCGAAACGGCCAAGGGGACTTGAGAGGATGAGCAACGATCGCCTCCTTGATGGTGTTGGATTCATTCTCAACCGGGATGAAAGCCAACCTTCTAAGAGTAGTGAGAATTAGGTTTGTATAAAGCTTCTGCAGTTTGACAAGCTCACGTAATGAACCCAGGACTGGTGAAACAAGGTGGAATTTCTTTTCTTGTTTAGCCTTTCGGATGCAGTAGTCGATTATGATCCGAGGAATCTCAATGGCTCGAGGAATAGTCTTGGCCGTTTCGAGAGATAATGAGATAGGGTTCTCTTCAGGGCTCTTGCGCAGGATCCATGTCTCTTGTCCGGGGGTCAAGCAGTGCCCTCAAGAACCCACCATACATGGGATAGTTCGAGCGGTCTAAAGCATTGCAAATTTCGATCAAGATTGGCTGGATATCATCGCATTGGAAAGCACTATTCAGGATGTCATTTTTAACTTCGACGGTGTTGTCACCGAAGCCTTGAATGCGGCTGAATAGTAAGTAGACTGGCCGGGGCTTGTGGAATGGCTTGATTAGGGTCATCCGTTGATGGAACCAATTGGCAGTGATGTGCCATGACTAGGAAGAGTGCGTCGAGTAGATTCTAACGAATTGTGGGAGTATAGTTGGAGCTGATTATGGATGGGGAAGTGCCCCTTTTTATGAGAGTAGTTGTATGGTAGCTGTATGTTGACTAACTCACCTAGTCTTTGCCGCGGTCGACTCTTGGCAATTCTAAGGGGGTAGGAAAAAACACTCGGCTGCTAGTGGACAGAGAAGAAGGTGCGCTGGCCGCTTGATTTCTTTTATGCTACAACGACGGAAATTAACTATAATGGTCTTTTTAGTGAATCCCCGGACATCGCCAAAAACGGACTTAGCCTGTCTGGACCTGATTTTTGATTTCTCTGGCTTCTTCCCATGCCTGCACACACACACCTTTTCTCCTAACTCCCCAACCGATCAACAGTCAATTAGCCAACCACTCAATCCAACCATCCAATAATCCCTGCATCAGTTTTCAAGCACACCCACCCGCCAGTCATGCCTCATAATACCCGCAAAAGACCGGCGCCGCAGGAGCCAGAGCAACAGGAGTTACATATACTGCAGATTGTTTCTCAGGTTCAACTCCCCTCAGATATGCAGCCGTCCTCTCAGTAGGACCGTCCAAAGAGACGGCGCTGTCTGTCAAACAAGGCTCCACCAGCGCCAGCGCCCCCACCAGCACCAGCATCAGCACCGGCGAAAGAGCAATGTGGACCTCCGATCCCTACCGTCGCTTCGACCGCTACAACTGCACAGACAACTACACGGGGTAGAAGGCCACCAACATATTCGCAACGGCGCCGCGGAGGATCTTCATCGCCACAGCCCACTGCCAGTCGTGGTCGTAGTTCTGCTCGTCTCGCTTACCCCGGCTCTTTTCGACAACTTAAAAATCCCTATTCTTCAGCAAGGAATCCTTCCATCAGACAGCATGGTTGAGCAGACCGCAGAAGCAAGAAGGCAAACGGCGAAAGCCGTTCTGAAGGGTCTTCTCAGGACGCCTAAATCTGCGCTGAAAGCAATGGAGACATATAGGTCACATATCGAGCACTTCAAGGCAAGTAACCATGACTCTGTAGTGTTGTATATCCTCATGCGTCATGCGAAAGTGGTGTCCTTGTAGTTTAAATGCCTTTACGTTGAAAACTACCAACTAGTAGTAGTAGTAGTAGTAGTAGTAGTAGTAGTAGTGGTAGTGGTAGTAGCGTTAACTCTAGCGATGGAAATAGTAATATCAATATGTTATATGTTTCCTGGCTGGAGATACCGGAAAAGTTTGTGTGCGGACAAGAGCAAGGTGGACTACGCAGTGGATGCTGAACGAATAACGGACTTCTCGATAAACTGCATGTTCCAAAAGGAGGTGGCGAGGCGCGTTAATGCGGACGTCGGTTACATTGGACAAGTTGGCGTGTTATCGAATTCGTCAAACATGTTGCGACTGCCACCCCCCGCCCTGGGAGCCATCTACGCCGCCGTCAAACGCGAATGCGACAGAGTGGGCAATCGCACAGGCCCTGGAAGTCACCTCGCCAGCGTCAGTCAGGGATAACGGTAGTGATGACGACGACCACAACAACAACGGTGATGATGATAATGGCGATAACGACGATAGCAGTGGCGACGACGACGATGATAACGGCATTGTGGGACCCACAACCGGTGCCGTTGCCGTTGCCGCTTCCAGGCGTATCATCACGATTCCCAGAGTTGAAGGAGCATCACAAGGTAGATCAACCCTCTGTGCATTATATATCCGTGTCGTTTGCTGTTTGCCATTTGTATGTTTGTTTATTGTTCTTTCGTTCGCCCTAGCGCTCATTCATGCTCCCTTCTGTATGTTTTCATATATAGTCGTCCAGAACGCAGAGCTGGACAAGAATGGTCGCAGTACGATCCCGCCTAGCCTTTCAACAGCACAGAACTACATGAAGTCTGGTCATGGACGTCTTTTTGGATATACTTGCAGAAGAAAACAAGGGCACTACTATTAACCGGATTCGAGAACAGCTGGACGCCAAACGAAAAGCCCAGGGAAAGGCTAGGGCAGAGATCGCTAAGCGGGGCGAGGAGCACGCGCTGTAGAGAGAGAATAAAAAGATATTTATTGGGGCAGCTCGACTACAGATGTAATGGCGAGTAATGATGTTCGGCAGGGATGAAGGAGGAATGAAGGCAAGAGATGAGATGCGCTTGACATGATGTCGTGTAAATAAACAAATAGACAAACAAAAAAAGAGAGGAGGACAAGCGAGAGACGCAGAGATTAGGAAGGAGGAGGCAATGAGGGGAGAGAGAAAAGAGAAAGAGAAAGAAAAAAAAAACATCCGAAAGACTGTCGCGGGGGGGACACACGCGTCAGGCACACAGCAGCAAACACAGCAGCAAACACAGCTCCACGAATCACGCACGTGACCAAAAACGACAATTCACCAAGTCGTGACTGGGGCTCGAATTTTTGGACATATCCCTCAAAAATTTACACTAACTTCCTGGTGAACACATGGCAGTTGATCTAGTGCCTCAACTCCCTCGCTCCGTAAATGGCGACGTTCGACTTATGGTCCTCGTTGACATTTGTACACGTCTCGTCTTTGTACCTTTGAGGGACAAGACAGCAAAAAAACGATTGCGAAGGCGTTGTTTCATATCTTTACCACCATTGGCTTTCCACGAAGATTGCAATCGGACAATGATAAAGAATTCGTCAACGAGGCTCTGAGGGAAATGACTAAATTAATGGGGACACAGCATCGCCTGTCTACTCCTTAGCATCCCAGAGGCAATGGTGTCGCAGAAAACCACGTCAAAGCGGCGATGGAGCTCATCAAAAAGAAAATTCAAGGAAAGAACACACCTGGGACGAACACAAACCCATGGTGCAGTTGGCCCTGAACACGAGAATCGTGGCGCTCCACAACTCTTTGCCCTTTTCTCTGTTCTTTGGACGACGCTTCAATGGATCTCATAATTTATCTGATGAAAAGGGTGTACCACTATCCCAAAGCGAGCTCGAGGAACGACTCAGATACATGGCTGAGACTGTTTTCCCTGCTATCGATGCCAAAACGCGGTCTACTCAGCAGAAAATGATTGCACGGTTCAATAAAACGATCCTGCACAACGAATTTTTTGATGGTGCCAAGGTCATGGCTTTAGATCCTATCCAGAGAGAGAAACTCACCCCTCGACACGAAGGACCTTTCACGGTCGTACGTCGTAATACCGGAAGCGCCTATGAGCTTAAAGATGGCACTGGCGAATCCCTAGGTAGAAATTATGCACCTTCGCAACCCAAGTTAGTGTTGGATGACCTTGACGACGCAGACATTTACGAAGTTGAAAACATTGTCGCCCACTGCCCCGCTAAGATTGGGGATGGGGTAGAGTACTCCGTAAAGTGGAAAGGATTTCCGCCTGAAGCCAGCACCTGGGAACCTGAAGGCAACTTTGTTGAGAGAACCTGTATCAGCGAATATTGGAGGAGTCGCGAACCTTCAGTAGGAGCACCTACCCGATCACAGCCTCGTCGTTCGAAGCGGAGAACCAAACAGCATCATCATCATCATCATCATCAACAGCACGAGCAAAATGTGACACACGTTAGTAGTAATGGCAGTGCGACGCGTGCGCGTATGTAATGACCAAAGAACGCGGAGACGAGTCAAAATGTACAAGGCAGTCGATCCGTCAAACGATAAAACTATCTAGCAAAACATAGAGTTACGTTCAAGGAGGCTTTTAGTTACTTTCCTCTTTACTACATCATCATGCAGAGGTTTATATTTTTCCTTACAGGTTTTATTCATCACTTGCAACGATAAATCATAATGAGGGTTTTCACATATATTTCCTCAAACATTTGGCCCTCGTTCTACAAATTCAAGATTGATCTTCCCTATGGAAGAACTGTATTGACCTATGTAGTGCGTGCGAGCAGAGAAGAGTGCCCTTTACGTGGTGCAGACGGGAACCGTTTTATAAGGTGCCCGTCTGCCCTGGAAATAAATATCTCTCTCTTGTCTTGTTGACTTTCTTGTTTGTAAGTGGATATATAAAGGTAAAATACCGCAAGGACTTGGTCGACAACTATTCTTGTTTTGAGCGTTCAAGTCTCATGTTGATTGATGTTTGAAGAAATGTATGTATATGCATGGTCTACCATATACTAGTCTAGCGTCTTGGCTATCTCAATCAAGAGAAAGGAAACCCGATGATGGAAGAGGAGATAGATGTATTCATTAGGAAACATGGGATCTGGCTGCAAGGAAGAGGAGGATATTGATGGTGTCGAAGAGGAAGGAAAGACCGCAACGATTAAAATCTCGTTTAAAGTGCCATGGCAATGGCACCAGCAATGATGGTTATAGCGACCTGTGCGACGGCTCCAGCGGCAGAGCTGGCCCCCGATGCGTTGGAAGAGTTCTGAGATCCCCCGCTAGAGCTGGAGCCGGCACTGACACCACCTGCACCACTCACGGCAGAGACACCGGCGCCTGCAGAACTTGAGCCAGGGGCCGTAACATTGAACCGTCCGGAGTAGGCGTTCTTAGGAGTCAACAAAAGCTGAAGAGCATAGACACCAGGCTTGGTGTCCGCAGGCACGGTCCAGACCAGGTTACCGACGCTCTTGGTGCAGTCGATAGTGCCAACCTTCTTGACATAGAACGCGTTGTCGATGTTGTTCGAGTCCATGAAATCGACCTCGGTGGCCGAGGGCGTGGCCGAGACGAGGGTCGAGGGTGGTGTGCAGGCCATAGTCCAGGAGAAGGTCTGGTTGGTGCCGGCCGAGTAGGTGATGCCCTCACCCACAGGTTGTGTAAAGGAGATATGGTCCAGAGGGACTAGAGCTGAGGCTCCGGCTCCGGCGGCTCCGGCGGCAGCTACAACAGTGGCGAGGGCGGCAATTGCGGCGAGTGACTTGATCATGATTGAAACGATGTATGTATATGGATGAAGGGATAGGATCTTTGCTAGACGTTTCTTGTTTGGCAGAAACGCGAATGTGGGGCAAGTAGAGATAGTGGGATAAAGAGGGGAGAGGAGGAGAGAGAGAAATAGGCAAAAAAAGTAATAACTGAAATGGGAACGACGAAAGAACGGCCGCGTTTTAAAGTCAAAGTTGTAAAGCTGAGGCGGGCGCTTGGATATAGCTGGTAGCTCGAAATGACGGGAGCCAGGAGGAGAACCTGCAGTGATAAGCGAGGCAGGACTTGTTTTAATATCTCGCGACTCCTGAGTAGAGACCAGTCTGATGCTGCATCCAAGAGGAGACAGCCCTTGTGGATAAGGTCGCTGCACCGATGATCAATGCGCGTGTGTTGCATAGGACAGACCCAAGCCTGGGCGCGAGGGGGAGAACTGACTTGCTCGTACAACGGAGGCCAGAAATTTGGGAAGGAAAGGACAAAAGGTTGAGCCCAAGCGAGCTGCGAGGAGACGCGTGGGGAGGTGTTGCTGCAGATAAATACGGGGCTAAGTTTGTATTCTCAGGAGGCCGTGGTAGAAGACGAAGGCATAATTTGAGAAGGATCTATTATTATGATGGATATAAATAAAACGAAGGGCCATATGGATGACGCAGATGGTGCGATGTGGGATACGATGCGACGCGAAATGGGGATGCATTTGGGGTGCTATAGGACGCAGCCGGGTGCTCAGCACCACGCCCACCGCGAAGAAACGATATGGCCTGACGCGGAGATGACCAAGTTATTGTCGCGGGTCATGTATATTCCGGGATACTGCTGCCGTCTTCTGTTCATTTCTACGCGTTGTAAAGACGCGTCTCGAACGTCTGCGCACGGACGAGTCCATGCACAGCAAGTTTGTTTTTGCGTATCCCTATTAGTACATAACATAGTCTATAAAACGAAAGATATCTCATCTTGCGGCTGCTGTGGCGATATGGCACTTTCATACGAACGATGACTCGTAGGCTGTTGGTTCCCTTGCTGCAGTCGTTGATATGAAGCTGCTGCTCTATCGGGGAGAGGGGGGTCAGATATTCTGAGGCCATGACTGCTCCAATAAGCGTGGCACACATGCACACACATGATTATGTCGATGCTTGCGTCCAATGCACATGCACCGGCACATGCTGCTTACATCTTTTCTAAACGAAAGACCTGGCCAGTGTTATGTCTAGGATCAGCTTATGCTAGCCCAGCTTGGCTAGTCTAGACAGACAGAGCACACAGGATGAGGTAAAAGGCTGTCGCCACTTGTGTTGGGGAAAATGCTACGCGCACTGTCCAGATCTGAAATGGTTATTGCATACGGGCTTAATCTCCATTGCATCCGTTGAGCGCGGTAGCGTATTGGCAAGTAAGCGAAATGGGTTGTGACACAAATGTGCAGACATGAACGTGCTAAAATGCTTGACCTTTTTTTTTTCTCCTCCGCCTTAATTATTGAAGAGTAATATTGCAGGCGCCTCGAGAGCCCTTTTTCGATCGACGCCCATCCACCCACCCACATTCTGATGATGAGAGCCAGAAAAGAGAGCTGCAGATGCATACCCTGGTTGTTTGTTTGCTGTCTCTGTTTGTTATCATTGACGCTGTCGTTGTTGTTGTCGTTGTTGTTATTGTTGGTTGTAAGAACAGATGAAAGAGTGGGTGGATCGGTCCTTTTACCACAACTCAACGTGCCAACGTGTGCTCATCCTCAAATCTCAAATTATCGAGCCCATTTGTGCATACACATGGAAGCAGACCAATGAGCAACCCTAGACTGGTCTCGGTGGCCTGCTCTAGTCATGGGTGAACAGACGGGCGCCAAAAAGACTTTATGTGAACTGTAATCCAGATCCAGGTAGGATCCAGATCCCTATCTAGATCCATTGGTCAGATCTCACTTTGCTAGACCCATTGCTTGAGGGTTCAGGGACACAGTTCAGGTACGCACCTGTTGCGTTTGAATCAGGTCTTTGTATTCGGACAGAGCATTGTGCTACATGGAGTGGCAGCTCTGGCTTGGTAGTGTGGTAGTGGGACGTGGCATGGCCTACATAGCACATTAGGCTGTGTCTTTTTTTTTTTCTTTCGTTGTCATCCTCTCTTTCATCCTCCTACTCATCCACCCATCCCACTCCACTCCATTCCTCTCCTCTGCACTCCTCTCCACTTTCCTTCCTTTTCTTCATCAGTTTCATCACTCTTTCTCAACATCATCTCTCTCTCATCCACCGCCACCTACCCTGATCCAGCTTATTATTTTTTTATCTACTTCTGCACAACAGTAACGCCTCCTCTCCTTCAGTAGCACACATCCATCCTCCCCCGCCTTCGCCTTCTTCATCCTGGACAAAGGTACAAATACATAGGCTCACCCTTTTTTATCTGACGCGGATGACTGATAACCCAACCGACCGTTGCTTCTGTTGTATCCCCCACACCCTCCCGCTCTGACTTTATTATCTCTTTCTCCGAGCAATCCTTTAATTTGCCATTCTTTCTTTTCTCACACCTCGTTTCCTCTTTTTCTCTCGCTTCGATCCATCCCGTTCAATTCGTATAGGGTCCACCATCACCAACCCTGGCAGGCACTCCTTATCCTCCTTTCCCCTCCTCCTCCTCCTCCCCCGCCTCCGCGCCCTCCGCACCCTCGACCGTGCGAGCCTCGTCCTCCTTCTGCCCTCCTCCATCCTCCTCCACATCCTCTTCGACCTCCTCCTTCGAGGTCGTCGAGCGCCCAGTCACCCCTCCGCCTCCATCGCTCCCCTCCTTGCGTTTCTCGCCCCTCTTTGACGACGACATGTCCGCGCCATCGTCCTCATCCTCATCGCCATCAGCCAAGCCAAAGCAATCCTCCTCCTCTTCGTCATCATCCCCCTCCTTCCCCCCAACCCACGCCGGAAGCAGCTTCGGCCCCGCCACAGCTCCCACTAGCTTCAGCATCGGCAACAAACACTCATCCCTCAGCAGCCATAAACATTCCTCTATGAGCAGCAGCAACAAGCACTCGTCCATGGGTAGCAATAAGCACTCCTCTATCGGGAGCAACAAGCACTCCTCTTTCAACAGCATCAAGCACACTTCCAGCAGCAGCAACGGCAGCCTCGGCTATGGCAATTCTAACCTCCATCACTATCACAGCAGTAACGGAGGCAGCTCTGGCGGCGCGCAGTTGCCTCGGAGCCTCGGTCCCTCTTCCTCAAGACCTTCGCAGATGCCAGGTAAGCAGTGGTCGTTAACAGCTATTGCATACTCTCAACCCGACAGCTCAATTGAAAAAGAGCCTTAAAAATATATCGCGCCTCCCATTACATCAAAAACGAACACCAAACCACCTTTCTGGCCAAATGAAAACGATACGCCAGTCGGTTATACAGTGGACTCCCGAAGGGGTTTGTAGCAAGAAATGAATCCTATGTCTGTTTAGCGGCAGAGCCGCTGGGGAGTCCACACTCGTTTAATATGGATGTCTTGATCATTTTATGTCATGTTCTTGAGCATTGCTGAGTAATGCGTAAAATAAGCACGGCCACCGTCGTCGTTTCTTTTTCATTTTTTGCGCAAGGTGGAGAGATAGTTGGTTCATTAAGCTCGTTCACGAGTGGCAGCCAGGGTCAAGTGTGATGCTTCTGCAGTTTAAATATTGAAATTGGACCCCACTATGCCGCTCTGCCTGATGCTTTAAACACTGCATGCCCTCGCATTGTCGCTCATCCCTCTGACTTTTGAACGAGCCTCCTATTTCTGTTTTTGGTTTCTTCTCTCCCATGTCTCTGTCCACCACTTTGCCCCTCCTTCTTCTTTTTCTGTCTAAACACGCTGTCTAACACCGCTCTTTCTTCTTCACACTTCTCGTTGCATCGCTCTCCCTATCCATTGGAATGGCTGCTGTGACAGATGGTCTTGTTCCTCAGCGCCAGGCGCCCCCGCCGCCTCGGCCGTCTACCTCCAGCAACAAGTCGCTGTCGCTCCAGCTATCCCCAGGATCCGTCCCGCATTCGCCCCCATCGTCCTATGGGTCATCGTCTTCTTCACCCGCTTCACCATTGGCGGAAAGGGACTCAAACCAGATGCAACTACGTGTGCCTCCGCCCAAGAAGGGCCCACCGCCACCTCAGAAACCATCGCGCCAAAACGACCACAAATTGAACACACAGGACTCTTTTCGATCCAACCACTCGGAGAACACCATCACTTTGAGTACGCACCACCATTCCTCGCCAAAGTCCTCGTATGGTCGCTCGCATCAGCCCTATGATACGCCCGAATACCCTTCTTCTAACCGATCGACTTTTAAGGGCGTGTTCAGCAACATTGTCAGTTCGATGTCGGGTAAGGGCTCGCAGCAGTTGTTCGGCTCAAAGGATTTTTTTTTCTGCGTGCCTAACTAAAGAAGCGAGCAGAAACTAACGCAGACTGGCTCTATTCTCGTCTCCTCTTGTCTTTATGGTATTTCGCTCTCTTTTTTTTTTTTTTTTTTTTTTTTTTTTTTTTGGCCTATTTCCTCCTTGACCAGACTTGCTTTCCTCTGACAAGAAGATGGAGATTTCCTCTCCTTACAATCCTGTCCATTTGACACATGTGGGATACAATCTCGATACGGGCGAGTTCACTGTAAGTTCATTTGTAGCGCTCTTGTTGGTCCAGCATTTGTTTTGTTGTTGTTTTTTCATCGACACTGTTGTGGACACAAGGAAGGAAACAAACAAAGTCAAGCAGAAGAAACAAAACAGGCCCTTCGACAAGAGCAGCGGCTCAAATGTACCTACAAGTGGGGAACAATGGGCTCACACTCTAACATGCTTGCATGGATGTACCCTTACGCTATAATCTTCTCTAGGGTCTGCCCAAAGAATGGCAGCAGCTGTTGCAGGAGTCTGGGATTTCAAAGCAGGACCAGGCAGCGAACCCGCAGGCGGTCATCGACATCATTGGCTTCTACACCGACAGTCAGGAAGGAAAGCAGAACGATGCCGTCTGGAAGAAGTTTGGACATAACCCTGCGGACGTAAAGGCATCAAAACCGTCGCCGTCGTCCACCTCCTCTCCCGCCTCGTCGAAACAGTCTTACAAGGACGATCGTTCGCGAGAAAAGCCCACTTCTCCATCCTCACCCCCAACTCGTCCAGTTTATGAACCTCCTGTAAGTTATACACACACCCCTCAGTAGCATGCACTCCTCCCATGATGCCAATGGAGTCATCGACCGTTGTTTTTTTTTTTCTTAACCAGTACCATGTCATTATCAACTATTCTTAGCGGACTCCTCCTACGCCTCACGTTGCTAAAAAGACCTCCGTCTCACGGCCAGCAGATTTGGTAAGTGCACAGAACGAAAATAGGGGACAACAGGGTCACGAAGCACATGTGTTCCATGCCTGTTTGTCATGCTACCCCACCCCCCTTTCCCTCTAATTCCCATTATTTTTATGCTACGGCTCCGTTTTGTTGTCATGCTCCTCTAATGCACACTGACATCGATCGACTGTTTGTGTCAATGAACTGTCCCGTTTAGGCACCCACTGAGAGGAGGTCAGAGACATTGGAGAAGATCGACACGGATGCGAGCCCTATTTCTCCACCAGCTGTGGCGCCACTCCCTTCATCGCAGGCACCAAGGTTACCTCCGCCAAAGCCCAAAAAGCCAGCGCACCCTCAAGCGATCGTACCACCAGCAAAGTCTAGCCCCTCATCAACCTCTGCCCCCCATCAGACGCACCAACAGCCAAAGCGGCGTGAGAAGAAGCCGGAGAAGGATTCTGTGAGCTCACAGGATGTGATTCGTCGGCTGCAGGCAATCTGCACAGATGCGGATCCGACAAAGTTATACCGTAACCTTGTTAAGATTGGACAGGGTGCCTCTGGAGGGGTGTACACTGCATATCAAGTCGGGACGAACCTTTCAGTCGCGATTAAGCAGATGAATCTGGAGCAGCAACCGAAGAAGGACTTGATTATCAACGAGATTTTGGTCATGAAGGAGTCGAGCCACAAGAACATTGTCAATTATATCGATTCGTTTTTGTATCGCGGCGATCTCTGGGTGGTGATGGAATACATGGAGGGCGGCAGCTTAACAGAGGTCGTGACGACGAACGAGATGGCTGATCCTCAGATCGGAGCTGTCTGTCGCGAGGTATGGATCGAGCTCGCCCATGTTATGACTTGGGCTTTATATGTGTGAGGTCAAGTATTCATTCATTTTTTTTCCCCCTCTCTTGTATGTTAAAGACCTTGCTGGGACTAGAGCACTTGCATTCAAAGGGAGTCATTCACAGAGACATCAAGTCGGACAATGTTTTGCTGTCCCTAAACGGCGACATCAAACTGACGGATTTCGGATTCTGTGCGCAGTTGAAGGAGAGCCAAGGAAAGAGGACGACGATGGTCGGAACACCATACTGGATGGCACCCGAGGTCGTGACGAGAAAGGAGTACGGACCCAAGGTCGATATCTGGTCCCTGGGCATCATGGCCATCGAAATGTTGGAGGGAGAGCCACCATACCTGAACGAGAACCCACTCAGGGTAAATTTTTTTTTTTTACCAAAAAAAAAACAGGCCCTGCTGTGTCCTACACGACGACCAAACTTATTCTAATGCCTTTTTCTTTTATTCACATCAAAAATAGGCACTCTATCTGATTGCGACAAACGGAACACCAGCATTGCAACACCCTGAGAAGCTGTCGGCTGATTTCAGGGACTTTTTGGCACAGTGTCTGGAGGTGGACTCGGAGAAGCGACCGACAGCAAGTGAATTGTTGAAGCACCCGTTCCTTATAAGAGCGCATTCCGTCAGGACATTGGCACCCCTGATCAAGGCAGCCAAGGAGAGTCAACGGCATTAGAGTCTTGAGAGTGAAAGGCGAATACGCGTGAGAAAAAAAAAAAAAAAAAAAAAAAGAAAGAATGGAGAAAGAAGGAAGAAGGAAAGGAAGGAGTTTGACAGGAAACGACGACTACGAAGAATCTGAAGAAGCAATCTATGTACGAACCCCCAAACGAGAACTCAATATAAAGATCGTATCAGCCTACTTTCCATCCGCACCTGTTCGACTATACCACCTTGTCGATAGAACTGAAGATAAACTCATTCATAATTGTAACTGCTTGCTGTTGTTGTCGTTTTTTTTCTATGGTATTTTTATTTTGCAAATAAAGGAAGCAAAACACGACAAGATATCTACAAATTCAAAAGCTGATGACAAATAGCGTCGTCTAAGGAGGTGCTCGCACGAATGACTTAGCATCTCTCCAAGACAATGGCGATACCCTGACCACCACCAATGCAGGCCGATCCGATGGCGTACTTGCCCTGAGTGCGCTGCAACTCATGGGTCAAGTGGGTCATGATTCTGGAGCCCGAGGCACCGAGAGGGTGACCCAAAGCGATGGCACCACCGTTCAAGTTGGTCTTGCTGCGGTCCAATCCCAGGACCTTCTCGACAGCCAGGTATTGGGCAGCAAAGGCCTCGTTGACCTCGACGAGGTCCATGTCCTTGAGGGTCAAGCCAGCCTTCTTGAGGGCACCCTGGATGGCGCTGACTGGGCCGATACCCATGATGCTGGGGTCGACGGCGGTGACGTGCCAGCTGACGACCTTGGCCAGGGGCTTCAATCCGTGCTCCTTGATGGCCTGCTCCGAGGCGACGATGACGGCACCGGCACCATCGCTGATACCCGAGGCGTTACCGGCAGTGACGGTTCCGTCCTTCTTGAAGACCGAGGGAAGTTTGGCAAGGCTCTCGATCGTAGTCGTGGGGCGAGCGTGCTCGTCGTGGCTGAGAGTCTCGACGGCCTTCTTGACCTTATATTCGACAGGGGCGATCTCCGCGTTGAAGCGACCGGCCTTGTTGGCTATTTCGTGGCGATAATGTCAAAATTGGGCAACAGGTCAGCAATTCTGATGTGCTTTTTTTTTTCCTTCTCTCTCTCTCTTTTTCTCACGCCCTTGTCGAGTAGAATAAATAAAAACTTACCAGCGGCCCAGCGCTGCTGCGACAGAAGAGCGTACTCATCGCACTGCTGACGCGAGATGTTGTGCTCCTGTGCCAAGTTCTCGGCAGTGATACCCATGGGGGTCTCCTTGGGGAAACGATCGACCAGGGCAGCCGCCAGGGTATCCTCCAACTTCAGATCAATTCCGAATTTCGTGCCACCAAAGCGAGTGTTTCTCAAGGCATAGGGAGCCAATGACATCGACTCGGAACCTCCGGTCAAGACGACGCTCGAGTCACCAACCATGATCTCGTGCGCAGCATTGATGATCGACTGGAAACCAGATCCGCAGAGACGGTTGACCGTCAGGGCAGGGACGGAGATGTCGAGTCCTGCGCGCAGACCGACATGGCGAGCCAGGTAAGCACCAGCAGCATCGGTTTGAGCAACGTTGCCGACGATCACAGAGTCAATGGGAATTTGCTTGCCGAGATCTGCGAGAGCAGCCTTGGAAGCGAAGGCACCGAGCTCGGAAGCAGTGTAATCCTTGAGCTTTCCGCCTGAGTACGTTTTGTAAATGTAGTCAATGATGGTGATGGTGGTGAATTATCCATGGATCCATGAAATGGTTGTTGAATACGACGGGAGCAGCAGACAAGGGCGAGTAACATAGGAGAAAGAGAAGGTTCAGTAAAGTGAGGTGATTAGTCATTGGTGTTGCTGGCAAACAGAGATCTCGTTCATGGGATTAAAAAAAAAAAAAGGGAAGTCTTACCGAAGGCGCCGAAGGGGGTGCGCTTAGCAGCGACGATGAAGACGTTGGCCATTGCTGTGGAGGGGTAATGAGATGGAGGGGGAGGTCGGGTGGAGGAGTGGAGAGGAGCAGAAGAAACAGAGAAGGAAGACGAGGATGGAGCAGGCTGCTGTCTTTTGGCTTCTCAAGGGTCGAGTCACTCCGGGGCATGGTAACGAATAGGAGCGGACAGCGGGGCAGCAGACAAAGTCCACGTACACATGGCCAAGTGCGCAGGAACACGCGAGGCACGTGAAAATGCATTCTTTCTTCTCCACGGACAAAAAACCTTATTTCCTTTTACTGGACACACACTTCACACACTTTCACCCGCCCCGCACACCTTCCCCGCAAGCATATATTTTATATATATCACCCACTGGAGAGGAAAGAAGCGAGAGCCACAGAGCGAAAGAGACGGACCCAATGGAAACACTCCACATCCAGAACAGAGGGTTCGTCGCTGTCCATGTCGGTGCCGGTAATGCATCTCTCGAGAGGAGAAATGAGATTGCGCGATGATTGCAACCACGCTGTCTGTCTCTCTTTTGCTAAAGTGCACGCTTCTTTATTTAGGCCTCCATGCCACAAGGAACAAACAGCGATATCTCGACGCCTGTACCAGGTTAAAACGATCGCCAAAAAATATTTTTTAAAAAAAAACGTGTCGAACCCTGCCTTAGTATCACACTCCATTAACATCTTTTCCTTCCACTGCCTCTTCCCACTCACCCAGAGCATGTCAAGCAGGCATCCAATTGCTCCTCTTAGATCCTCCCCCGACTGCCACTGACGTTGTCGAGCGTATGATCCGCATCCTCGAGGACGACCCCGTCACCAACGCAGGCAGAGGCTCAAACCTGAACCTCGATGGACACGTCGAATGCGACGCCTCCATCATGAACGGAACCACCCTCGGTTTCGGATCTATCGGCGCCGTCTCTGGTATTGCGCGCTTATCATTACCACTAGACAATAAAAAGGAAAAAAAAAAAAAAAAAAAAAAAAAGTGTTCAATATTGTCATTAAAATTAATTTTCGATCTACCACCCAACACTGTCCCTCTCTCTCTAAACACCTGTAGACTTCAAGAACCCTATCTCTGTGGCCGCTAAGGTGCTAAAAGAAGCCGATCAGGGCCCTTTATCGCTCGGGAGGATCCCACCTCTCATGCTCGTTGGATCGGGTGTCAGACAGTGGGTAGATACCATGGGCTTTGATACGCTCGAAAGAGTACGTCAACCCCATTCAGTGATTCCTGCTAATGGATCAGACGCTGAAGCTGCAGCTGAGATCGCGATGGCTGGATCGCTTGTCACGCCAGAGTCGATGCATTTGCACATCAAGTTCCAGAAGATGCTCCAAGACGCAACTGGACAGATATCTGCACCTGAAGAGTCCGCAGAACTGGGTGCTAAAGGACAAAACGAAGAACGCGAACGACTAGATTGGGTCTCGGACATCAATGTCAGCAATGAGGCAAAGCGTAAAGCTCAAGACACCTCAATACCCTCTTCGTCGTCACCGACGGGCGCTTCTTCGACAAAAAAGCGGAATGTGGTGGAAGAAGACCAAATGCAAGACACTGTAGGTGCGATTTGTGTGGATGCACAAGGGCGGATGGCCGCTGGGGTGAGCAGCGGAGGAATCGCCATGAAGTTCCCAGGGCGCGTCAGTGAGGTACGGAAAGAGTACCAAACCAAAGAAAGACAATGCGGACAAAAATCCTCAAGAGCATATCTGATCTGAACGCAATGCAATTATTTTCCATGTACTTTTTAGGCCGCGTTGTTCGGTGCAGGGTGTTGGGCACAGGATTCCAGTGACGACAGCGCTGGATTCGCCTGTAGCATGACCGGCGCGGGTGAGCAGATTTGCAAGACCCTACTGGCCAGGACGTGCATGGAGACGATGGTCCATCAGGACGATACCGCGACAGCAGCGCATACAGTTCTAGAAAGATTCAAAAATAGTCCGCTGTTGAGAAGCTACAACGAAAAATATGCTGGATTTATCGCTGTCAAGCTGAGTTCTGCAGCGGGCGACGGACAAGATTCTTCAGATCCGGATTCGGAAATGGATATGGTCGCGGATGCAGCACAAACAGCCAAAATGGAGAAATCCCAAAGAACTGAATTCATTTTTGCATACACCACCAAGACCATGGTACGAAAACGACGCATTCGCCATTGTGCTGCGTTGGGAAATCGACCAGCGGTTCAACATATCAATGCTAAAACGACTACCCTTTGAATTATCAACGAATAGGGTGTCGCTTATATGTCTACTCAGGATGCCAAGCCAACGGTAACAACCAGAACCATGATCATCATAAACACTGCACTGCACTACAATCCATACGCTCTAACCAATGTCTTTTCGCGCCTCCATTAGTCGATCATGTCGAAGGGGAAAGAAAACTGCGGCATAACCGTTTACACTTGCATGGTCAAAATGTGAAAATAAAGGATCATAGTCTTTCATTGTAATGTACTCAAGTATCTTTCATGCCTAGTCATTATCCTAGCGCATATGTATATTAAAGTTTCGCTGGAAGAGAACATCAAGACAGAAGAGAATGGCAGTGTCAATGACAAGCAGGTTGGTATTCCAAACTTATTCCTCTGCAGCAGACGGCAACAAGTCGTTACCTTTGTCCGCCCCTGGGTTGGCTGCGTTGGGACCGAACTTGGCCTTATTGTACAAAATCCACTGCAACCAACTGATTTTTTTCTCGCTGTAGGGCTATCGAACAAAAGAAGATATGTCCGTTAGGTAGTGTTGTTGTTGACCATGACAAGACCCATTGCGCCGCACAGCTCCCTTGAGTAAGCAAGCAATATTACTTACAGGGTAGCGGATACTGTTGGCACGCTCCATGCTCAAGGACTTGATCAAGGTGCTGCGTTCGTGCGAGAAGGTATCGAAGGACTTCTTCTGATGATAGTTTCCGATACCAGAGGGACCTGTTCCCCCGAAAGGCAGGGACGTGAATGCGAAATGGATCATAAGGTCATTGACAACTACACCTCCAGACCGAGTGTTGTCCAAGATGTAGTTGATCTGCTTCTTGTCCTGGCTGAAGATATACAATGCCAGGGGCTGATCGTGTTCACCCACATATTCGACACCCTGCTCCAGTGAATCCACCACCATAATCGGCAGTATGGGTCCGAAAATCTCGTCCTCCATCGAGGCGTCGTCTGGCTGAACATCTAGAATCACCGTTGGTGCAACGAAGAGATCGTCTTCCTGCGTGTCGCCACCAATAACCACGCGGCCCTTTGTGTTGTCGATCATCTTCTTCACGCGATGGAAGTGGCGCTTGTTCACGATACGCGCATAATGGTTGGAGGTCTGAGGATTCACGCCGTAGAACTCCTGAGCAACAGCCTTCATGTGCTTCACCAGTTCCTGCTCTCCTCCACGCTCAATAAGCACATAGTCGGGTGCAATGCAGGATTGACCGCAGTTGAAGAATTTGGTAGAGACCAGTCGACGTGCCACAACGCTGAGATCGAGGTTCTTGGCGATAAACACTGGGCTAAAAAACAAAGAACATTTCGACTTGTCAGTTATTGTAGAGCACTTCATATAAAATATCCTTCCAATGAATCGTCGCCTTACCTCTTTCCTCCAAGCTCAAGAGTAACGGGCGTCAATTGCTTAGCAGCTTCGCCCATGATAACCTTTCCAACGTTTCCACTGCCCGTATAGAAGATGTGGTCAAACTTGTGACTAAGCAAGCCCATAGTCTGCTCTGGACCACCATTAACGATACGATAACTCCTCGAATCCAGATACCGAGGCAGCAACTTCGTGACCAACGCCGCCATGTGCGATGACACCTCCGAGGGCTTGAGCAAGACCGTGTTTCCAGCTGCAATCGCACCGACTGCGGGCACAAGCAGCAGGTTCAGAGGATAGTTCCACGCACCAATAATCAGCACTATGCCAACAGGCTCCTTTCGAATCAGGGCAGTATCGAGCAGACCGGCAAACCCAGCTCCCTTCACCTTCTCTGGGGCCGCCCAACTGTCGAGGTTCTTGATGGCATCGACACACTCTTGCTTGAGCATACCGGTCTCGCCGAGGAAGAGCTCCAGTGGAGGCTTGTGGAGGTCGAGATAGGCAGCCTCGCGGATTGCGGCTTCATTCTCGGCTACAAGGTTGTGCAGGCCCTTGAGCTGCTCCTTACGATAGGCCAAGGGCTTTGTAAGGCCGGACTTGAAGGTCGCGCGGAGGTCTTGGACAACCTAGAGAAAGTGAGAAAAAGGGTACGATATCAGATGTGGCTGGAGAAGAGACAATGGTGTTTTTCAGATTTATAAAAGCTGCGCGGCCGACAGCTGCTTCATAAAGAGCAAAATGCGGTTACCGAAGGGATATCAGTCAGAGGAGTGTAGGCCAGGTCTGCCATGGTATGGAATGAGAGATGAGGGGAGGGATGAGAGAACGATGGAACAAGAGAAAGAAGGTTTAGGAATCGTTCAAAGTGTGAGAAGGAAAGGCGGTGTTCTGTGGGGAAGACTTTTTATTTGATCGTTTTGTTGCTATGGTTGGTTTCTGCGCACTCGCTCGGTTCGGACGATAATGCATTTCTGGCCGATCGGGCGCCCTCCTGCCGCGTCCTCAGCACGGTCGTCATCATCCCCTTCTTCCCATCATCTCGGCATACTTCAGGCCGGGCCATCCAGGCAGCAAGACCGACCTCTCTCTCCAACCCGATGTCTCTACCGATGCGTCTGCCGCTCCTATACCGGCACAGCCGCAGAGATGCAATACAGTCGTACGCAGTACAATAGTTCAGAGCCCTTTGCAGATCCACTCCTCGAGGTTCCCACCCATTCGTTCTATGCAGCAATTATTCCCGGCACCCCTGTCAACCGAAGCAACATCCTGCAGCCGACTGCTAAGCTCATCTTCGACTCTTTCCCGACCCGTTCCTTTTAACACCTCCGCCACGTGGAGTGCTTATAGTACAACCACCATTGCTATTACTGTTGCCCTCCCCCTAGTTCCTGCTCCAAATTCTGCTCGAGGCCAATGTCATGCTCCTTCTCCTCCATATGTATTCTATCCCACTCACGCACCCACCACTTGTCCTCCACCTGCTGAGTCTCTCTCCGCCTTGTTCGGATTCTCTCGACTTCTCTTGCCCTGCTGTGCTGCTCCATCTGGTTGAGCCGACTGGAAAGCATTTCCAGCCTGCCATGAGTTTCCTCCAAGACACGAGTCTGTCGGTCAAGCGCTTCACGGACTTGTTGGATCTTTTGCGCCATTTGAGTTATACTACCCTGCATAGCTTTCCTGTTCTCGCGCTCGATTAATGTTACTACATTTTTCAAGGGAGTAGCAAGGAAGGAATTATCAGCGTGGAGGTGTGGTGTGAGCGGTGAGGTTTATTCACTCTGTCTCTGTCATTTTTATATTACCTGTCCGGAACAGCTGTTGCCAGGTCCATAGGCTGCCACAGATCTGGAGCGCTTCTTTCATGGCGTGATCGTCGATCTCGGTGTCGACAGTCAATCTTCTCCACAATTGATCGACGTTCGCGAGGTTGTGGAACCGTTTGTTGACCTGAAAGAGAATAAAATGAAGTTTAGGTGGGACTGATGCGCATGCAGGAATATAGGACATGCCGTTAAATGAATCCAAGACAAAAAGAAGGAGGGCTCTTTACCAATTTGGCATTGCGGAGCTGTAATACATCCAACTTGCTCATGACCAGCAGTTGTATCTCTGTGGGCAGGTCTACACAGAGCATATCACCAAAATGAGGACACTATTAAAACTCGAGTTCCACAAACGCCTTCTTCCCTTCCTATTCCTCGCACGTTACCAAAGAAGAATGAGCACTGTTGTGGATCATGGTTTGCTAGCTCCGGCATAAAGGGATGTCTGTGTGGTTTAGTAGAAATGGGCCAAGTCTATGTTAAGGAAAGATGATGAGATTGAGTGCAAGAAGAAGAGAAACGGAGTTGTCCAACGGCTAACTTGGACACCACTAAATAAAAAATAAAATAAAACAGAGGACCCGCCAGGGATCGCCATGAAATCCATGAGCGAGTCCTGTGTCTCTGACAGACTCATCCTTGAACCCTGGGGACGATGGGAACATGGAATACATGTCATCTCTTTCCTCGGGTGACTATATACCTTCCTTCGGTCATGTCTTGCATCCCAAGTCATCCTGGAGAAATGCGTATATCGAAGAAAAGAATAGTACATTTGGCGCGTCAACAAGGACATCTCCAATACGCGTCTCCCGGAGTACGCGACATGGGTATGCATGATCAACCATGGCATAGAACTGTAGAGATCCTGTCTTCCCCCTCCTTTCTGTGGCGTCTGAGCTAGGGCTGCGAATACGACCGTTCAAGCTACGGCAGAGCGTCCTTTCACTCAATCTCGCCCTCCTTCGTTAGCATCCTCCCTATCCACTAGCCGCGCGAGAGAACTATACCCTCCAACCATTCCGTAACAATGGCCCGTAAGTTTAAAAACAAGCATGTCTCCGTAACCACCAAGGCTGCCCTCGTCCGCCGACACAAAAAAGAGCTCCTACTCCCATCTGCCACTCTGGTCACGACTGCAGCCATGAAGGCCGCTTGTGAGACCTGTGAGCCCAAGGTCGACGCCATCGTCATTGAACGCTTCGAGAACAACAACAAGTTCCGCGATCAAAAATTCGATCTACATAACGGCCAAGGCAACTGTCTGTACAGCTCCCTGATGAATAATAACGACTACTGGGACATTGCCGGTGTCAAGCGCATTCCGAGTCTGTTCAAGAAGTCTTCTTCCTGGACGGCGCTCAGCCCGACGATATCAAGCAGGTAAATTAGATAACATCCGTCGGAAACAGTTCGAACTCATGGAGGGAGGGGCCCTACCTAGCCATATCGCTCTACTACTGCATCAAAAATACATCGATAGGGTGCTGTCGGTGACTGTGTCAAGAGGAACGGAGGAGATTGAGGGCTATGGCTTTATCTTTTTCAAGGACGGGGGCTGGGTATCGACCATTGTCGACGACCAGCTGTTCTACGGGATAAACAGACAGTCCTTCAAAACTTCGCTTTGCTTTGGCGCCTGCAGAGATGAGTGCAAGACCTGGTTGTCCCTGCTCGAAAAGGCCTATGTCAAGATCCACGGCGATTACAAATCCATCGATGGAGGTTACACTGCTGAAGGAATCGAGGATCTATTAGGCGTTATTCCCTCGATAATCTGTTCGGCAGACATCCTGAGCAAGGACCGTTTCTGGGATGGGGAGATGAGGCAGGTTAACAGAACTCTTTTTATGGGGTGTGCGATCGCGCACGTCGATATCGATGGCCAAATGGACAAGCACGGTATCCAGTCAAGTCATGCCTATAGCGTCCTGCGAGTCGAGGAACACAAGGGAGGACACTTTGTCCAGCTCCGCGACCCGTGGGGCAGAGTCGAGTGAAATGGCGGCTGGCCAGATGAATCCGATAAATGGACATCCGACGCGACCAAGATCCTCCACTTCAAGAACAGCGACGATAGCCAGTTTTGGATGTCTTTCAAGGATTTCTTCCGCATCTTTACCCTCATTGATTGGTCGTGCTGGATCCCATACAATGTTTCACCACGTTCCAATGGCAAATACGAGTTCGAGATAACCCAGCCTGGTGAGACCATCATTGTTTTGACCCAGCCCGATCAACGATACTAGGGTGCTTTCGCTCCTGAGTACAAACAACTGCATGCTTGTTGGCAAGAAAGTCGAGGACGACAAGAATAAGGCCGATGAGGCTGACAAGAAGGCAGAGAAGGCAGAGAAGGCAGAGAAGGCAGAGAAGGCAGAGAAGGTCACAGGCCCTGATACCCAGAAGGAAGAGTAATCAAGTAGAGTGATTTCAACGATTAAAAAAATAATACTGCGCCATGTTGTAAAGAGCACCAACGTAGTCCTCAATACCGCAGACATTACTTGCCTTTGTGCGATAATAATAGACTCGGAATATAACTCGCACCTGGCTTCGCCCTGGACCCGTCCAAGACCAGAGCTGTACAGAACAAGTGCCGCCCCCGTTGACCAGGAGAGTTTCGTCCGCTGCTGGTTGACTCAGTGATTCGCTTGTCTGCCTTCATTTTTATTTTTTTTCTTCCTGCAGACGAGCCTCTGTCCATTATTCGTCCAGCTGGGCTTGTGAGCCCGACTTTTGGGAGAATTTGTCCACAAGACTTTTATTTCCCTCATTCGGGGGGAAAACCAGCCCAAATCGTAGGCGCAATATTCTAATAGCATGGATAAACCCCCCTAACCCCCACCATGGAGCGATGTCTTACGTTTATACAATTACGAGGTCAGATACATATGCAGTATGTTCTACGCTCGGACAAAGTGCAATGAACTCATACCCCTCCGGTTGACTTACTAGCCTGTGTCGGTATGTGGACGACCCTGAAGAGGCTAGTCATTTATGGTCAAAGCATGGCACACGCACGATATACCTCTGAGACAGTCGCTTCCACTAATCAAGCGCCGTTGAAGGGCGTATCAGATTGGTTCCCCTGGCCTAGCGCCATCCTTCTTTCCTGCTTCCTATCAGATTCTTGGTCCCAGTGCAATTGCACTAGTACCCTAATCTGTCAGAAAAGAGTCTGGCCCTGGCCCAAGTTAAAAATTATAAATCACGCACCACGAAACGGACGTTTTTCCTGTCCCCGAAATTGGATGCGACGGCCCCTTGTCCATGAGAGCTCGTGCTTTCCAAAAGTTAAATGAGCACTCACATTACATTTAAATACCGACCGCCGCATCTTTCGCATTCCCTGCTGTAGACAATACACAGGGTTGGCTCAGCGGTAATTACGACCATCTGAGACGAAAGGGGAGGGCTCTCGATCATAGCCCAAGTTTCCTTCCATATTTGTCCTTTACTGGACACACGCTGCAAAACTTTCCTGAGTATTGGTTGTCCATTCCACCATAAAAGCAAACGGCTCCCCCCTCGTTATCTTACTTTGTCCTTCCTCTCTTCATCAAACCACCCCACTACTTTTCGGATCCGTTGTCACCTCCCATCTTCTCAACAAAACAACATCCATTACACAACATGAAGTCCATCTCACTCGCTGGCAGCATCCTCTTCGCCGCCACCACCCTCCTCTCCCTCCTTGACACCTCCTCGGCCCATATCGCTATCTCCAACCCTCCCGCTCAGGCTGGTCCCTGGAGCAAAAACCCCTCTGGTGCTGTCCATGCCTGGATTGGATTCGAGGGAAAGAAGTTCCCCTGCGGTAGGTCACCATCAGTTTCAAGCTCCCCTCCGTTCAAAAAGAACAAAAAAAAAAAAAAAAGAACCATCGAGCTCATTCTATTATCACATTCATTTGTTCTAGGCGGCTACAAAAAGGGTCCCGTCACCAAGTACAAGGCCGGCGAGATCATCCCCGTCCGGTTCTGGAACTTCAACGTCAAGAATCCCAAGGTATTCCCTCCACCCGCTGGACTCAAGCAGTCGCGCCATGGTGGCGGTGCCTGCGAGTTCTCGCTCTCGTACGATGCTGGCAAGACCTGGAAGGTCATCGGTCAGTACACCAAGACCTGTCCAGACATCTACTTCGAATGGCCTGTGATGATCCCCAAAAACGCGCCCTCCTGCACAGATTCGGACAAGTGTCTGTTCGCCATGTCCTGGACCGCCTTTTCTACTGATCAGTTCTACCACCACTGTGCCAACATCATGATTGATGGTGCCAAGAACGGAAAGCTGCCCGAGCTCGATATGACCGTTGTGGATGTCACACAGCTGCACGAGAAGATGAACACCCATGCTCTTGGTGACGAGAAGAGCACCAAGAGCACGGGTCCCGATCGCCGCGAGAAGCAGCTGAACACGAACGGCTACTTTGCCTTTGGAGGCGGCGCTGGCACGCACGGTTTGGATCTTGGTTTGGTCCGCTAAACTCAAACCGTCTTGAGTTTCAGGTGGAGATGTTTTTCTTCCTGGTAGATGGCGTGGCTTTTCTTTCGCAGGTCGAGTAGAGCGAATGCTGTCTCAAGACATAGAAGTGATAAAATAAAATAAAATAAAATAAAATGAAGACGGCTCATGACATGCACCGCATTAATGTTATATTGTGTGACACAAGCAAGCTTCGAACGCTGTAATCAATCTGGATGCCGTCTCTCTAAAGCGATCGATAGTCATTTACGAGACATGCCAAAAAAAAAAAAAAAAAATAGATGTACAGTAGAGGATATGCTGGACAGGGATCATCAAATGTCGTCGTGTTCCCTCAAAAGAATTACAACCATTGCATGTCCTCAGTGGTGTCTCTTGAATGAACGAACGAACGAACAAAAAAAAAAAAAAAAAAAAAAACATAAAAAGTGTGGATACGGAGACAGAAACAAACGCGCTCTTAGCCAATGGATCCAAAAAAAAAAAAAAAAATGTTCTACTGTGGTGATAGTCAAACCCTTGTCCGCCGTCTTCCTCGCTCATCACACACCTCTTTTCTCATTCATACCTCTTACGCCTCGTACTCCTTCCCTTCCAAAAGTTACCCTGCACATCAAAGACATTTTCTTCAAAGATCTCTCAAGATACGGAAACATACCAAGAGAAAATAAAAAATAAAAAAAATGTCGATCCTGGCGCTCCCCGACGAGATTCTCTATTGCCTCTTGACTGTAAGTGAAGATTGGGCGAAGCACTAAGAGTTGTGTAACCTCAATCGGAACACTCCTCTCACGCGGATTTTTATGGTTGCCCATGCACGTAGTTTGTGGAGGACATAGATCTGCAGGTAAACCAGTTTGGATACGAAAGCGACTATCTTTTCTACGGAAAAAGAAAGAAAGAGAGACAAGTCAAAATGACAGAGCGAATGAGAGTGATAATGGGAACCAAAAGGGGCTTCTGCTCTACTGTTTACCAAATGATCCCCCCCCATGGTCATCTGTTGTTAGACATTAGCAATCACCTCCAAGCGCCTGCGCTGCATCGCCATGGATGGCCCACTCCGTCGTCACATTCTCCTCAAACGCACACCCGCCCGCCTACAGTCCTCGCTCGCGGATCGCCCATCTCGAGACACACTCGCCAAACAAAACATCCTCCGGGGCATCCATATCCGCCAGCATATTCAGGAAGGAAACTACATCGGTGGCCCCACAGCCGTGCGGTCCTACCATATCTCGTGTCGACTAGAGAGGCAGATGGTCAGTATCAAGATTGCAAAGAAGTTGAAGACTCGGCCAGACTGGACAGAGTTGGTCGAACGAGGATTGATCCCGGAAGAGATGTTTGTCAACGAAGAGGAGTTTGAAGCTAAGCGCAGGTGGAGGACTTACCGACACCAGCAGCAGCAGCAGCAGCGCCAGCAGCACAAGCCAAAACAGACGTCCTTCTTGAAGACGGTAGCTCTTGAGGAGAGGCAAATTAACTCAGACTCACCACTGCCTGAACACAGCCCACAAATGCAGCACAACCAACTTCATCCTCTCGACATCAATCAATCGCATGAGCCAGTAACGGAAGCATCTTCGTCATCCAGCACCACAGCACCAGAATCAGATACCTCTGCATACTCTGGCAACCGTTCTCGTCGACAAAAGAAATCCATCAGCATGGTCCTCGTACCGAAGATCGAGCTCCTCCGCAAGTCCATGGACCGAGATCGACTTTCCCGTCTCGTTCAAAAACGTCCCTCCCCAGAAGAACTGAACAGGTCGCCCAAGACCGCCACGGTGTTGAATGCCTATCATCTCATCGCCTACTCGGTTACCTCCCCAGACTTGGTTCCACTCACAACGCAATTGAGCTTTCTGTTGAAGGGCGAGCGCCTGAGTCATTGGCTGTATCATCGGCCTAGTCCGGCCGTCATGCTGAATGAGCGGCATATCCTCAAGACAGAGGCCAGGACGGCCTGGATGGTCTGTCCGGGCGTATCCAAAAAAGTCAGGTTTTATGAGGGCTTGATTCAGAAGAGGCGGGACTATGAGGAACAACAGCAGATGCTTTTGATGCAACACCAACTACAGCCTCTTCAACAGCAGCATTTGCCACAAACCGCAGTTGCTTGAGCACCATGGACAGTGAAGAGATTTATATATAATATTTACAAGTTAATAAACAGCACGCGACTTGTGCATGCTGCTAATAGTCGTAATCTCCCGAGCCATTCTGTGCACTGTTCTCCCATGCCTTGAGCCGTTCGTCGAATGTCATCTGTGAAGACAACGCTGATCCCGCTCTCATATTGCGTCCATCTCGTCCACCGCTTCTCAGCGCAGCACTGCTGCCTTCACCGATACGACCCCGTACATCCCGCTCCAATTCTCCACCGCTATCACCTTCTTCATCAAACCATTTATCCTCTTCATCATGGTTCACCTGATCCAGATCATCCAGGTTCTCATCAAAGTCGACGACCGAGTAATCAAAATTTCTGTCGAGTCCATCCAAGAATCTCTGCTTCATCAGCAGTACGAATTCTTCCCTCAGCGCCTCCTGGTCCTCCTTCCGTTCTGCGGTTATCGAGTCCAATTCCTTGTCCTCGTCCGAATCTAGATCACCACCATTCTCAACGGCTGCAAACAGTGCACGCTCTTCCGGTTGCTCGAGTGTCATGGCGGCAGAGGCCAGGGTTGAGGACACAATACCCGGGATAGGATCGGGCGGAATGTGGGGTGTGACACTGATCTTGGCGCGGATCTCATCATCGTCCCTGATGATGTCCTTCAGAGGACCTTTCCTGTCATCCTCATCGTCACTCGTCTTCTCGGACATCTCAGCATCATCCTTCTCGCTCTCAGTATCGAACTCTTCCTCAAATTCGCTCTCGACTTGTTCCGCCTTCTGTGATGTACCCATTGGCATGGACGACGAAGCAGAAGCTGCTACGGGTCCAGGAACTGAAACCCTCCGAGGGTGCTGTTGTTGCGATCGTGACGGTCCCGACTCTTCAGACGACATCTTATGACCACTCTGCATGGCTCGGTTTTGACGTTCCATGATCTGCTGCTTCCTGGTGGGATGGTCAATGTTCCATAGGATCCTATCCACAAGGCCGACGTCCTTGCCGAACGGTTTCGGCTGGGGTTTGTGACGCCTACGTCGCTTGTCTACCTCACGCTCATCGTCCGCGTCCTCGGCTCCTGTTCCCCCATCTGCACCGGACTGATCGCTATCATCACTCTCAACAGTGACGCTGGAGTCACCGACTTCATTCATGTCATCATCACCATCATCATAGGCATCGCCGTCATCGTCATCGTCGTTGTCCATAAACCTCCCGATATACTGGTAATATAACTCGGGCGCCCGGGATTCCATCTCTGCATCTGAAAAATAGGTCGATTCTTCGAAACTGAGGTTTGACATCGATCCTGAGATCGACAGAATGCTCGCCAGTGGTGGGTGGTGTTGAGAATTCTGTAACCCTTGACCGCTACTGCTGGCACGGTTCCGACTATCACCCGCGCTGCTGTGACTCGTCGCATGCCCAGCTGGCCCCTTTCCCTTGAGCCCCAAAGACACGTCGCTAGGGTCCGGTGGAGCCAGATGGCGGAGCAAATAGTTCAGGCGTCTGTTCCTACGAGTGTTCTCAGAAAGGACGGAACGCGTGAAGAGATCGTTCTGTCCTGGAGAAGGTTTCCGATCCTCAGGTTGGATTGTGTCCTGTCGATCTACATCCATACTATCGGCGGCGGAGGACCTGTCGGGGTGGTGTCTGGAAGCCACGAAGCTGGCATGTTCTGAGAGTTGCTGTAGTTGCTGGTACAGTTTTGTGAGCTGGAACTTGACCTCGTAGTCATCTGTCGTTTTAATGTCGAAGCGTCGGAAAGAAGAAAAAAAAAAAAAAAAAAAAAAGTGTACAATAGACCGTTATTCATTTAACATTTACTGCCAAGAAATTTTCCTGCATCAAAGATATCTAATGCAGAGAGATAGATCGCTTACCAGCAAGCGGAGCGAATAAATCCAAGATGTCCTTTGCGGTCAGATTATGCGATGCTGCTACTATTGACCCATCTCCATTGACATGGCTCTCCTTTGGCACTGGATCCGAAGACTTTGGTCGAGGATATAGGACGACGGATCCCCACTTTGTCAGGAAGATCCCCGGATCCCTTGCAAGAGTCTCCCCAATTTTTTGTCGTTTCTGGCTCTTGGTGAGAGCAGGCTCGTTTGGTCTAGTGGAGGTTGGGAACCCTGTCTGGAGCGTCTCGAGGTGTGGTTCCAGGAATTGTAGTATCGTCTCGATGGAATCTGCTGTGAGCGACATTGTTAGAAGGAAGGTTGAGGAATGGAGGGAAGAGAACGTCCACGCTGGGGCCTCGTGTTCCATGAGCGTACCCTACACGTGACACTCCAATATTGCCCAAAACGATCACAAATGTTGATTCACTGGGGCATCCCTGCTTGACCATCGACAACGTTCACCGGCACCGACAACGAGGACCTCGCGATCAGGAAATCTGCGGAACAGCACCATGGGAGAAGAACAACAGCGTAAACTGCCTTTCGGCATCACCTCTGTTATGCCAAGTACCATGCAGGTGAGCGCCGCCTCTTTTCTCCAACAACCAGTGTATGCTTGCTTTGCCTCTTGGTGCATGAAGGACTAACGAGTTGCTACTTTGTAATAGACGATAGCCGATAGCAAGGTTACAGGGTTCACGATCGGGGCCCAGAAACGTTCTAATCCTTTTCAAAAGCACAAGGAAGAAGCCGAGATGAAACGAAGGGTATAGCGCAAACTTCCCATGTGGATTCCTTCAGGCGAAGGGAGAGACATCTTCCGCTCCTCTTTCTACCATGCGTTTTATGTCTTTATGCTTTTTTGACGACCCCCCTGGCAACAGAAAGGACTCATGCATCCATCGACCCACCCCCCCGCAACCATCACTCATAACGCAAACCATTAGAAAGAGTCAGAGGAGGCGGCCAAGGCATACGCAGAGTTCGTGGCGTCCTTCGAGGTGGATGAATCCTCCAAGAAGGAGAAAAAGTTCGTCAAGGGCAAGTCGACCTTTATCCCAACAACGTGTAAGTCCCCCAAATGAACATCCCGACTTGGAGCCTGCAATGGATAACGTGCCATTTCCTGCCCAAGATCACACTCTAATCGATGCATTGTCCTGACCACAGCCGTCTTTGGTGAGGACGACGAGGATGAAGCGAACAAAGATCTGGAAGCAAAGGCAAAGGCTGCGTACAAGCCAAGTACACTGTCCCAGCCCCCCTCGACTAGTCCAGCAAAGACACCGCTGGCTATTCCAGGACTCGAACCGGAGCCAACGCCATACGTTCGTGATGCGAAAGCGAGGCGGAAAAAGGAGATGGACGCTTTTCTTGAGGAGCTTAAAAGGTACACCATGATCACTGACTGGCACCGGGTGAAAAATTCCTTTTTGACTGGTTCGAGCACGCTGAAGGATAGAATACTAATGCTACACTGTATTTTTTTTTTTGTCTTTAGGAACCAGGCAGAGAGAGATGAACGCTCAAATGGCCGGACTAGTCGTCCAGCACATGGTACAGACTCTATCCTGGTTTCAAAATCCACGCTTTGCAGTGATAACCCATAAAATTGTTGAGCTGATCCAGATAGATTTTTTTATTTTTCGGCGCACTATTACAGACGATATCAAGATGGGATCGAGAGATACAGGAGACCCTGCAACCACCAACCTTTACATTGGAAATATCAACCCAACAGTGAATGAGGAACAATTGTGCATGGAGTTTGCGAAATATGGCCCCATCGCCAGTATCAAGATCATGTGGCCAAGGACCACAGAGGAAATCGAGAGAAACCGCAACTGCGGGTTTGTAAGCTTTATGGAACGAGCGGATGCGGCTGTCGCATTGAAGGAGATGGATGGTATCGAGCTCATGGGATATGCCATGAAGCTAGGCTGGGGCAAGGCCGTTGCTATTCCAGCGGTTCCGTTTTATGGTAAGATATCCAGCGAATGAAGTTGTTTACATTTCATGAGGGGAGTGTTTGGTAGCCAGTTGACTGATATTTTTTGCAATGCTTAGTCCATAAGGATTATAAGATGCCTCCGAAGGCAGCCAAGGTCCCAGTGCGGAAATCGATACCTCCGTCAAGCACAGATATAATTGTGACCAAGCCAACGGACCCCAAGACACTGGTGTGTATTCATCGAGTGGTCGAAAGGGTCTTGGCTAATGGCCACGAGTTCGAGCAGGCGCTCATCGACAAAGAGCCGCACAACCCGGTTTTTGCATTCCTCGTCGACCATAAGGTACACCTGAGAGTGAAGACTTCACATTGACTGTTTATGGATCTCACTTTATGGGTCGTGCCGCGATAGTTAATTTTTTCGGTTCTTGTATTCCTTGTCATAGTCGCTAGAGCACACTTACTATCGCTGGAAGCTGTTTTCGATGATGCAGGGAGACACTGCAGTACGCTGGCGGACAGAGCCCTTCAAGATGGTGGAGGGTGGACCGATATGGGTGCCTCCTTTGATGACATTCACGGACGAGGTCTTTGAAGAGGACGAGCGGCTTATGGAGGCGCATGAGGATGAGTTTGAGAAAGGAAGAGTCAAAGGGACACTGAGTCGGGGCGCGAGGAGCTATTTTGAGGCCCAACTCAGGATGCTGACCATTCAACGACGGTCCATTGGCAGAGCCATGATGTTCTGCATGAAGCATGCGGACGCGGCCGACGAGGTATGACCTTCACAGAGTGGTTCTTGCTTTGATAAAATGAACGAGAAGCGGGGTTGATACTGATTATAGTGCGTGGCTACTCGTAGATCGTTGATGTTATTGCAAGCTCGATGGTGTTGCCGGGTACGCCCCAGCCGACTCGCTTGGCTCGACTGTATCTCATATCCGATATTCTGCACAACTGCAGTGTGCCATTGCCGAACGTCTGGAAGTTCCGATCTGCGTAAGTTCTCGTACCCATGTACCCATGTATCCATGTACCCATAGAGTGTTTTCTGCTTTCATTTTTTTTCTTTTAGCGTACACTAGTCACTCTTCGACTGACTCCTTGATCACTTTGTAGGTTCGAGGTCAAACTTCCGGCCATTTTTGAAGCGCTGAATGCAATCTACCGCAGCATCGAGGCACGTCTCAAGGCGGAGCAATTCAGGAGACAGATCTCGGGTGTGCTCGCGATCTGGGAAAACTGGATCGTGTTTCCTCAGGAATATATCGATAATCTGGCGAACGTATTGGCGCGCAAGGAAGTCAGCAGCCTGCAGCAGGCCGATTCATCGACTTTAGACTCAACCGGCACTCTTGCGTCCGCATCATCGCCTGGAGGGTCGTCAACGGCCAAATTAGGGTTCCTGAATACGTTCCAAGCGATCAGTGCTCCACAGGGAGATGATGATATTGATGGCTTGCCCCTAGAGGACGTGGATATGGACGGCGTGCCTTTGAAGGATGAAGATTTGGATGGTGTTCCGATGGAGAATGAAGACCTGGATGGTATGCCGATGGAGAACGAAGACCTTGATGGTGTCCCTCTGTAGTATCACAACCTTGGGAATAAAAAACTTTGCTGGATATTTTGACGATATGATAAAACCAGATTCTCTTTTGATTTGGACGTTTATTGTACATGTTTACAAAAGCAATGGGAAATAAAATAAAAAATAAAAAAGCAAGAAACGAAAACAAGACAAGAAAACATGCTGGTATGGGTGGATGGAAACTACAAAGGCCAAGGCAACGAGTCATTTCCTGCTCTAGAGGACTCATACGCGAGTGGCATCCGATGCGGACGTGGACTGGTGCTGGTGGCCATGGTCCTTTTTGCTTTTGTTTTGCTGGGACATTGCTCCTGTAGAAGAGTCCGCATCAGAGTCATCCTCGGTCGAGTCAGAGTCATTGGCGGTTGCCATCAATGCATTCTCGTTCAGCTCGCCTGTTGCCGCTGCTTCCTTGAGGGCTTCGCTCAGAGGAGTGTTGTAACGGTAGATGTAGAACTGGAAAAAGATCTAATAGAGAGAAAGAAAGAAAAAATACTGTGTGAGTTTTCAAATCAAGAATGCCATTCATGCACGTATGCATCATCTTGGATGTGCTCACAAGAGAAAAGAGACAGATGTATAGAAAGATAGGTAGTCTTGCTTACCGTGAAATCAAAGATCAGGGTACCGCCGGAACCTAGCCACCATGGCATGTTCCTGATCAGGTAATCGATCTCAAGCGAGTTAAAGAAGATGGAGGCCACGTAGAAGATGTTGCCAAAGACCGAGAACACAAACATCATCACCGACAACCCCTCGCACGACTTGAGCCTCCAGTTCTTGTAGATCTGTGGGATACGCGATCCGAGGTATAGAACTGCACTTCCCCATCCGAGCAACAAGGGCAACCACAGCTGCACTCCGGTCTTCTCACCCCCATGGTTGTCATCGCCTGGGTGCTTCTTGGGCTCCTTGCTACTCATGATTGAAAGTACATCGTCGGTCCCTGATGATGGGGGGCGGGGTGCAGGAGGCAAATTGCCATGTCCACCATTGTGTCCACGGCCACAATGAGACCCATCCTCTGAACCCTCTCCACTGCCAATCGTGCACTGCAGCCAGTCATAGTATGCCCAAACGAAGATCGCGATCATCATAATAGGGAAGATGACCATGGCAACCTTGCGGATCATCCTGCGGCGCTTCACCATTTTGTATCGGTACCTTCCAGAGGCCGTAGTCAGGGTGGAGTGTGCTGAGGGACGACGCTGATGACGAAGAGAACGTTCTCCTGGCAAAAGATGTCCCGATTCGGTGTCGGCAGTTTGGTGGTGATGTCCTTCAGCATAGTGTGATGCAGTAGCATTGGCGACCATGGCTGCCTGGTGGATCACTCGATCGTGCTCGTTCTCGTGGACGTGTTGAGATGGCGAGATACTTGAATAGTTTGCTGAGAGGCTTCCCGCGATAAGGGGTGCGTGTTCGCCGTGAGGCGCACTTAGGACTTCAGGACTGGCATGCGTGATGACTGACTCGAAGCTGGCCTTGGGAGATGTCCTGCGGTAGTAGAAGATTTGTGCAATCAATGCAACCTAAAACGATAGAAAAAGTAACAAAATGCGTAAGCACATGAACACAAGACCATAAGCTATGCATGCAGAAGAGTACATGTTACTGTGCCTGTCAAACGACAGCGAGGCAAAAAGGCCGAATTTCAATAACTTACATCTGCGATAGTGTAGTACCAGGCCAGGACACGCTAAATGTGCCACAAAAAATCAGCAGAAAGGGTTAGCAGTTGCTATTGGCTATTGAAGTATGTATCACAAAAAAAAAATGAAGCAAGAGGCGAGAAGGCAAAGAGGATTTGACACTGGAGTCTTTGGCTGTTGAACATACCATCGTAAGCAACAGGTTATCCATGGTTGCGCCGATCAGGTTCATGATATCACCGGCGAGCCAGATGTAGAGGAAGATTAGCGACAGGGACTCTCCTGACTGCCTCTTGTAGTTGATCCAAAATTGACTAAGAGAAAGCAAAGATGATATCACCCGCGTTAGTCATGGTGCTACTGCAGCTGCTGTGGTAGCGTACCAGCGTGGTGCAGGTACATGTACAAAGAGCACCGGATCGAAAAAATCCTGCCTGATTCGGCATAGAAACACACAACATCAACAGAGTTGGTCCAATTGCGTATTGCACCCAGAAGATCCCCCAAAACAAGGTTTTCAGTCGCCCATAACCAGACACATGTACACCATATGACCTATATCGTCCAGCATATGCATCCAAAGGGAATCCGAGGCTGCGCGCCTCTGTTACAGTACAGCCCTCTTGCGACTGTGTCCCTGCTGCACCTGTTGCGCTGCCTACTCCTGTGCTCCTGCTGTGATCTTTTCGTGGTCCTGTTGTTGCTATTGTTGCTGTTGTCGCTGTTGCTGCTGCTGTTGCTGTTGCTGTTGTTGTTGTTGTTGTTGCTGTTGTTGTACATATATATCTAATCCAGAAAGATACACATGTTCCTGGATAGCGATACGATGGCATCAACTTGTATCATCCGTGCCTTTTTTTCTGTGTATGAAACCATGCATCTCCAATCAGCTGGTCCGAGATCACCCTGATTGTACAAAGACGCAGCAGCCCAAAAGATCTATCTCTTTTTACATAACTGTGGTCGTTTCCCCTCCCCCCCCCCCCCCCCCCTTTTTGTTTTTAAATTCCTTCCCTTATATATCATTTCTTTGAAAGTTTTTTTTTTTTTTTTTTTTTTTTTTTTGGTGGCAAAAATGTTATAGTTCCTTTGATTGTCCCCCCTCCCTCTCTTCTTCCAGCTCTGGGCTTTCGAAAGAGCAACTGAAGATCCAAGAAGAGATGGGTTTCGATAGCAAGCAAAAGAGGACTTACGGAGTAAAGACAATGAACCAGCAGAGGATCGACAGGGAGCCAGCAACGTTGGAGAGGTATATCTTCAGGGGGATGGCGCTGTCATCTGCGACGGTGTTGGCAGCCATGGTGGCGCCCTGGCTTGCGAGCCAGTAGAAAGCTGTGTGTGCAACCATTCGCTGTGGGGTTGGACGAATGAAGAGAGGAGGAGGATCAGGAAGGAATGAGGAATAAGGGATGAGGAATGAGGGGGGAGAGGAAAAAAGAGAAAGCGGCGGAGGAGGAAGCAGGGCAACTGGAGATAGAGAAAGAAAAAAGAAAAAAGAAAAAGTAAAAAAAGAAGGCGGGTATATGGACGGTGATATGTACAAAAGGAGAAGAGAGGGGGGTGAGAGACGAGAGACGAAAGGCGAGAGACGAGAAACAGAAACAAAAGCAGAAAAGCAGAAAAGAAGAGAGAGAGAGAGAGAGAGAGAGAGACAGCTGCTTTGCCTACGACCTTCTTATCTGGTCCGCTGCAGCCCCACTTTGTCTCGTTTACAGCGTACATGCAGCCAGACTGTGTATTGGCCATAGTCTCCACACAGCCCTATGGGCGATGAGATACGGGCGGCCTCCAATCTCCGCCGATGGAGTCACCGCTCGTCAGTCGGTGTCCAACCCAAACCTTGTTCTCCTCCCTGCCATGCACTGCAGTCCCCTCCTCATCTCTCCTTCACTCACACTCACACTCACCCGCACCACATCGATCAGTCTGCACCCTCCGCTGCTGCTCGACACTCCTCAGCATCCCCCACTGCTCCTCGACAGCTCTCTCAATAGACCTGGGCAGATACAGCTCCATGATCCCCTCCCCCCCCACCTTCCCCCCCTCCCCCCAAAAACAAAGAAACCGCTGTTTGAGATACTGTGCGCACACATGTGGATGAGCAAGAAAATATTTCGGAGCAAAGGAGGGCTCGTGGAACACAAGAAGGGCACCAGCAGCTGCTTTTGGGTTCCTAGTCGCGTGCCTCTCTCCCTCTCCCTCTCCCTCTCCCTCTCGCATCTTTGCCTATCGAGAGAGCCAACAAACAACCCCCCAGGGCTGGTGTCTGCACCTGTCAGCAACCCGAGCGAGCTCAGGACTGGATTTGGATGGCCAGGGTAAATAATCCGCAAAGATGGGCTACCGCTGTCTTTGAAGTGTTTGAATGAGGATGTCTATTATCTATGTACAGTCACAGAGCAGAGCACTGATCGAACCCCCCTCCAGAAAATAAAAGATACATTATTGATACACGGGGGATGGATTCCTGCACAGCACCAACAAATGGGGCCATTTGTCCAGAGAAATCCGTGACTCCAGCTCATTGCTCCTTGCTCGGAGACGACGACGTTGTTCCCTCGCCCTTACCCCCAAAAGCATTCGGCAGAATGCCTCCAACTGACCCTGCAGAAGGATCGCCGTCCTCCTCTTGCTCAGTAATGCTCTCCGCCACTCCTGTCCGCGTACCCACGCGCGGACCAACAGGCGAAGAAACCGTTACCACTGCTGTCATCTCCATTGGTCTTTGTGATAGAAACCCCGCGACGTCGTCGTTCTCGGCTCGGTACTTCCTGAAGATACCCCATTTTCACGACTCCCTCGATGGCCGTCGCTGTCACTGTCACTATCATTGTCATCCTCCCCTTCCTCCTCGTCCTCCTCGTCCGCCCCCCTATCCGAGTCATCCTCGGAATCACTCTCATATGCAGGGGGTAAACCCATGTATCGGGGCTGGGTCGACTCTGTTCCTGCGGTGGTGACAGTCGCTCCTGCGGACGGCCCTGATAAAGAAGTCGCCGCACGAGCAACACCGTTTCCAGCCATGATATCCTCGTATCCCGGTAAACGGTAGTCGCAGTACGCAGGACTCGGTACAGGAACCGCATACTCATCCAGAACTCCTTCCCGGACCGAGATCTCAATCATCCAGACCTTGGCTTCCTTGAAAATGAACCCGCAGCAATAAAGGTCTCGAAGAAGTTCCTTCCAGGCTTCCCATCTTGATCGATCGGGTGATGCGAGCGTAGTCGATGCTGCTGACAATTGTCCCGGTGAGGATTGTTGCTGCTGCTGGAATTCTAAGGGTATTGTCCTGGGTGGTGTGGGAATGCGCAGGGCGCTATAAACATCCGCAACCCGTGTTGGTGGAGTAAGTGTTGCATGGCTGGTTATGTTTGCTGAGGCGGTTGGCGTTGGCGTTGATGGCGTTGATGGCGTTGATGGCGTTGATGGCGTTGATGGCGTTGACATTGATGGTATTTGAGATGTGGACGATATAGATATCTCCGACTGATTAGATTGTCCATATCCCTGTCCCTGCGAACCATGCTGCTGCTGTTGCTGCTGTGTGTTTCCTGTAGTCTCCTCCGCATCTCCGCGCCTCCCTTCGACCTGGATGATGACAACACTATTCATCCCTGGCGGCAGAACCATACCTTGGCTCACTGAACCTCCTCTACTACGCCAACGCCATCGCCATCGCCGCCCCTCATTCCTGGGACGCAACCTTAACTTCCATTGGATCGCATGGGTGACAAAATCCTGTGCCGTCCATGTCCGGAGCAGCTTTTGGGAACGGTACTTGAACTTTACGCCCCCACCCATGGAACAATTACCCATTTTCGAGTACAAGAAGGAGGGGGAGAGGAATAAAATGCATTCAATTGTGAGTTACAGCATACTTTGCGCGTGAGAAAGTAAAAGAGAGAGATGAGATAATTTGTTGGGCGTCAAGCTGTAGATGTAGACTATACTTTGACTTTAACAAACACAAAGTCTATGAAAAAAAAAAAAAAAAAAAAAAATCTGGGTAACCTCGGCTAAAAGAAATCAAAGAAATTCCTCTCCTTACGGTACCTTCTTACGCGCTCTAGCCTTGGTCTCCTTGCGGATCCTGATCCAGAGGACGGCAATGATGGGGAGGACAAAGCATGCACCCTGGCTCATGATCGACAGGGCTGTCCCCGTTTTGGAGATCCCGATCGCTGCGGTCGTGAAGAGTCCCACAAAGACAATGAACATGAGAATGCTCGGCCATAGGGTCGGGTACACGGGCCGAGCAATCTTATTAAGCCGTGTGAACCTGTTCTCGAGTTCTTGATATGAAATGTACTATGTATATGGTAGCATAGAAAAAAAACAAAAAAAAAAAAAAACATCGGTCTTGTTGTCGTGAGCATTTGGAGAGTACACTCTCAATAGTAGATTCATCATTTGCCATTGGCGTTGAACGAGAGACATGGCGGTTGCAGGGGAGAGGGAGAAGGGGGGAAACAGGAAAAGTGGGTTTATGCAATTTATCCGTTGAAACCACATGCTTTGTGACAAATCGTGCGAATCACAAAATTACAGTGGGCACGGAGCAGCAGCAGTTTGGACACACACTTCCTTCTTCAAAAAAAAAAAAGTGTCGTTCAGACGGTGCATCTTTCCATGGACGCCAAACGCTGGAACTCCCCCCCCCCAGTCGAGTCAACTCTCAATTTGCACACGATGCTCTCATCTCACCAACTCGGCGCAGCAGTTCTTTCCCCTCCCCACAAACAAGACTGCGAATCTCCTGACGTGACTATTCGGGCGGGGGATGAAATAGTGAAGAGTATATGCCTCGCTGTTGCACAGAGGGAGGATGTGATGTTGATGTGATGGCCAGGGCAGTGAATGGGAATGGGAATGGGAATGGGATTGGATTGGATTGCTAACCTCCAGCTCTACGGGCAAGTCCATGATCGAAGGCGTCTTCCAGTAATGGATACCGAACCATGACTTTTGCAGCGGCACTGCCAGCAGTAGTAACGGCATCCTGCTGTATTAATTATTATTATTTTTCTGGGTGTTCAATTGGTAAGCTGATGCTGAAGATATGGCGAGGAGGAGGGGGGATATCGGAAGGAAGGGAGCTGCGGAGAGCGGGAAGATACAATGGTGGTGGTGGGGAGGACACAATTGAGAAGAAAGGACAAAGAGGGAGGGACGTGGGCGGAAGAGAGAGAAGGAGGGAGAGAGAAATCTAAAGACCGTCTTGATTGGCCGTTGCGAGAAATCTCTCCCCTCGCTCGCCATTTATCGCATCGCATCGCATCGCATCGCCATCCGGCCGTATCTGCACACCGGTCCCTGCGGTTCGATCGCGTTCCAGTCGCTTGTAGACTAACATCGCCGCCCACAACTGCTAACATCCTGATCCAAACACAGCAAGCGACAGCGTAACTGTCCGCTTTCTATTGCTTTATGCTATAAATACCAAAATAGAAAATACAAAGGTAGCTCAACTAGCGACACACTGGCGCCCCCCCTTCCTTTAAACTAGGACCAAAAATTATACAGGATGGAGAAATCGTCCCGATGCGAGTAAAGCCAGACATGCTTCTGGCCACCGTCCTCCTGCCGCACCTTGAGCATCGCCTCCCGAATCGACAAGCAATAGTCACGCTGCGATGGACTCAGTTGGTCCAGCACATTCTTGCGGAAGCTGTCGTCCTCTACCACATTGCAGTGTGCTAGTTTGCGCAGGTTGTCCTTCGACAGATCCACCGCCAGTACCGGAACCGTGCCGCTGACCAAGTTCTTGGTCACTCCCACCAGGTTGTTGATCGCTTTAGAAAGAAAGAAAGAAAAAAAGAAAACACAAAGAGCCTAGTCAGCAACAATACCATCTTCAGCTCCTTAGCCACATGCTACTCAAGCTGTTTTTCAAGAGAAATACCTTTGTCAATGAGCATGGTCTTCTGCTTGTGCTTCAGTCGATTCCTCGAGGAGCTGACCACGTTCACATTAAAGTCCGTCTGCAGCTGCGATGATTCCCCGGGAGAGTTGTGGTGGTGATGATCGTGTCCATGTCGCGTGCTCACAGATGCTGTTGTGGACTCGAGTGCGTGATGATGATGGTGTCCACCGTTGGCATCCACAAATTTCCGCGCCTTGGACCCGATATTTCCTGATCCCACCATGGCCGCCATCTGAAGATCAAGCCGAGTTTGCTCCGCAATCTCGGCCTTCAACAAGATACAGAGCTCAGATCGAGGGACCTCATCTTCCGTCTTACGAAGTACGTTCTTGACCTTGACCATGCCCATCAAGTCCCGATTATTTCGCTGCTGCGCATCCAGCTGGTTCTTGTTCTTCAAAATCACAATCCAGTTAATGCTCTGGTGCTTGCATGTCGTCACCAACATCTCGGGCGTCAAGTCTGTACCATCCTCGAGCATATAGTCCGCCTTGATGCCGTGTGCCCATAGCTCCCGAACCAGTTCTAGACGCTCCTGCAAAAGCACCTTGCCAAAGCTCGCCACAAATACGTCACATCTCTTGGGTGCCCACAATCCGAATGATTTCTCCTCGTCATGACCCGAATTGGCTCCACCTGAGCCATGACCACGATTCGACTTGCTGCTGGCTACAACGTACCGGAAGTGCTCAGACTGATACTGTGAGATGGCTGCAATGAACTTTTGCATCGCCAGATTAACTCCCACAGCATAGACCTTGCGATGAGGACCACCGATCACCGGATGTCGAAACTGTTGGATTAATGAGTCGTACCGTCCGCCTGCAGCAAGAATGTTTTTACGCTTGGCATCGTCCACTGCCTGGAAAATCATTCCACCTTTGTAATATTGATTGTTGTACCTGGCCGTAAAAAATACAAAAAAAAGGGAGCACAAAGATGTGTCAGCTTATCATTACTCTGTATCCTCTATATAGACGCCATGTCCTCATGCACCAAATGCTTAGGAACTTACATGAGAAGCGGACTGAAGACGATTTTATGCCGCACTCCCAGGGTTTTGCAATATGTCATCAACAGCCGCAGCTCCACCAAAGCATCCCGCAGCTTGGTCTTCATCGGCTCAGCAGTAATGAGATCCTCTAATGCCTTTGCCACTGTCTCCAAATCGCCTTTTCGATCAAACAGTTCCAGCTCGTCCAAGACGCTACGTGGCAGGTGATAGACAGACATGAGATGGTTCCTGACCTGGGACATGTGCTGGTATTGCCTGCCAAGCTGTCCCAAGATAGTATAAACCCCCGGGCGGATTTCTGACGGAATTCGGCAATTGTCAAAGATCGCCTCCACCACCATGGTATGGTTGACCAGGAAAAATACGCCGTTGCTCGCCTTAAACGGGGGAAACTCCTCCAAGAGCTCGTCCACGACCTTAATCAGCTCCGCATCCGCCACCATTGGATTGTGAGTATTGTGCACAATATCAAAATCGACTTCGTACACAACCTGAGGCTGGCCGCCGACGGTATTCTCCCGATAGACGCGTCCAAAACAGAATCGCTTCAGCTGAGTGATTCCATTCCTGCAGATAAATCGGGCAAAGGGCATTGTCAGATCGTAGGGCAGCTGCACCAATCCTCCTGTGGAATCCATCAGTGCCACCAATTTCTTGTCACTGTCGTGCAGGTCGCTTTTGGGCGTCAAAAGAGGCGTGCCAAGCTCCACAGCCGCATGGCACCGAAAGATGTTAGTCATTTGGTCCCGCACTTTGCCATAGAAAAGAGAAAAAAATGGATCCCACGTCTTGTTCTCCGCATTAAAGTCGTAAGTGTAATCCTTGTGCTTGTCGGCATTCTGGGCGAATAATGCCGACATCAGCCGATGGTAGTACGGCGTGTTGGGGTTGGCGATGGTCCGCACACACTCCTGAATATATTCGTCCTCCAGCTTAGGTGGCAAAAGGTCGCTCTGCAAAAGCTCCAAGCTGCTGGGCCGTTCCTTCAAATTATGACTCAATAATGCCCGGATGACCTGCGCCTGTGCCGCCATCTTGTCCATGGGAAATTCTTTGGGAAAAATAATCTCAGGTTGCTGCAGATTCCTGAGGGTCATGGCACGCTCCATGCCGGTAGCAAGTGGGTAGCACATCTCGAAAAAGATAATGCCCAGAGAGTACATGTCCGCTTTAGAGTTGTATCGAACCCCGTTCAGTGTCCCGTTCAGCACTTCCGGACTGACATAGAAAACAGTGCCCACACCAGTCGTTAGGGACAGCCCATCGTCATGCGCCCTATCGTAACTTGCGCTACGGCTCATCATGATCGTCTCGTTGACAGCCTGGCTCTGCGTCTTCAGGTCACTCAACAGTTGCGAATTGCTAGTCGCCAACCCGAAGTCTCCGATCTTGACATCACCATTGGCATCCAGGAAAATATTGACCGGCTTTAAATCGCGATGGATCATTCCTTGAGAGTGGATGTGGACAAGGCCCTCCAGAATCTGTCGGAATAAGCGCCAGCCGTCGTCCGGGTCCAAACCAATGTCGATCAGGTCCTTTAGCGTCTGCCTTTCGCAGTACTCCATCTGAATATAAAGCGTTCTCGACGACTTTGGCGCTGGCTTCTTCTTTTGATGCACCGCTACCTTCCTAATGAGCTGTTGTTCCCCGGCGGCACCCTCGGTTTCTGTTGACTCGAACCGAATGTCCGAATCCGATTCTGATCCAGACTCGCTATCGTAGTCGCTCTCCGATTCTGATCCTGAGTCCGAGTCTTCCTCTGAAGATCCCTCTGAGCTATCTAGAGCCAACCCATTCATTCCAAACGAGCTTTCAGCAAGTCCTGAAACATCTCTCGACCGGTGACCAAAGTGGATATTGGCGTAGCTGTGATTGCGATTATTGGATCCTTCGGACAGAAAGTCGTACTTCAGGTCTTTCACCACCTGGGTCGAATCTTCGTATGAGGAGAGGTCGTCGTCGTCATCATCATCATCCTCTTCGTCTTCAGAATCGTCTTCGGAATCCAACTTATTATTCTCGCTCCACGATGCCCCATTCATGTCCTCGAACCATGTTGTGAAATATCGGACCACGAATTGATGGTGTAGCCTTAAAACACAAGTAATATTGCAATTACTCGGTTAGATATAAATTGAGCTCTGGTCCAAATCTTAAGAAAAGCACGTAAGAGCTAAGGACCTTACCTGGATAACGTCGTAACCTCTCGGAGAATCTTACGGTTAGTTACATTGTCCTTGGGATCCAGCTTGATCTTTTTGATGGCGTAGAATCTGCCGTCCAGTTTGTTCCTAGCTTTGACGACCTCCCCAAAGCCACCTCTACCCAAGAATTCAATCTCCTCAAAGTCGCTCCTGTAACGCGAGTACAAGTTGTTACCCTTTGGAGGCGAGGTGTTGAGTTGGTTAATAGAGTCGTCTACGTACATATCGTCCAACCTGGATGATTCCCTCCCCACTCTGGGCAAAGGTATATTAATGGCTGCTGGCATCTGAGACAATCGAATGCCAAGCTTTGAATCATTCTCGGTATCTGTACAGAAATCGTGGGTAGATTGATTAGATATCAGGAAGATACGTAATATCAAGGTATGTTGACCAACAAGTATTTTTTTTACCTCGATACATATGGAACTGGGCCAAGGTACTGTCATCACCAGCCTCATCTCCTAGGAAAGGATCGTTTAACAAGTCTGCAGCGCTTGGTCTCCTCTTGGCATCCCTTTTTTTTTTTTTTTTTTTGTTTGGACGCACACAGTTAGTTTTCCACCTGGGAACCCTGTTCTTCGGCATGAGTTAATCCCTGATGGTATGAAATCAATCTGCTCCGCTTACAGTTCAAACATTCTCGTGATGATATCCTTGGTCAACTTGGGGATGCTGGGTTCCACGGATTCCAAAAACTGTGCAGGTGAACTGAATATCCTGGTGACATCGTTGCCCCATAGCATCTCGACGAGTACTTGCCCCAGACACCAGATGTCATGCTTCCTGGTGTAAACGATGGACGCCTCCTGAGGATCCGGTGATGGCCATGCTCTGGGGACTTCCTGGCCAGCGTCAACATTGAAACTGAATATCTTGTGCATGTCCAATAGTCGTCGATGGTAGCTCGTGTTGTTGAGTTTAATGTTTCCATTCGGATCCAGCACAATGTTCTTCAGCCTGATGTCTATGAGATGAGTACAGACGCATTAAAAATAAATCTACGCCTGCAGATAACAGCTATGTTTAAAGTAGTCCCATATCCGATCCCCTTACCCTTGTGAATAACATTGTTAGAGTGGAGATAGACTAACGCTTGCAGGAGCTCCTTGAGGTATCTCCGGGTCTTATCAAGTTTGACACTGCCTGCAATGTTGATAAGCGATTCCAGAGAGGTCATATTCGCAGAACCCCCGTCTGTCAAAACATGAAGGTTCCATCCATTGGCGGTTTTCTCAAGGCGAGAGTCCAAGATGGAGACGAGATGGTGATGCCGCAACAGTTTTAACCTTGACAACTCCTTTTCTACGTCCTGTAGTTTCTTCTTTCCAAGGTGGGTGCTGTAGTGCGGCGCTGTAATATCGAATGTCTTCAAGAGTAAGAATGGAACGTCTGCTGATGAATGTGGCCGTGCGGTGTAGTTGGTAGGCAATGCAGAATAAGTGGAGCTGATCAAGCCGCGAGAAAGACACGAGCCTCTCAAAACAGAGCGGAAGGCAGGAGCCTAAAGCACACAGAAAAAAAGGGTGGACACTGTAAGTTCGGCGCCGTTACAAAAATCTCAACTGTCATGATCCGGGTCCTTCTTTTGATGGCGCATACCTGAGAATCTTCTGGGGAAATCATGATCGGCATTTCGAAATTCACGCTGACAGCATCCAGTCCATATCCGGATCCACCACCCGATCCGCCGTCCATGTATTCTCCGCCGAATTGCTCCTGTTGCTTGTTTTTGAGTTCCTTCTGGCGCTTCTTTTCCTCTTTGATCTTTTCCTCCTTGCGCATCAGATCTTCGCGAATTTTTTGGTCCAGAGTTCTGTCCGCATTCATCCTAGCCTCCATTTCGAGCTCCTGCTTCTTGGTCATCGCCTCAAATGCCCTCTCCTTTTCGTCCTTGTTCGTCTGCTCCACTCGCTGTAGCATTTGCTCGTGGAAACTCGTGTGTTTAATGAAGAGACTGGAATTGTTCTGGGTGATGTATTCCTGGACGAATGATGCTAATTCGTACATCATCTCCTGCCCAACTAATGCCTTTGCCTGGTTGGGAACGAGTTTCGATAATTCCTGAGCTTGCGCCGTAGACAGTCCTCTGGGATTCTCGATCTTCAAGTCTGGCGCTGTCCTGGGATATGTCTTCGTGAACCTAGTGGGCAATCCATGATTAGAAGCAAAAGGAAATGTAGTCAGGAAGACTGTAATCAAACGGGGAAATAATCAAAGTGGCCAAATGAGATACAGGCTCGCTTACTTGACGCGCAAGTCCACAGACACATATCGCTTCAATTCTTCCTCCTGAGGTAGTAGATGAAGCCGGAATTCGGGTACTGTAGGCACCATCTAGATTTGAAAGCGGCAGGGCGGAAAGGAAATGTCAGTCCTGGCACACTCTTCTGGCGAAACAGAGTAGAATTTGAATATTCCTCTGGAATATATACCTTCCATGCCGATGGTATGGTGATGGGCTGGTAATCCTCCATGTAAATGGCTATTACAATGACACAAGAAACGCAGCGGCCAGTTGGCATCTTTCTCACGCATATCACTAGGAATTTGCTACAGCAGCCAATGTGATATGTACCTTTAAGAGCCTCCAGCTCGTTTTCCTGCAGTTCTAAGAGTTCATCCTGGTTCATACCCGCCATGGCTTAATGGATTGGAGCCTGAAGTTGCAAGGAAGGGAGGACAAGTTGTGGTAAAGAAAGTGTGTGAACCAATGGGTGCTCCGAGTGTTGATTATCCAACCCGGAGAAGTAATTACAGATTTTCGATGGTTCAAGAGTTGGGAAAAGGGAAGGGGGCGTTCAATGAAAGGAAGAAGAGCAGTCGATCGCGTCTTCTGCCTTACAATGCCATGACCGAGGACATCATGCTGATGAATAAACGACACGCGACTGAGGGGAATGGAATGATTGAACGAGGAAGGAGCAAAAACCAACGGACGGACATCTTGATATGTGGTCAAAGTCATGTGACATAAACCTGCACTGACCAGGCTGCTCTGCTTGCGAGGCAGCACAAGCGAGGCACGTTTGTGCTAATCCCTTCAGACCAGATCGTGCCGACTTCACTGCGCCATATTTGCTGGTCTTTCCATTGATGCCGCTCTCTTTTCGATAACCCCCGCTCCTCATTCTTTTTGGTTCAATGAGCCATTGAGACATGGCATGGCCGGTATAGCGCAGCTATATATGTAAAGTGCCGTGGCAATGCGGGGAACAAGTTCCCGGGTAAGGAGTGCTTCGAGAGTATCCTGGCGGGGATAAGATTGGGTTTGGGATCGACAGCGCCCGCATAGAATACTTTCGAAGCCCGTGGAACCAAGGTCACATAACCTTAAAGTCCGTGCTAGGCCCATGCAAGGCACAGGGCAGGAAACCATATGTTGGAAACGGAATAAATAGCCCCCTGATCGTGGTTCTTCGCCCTTATCTCTGCATCACTCCACCCCACCACCCATCGCATCCACTACTTGGTCCGCTTCTTCTCTTTGCTGTACACTATCTCTCTCTCTCTCTCCATTCGACACCCACACGCTTGCATACCTACCTAACAAAAATCATCCATCATGTCTGTCGTTGGTACGTATTCTACACCCATATCTTCCTTTCCCAGGCACACCAACAACAATTATCTTTCCCTCGCTTGCTCTACACTCCAGGACATGCTCTACACCCATGTGAACTAGGCAACTGACACTTGCAATGCTTCTTTTCCTGGCTCTAGGTATCGATTTCGGAAACTTACAAACAATTATCGCTGTTGCCAGAAACCGTGGTATCGACGTTATCTGCAATGAGGTCTCCAACCGCTTCACACCTGTAAGTGCCGCTCAGTTCCTTTTTGTTTCGACTTTTTGCTGCCACGATCTCAGTCCGTTGTTTGCTGAAGTAGATTGGACTTGACTGGACTGAGCCGGATTGGACTGAAAAGTGCTGGACGGAAGGAGAAACACGTTTTGTTCGGTTTGGTTCGACTCGATTCAGTTCGATTTGATCTTTATTCGATCTCTATTCGATCATCATTCATGCCGTATCTTCTTATCGGTGCTTCTGTGTCCATTTTGTTTATCCTTTTTCCCTGGGAAGAAAAGAAAAGCACGCAGCAGGCAGGATGCGGGAGTAAAAGGCGGCCATTCATATGTCAAGGGAATAATGGGTCACTTCTGTAGGGCAGTTCGACTCTGTGCAACAAGCAAACCAAGTCAAAGCTTGTCAAAAAGTATCCATCAACTAACAAGAAACCTATCCTATTTCTTGAATCAAATAGACGCTCGTCTCGTTCGGACCCAAGCAGCGTTACCTCGGTGAGACCGCCAAGACCCAGGAAATCTCCAACTTCAAGAACACCATCTCCTCCCTGAAGCGCCTTGTCGGTCGCACCTTTGCCGACAAGGAGATTCAGGAGATCGAGAAGCACTACTTGACCGCCCCTTTGGTCGATGCCAATGGCCAGCTCGCCGTCAAGGTCAATTATCAGGGACAGGAGACAATCTTCACCACTGTTCAAATCTTTGCCATGTACCTCACCAAAGTGAAGGAGATTGCCACCGTCGAAACCAAGCTTCCCGTCTCCGACTGCGTTATCGCCATCCCCTCCTGGTTCACAGATATTCAGCGTCGTGCTGTCTTGGATGCCTCAGAAATCGCTGGACTGAACGTCCTCCGTCTGATCAACGACTCCACCGCCACCGCTCTCGGCTACGGTATCACCAAGACTGACCTGCCCGAGGACAAGCCCCGTAACGTTTGCTTTGTCGATGTCGGCCACTCCACCTACACTGTCTCAATTGTTTCGTTCATTAAGGGACAGCTCACTGTCAAGTCGCGCGCCTTTGACAGGCACTTTGGAGGTCGTGACTTTGACCGCATGTTGGTCGACCACTTTGCTGCAGAGTTCAAGACCAAGTACGGTATTGATGTCAAGTCCAATGGTAAGGCCATGATCCGCCTGATGGCTGGATGTGAAAAGCTGAAGAAGATGCTCTCCGCCAATGCTGAGGCTCCCCTCAACATCGAGTCTATCATGGAGGATCGCGATGTGTCCTCGATGATGAAGCGTACCGAGTTTGAAGAGCTGGCAAAGGACTTGATTTCCCGCTCGGAGGCTCCTCTCCAGAAGGCTTTGGAGGACGCCGGCTTGTCGAAGGAAGAGATTGATGCTGTTGAAATGGTCGGAGGCTCAATCCGTATTCCCGCCCTCAAGGAACGCATTCAAGCTTTCTTTGGCAAGGACCTCTCCTCTACTTTGAACCAAGACGAGGCCACTGCTCGTGGAGCTGCCCTTCAGTGCGCCATCTTGTCCCCCTCATTCAAGGTCCGTGACTTTACCGTTCAGGATATCACTAACTACCCCATCAAGATGACCTGGCAGCCTACCCCTGAGGAGGATGAGACCGAGCTCGTCGTCTTCAACAAGAATAACTCGATCCCCTCGACCAAGGTTCTGACCTTCTACCGCTCCGAACCTTTCGATCTCGAGGCCCATTACGCTGAGCCTCAGGATATTCCCGCTGGCATTAACCCCTGGATCGGCCGTTTCTCTATCAAGAAGGTTGAGCCTGTCAACGGCGAGCCCGCCTGCGTCAAGGTCAAGGCCAGAATTAACATCCACGGTGTTTTGACTGTCGAAAGCGCTTACGTTGTTGAGGAGGTCATCAAGGAGGAGTTGATTGAGGAAAACGCCAATGCCGATACTGAGAACCCTGATGCTCCTTTGACCCGCAAGGTCAAGAAGCTGGTCAAGAAGGGCGATCTTCCCGTTGTTAGTGCCACCTCTGCTCTTGACCGCGCTATCATCAACGAACTGAGAGAAAAGGAGATGGAGATGATTGCCGCGGACAAGCTGGTCGTCGACACTGAGATGGCGAAGAACACGCTGGAGGAGTACATCTACGACACCCGTTCGAAGGTCAATGGTGGCGTCTACGCGAGCTATATCAACCCCAGTGACAAGGACAAGTTCTTAGAGGACCTGAACAACGCCGAGAACTGGTTGTATGATGAGGGCGACGAGACGACCAAGTCGGTTTATACTGCCAAGTTGGCTGAGCTCCAGGTTGTCGGTAACCCTGTTATCCACCGCTACCGTGAGGCCGAGGCCCGCCCCGCCGCTGCCCGAGAGCTCCATGAGACCATCAACAACTTGATGGCCCAGGCCACCAGCACCGAGGAGAGGTACGCACACATCCCTGTGGAGGAGAAGAACAAGATCGTGGAGAAGTGCTCGAAGGCACAAACATGGATCGAGAACAAGATGGAGCGCCAGTCGATGCTGAAGAAGTACGAGGAACCTGCCTTGACCTCGGCCGATATCCGCAAGCAGCGCGATGACCTCGTTTACTTTGCCACACCCATCCTCAACAAGCCCAAGCCCAAGCCTGTTGTTGTTGAGACCCCTCCCGAGGCTGCGTCCTCGCCAAACCCCGAGCGCAAGACCACTCCTGAGACTAAGGAGGACGATACTAAGGACATGGACATTGACTAAATCGTTCATGGACAGCCTGTGCCTCTTTCCCCCTTACCACCATAGTACATAGTGCTCTTGTATACACCTTTGCTCACTCACCAACCTCATTCATAAAGATATCATCATTGTTTTTTTTTCATTGAAAATGACTGCCTCACAGGTTATCTTTGATCTTTTGCAGGCAACTCTTGTGCTTCATGAAACAATAGCTTCGTGTGTAACATCAATTGGCGTCGCGATAACTCGTTAGCTACGACTATCTTCCTGGGGGCTTGAAACTTGCAAGCATATCCCTCCAACTGAGATCCGTCCACAGTTCCTTGAGCAGCTGGATCGTATTCACGATCGCTCGCATCTGGCCAACACCGAGCTCCAAAGGTTCCTGAATCCAGCCGCTGGTCCTCGCACCCAGCACTGGGGATTTTCGAGACCGACCTTTACCAACAAAAGATGATTAGTCAACCTATTAGCACTCGTTGCGAAATAACGGTATGCTTGGTGCAACTGGTACTGGTGTTTGTAGAGCAGGTGGACGGCTACGGCGATTGTAACAGTCGAGAGAAGCATCAGGTATAGATATTTGATCAGAACCTGGAATGGCGCCGAGTGGCCTCTGACCTGCCATTCCCTGGAGTTCGAGATCGCACAAGTCGTGAACAATTGTTGAGGCTGAGGCTGAGGCTGCTTTGGGAGCTGACAAGCCCTGGTCTGCTCTAGCTCCATATGCAGGGTCTCTAGCTCCTGCCAAGACTCTTCCAGCCTGTGCTCGAGGACTTGTTTCTCGTGGATTGACAGGACTGCCTCTTGAATTGATGCAAACCCAAACACTTTTTCCTAACAAAGCATCGTATCAAAGGAAGTTGAAAAAAAAAAAAAAAATGCAAGAGTTGGTCATTAATATTATCAGGGATCATGGGCACTTTCTTTATCTTCTCTTTTTTTCTTCTTTTTTTACCTTGATGAGCTCTTGATTCAGTTCTTGCACAGTACACTCCTTTGCTTGTAAGCCTATCTCTGTGTTCTGACATCTCTCCAGCATATCTGCCATTTCTTGTACCAACTGGTCGATTCGGTTCGTCAGTAAATATTCTTGATCATGTAGACGTGCCGCTGCCTGCTTCCAGTACAAGAGCTGCATCCGTGCCGTCGCCAGCTCAAGTGTTCTCGGGGAGGTACGTTCGGTCCTTGCTGATAAAAGGCCTGTAGAAATACTGGCTCGAATGGAAGGAGATGCGCAGGTAATGATAGATGATCGAGGAGGAGGTGACTGATCCAGCAGAGGAGAATCTGGAAGAGGTGGAAGAAGATGATCTGGAGTGAAAGTCTCGATCAAATTCTGAGAAACTGCTCTATTCTCGATCGACAGTGAACCTGGGAGCGAGATTGGGCTCGACAGATGTCCTGTATCCAAGCTAGAAGCTTCGCACTCAAGGTTCAATATGCCATGTCTGTTTTTCTTGGAGTAAAACACGAGCTCTGGCTCAAATGCCCGCATTGGTATCCATCCTGGCGAGTTGTTCCCGGACGGCGCCGCATCCTCGTGCTGATTTTCTGGGCTCGTATTCTCAGACGAGGGTACCTCGAAGCAGGCTATGATCTGAAGGCAAGGGTCGAATTGTACTCGCTTCAGCACAGAGGTGTCGATACTTTCCGTCGTGACATTTAAAGCACCCAGTATGGCGCTCGTTACCTGCTGCGATGACATCACACATGGATTGTTGATATGAATGTTAAAGCTACTCTCCTCAAAGTTGGACGCGATCTCATCCTGCTCTCTTTCCTGCTCTAGCTCGCCATAGAGATTCAGTTGTTGTACTCTGTTCCACAACAGCCGCCTCTCGGGCCCTCTTTCCCTCTCCCCTCCTTGATCCACCTCGGCGCAGATCTGGAGTAGTCGGTCAAAATCGATGTAAATGATACTAGTCTCTTGATCGTCGTCGTCATTTGCGTCGAAATGGCACGCCTTGGTCACCGCATCGCGCTCCTGCTCATTCTGATACTCCATCTGCATTAGCTCCGTAGGTACCAAACCCTTGGAGCCAACCATCGAACCTTGTTGCATCTCGCTATTCAATTTCGCCTTCGACTCGATCCCTAAGACTTTGACACCTTTAGTCTTCAATTGTTCCACATCTTCGAAACTGCCGACGGAGGCTGATGCTTCCCAATATCGAGTACTCAATGTAGCGGACATGAGTACCGGCGACCCCTCTACCAACTCGTTCCTCTGTTCCTCGGTCATAGGCTCTCGAAATCGCAAATATGTAGTGGATTGCGTTGAAATCGATAATACTGATTTTTGTTCCTCGAATCGGTCAATTTTTGCTCTCTCCTTCGCTACTGTGTATCCTCGTTCCTGGAGATTAGGTAACGGAGCCTCGCTGGACTGGTCACGGTCGTCTTCTTTAGTCAAGTCCAAACTATTTCTATCATTACGAGTTCCGGAGTCGACAGTACTGTATTGGCAATAGAACTAGTGTCCTCTGTGTCCGTGCTTGTGAAGGAAAGAGTGTCAAATGACTGTGATGATCCGAGATCTAGAAATACACTCCTGGGCAACTTGCTGCCATAGCTCTCTTCTTCACCATCATCACTGCTGTCATGGTTGTAAATAGGTGACGGTAGATCATCATATCTTTCAGAATCATCCAGCTGATCCGTATCTCCAGCAATGTCATGATGCTTTAAAGTCTCCAAGTTGCTCACGCTTGCTGTGGCGGCGAGTAAACTTAGGATAGGTCGGAAGAAGGAGCCCTTGGACAAAGACTGGTTGGTATGGGGCGGTCCGGTGTGGCCGCTCAATTTTGAAAACGCTCTTTGGTTATGCTGTGTGGATAGTTGTGGATTCGCTTCTGCACTGACTCGAGACTGGTTATGAAACTGCTGTTGCTCCTCCAATTGATAGTAATGACTCTGATCTGAGGCGAGTGGTGCAGCTGTGGAAGATGAGGATGCCAATCCGATTCGAGTGCAGGATGGAGAAAGGTAGGCACCAGATGTGAAGAAATGGTTGAAAGGACCAGCAGAGGCCGGCTGACGTACTTTTTGTTGCGACTGTTGCCGCCGCTGCTGTTGATGTTGGTGACAGTGGTCATCCTGGCTCGCGACCGAATCGTCATGCCTCTGGATATAACTCATCCGTGTCGTAACCGCTGCTGAATCCATTGCGTTATTGGCGGCGGTATCAAGTACATCTTCTAGATCCTTTTGCTGTTCACCTACTCCTATTACATTCACGCAGCTGCAGGCGGTTGATGTATTAAATGCCACAGAGAGGTCATCGGCCGAGCTATTTTGTTGGTGCTCTCGCAACTCTTCAAAGGACATCCTGGGGTGGTTGCAAATGGTTTGTTGCTCAGGTAGGCTATTGAGCTTTTGAGAGTGCAGCGCTGATTTTGATTTGAGCGCCTCAGCACTGGCGCTTTCAGGGGATCCGCATTCAAGCAAAACTATTGGTATACTTTGTGCTGGTGAGGAAGGATGCGAGCATATGGAAGAGGAGGAGGTTGATCTTGGCAGCTTGAGCATGCTGCCAAGGTTCAGTTTGCTGTTAGTGAAATCGATTATGTGAAGGTAGGGGTTGCTTCTGCAAAAGATTAAAAAGAGATCGCGGGGAAAGGTAATGGCGAGTGAGTGAGTAGAAGAGGGACGATCTATGCTGCAGGCAAAGGGCATATTGGAACAACGGAGACGCGTTTGGTAGACGCGTCTCATCTCCTTCCTTAAATGGACACGCCACCAACCTTATAACATATAGTGCAGAAGAGCCCTTAACAGAAGTCCTTTGTTTTGAATCCAATAGAAAAAAAAAAGTGCCTGACCGTTTGATAGACCTCCAACACTAACCATCAACCACACCGCCACCGACGCTTTGCAGCTCCACATCAGTCATGACACGATACACCAAACTGGAGAGGAAGCGCCATGTCGACGCCTCAGAGTCTTTTTCAGTCACACCACTGATGCCCTCCAAGAACGTGCAGCCTTCGTCTTCAACGTCAATCGATGGCTCAACACCGAGTAAACAATCAGAAACACCTAAGGAACGTAAGGCGCAGGGCGAGAAGAACGCCAGCAAGAAAAGAAAAGCAGAAGATTCGTCCGTAGCACACAATGGTGCAACGCCAGGAGAGGCAGCGGTCGAAGATGGTACTGGTCCTTCCAAGAAAGCCAAGGGTGCGAAGAAGAAAGGGAAGGGCAAGAACAAGGGCGAAGCTGGCGAGAATGGGCCAACTGGAGGAGGTAGGAATAGTCAGGCCAACCATGACACTGGCGATGTGTTCAAGGACTACTTGAAGCGCTTTATGCTAACATTAATATTTGATTGATAGTAGACAATTCGGCAAAGTCAGAGAGGCGCCGACTGAGGAGACAAAAGGAGAAGGGCAACGCAGCTGTAAGCGCTCAAATTCTGGCTTGCATAGTCCAATGTCGATCAAAGACTCTGAAAGTTGGGCTTATCTAGACATGATATTGATTTTTCCTTCGATCGACATTTTTATCTACTAGGTCTGCTTTGCTTGCCGTAAGACAGGGCACAGCGCCAAGAACTGCAAAGAATCGTCAGGAGTGGGCATGTGTTACAGCTGTGGTTCATTAGAGCATATGACAAAGGACTGCAAGAAGCTATCCAAGGATGGCAACAAGTTCAAGTTTGCGACATGTTTTGTTTGCAAGGAACAGGGCCATCTTGCAGGACAATGCCCTAAGAACGAACGAGGATTATACCCGAACGGGGGCTCATGTCGCTTTTGTGACAAGGTCGATCACTTGGCCAAGGACTGCAAGCTGACTAAAGAGGATGTCGGTACAGTAACACTGGGCAAGATTGATCTGGTGCAGGGTGCAGATGACGATGACTTCCATATCTTTGTGGATGAGAAGCGCAAATTGGTAGAGGAACAAAAGACGATCAAGAGGATGGTCAAACCCCAGATAAAGACACCGAAGAAGGTCGTTTCCTTTTGATCCCCTCGGAATATCAAATAAATGTAGCGTATCGTTCACTCAAGAAGCGTTCTTGAATGGTTCCCTCGATCCATCCTGGCAGCTGGCTATGAAATGAAAATGAAAATGAAAGTATAAAAAATGCCACCACTGGAGTGGAGGCCGCTCAGTTGAACAATGTTTTTCCTGGGGATGTGGCGATCGACGTTCTGCCCGTTCTTTTCGTCCACAGCTTCCACGGGCGGAACTGCCATATATGGAAGCGGGATGTGACTTGTTCTCTCAAAGCAAAGCAACGGACGGAGTCATTGTGCGGAGCACTGGGCTGGTCCTGGGGAGGGCACTCACGCCCAACAAAAACAACAAACACAGGAGCTGATCTCTTTCCATCGCCTTCTTTCTACTTCTTCATCCCGCCTAGCGCTCCTCTTCCTCTCGCTTCCCTCCCTAACCCCGAACCTGTAATAATATCCTTCGCCATGTCGCTCTCTATTTTCTCCTCATCCCTCAAGGGATCTGTCCTCAAGGCCGTCCGTGTCTCCGCCGCCACTCCCGCTTTAAGACCCGCTTCTGTCTGGACCTCAAGGCTCTACTCAACCGGGAGCAGCAATAACGGCAACAACAAGGAGAACAAGGACGAAAAGGATAACAGTAGCAATAGCAAGGAGGGCGCTAACGCTCAGGACACAGCAGCAGCACAAGCCGGAGCAGAATCAGCATCAGGCGAATCAGCACCGAGCGAGAACGGCAAGTCTGCCCACGAAGAGGCCTTGGCCGCCAAGGATAAGCAGATCGCCGACTTTAAGGTAACAATAGCAATGAAGACACTATAGCACCATATTCCCAGCAATGTTCAATGGTACTGATCGCCGCTCACCCATAACCTATTTGAAATCAACAGGATCGTTTGTTGCGCACACTTGCAGATATGGAGAATCTCCGCAATAGAACCGCCAAGGAGGTTGCCAACACCAAGGACTATGCGATTCAAAAGTTCGCCAAGGATCTCTTGGATACGGCTGATATCTTGGCCTTGGCCATCAAGAACGTGCCCCAGGAGGAAATCGCCGAGAGCTCAGCCAACAATCACTTGAAATCGTTGCACACGGGTGTCTCGATGACAAGGGACGAGCTCCTCAAGACCTTCAAGCGGTACGGTGTCGAACCCTTCGATCCCATCAACGAGAAGTTCGACCCCAACTTGCACCAGGCCAACTTTCAGGTCCCCATGCCTGGCAAGGAGCCAGGCACCGTGTTTGATGTCCAGAAGGCCGGATACATGATCAAGGGACGTGTCTTGCGGCCGGCGCAGGTCGGTGTTGTCCAGTCAACCGATAATTAAAAACCAATATCCTGCCTGAGACTCGTTGGATCGTGGTTTGGAATGGGAAGGGTGGATCGGCATGGAATATGAGCAAAACGTTCCTGGGCATCATAGTTATCTTTTTTTTCTTCTTTTTTTTTTTTTTTTCGTTCTTCGTTCGGCAACATCGTAATATTAGAGCATCTCTTTTCTTGTCTTCTTTCGCATTGACAGTGCGCACAATGTAACCCAATCAATACATCATATATACATAGAGCTGGAATCAGACAGCCGACATGTTTATTGTTGGAGATGTTTGGATTCGAAGCCGATTATGAGGATGGTTTGTCCGTGGGTGCTGTGTCCATCTTTATCCCTGATACCTCGTCATCGTCTACGATTCCGAGGTTCCTCTTTCGGCGTTCCTCACGCAATGACTCCATCTATACGGTATCAAAAATGCTCATCAGCGCTTGTGTATGTTGCCTGGCCCCTCAAAATTCAAATATGGCAGCCTGGCAATACAAAGTTCAAACACCCGGGGGGCCGGGGGATAAAGGGGGAGGATAGCAGGCTTACCCATTTCTTTTTGCAGTCCGCGTAGTCCTTGAAGAACCGTGTGCACCGTCGCTTATCATAATTGTTCTCATCCATGCACTTCATGGAAGCCTTTGTCTGCTCTCGACAGGGATCCATATACTGGGACTGAGCTTTGGCGTAGTAGTTCTTGTTGAACGTCTTGAGCTCCTCGTCCGAGGTCCGAATGTGCTCATGGGGCTTGCGAGGTCCTCGAGCAGGAGTGGTGCCGGTGTCCGACTGTGCGTTGAGATTAGCGCTCGAGAACGTGGTGTTGTTCCCCCTGGCGACATGCGGTGATGATTCCGTTGACATTGCTGAAGCGTGTTTGTATGATCCGATCCGATCCGATTCGATTCGATTCGATTCAATTGGGTGGGAGGTGAAAATGAAGGGGAAGACGTGCACGATTTCCTAGACCGCTTGGGCGTGACAGGTTTCAGGCTGGCTCCCTTTGCTTAGTGTATGTGTACTACGTACCGCTGCAATCGCGTCGCCTTTGAAAAGTATACGCGCATTTGTCATTCTTGACGCGTACACACAGCACAAAAAAAAAAAGAGAGCATGACCCTCTCATCCTTCGCCATCATAATCTGAACCATTCCTTGAACACCTTCAATGGTATCTTAAAAAAAAAGAAAAAAAAAACTTACACAAATATGGCTATTTTGATCGAATCCAACGCGATGCATGCTGGCAGTTTGCGCACTGCGTAGACGCCGCGAGGCTCGTCAACCTCAGCATGGCATCCTTTTCTGGACAGGGACGTCAATTGACTCCGTGCAAGTCGTAGACATTAAACCGCCAGCGGAGCATCTCGGGAGCTGGTTCTTTGCTGCGAAGCGAGGAGTGCACAGGACGCAGGAAGTGTCAGATAATTCATTATTGACATTGCACAAAAAATAATTACCAAGAATGGATTGAATGTATGGCGCGCGCAGCGAGCACACGCCGCGTCCTCTAATTGCTTCGTTTGTCTATAGCGCCATCCACATTCGGCAGCCCCTGTAGGCATTTTTCTCTGCGCGATGTGCTACGACACCCACGTATAAAAAGCGCATCGAACCAACACTCCGGTTCCACATCACTCAAAGCAACATCATCCAGCAACTTTTCCTTCATCTCCTCACTCTTCCTCTTTCAATAAAAAGCAGAACCACCACCATGACCGCCATTACATCGTCCCTTCGATCGATCCGCGCACCAGCCCAGGCTCTCGCCCGTCGACAGTACTCCTCGGCCGTGTTGTCGGCTGCTCCAACCCCCGCTTCTGCCAAGTCGGCGGTGACTACTGGCCACTCGAACCAACGCATTGCCATTGCCTCGGGCCTGTCCTTTGCGATCGGTGTCGATGTCACCTATGCCTACTTTACTCTCTTCCATAAGAGTAAGTTTATAGAGCATTGCTTACAAAAAATAAAAAAATAAACAAAAAATCGAGATTAACGCGAGTTATTTGTTTCTTAGAAGATATCTCGGCTTAAAGACGTGATTCTCACAGCGAGCGCTTCTGAAGCCGCATATTTTTCATTCGCGGTCCATTCCTCCTCACTCTTTCCTTCTCGCTCCTGGATAACATACCACAGCTCATTTCAGAAATAAAAACAAGAATCTCTGCAGAACGCAGTTTCGTAAAAAAAAAAAAAAAAAAAAAAAAAAAAAAAAAGAAGCAAAAAAGCGCGCGTTCCATCTGATGCGCATCTGGCCACCAAAACCTATGAGTACACGACAGACAAGGCCAATAAAGGGATATTGTTTTATAAAGAATGCGCTTTCAGGAACTAGGTAGGATTGCCTAGGAGAAGGACTAAACACGCAGCAGAATAATGCGGACAAGTGATATGATCACCACGCATCACGACCGGGTCCAGCCCCTAACTCGGTTATCATCGGAATCGACCTCACGAGCTGCGACTTGTTATCTAACTCAAGCAATCGTACATGTACAACACATTTCGTGTTATCTCGTCTTCCATTGAATAACTTAGACCTGATCCTTTGGCGAGTTCATGGAGGGGGATGAGCGCACAATGGACTTGATTTTTATATATATTAACTTGGAAGAGATGTTGGTGTGGATGCTGCGTTCATATCTTAACAGCTCGCTCATGGCCTTGCACCGGCACAAAAATGGTCTTAGGCACCTGTAATCAAGAACAGGCAGCAGACCAGTTCAATTCTATGAATTCACTTAAACCTCATGGTGAGGTGAATGTGAAAGTGCACAGGCTACAGTTGCTACCTGCCTTGGTGGAGAGGTGTGTGGACCTTGTAAACATGGTCGTATATTCTCCCTATATTAAGACCTGGCTGAAAGGGAGCGCTCTGTATTTTTCACTCACGCTACTCTTAGACCAATTTCATAGACATATTCCTTGATACTCTGGAAATGTTTCCATGCCGGCTACATACCTGGAATTCTATTATTTCTAGCATGACGAGGTCGTCTACAGAATCCAGGCGCGCATCCTCACAAGAAATCTAGCAATGATCCGGTTCATGAACAGCAAATTTGAGGTTCTAACTGCAGCATCCCGCCAGGAGAATGATGTCGCAGATAAGTGTCGCTTGATGGATACGTTGAATTCAAACTGCCCATCCTTCTACCGGTACAACGTGCGGCTTGGTAGGAACTGGAGTCTTCGTACTTAGCTTTATGATTAGCATGTTAGGATACGATTGTATGATGCAAGTTTAAGAGCTGTTTGCGCTCTCTCGATCAAAATGGGTCAAAGGCAGGTCTCCTAGGGGCGCTTCGTTGGGCTGATGTGAGCTCGTACTATGGCGAAGGCTCAACTTCAGATTTAGAAGGAATGGGTTCAAGCTGTGTCTTGAAGTCATGGTGGTAAAAAGGGTACTTTATTTATTCATAGTCAAGCAGACAGAAAAAAGTATGATTGAAAAGACATCTTTATTTGATGCAGAAATCTTCCTACTCCATCCATCATTATCGCCCAGAATCATTGACCTCGCCGCCGTCTCGTATCGTTGTCTTTCGCTTCGCTGCCTTTCGTTCGCTGCATTTCGTATCGCTGCATTTCGTTTCGCCGATGTTCCTAAGGTACTCAAAAAAAAGAGAAGATACCGCCAGCATTTTCATCCTCATTGTTCAGCTTCCATTGTCCATGTAAAAATCTTCTCACCGTGAAAGCCCACCCCTTCCCCACAGACCTTTAAGGCCGACCTTGATCTTCCAGACTTCTGCCCCGAAGGGTCGTGAGCCGGGTCATGCAGACTTCTGCCCCGAGGAGACCTGAGTCGCGTCATCCTTGCTTCTGTCTCCGAAGAGAACGTGAGCCGGGTGTTCCTGAATGTGTCCTGTATATCCCGATCCTGCATACTTCTATACTATCCTGATGCTACGTCATGCGGCCCCTTCATCCGTAGATGGTGCGGGTCGCGCCATGCAGACTTCTGCCTCGAAGGGTCGTGAGACGCGTCATGCTGCCCCTTCATCCGTAGATGGTGCGGGTTGCGCCATGCAGACTTCTGCCTCGAAAGGACGTGAGCCGCGCCATGCCACCCCTACGTGCTAAGACGGTGCGGGCTGCGTCCTGTATAATCCTGATCCTGCATGCTCCTATACTATCCTGATACTACGTCATGCGGCCCCTTCATCCGTAGATGGTGCGGGTCGCGCCATGCAGACTTCTGCCCCGAAGGGACGTGAGCCGCGTCATGCTACCCCTACGTACTGAGACGGTGCGGGCTGCGTCATGCAAACTTCTGCCTCGAAGGGACGTGGGTCGCGTCATCCTTGCTTCTGTCTCCGAAGAGAGCGTGAGCCGGGGATAGGTGCTGGGTGCTGAAGATGGATGCTGGGTGCTGGGTGATGAACGATGGGTGATGGGTGCTAGGTGATGGGCGATGGGCGATGGGTGATGGGTGATGGGTAATGGGTGGTGAGTGATGGGTGATGGGTGGTGTGTAGTAGTGTATTGTTGGTTTGTGGAGAGGGTGTCCGTGCGCGTGGGTTGTTGTGCTGTGTGAGGGTTGGTTCTGTGGAGAAGTGTGGGAAGACAAGAAAAAGTATGTCAGAGAAGGAGAAAGTCAAAAGTGAAGGTGGACATGTGTAGAGTGACGTGAGAAAGTAGAGAGTGGAGATGGAAAGTGGACGTGAAGAGTGTACGTGCAAAGTGGATGTGGAAAGTGGACGTGCAAAGTGGTAGAAGGTGTAAGTGGAAAGGGCAAGTGGAAAGGGCAAGTGGAAAAGGCAAGTGGAAAGGGCAGGTAGAAAGGGGCGGAAAAAGAGATAAAAGTGGGCTTATGAATATTACTTACCTTGATAGCTTTGTTGCTGTCTTGCGCCCAGTTTTATCCAGTCGATCCTGTAGGAGACATCAGATTAAGAGGTGATGGTGAAGCTGAAGCGAAAGAAGAGAACGCCTCCTTTTATAACCCCCTGGAACAAGTCACTCCCAATTGACCGTGGTGGGATCCTCGTTTTTCTAATTGCACACAGTAGCCACAGTTAGGCCTTGAAGGATTAGCAAAGGCAGTTGAAATTGGCGGTCACGTTCTGCCTATCCGTATGATATCCAGGGTGCAATAGCAAGCAATGGGTGCTTCAATCCACCCTCCTTGGACTCCAGATGGAGTTTTTCTACGATAATTTCCTCCGGTCAAGGCAGGGCTCATTTCCAGGCACAGACACTTGTTTAGGTTAAGGATCTTCCCACCAACTCTGCTCAGCACGACCTAAACGCAGATCGGCCTATGAGCATGAGAGCAAATAGGAGTATGAAACTTAACCACATCAACAAAATAAGATTGAACCGCACACAACGTGTCTATTATATTTCTGCAAAGGTCAATACTTAGCGTAATATGTGCATGCATTCATTACTATTAATACCATTATTCGCCTCTACCAATAAGTTCTACATGTGTTTCTCATAGCAGTATCCAAAGTGTTAATTATGGGCAACATTTCCTGCATAGAACGCCTTGCTCAATGGTCTGTACAAGGGGGACGTGGTTCGATAAAAAAAATATATATCCGCTCCCTGCTGCGGTGTGATAATGTAGGCCCGAGAATTAAGAGGACGAGAAGCCCGAAGATGACAACAACGTCACTCCAACACACTTTGGATCATGCAGGGCATCAGACGGAGTGACACAAGGGAGGAACCACCACCAGCGAGAAAGAGTCAGGAAACCATATAAAGCAGACCTTAAAGGTAAACAATGTTGCACAGAGAAGACCAACCTCACTCCGTGCTATCAGTAGAGAAGACCGAGAGGGCGAGGAGGAAAATACCACTGAAGCGCAGGGGCTAATGATAGGAAGGAGATCGTCTCTTCTCTTACTAGACGATACGTGTCAAAGTTAGCCGTGGTAGAGTATACTTCTTGACAGTGACGGTATTTGCACCATTCGGGTCATAAATTTTGCTGACCTCCCCATATGTTTTCCCATAATTGAATAAGAGTGATATATTTTAGAATAGATAAAATAGGGAGGTCGGCCATATCCTTTGACCCCAACTCAAATAGGACCATATTATGCATCCATTCGCACAATACCATGGACCATAACTCTGTTTCCACCAATAGACCAAGAGACAACGGAGAAGGGGCTTCCACAAGTGCCTCTTTCTCCTCTTTCTCTGTCAATGGAGTCGACATTGCACATGCTGGTCAAGGTGATGGTATGCTCTGACATTAGCCAGCTGAAACGCTACTCATCACATCGATCGACAACACCAACTTACTATTCCTTCTTCGTTTCCACCGGTCGTATATTCATGTATATAGCCGCTGCCACTTCGTGCCAGGCTTTCGAAGACTCAGTAGACACGCCAGACTACGCCTATGCATATAGCGATGTACTCGAGGGATCGTCTGGCAATATCTATGTAGAGCGCGACGACCCGACGTTTGCTGAACGCGTTGATCAAGAAGACGACATGGACGACGATACGACAGATGAGGATATAGGCTACGGCTTAGACGACGTCGATGGCACCAGTGTTGCAATGAGTGACGAAGAGGAGTGTCGGGAACAACTGCTGGATAGGCGTAGCAAGAGAAAGGCGGAACAAGCACCAGAGAAGGCGCGACCTGCTCGCAGGAGGGCAACAATGGAATCCGGCGACCAGACTGCACAGCAAGTCCACATTCACTTCCAGGGCCTCCGTCCAGCAATACCCCTTTTCTGCCCCTAAGGCCTTCAGCACAATCAGCTCCTCCAAGGCCATTATGGTCAAGCAGCACAGGTTGATTTTTTTGCTTCTCACCCTCAAGTTCGCGTACTGCCTTCTCGATGGACTTGCTGGGAGGTCCTGCCGTGATCGAGTGCTGCTTTTTGTGTTCCCCTCCAATTTGAGCCCGCGTCCTAGCTGCTTTTTGGCTTCTTGGAATGCTTGGTACTCATCCTGCTGTATAGGGGGTTTAACAACGAGCTTTGTAACTTCTATTATTAGTTCTATTTACAACAGGGGACGCCGCGCGATTAGGACTTCGGCGAGGGCGTGCTTCGGTCATTTACTGGTTCGCGGTGCAGGGTCCTCCTTTAGATCGGAATGAATTGACACAAAGGTAAAATAGACTAGACAGAGATAGAAGGAAATAAATATAGGGAGTTGTTTGGCTAAATGGTTCGAGCTAGGACTATGTTCCATTGAGAATGACTGAGGTAGTTACAAGGTATTCACATATATGATGTCCGATGAAGTGAGAAGTCGTGACAATGAAGTCCACCCCTCTCAGGAGTCGTTGTATGGCAATGTTCGCTGATTAGGCCTCCATTGTACCTTTATAATACCGTTTCACGAGGGTAAGCCGATGATGAATGTTCAATAATGAGACGATCGGAAATCGGGGAAACGTTGCAATTGATAGTGCAAAGGTGGCGAATGATCAGGCTTGGCATTCTCTGTTGATTGTATCTCGTTGCGTGGGTTGCTGACGACGGCAGTCAGTACCTGTCGATGATGCGGTGTTATCCGGACAATCTGAACGAATGCATACAAGATATATATGTGAAGAAGACTCTGGTTCAGGAACCAGACCGTTTATTCTTTTATTCTGGGAGCGGTGCTCTTCCCCGTAATTTAATAGCAAAAGTTCTCATAGGCTTGAAGGTTGACCGCGCTACTTGACTGATTTCCCTATCCTCCATTGCATCCCTAGCGACCTATCGAGATTTGCGCCTACCTGCGTATGTTGAAAACAGCTATGATGGCGATGTGGGTGGACATCTGTGTCAGGCCGTGGCAAAGCTACTCGTATATCACTGATCGTGCTTCGTGTCAAGCAACTAGCATCTATCAGTGTAATGGCTCTTTATCAAAGCCTTTTGTTATTGTGGTAATGCCTTTCTTTATTGTGGAAAGTCTTTTTTATTACGGAAAGTCTTTTTTATTGTGGGAAAGCAGACATTGCTTCTCGCCTATAAGTATTCTGCCACACTCTTCACAGCTCTCTTCGTTCATCATCCTTTCTCCTCATCGCTCTTTGCCCGCAGTTCGCTATCCATATACATCTTCACGCTAGATACTATACGCCTGTAGAAAAGGCAATGTACCCTCCAAGCCTATCCTTCCATATCTTCAGCGTCCTTACGAAAGGGTTTCACTAACACTGCTAAGCTTTCAACCCACCATAGTGATCGCAGCATGGGCATAAGAGGCCTTTACAGTACTCTGAAGAAGCGCGGTTTGGATCCAGTTGCCGCGGATCCTCAAGATTACCAGAACCAAGCTGTTGAGGTTGACCTCTTCGGCGCGTTTTATGGATCCCTCGTTCGCCAGATCACGGATGATTACGATCCAAGCAAGGTCCGAGCTGTCGGTCTCACGATGGCAGCGCGTTTGGCGAAGGACTTTACCCCTGCGCAATGTACGATTCACATCGATGGCGCCCCATCCCAACAGAAGCGGAGTGAGCACATCAGGCGAAAGAACAGACTGACAGCGGACCTCAAGAAGTTGCAGGCGAACTTGAAAGTCATGAGCACGAAGTCGTCGAACGGCCAATGGACCTCGAAGAGCGTGGTAACGAAGATCAAGAAGGGCCTCCGCGATGTATACAGATTTGATGCAGCAGCCAAGCAGACACTCCGGGATGCCTTACGAGAAAAGGGGTTTTCTGTCTGCACTTGCAGGACCGAGGCCGACACCTGCATTGCACGCACACTGACCATGGCAGCCGGTAGCTTCGTGGTGTCAGCAGATTCTAATCTGTTGATATATCTGTCGGTCACCAAGATTTTGCGGCCGATCTTCCACGGCCTGGCCTATGCATTGTACACCAAGGAGAGTGTTACCAATGCACTTCACGTTCCCAGCGCAGACTATGTGACGTTGCTGGGCATCGTGTCCAAGAACGACTATACCGAGAACATTCCCGGCCTTGGAATAGTTCGCAATCTGGAGATCATCCGCGCTCTATCCCAGTCGCCCGATATCAGCTATATGTTCGATGCTTACAGATTCATGGCAGCCATCAAAACCCACGAGGTTACCAACCAGAGCCGATTCAAGCCATCGGAAGACATCTTTTTGGATCTCGAGGAGAAAGTGCTCCAACTGCAGCCAGGAGATGAGGCCGCCGATGAGGACATGCTCGGCTTTGATTTCAACAGTGCAGCACCGCAGTTCCGGCACCTCGAGCTGCAGCGATTTGCCGTCGCTGCATATCAGCATGCGAGTAGAAGGTAATTTAAGTGTGACACCACTTCATTCACACACGCGTTGTACAGATATCAAGTTCTCTAACACCTTTTGCATGGCGATGTATGCGTACATTTACTAGTGCGGTTCCCTTCTACGTTGCGAGGAACTCAAAGCGGAACCAGTTCCGGTCGATCTTTTCAGACAAGAAATCAATCCTACCACGACAATCGATTGACTTCTCGACTGTCGTACCTCACGATCGCCCACAGCCAAAAGCAAAGCCCCCCGTCAAGACTCGGAAGGCGGTCCTGAAGAATTAGAACAAAAAAAGGAGGAAGAAGGAGGCACTGCCGAGAAAACGGAAAGGGGTGGGCTCTGCCGACCCATCGAACCCACGACCCACTTCTGCAACTGCAGCGGACCGTCGCCTCCGCAAGCTGCATATAACCAAGGCACTCACTGTGGGGAGTGTCCAGGCCAACATAAAGCGAATGGATCAGATCTCGGTTGCAGAAAGCAGGTTCCTTTCAGACAGGCTACGTTCAACGGTTGCGATCCTTAACGCGATCCAGATGAATATGTACGAGGCTATTGCACTGGATATCGCGCGGCTTGTTCGTTCCAAGGACACAGCGACAGATGTGACACAGCGGAAGGAGGATATTGCAGACATTCTCGACAGCAAGGCCTTCTACTTTGCACTCAACACACTCTTGTGCAGTGGTCAAGAAGGACGAGGTTCTCAGGCTGTTCGAGTATCGGTTGCTCCTGCGCGCAGGATGAGCACTCGAAATGCGCCGTTGGTCCCTGGCGTCCCGCAACCGCAAGCACAGGCACAACCACAACCACAACCACAACCAACAGCCACCCATGCCCGACGTGTCTTTGATGCATACACGACGCTCACCGGCTTTGTCCCCTTTCGCCAACGAGAACCAGAGATGTTCCCTTCGACGGTCTCGAGGCTTGCTGTTGCGGCGGTCTACAATGCAGTGCGAGTCCATTACTATGGCGCAAAGATATATTAAAGAGTGTGCAAGATGTATCCGTTGTGTTCCTTGCTTTTCGGAGTACTAGTGTCGACCATTAGCTCTTCAAATTTCTTTAATAGTTTTCCGAGAACGAAGAGCGCCCCGAAGCTGTCAATCCAATCGACTACTTCTTCGAAAAGAATACCGAGAAGCGCATGTTTGCAGACTTTGTCAAGGCAAAGTTCGCAGCTGGCTTCGTGTTCTTGTCAGAGGCGGACCTTGTCTATTTATTCTATACAAGCAATACGACACGGCCAATTATAGTCCGAATGCTGAGCGATACAACATCCAACGCTGCGGAAGCCAAGGTCGTCGGCAAGAAAGGATCCTCATCGAAAAGCTGCTATACAGACTGGACTCGGCGACGCGCTTTGACGGGTATTACAGGAAGGTTTCGATTCAGAGTGACAGACAGCACCACACAAGGTTCAAGCTTCGGGGCATCATCTGCACGAACGGACTGGTGTTGCATCTTCTTGCGCATGACACAACGACAACGCGACGCCGAACACCCCGCCAAAGCATCAGGGGCGATGACGACGATGAAGAAGAACACGACGACAACGACAACGATGGCGACGGCGACGAGGATGTGACCCTGTTCCACGATGTTGACGGTGACTATGACCTCGACGACGCGTTTCTTGAAAGTGGAGGGGACGAATCTGGTACAGATCCGGTCGCAGCTGCGGCAGGACCCGCCAAGAAGGAACGCATCACGCTCCCGTCTTCGACGCCAGAAAGTTCAAAGCGGCGGAGGCTGTCGATACACCAACTGCCATCCACAGACCCTACTGCGACTGCTTCGTCCTCATCCAGCTCAGAAGCCCCATCTGGTCCAACGTCAGGCGCAGATACGATCGATGTCACACGCAACACCATCAACTGGAAGCGAAGTTCAAAGATCCTAGAAAACGTGGAGGTGCGCTTCAACTCTCCTGGCACTTGTCCACCAGGCGATACTGTGGTCATCGGCATTGACCCGGGCGAGGTCTACACAATGACAGCGACAAGAATCGACTCCGCCCTACCTACGAAAAGAGAGTCTTTACGAATCTGCAGGGCATTCCTCTACAGGCCTTACATGCTCTTCAAGCGTCTCCTAGAAAAGCAGAAGGCCGCGGCACGCATTGATGTTCTTGAGGCAAGCCTGCCCTCATTTACCGTGGAGAAGATCGAGGAATACCTGGCGTATCTGGAGGCGCCTGGCACGGATGGCACCGCCGCGACCGCCACGAGAGTCCGCCTTTTTAACTTTTACAACAGTCAGTGGATGCTAAGGAAGCGCTGGGATCTTCAAAAGGCTCAACAGGCAACGTATGACTACGCAGTTGCGGCCTTGCTTGACCTCGTCGTCAGCAAGGACTTTGTTGGTCAGCCGCTGAGCTCGCAGGATGGTGTAAAAGTGGTGTTTGCAATAGGATTGGGCTCTTTTGATTCGCAAACTGGCCTGTCAAGCAAGCATAGCGCACTCGAGAAGAAATTTGTCGGCAAGGTAAGAAGAAGGAAAAAAAAAAAAAAAAGGGTGGCATACCATCTCTCATCCGCACTGCAACTTTTTCTCATCTGTTTATTTGGTCCTTGATGCTGCTGATAGGCAAAGGCTATGGGACACACTGTGGTCGGGGCGCACGAGTACTACACCAGTGCTCGGTGCCCTCGTGACCAGTGTATGGCGTTCTTGGAGTCCGACAAGAGGCGGTCAAAGTACTGCCGAAGCTGTCAAATGTACTTTGATCGCGATATTGTCGGCTCTGAGAACATTGCCACCATGTGTCTGTCGCAAATTCAGAACCAGTGCCGGCCTGCCAAGTTCATGCCATCAACATAATCATAGGGGGCTGGAACCCTCTTTCAAAAAATAACGTGCATGAACACCCAACCCATTCCGAATTCTAACCAGCCACTTTTTTACTTGATTTGGGTGATTTCTGGTAGACAGATACTGTACAATCAAACGTTCAAGTTATAGGTCAGGTCTTGCGGCTCCTATGAGGAAGATGTTGTACAACGGAATGTCCATGTCATAAGAGTCCACGAAAGACGCCATAGATCTTGCCTCGGTCAGTCTTAACGGGGGGCTTTTGTGCATCGACCTTACGGACCCCATTCGTCCATACACTCTACAAACATGCGCGTACGATGATGAGCAATATCATTCATCGCACACTGAGCTGCATCGAGTGGACAAAAATAAAATGAACGCCTAGTTTCTAGGCCATGCCAACTACATGCTAAACAGAAACTAGAAAATCAATCCCATGTGTAGCCTATACTATGAATCAAAATAATGCCGATCCGGAGACCATTAAAATGAGTCCTTCGCCAGCTAAAGTAATGACCGACTTCCAATCATACCCGGCTACCATGATTAAACGAGGATGCTGTTGTCGTTGCTGCTGTCTACTACGGGCAGTCCGGAGTGTTACTCATTATAGTATATACTCTTAGTCCTAGTATTCATGACATCTGACCCGTTTAATCGGCACAGATGGATGGCAAAGGAACGCGCACCGCCCAGTCTTCCTGTTATAGTACATTGCGACGGATCGATGGATAGCTTTTTTTATGAATAACTTTATTGGCAATTGCCTACTGTTTTGCAACGGAAAGTTGCTTATAAGTGCGCAGCCTGTCCACTTCAAGGCTACCAGAAGATGTACATGCAAGTGCTAAGGCAGCGCCAACTGCGGAGTCGGATATTGCAAACAGATATAAGGGAACTGTACATTTATCACATATGCCGTTTTTGCTAAATAATCGCACTGGAGAAATTGGTATCCGACTGAGCAAACGGACAGTGGGATTGACGACAAGTATATGGAAGCGGCGTGGCACTCTAACAATGCATCACTTTTTAGTTTCTTACTTCGCTAGCTAACATTTGCTTTCATAACTGTTCTACAGGAAAGTTCGTGTCATGTTCGAGAGGATATACCCCAATGCATTGCGATACATGGCATGTTTAGATCTTACATCATTAGCAGCGTGCGAAGCGGCAAGTAAATGGTCAAGGCGATGACAAGGCACGCGTCTTCTACGCCCGAAAACGCGTCTCTGTCCTCGACACCCAGACGCCTATCTTATAGAACCCTACGTTCTCATTCTCATTGGAACACGGACCGACTACGTTCCAGCGTTTAACGTATCCCAGGTAAACCGTTCAAGCTTCACGCTCAATCCAAACGAGGAGCAGCAGTGCTTATTTAGCCTTTATAATAAACGATGAAACTATTGTTGCTTTTTGAACGGAAAACATTTACAACGTTTTAGAATGGGCCTGTTGGTGAGCCTTTGCCTGCAATATCTGTTATCCGGTCTGCACAAAGACGCACGCAGATGGGTCAATGCGAATGTTATCTATCGTTGAACCTTACTTCTTGCAACATTTGATTTACTCTCTCTTTTCGACATTCCAACTCCTCATTCTGCCCTTGCACACTCGATTCATTCTCATTCCACTCAGCAAAAGACAAAAACCAAATGACGCGCGTCAACCTCGATGGACTACAATCATTCTACGCGTTGAGTAATGCGCGTCAAATCCCTCTTCTCGGTCTCGGGGTCTACCTCATAGAGCCGGGCAAAGCAACCGAGGACGCCGTCCTCTGGGCACTGCAGGCATGCATCGTTTTATCATCTATCTCCACTGCACACTCCGTTTCATACCCCACTTTACATTTTATCCACCATACCGCAATTTGCTGAAAAGAAGATACGACGGACTTACAGGCTATCATTCCTTCTCTCCCTCTTCCCTTGACGGACATCTTCGCATGATGTCCATCTATTACTAGGCAGGATATCGTCATATCGACACGGCATCCATGTACCGCAATGAAGTCAGCGTTGGCAACGCTATCCGAAAGAGGTAAACCTGCTTTTGCTGTTTCCTATGTTGGTTTACTCCATTGGGTAGTGTTGGAAACAAGCTCTTTTGTAACATCCTTTGACAACCGGTGCCAAACCCCCTCTCCCCCCATAATAGTGGTATCCCTAGAGACCAGATCTTCGTTACAACCAAGCTGTATGACCATGACCAGGGCTTCGAATCCGCTATTTCGGCGTGCGAACTCTCTCTGGAGAAACTCGGCTTGGACTATATCGGTAAGATAAGGGCAAAGGCGTATTTGTATTTTATTTCTCATGCAATAATTGCTGGGCACACTGACATTGAAATTGTCGAACACGCTGTTTTTGAATGTAGATCTGTATCTTATCCACTCGCCTAACCCTGGACCGGAGCGTCGCAATGATTCTTGGAAGGCGCTGCAGAAGCTGGTTGCCCTGGGCAAGGTTAAAAGCATAGGTATGCAAAAAACATAGCGATGGTGGATCAATTGTTACTGAGAGTAATGTTGTCTATTTTCCCCCTATGACTTCATGCGAGCATTCTGTCTAACCCCTATTTCTCTTTCTCCAGGCGTCTCGAACTATGGAGTGCATCATCTGAAGGAACTGTTGGGGTCTAATCCGACGATTCGACCAGTTGTCAATCAGATCGAGGTAAGTTCTCAAAGGAACCAGACATGTTGGGGAAATGACAGCACGAGTGTCCTTTCCCACATTTTCGTCGCATCAAAACAAACGGAATCTGATTATATGCTTTTCCCTTATCCACGGTTCGAGTAGGTGCATCCGTGGCTCACCCGCGAGGAAATTGTCTCGTTTTGTGAGTCTCAGCATATCGCGGTTGAGGCCTACAGTCCTCTCAGTCGTGGACACAAACTGGAGGATCCAATGCTGGGTAAGATTGCAGCAAAGTACTCAAAGTCACCAGCACAAGTACTGGTCCGCTGGAGTCTTCAAAAGGGATACATTGTCCTACCCAAGAGTGCTCACAAGGACAGAATCGAGCAAAATGCGGATGTGTTCGATTTCGATCTGGCAGATGGAGATATGAATGTGATGGATTCTTTCAACGAGGGCTATGTTTCTGGTAGGTTTTTAATCTGTTTTAAGAAGGAAACATGTCCATGGCAGTGCTTGTCTGCTCACATTTTTCTTTGCATATCCTTAGGTTGGGATCCGACTGTTGCGCCTTAGATTTCCCTCATGGCTCATAGCCTTGGCTACAGCGCCTTCAATAGCACCTTTAACAGCGCTTGCAAAGCGAATTGGATGCGAAACAAGTCCAGGATAGCCTTGTGAACACAGCACCGGCTTTGCTGCAGATGTACAGAGACGAAATTTTAATAAAAAGAACAACTGTACAAGTATATATGGAAAAGAGATATGATATTGTAAAGCGAGATGCGATAGATAGTTACGAGGGCTGAGAAAGAGTGAGAGTGAGAGCAGAAAAATGACAACGGCAACAAAATTCAAGTGTAAGTGGAGACAAAAGAAAAAGAGAAAAAGTCGGCAAAAAAAATATTGATCTGCTCGGAAATATACGATCTAAATGGCTTCTGTCGTTCTCATCTATGCGCTAGACTGTGTTCCGCACGCATTTCTTGGCAGTTCTGATCCGCATTGCCAAATTCGCTTCTCCTTTCTCACTCGTTCCTTATCTCGCATCTCAGCCGACAGTTCGCATTTTTCGAGACATAGTGCGTTGGTGGTAACAATATGGCTTTAATAGGTTGAAGGCGTTGGTTGTTTGCTGCTTCAGTGACTGATAACAAAGCGCCCTCAATCTTTAAACGCCCAACATATCACCGAGGCTGCGAAGGAAGGTAACAGCGAGGCCAAAGACAGTAAGGGAGATCGCGATCGAGGTGTTGCCGGCCCGCTTCTCGGGAGCAGTGATTTCCTGACGGATGAAGTTGGTAATGGCGTTGCCGCTGCTCTTGGGTGCGATCTTCTTGACCATGGTGATTGTAAGTTCAGGCTGGCTATGAGTATGTGGATGTGAGAAGTATAAGATCCCTTACCCGATCAAGTTCATAAACAGTGAGCAGCAGAAAGACTAGTCACACATAGAATCCAGGACAATGGGTGCGAAAATTACGTCACGTCTTGCATCGGCACCGCGATGCATATATGTCTTGCACGTTGAACAATAAAGCCGGCGGATGTTGACCTGACCAACAAAATCCTCAGTTCGGACACTTTTTCGAGGTGTAATACTTATTTATGCCTAACAATGTAACCAGGCGATCTGGCCTAGAGAGAAGCAGAAACAAAATCATCGGGCACTTAAGACAGTTGCCAATCTGCCTGTATTCCTCGCCTCGCGCCCTTCTTGCGTACCACTTGTGTTTTTTCGAGGACCATGTTGCGGTTATAAAAGGAATCGAGGTGGACCTCCACATTCTTAAACTTGTCAACGTAGTCTTTAATGCTTGATCCAAAGCCGCGTAGGGGGGGAGGGGGGTAAGTTGCTTTCGATGCTGCTGACAGATGTCGAGTCGTAGTTTGATTTGTCCTTCCTTTGTTCTATCCAATGTCGACGTTTTAGTGTGGGCTGATAGACCGCCTTTTGCTTAACAGCAAGGTTATAGAACTTGGCGACCTTTTTCTCACCAGATGGTTTATTGACCGCAATATTCGTCCCTGCTCCTTTGTCCAGCTTGGGCCTCTCATGACTGGGCAACAAGGCGCTCGCTTCTATCACAAATGCTTGTCCTAGATCTAGACCTAAATGCTTGCCCTTGATCCAGACCTAAACTCTTGATCTGCTTGGGATCACATTCTCAAAGATAGACGTCCTGTTTAATCTTCAATACATTCCTAAACTCGGTCAATAAATAATCCGCGCTGCCGAGAGTAGAAGTGATGCGAGGAGGTAGCTTAGCCTCGGGAGGCTGTCTGTACTTGTCCGTATTGAGTTCGTTCAGCTTGAATGCTAACAGCTGGAGCCGAAACTCATCCGTCCGAAGTGAGCCGTGTGCCATACTTCATACATTCGTAATTTAGTTTAGCAAGGCATGTATGATGCGATAACCCGCCAGGACAACTATAAAATAGGTGTCCTGGCGGGACCATTAAAGATCCCTCTCTTGTCTCGTTATTTGTTTTCCACTGGTAAAACCTTACTTTATTGCAAGCTGCATAGAGCATAACCGCGTCCCTTGTAAGAGCTGAATGCCTCCAATGTGCTGTCTTATCTTATCAAGCAGTGCCATCAAGGTCGTCGTGTGATACTTTATGAATCTTTTCTATCCCTCTGGCGTATATCTTCCAATGTCGGTGACCAGCTTGGTAATGAAATGTTAAGGTGTCATTTTCGAGGGCCAATACGACACGTCCACCCGCGCGATATTTTCGGTGCTTGGGAAATCTGGCTTGGCATAGTTTTGAAGTAGCTTTCGCAAGGCCACACCTTGCCAAAAGATCTTGGTCAGCTCCAACTCCGAAAGAGATACGAAGATGTCTTCAAAGGGGGTTAGCGGAGCCAGCCTCCGACCACTCATGCAGACCCTGTCTAGAGGAATAAAGTTCTCGATTGCTGAAATACCGTGATCAATGCTACCTAATGCATCTGCAGACAAAAGAAGACCCTTTGTCATACAAGCCTTGATCTATTTTGAAAAGGATGGGCGATGTCAGCAAGACCTTCCTTGACACACTTTGGCGCTGATTGAAGCTACATGTCGGTACCTTCTCACAAAGATCTTTTGAGCCATTGCAGTAATGATTCTTTAACTCGACCGAAAGCTGTGTGGCAGTAGATCTCAGAACAGTGGGTCCTGAATATGACATCTTTGTCCCGTCCTTGGTTATGGCTGGCAAGAATTTCTTGGCTTTCTCGATGAACCGAAGGACATGGGACCCCGACTCCAAATTGGAGGGGAGTTTGGAGTTGTAGATGCACACAAAAAGCGAGAATAGGAATCCCAATTGCTCATTTTTCGTGTCAATCTTGCCGTCGTGCATATCAAGTTCTTAGAGTCCTTGAACAGCCTTATCGGGGTCGTTGTTACTGGCATCATCCTTGGAGACGCGGAGGCAGAGTTTGTCGAGCAAGATTCTGTCTGTCTCATTGATGCCGGTGGTTGAAAGGCGTCCAATGTGCTGACCAATAGCTCTCTGGTAGGTACGTTTGGCTTGGGACACGTGGCAAATAGCTTATTGGAGGCAGGTCTCGATCTTTGGCAACAACTCGGATGCCTTGGACTGTTGAAACTCCTTGTTCAGTGCTCACATAACGTTGACATTAATGGTTCCGACATCGAGTGTCCTCGTTGGATGTCCCTACTGCATAAATATGACCAGATCCGCTTTTCTCTTGTCCTCCAGCGGTTTTGGACTCACTATCGACGTGTCCTTCTTTTTCTTTTTTTTTTGGGACGCTGGTGTCGCTTTCCAAGGGATTCTCCGGCGGCTCCTTACATGGCTTCCACACGTGCTTCTTCAATATGTCCGGTGGTTCGTGCTGAATCATTCGAGACCGCGTCTTGAATGAGAAGAGCTTCTGACACTTGTATTTCCTTCCAGAGCCGTGAGCAGATGACTGCTGATCAGGAAGACGTCCTCCTCTGGCCTGTAAAACTGGTAGCCTAAAAAAGTTGCAAACATTTATATTAGTTGATTGCCGCTTTCTTTTTTTTTTAAAAAAAAAAATGCTCAATCGACAAAACTAGCCTATTACCTTGTCTCTGCAAGGAGTAGTTGTCGCTCGACCTTTCTCTTTTCCAGCAACTCACAGAGAAGACGCCGTCTTTGCATTACATCCTCAACGGTCGCGAGTGTTTGTGTGGAGGTCTGAAGAAATGTAGAGGCTTGCCAACTGCTCTGTTGTCGATGCATGAAAATTCTCAGAGGTACGGAAGTGCTCGCTGGTCACATTCTTGCTAAGTACTTGACCATGGTCTCCGCATCTGTCAAAAGAATGAAAAATCATCATCAGAACATATCGCAAGCGTCGTCAAACATATCGTTGGGCATGCTGTTCTTCAAGCACCTGATACTTCTAGTGATTTGATTGGTAATGATTCCAAGTGATGCAGCCGTAGTCGTTTTTAGAAATTGTACAGAGCACAGTAAGATGCACCCTGGAGATACGAAGGCTCCCCAACACACTCGGAGCGTCGTACACCAGGAACTTCCTTCTCGATATGGGTCTCCAGATGGTCGTAGTTGTGTCGTAAGCAAGCATATCGCTGTCGGTTGATAGGATTATGTCGTTGGGTTGGCAGTCGTGAGCAATCACAACGTCAGTAGGACATTCTATGACGTTCCATTCTATGCTGCACATGTATTAAGCAAAACCTTTGCGGAAGTCCACGGACCAGTAGAAGAAGGCTGTGTTGAAATGAAGTTTCCGCACTTTGTGTATGTCCCTCACGTGTTCTTCTATGTCGCCGATGCATTTCTGGGCGAGCTGGAGAGCACCGACACGACGCTTTTGCAAGTCTGTTATTTTTCATCTGGCGAAGGACCATCCAGATAAAGGACTGAGCTCTTTGGGGTCCCAGACTCCGATATCGCTTATTCAAGGGCGGTGTGAGCGTTAGGCAAGGGATGAGTTGTGTAGGTATAGTGAATAAGAGGATAAAATGTAGACCGTTGACACGAAGTGTGGGTGGTGGTTAATGGAGATAGAGGGCTGGGCGACCTAGGGACACTGAGAGCAGACAATGGCCTCGTATCCAAGCTTTCGAATTAAGGGCTATAGACCTACAATACCCACCGCTGACGTTTACAAGATGAATAAGGAAGGTGGCCAAGATGGGGCTAAGCAAGCATCAAAGGATGTACAGCGAATTGTGTTGAGGAGTAAAATGAGAGTGAAGGAGTGCGTGAAACACATGGCGCCTTTATTTTTTAAACGATAATGACACCCCAAGTAAATGGTTGATCAGACTCAAGACTAACTGCGGGTGGACTGTTCCATCGTAGAATCCAACACATAATACCCAACAAGGCTTTATTTCTCAAAAAAGAAAACATGTAATCCACGCTACGGTTGTTATATTACACGACCAGAGGCGCGATACCCGAGATGAACAGCCGGGTGGAGTGCCTGATACGAATTTCTCCTGGCATTGAGCCTGATGTAGCACATCGCGCCACGAAGCATTCACTGACCTTTATCTAAAGGAACATTCAGAAAAGACCTACAATTAGTACACAGATCGACTAAAATTACACCGGAGCAACTGGGGAGAGAAAAATATGAAATGTAGCTAGCCGACTGTGCTCATTGCTAATCCCTCTGTAACTCAAACATTGCGCGTGCATATCAAGCAAGTTGCCAGCTTGCTTTCCCTTTTGCTGATATCAATTTTTGTCAGTAGTAATTTAAAGGTAGCTAGTGTTTTTTCGTCAGCGTGCAAAATACACATACAGCCAAATGCCAGATTCATCATAAAAATGATATCAAACAAAAAGAAATAACACGCGCACCGTAAGATGAAAATAAGAAAGAAAGGAAAGCAAAAATACCAGTCGAACAATATACGTCGTTCTTACCATTAAAATTAAATATCTCTCACGATGCGAGGAAGGTATGCAGAGGATTCAGACCGAGATTGAGATCAGATATCCGTCGCTTCTTTCATTCCTCATTCGTGAGAGATTAGCTCTCAGTCCATGCTCCAGTTCACTGCCATATATCTATTCGATTAAGACATCAGTCAGTGGTTAGATCGTGTGTCTCATAACGAACGAGAGCATTGGATGTGTTAATTGGAGTGTCAGAAAAAATTTAAAGGTAGCTAGTTTTTTTTCGTCATTATGCAAAATGCACATACAGCCAAATGCCAGAATCATCATAAAGACCAATTGAACAAAGAACACGATCGCCAGATCGAGGTAGAGGGAGGAGACACGTACCAGTTGAATTCAGTTAATCGACAATGACATTGATCAGATACGAGGATCGAATAGATACGCTGCAGCATTCCATGGAAACGAAAGTGCGTTAGCAATTGAAGACAATTAACATGATCAACATGGGACATTAAATATCGAGATGAGTGTGTTGTCAGAAGTAATTTATAGGTAGCTAGTTTTTTGTCGTCAGTGTGCAGAATGCACATACAGCCAAATGCCAGAATCATCATTTAACAATCTCGCGATCTCAAAAAAAAAAAAAAAAAATTCGCGGCCAGGCTTGTAAGACTTACTATAGGAAAATTTGATCCGCAGTGGGCAATTGATAGCTCAGGAAAGGGAATTGTCGACCATGGCTTCCATAGATGCAACGAGCGCGTAAAGGCGATGAGGTGGAGAAGGGTGGGAAGAGGTGGAAAGGGTGAAGCCTGAAAAAATTTGCAGTGTTCGCTTTTATACCAAAAGCGGGAACGCAAAATAAAAATACAAATGGATCTTAAGCTGTAAGCCACTACATACTCGCCCTCAGCGCAACTGCACTCGGCTCAAAATGCAAGGTGAACATAGCCTTCCTGAGTTTGCATTGATAATACTCTGCTCCACCTCTCATCCCTCCTTCATGAACGAAGGCATCACTGACCCTTCGGACTGGCCCCCACAGTTTGCGCCACTGGGTGAAATTGACTCACACCTGCGATGTCCCATCTGCAAGGAGCTCCTCAGGGCAGCTATGATGCTGCAATGCCACCATAATTTTTGTTCGGAATGCATACGACGACACCTCGACAAGGAGTCCACTTGTCCGGCTTGTAGAGTCGCAACCTCAACAGCACAGATGCGCCGTAACACTGCTTTAGATGAAATAGCGAACAGTTTCAGGGATTGCAGGTCAGTTACTTAAAAATCTTTGGCCTCTTGTCTGCCCTGGATATTACTTTGGACGGAAAAATGGTGGCAACTGAGCACTCTCAAGGCTGAGCCTATATAGGATACTCCCTTTTTTGATTGAAATAGGTCATTACTTCTAAAAACTGTCTTGGAGTCTCTAGAACCAAAACATACACCAACGCCCCAACTATCACGCTCTGAGAGCATGGACATTGAATACGAAAGTCAATCGCACAAGAGGCGGCGGACGTCGTCCAGAATGTCAACTCGATCGTCCTCACATTCAAATAACCAGGACCATATCGAGGCGGTCATGACAACCCACTCGGAGGGAGATGATGACAACGATGACGATTTTTTTATGGCTTCTCAGGATTCTACTTCATCATACAAGGGAAAGAATGTTGCTCGATCTGCTGCAGGTGCGCATCCTATCGTGTCTTGAGAAGCAGGCTTTGCTCCCTATCTTTATTGCCATCAATTAACACTTTAATGTATTATTTCAAAACAGGACCCGCGCTTCGATCTAGGACAGGACGTCAAAGATCGCCCACTGTCACTACCGTTGATTCACCTCAACGACAAGGACAGCTGCAATATCATCCTGCGCCTCTCTCTCAGTCAGGACCACAATCTCAATCTCAGAGCACATCAGCTGTCTCCACATTAGCGCCCAGCACACCCACCACACCCACCCAACCGCAAGCAGGAACTCTTGTGCCCTGTCCTGTTTGTGAAGTAGCCATTCCAGTATCCTACTCTGAAACACACCTGGATAAGTATTGTCTGATAGGAAAGAAAGATTCGGCCTACACCATCCCTTTCAAATTATTTCTGGATCAGAGCCGGGAAGTCATTGAGTTGTATGAGAGGCAGGGCACCACAAAACAAACTGTAGTCAGGCCGTCTTCTGTAGGATCTCCACAGCGGCCGAGCACCTCCAACCTCTTTGATATGAGCAAATCGAGAAGTGGATCGCCACTTCAGAATCGGACCAAGCAGCTAACGATATCAGGCGTCATTCCAAATCAAACATACCCGGAACAAAAGAGGTGTGTAGTCCTTTTGTCAAACGTTTGGTTCTAATACGGGAAACGTGGCTGACGAACTGGTGACTTGGATATTCGTTTCATGACATAGAATCCCAAAGTTAACGTATAGCGTCCTTAACGACAAACAGCTCCGCAAGAAACTAGGGGTACGATGTGCAAATGTTAAGAAGAATCGAGAATGACGTCTTTGCTTTGCTAGCGAAGAGCTGATCATGGATCGATTTTATTTTATCTGCACAGGAACTAGGGTTAGCAATACATGGCGACAGACAGCTACTACAAAAGCGCCACGCCGAATATGTCACCATCTACAACGCCAACTGCGATGCTACCCGACCCCAAACGAATACTCAGCTTATGAAGGCTATGGAAGCCTGGGAAAGAGCATATGAGCAGGATTTGGTAGCCAAGGAAGAACAACGGAGAGTTCTAGAACAACAGCAGAGAAAACAGCAAGAGATTGCGCAACGGGAAGCGAAGGCAAAGGCAAAGGCAAAGGCAGAGGCAAATGTAGAGGCAAAATCAAGTGCTGCTGGTGCTCCACTGACAACCACTGTGCTACTATCACAAGGAAGCACAATCGATGGCGGTGATGCTGCTGGCAGTGCAAGGTCTTTTGTTCCCAATCAAACTAATAACACCGACGTGGCCATCGCGGTAGCATCATCATCGGCATTTGCGCATTCACTGAAGTACGCAAACGAGTATGCAGAACTCATCGCGGATGTCAAGAGGCGATCCCAGACTGACAAGGATAAGACAATGGCAGACAAACAGAAAGAAATTGCTAAAGATCAGCTCCAAGAGACAGCGCAGAACCATCTTACATGACGCCAATAAATCGAGAAATAGGGACCACTGCACTTAGCGATCGCCTGCAATCAGCACATGTCCACTTCGTGCTCTGCTAAGATTTCATTGATACAATGCTGTGTGCTATTGTCAATCGGATCAACTCTGCATTCGTCCTGTTCATTCTCTCTTTGATTACTATCATGACCTTCATTGCAATATAAATCCGGTGCTCCTTTTGCTGAAGATATTTTAATAGTCAGAGTCGATAAATGCTCCACGGGTTTATTTAGGAACGGGAAACTTAAACTCTACAGTGCGAAGGAAACGAATGATGAGAAGGATAATGTAGTTAGCACAATTAATCATCCTTTATGAACATATCGCCACGCTTGCAAGTAAACAAAATCAATTTCCCATACCTGGAAGGGTACATCATCTGGAGACGGTGCCCAATTGAGAAAGCAAAGACAGGTATATTATGATCGTGTTAGCATCCACGTCTAGCACAGTTCACTGCTCGATCCAGTAAAGATTAAAAGAAAGGAAAGGTAACTTACGACGCGGACGGAGGCACCGAAGGACTTGGCGGGCAAGTTGTTGCGGAAACGGGCCTTGACAGCGCCAGAGCCACCGTGGGCGCGAGTGATACGACCCCAGATACAGCGGATCTTGGAGCCGTTGACCTCACGCTTGGCGCGGTACACAAAGGCAACACGCTTGCCGAGGTAGAAATCAGTATCGGCAGCAGTCTTCACACCCTCGATCTGGATGAGCGAGATATCGGGGCGCTGGTTGCGCTTAGCACGCTTGAATCCAAGAACACGACCTTTAGCGTAAAGACTATAAGTGTGCCGTATGAAATGGAAGATAGTAGACGTTGGGATTGGTTGTTAGATGCAGGGGTTCTGTTGAACGTGTTTTGGTTTGTTCTTTTGAGAACTGTTTGGTGCTGTTGGAGCTTTTTTCGCTTTGCTGTTGGATTGTTCTTTCTTGATGTATTGATGCTGTGATAGAAACCAAAGTAGATCCCGTGCGTCGCCATCAACTACAAGAGAAGCGTCCTGACACAGGCCAGCGAAGGAACAGTGAAGTGACGCTGTGTATGACAGGCGAATTCCATTATCGTAGATGGCTTCATCTCCAACGTTGACCCTCGTCCTGTCTCAGTGCAGAATCATAGGTTCCGCATGACTTTAGCCATGCAACGCCCTTCTGCCCCACAAGTGCCGGTGATGTTGGTATTGTCGGTCTCCAGTGATCTCAATTGAAAATTCTCTATTCCGCCAAACACACAAGCCCTGGTGCTAGAAGGGCTGCAGACTGCCAGATCGGCTCCTCTGCAGTCAACTTAATCATGGGTGCCGTCCTTCTCCTGCTGATCATTTTTTGTATCCTCAAAGATAAAACAAAAGAATAAAAAGTCGATCCTGCTGCTGATGGTGTTCCTGTATCCTGTAGAGAGAAGTGTGCTGCCTTGTTTCATTTGCTAGATTGATGGACGGATGGATTGCTTGCGATCAATGGATGTGGATGGCTCTCCAGCACATACCGACTCATTGTTTCTGGCTAAAATTTAGAGAGGGAGCGAACTCATGTGGGGCCATCAGGCAGGACTTATGTCGAGCAAATGCTTAAGGGTTTCATATTCACTCACCACACATGCATTTAATGATAATGGCAGCCGGTTCTTCACCTACAACTTTTCACAGTTATTTACAGAGATCTGGACGCTACCTAATCATGTCTTTTTCCTCACTACTTATCCTCCTTCTTGAGGAAGGAGCTAGCAAAGCTACCGATGGCACCAATAGCCTGCTGAGTGCTACTCTGTTGGCCATTCTGACTATTCTGACCACCCCCATGCGAGAAGGTGTTAAAAACATTCCCCAGCGCAGCTCCAGCGCCGCCTCCATCTTGGCCACCTTCTCCTGTTAGCGTCCCCATAACCGCCTGCTTGATATACTCAGGCGAAAAGACCTCATCACGGAGCTCCTTCTCCAGTGTTGCGGTCTATGCAATCGATACAATGATAAGATAACATATCCATTTAGTAGAAGTACCAAAGAGTTCATTGTTCACGGCAGTAGAAAGACGATTGAAAGAAGTACTTGCCATCTGAACTTCAAACTTTTGCAAGTACGGCTGGAGCAAGAGCAAAATTTTGGGTGACAACAAGTTCTGGAATAACTGCTGGATTCCACCAGTTTGTCCACCGGTCGCATGTACGTCCCCAGCATCACCACCGCCATTTACGGGCTGGTCTCCAGGACCATGGCTACCCATAAACTTTGACATCAATCCAGCCGCCGTACCCAGTGCCCCATTCGCACTACCGTTTTCATCAATCAGCTGCTGGATAGCGCCACCGATCGCTGCTGGAAACGAAGACGACATCTTGTTACCCATGTTCTCGCTGACCTGTTTAATTATCGGCATAGAAGCCGTCATGGCCGAGTTCACCATTCCTTCCTTGCCATTCTTAAAGAAATCAAAATCGATACCCCCGGTTTCGGGCGCACCACCATTAGCTGCGGTGCTTTGCTGGGTGAGCACATTCTTTGCAGTGTTTATGACGCCGTTCGTTAAGAGCGTATCCATGCCCTCGCTGGAAGTGTCGACAGTCATGTTTGTGACAGAGGTCAGACGGTTCATGAAGTTGGGACCGAGCTGGGAGATGATCTGGGAGACCATAGGATTCGTGCCTTCGCCGCTGCCGTCCTTTCCAGTAAGAAAGCTCATGATGGTGCTGGGGAGGTCACTTTTGAGATCACCCTTGGTGTCGTTGAGCTGCTCTGTGACCTTGGTCTCAACGTGAGGGCGAGCTTGCTGTTCGACATAATTCAGCAGAAGAGGGCCTAGCTGGTTCATAGTACTGTCAGTGTGTTGAAGGAGTAGGTGGGGACAATGATATATCAGAAGATCGGCGATGTTTTGTATGTAATATGATACGATGAGTTGGAAGCGAAGGAGAAGAGGGAGAACAAAAAAAATAGTCGATGAATGAATCAGAGCAGATAAGCAGCGAGAGAAGGTGAAACAGCAGTTTAAGGCGGAACGCGATCGCCACAAGACAGCGAGGATAATGGCAATAAGCCCAAGGTAGAGCAGATCTCTAGCACTGTGCCTAGAAAACGCATTGGCTGGATATGGTAGCCAAATGCGTATCCTCGAAAAGCGGATGAGGTTACGATGCACAAACGGCGCAGAACAGTGTGCGCTGCATCTGTTTTCTGTATTTTCTATTTTGTCCATGCACTGTACCTGTTTATTGAACACCCACGCTCCTTCCCTTTTCACCATTCATCAAATCGCCATGGCCACCTCATTGAAAAAGCTCTCTTCCGTTGTCCAAAAGGCCTCTGGCAAGCACACCGCCACACTCATCTTTATGCACGGTCTCGGGGACTCGGGATCTGGATGGTAAGTCTTCCGCCCTGACTGCATGCAGCAAGTGAGATCACGATCTGAGCTTGTCTTACAAATACTCACACCAGCTTGAACCACTTCTGAATCTGCAGGGCAACCATCGGAGAGGAGGTATGGTAGACACATTTATTGCTGGCAATACTTTGTATTCTAACGTTACATTGGTCTCTTGTACCTACCGCTACTCACCCGCCTTATTTGTTTTCTGTGGTCCTGCACAGCTCACAGGTATCCTTCCCCATGTCAAATTCATTTTCCCAAATGCTCCCTCTATGCCAGTAACCATGAACCATGGCATGCACATGCCTTCCTGGTACGATATCAAGAACTTGTCAAAAGTCGACGATGATAAGGAACAGGATGAACAAGGAATGCTCAAGTCTAACCAGCAACGTAAGAAGCATATTAAAGCACCCAGGTTGATCATTCAATTCAGAGCGAGACCGCTAATGAACTATTTCTTCTCAGTCATGCAGATCGTGCGCGAGGAGGTCGAGGTGGCCGGCATCCCAGCAAACCGTATCGTGATCGGCGGCTTCTCTCAGGGCTGTGTCATGGGTTTGCTGCTGAGTCTCACATCCGAGTTCAAGTTTGCAGGTGTTGTCGCCCTCAGTGGATACCTGCCCTTGCACAGCAAGATCTTCAACATGGCGACAGAGGCGAATAAAAAGACTCCAATTTTCTGGGGCCATGGCGATGCGGATCAAGTGGTCCGTTACGAGTATGGTCAACGATCCGTTGAGCAATTGCAAAAGCACAAGTACGCTGTCAGATTCAATACCTATCCTGACTTGGGGCATGGTTTTGGTCTGGAGGAATTCAGGGATCTGTCGGCGTTCTTGAGGGAGACCCTTCGCCCAGTGGATACTGCCAGCGCATAAACTGCTCTTTCTCTTTCCCTAGACTCCCGAGGAAGAATGACAGCAGCTTGGTCTGACTATATACTACGACTGCGAGCATAGATGGCGTCAATAAAGACATTTATTACGAGAATTTTTATTCTTCTGCTGTAGGTGCGGATGTCTTCTTTACTCGTGATGTTCTGGGTTTCTTATAGAGAACCTCCTGACGATCTGCCTTCATGGCCGCATATCGACCGCACGTAAACAAGTAGTCACTCAGTCTGTTCAGGTACACAGCCACGCTCTTATCGACTCTTTGTTCCTGTGCTAATGGGATAACTCGTCTCTCCGTGCGGCGACTGACCGATCGAGCGACATGCAACGAAGCCGCAGCCTTTCCACCAGACTGCACAACAACACCGCACATGCAAAAACAATTGAATCGTTAGGCGATCGACTGAAAAAGGAATATTACGTGCCATTGGTGACGAGCATAGCACAAACTTACAGGCAAGATAAAACTTGTAAGCGGAGGTAATTCCTGATCCATGGCATCGATCCAAGCTTCAAGATCCTGAACATGTTGACCTTCTGAGTCGAACTCTGTCCGTACTAGGCGCGGTGCCGTGGCGGAGTCGCGAGGGGTGGCAATGTTGGACCCGATATCTTGTAAAAGGCACTGGATTTGCTCCAATTGAGAGACCATACTCTGCAGGCTCCCATCTTGATCCAGACAGAACTCTCGTGCCAGACTAGATAAAAAAACGCATAAATGATGATGACTTTGCTTGTCAATAGGCTGAAATGCCTTTTGATTTGTGTCACGTCGCGAATGTTCGTGTCGATACGACATACCCAATGGACGATGACAGCTCGTCATTAGTTCCTATGATATTTTGAAATAGACATGGAGTGCCAAGGTCAATTTGCGATCATTTTACAGCCGTCTTCGGGACGGATGATTTATATGAGCTGATTTGATCCGCAAGCGGATCGTGGACATACCGAGCGCATCAAAGACTAAATCATCCTTGGGTCTGCGTTCTCCTGTGAAGAGAGATGAAGTTCCTTTGTCTCCGGTCTTTGTGTAGATCTTGGGTCTACCAGCAAGCGCAACCCTTGAACATACCAACTGTGTTTAGCAGATGTTTTCTCTCTATATCATAAACGTTGTGGCACTGCCCTGTCAGGTACCTTGTTCCTGTCGAAAAGGGGCTGACATCGGCGCGTCGTATGGTCGAGCGAAACGGGCTCAAAAACATACCCGTTGTTTTTCTATTCAGGACGGTGAGAGTGGTAAAGAGGAGAAAAAGCGATTGCAATGCATCGGACTTTTCATGAAGACAAAAAAAAAGTCACTCTTGAACCGTTAGGATAATTTTCTATGTGATCCGCTTTGGTGAAGAATGGCGCATTCCGAGTGGCATCATCATCAAGACCAGTCGTCTGCTAATCGCAAAGAGGGTCCCCTTAAGTATTAGAACCATTGACATACCATATCTTCTGTCTTTTCATAATGCCAATGCTCTTTACTCCATTCATGCAGAGTGACACTTTCGCCCCTGCAGCAGGCAGAACCCCGTGCTTGCTACTAAGTCTGATTCGCATGGGTATCCCTCCATTTTTGATCGATTATCACTCCGCCTCAATGAATCACGCCCTGGCGGCGGTAATCAAGGAGCAATTGACCAATGGCTGTGTGTGAACGTGCGAGTTCAGGTACCAGCTAAACCGTAAAAACCTTAATGGTTTCTGAACCCTGTTTTTTTGTTGTTTAATCAACCCCTTCAGCGGAGGGAACTACCTCTTAAGTTCCATGGGTCAAATGGACATTTTTAAACATTCGCCCACCTCAGAACGTTCTGAAGAAATATCTACGAGCAGCAGTAAGAAGAAAAAAACGGCTTTTTTCCTTCATTCTCCGGTCTTCGTTTCTCCTCTCTTTTTTCTTATTTCTTTCCTCTCATCCTCCTTACTCACCCCTGGCTATCATACCCTCTCGAACCATCGCTTCGGAAAATGCCAGATCCACCAAACGTTCCCGCCAACAGCAACGAGCATTCCCTGAAACAACCACAAATTACACACAACGACCACAACAATGTCCAAGACTCCTCTGCAGCAACAACGTCCCTGGCATCTCAAATCCAAGGTTATGCCTCGTCCGGTTTCGCATTCCCGTCCTCAAACCCCTTTTCAGATACACTGGGGCCAAGCACCCCCTTCGGTTTTGAAAGATCTCCGTCCCTGACGCCTGAGGAGACGCCTCTTGGAACCCCCACGGCCGAACTCCAAAAACTAAGTCTTGGAGTCGAACGCTACGCCCGAGCGATCGAGGACCCAGGGCTGATCGGCAGCTTCTCAGGCACAGTGCCATTGCCTACTCTGTCACAGACGCATCATACCGCAGCCAGGCGTAGGCCCTCCAATATGGCGATGGAATCGATCGCCGGTGGCGATACTGGATTGAATAACTCTGACCCCTCAAACATGAACCGTAGAAAAAGTGCTGTTGCTGATGGAGTGTCTGGTCATGGAGTGACACTTGCTTCCATCAGACGGGCCTTCACAGGCAGACTGCACCCGCAGGATGATGGTATGATTGACCTAGAATCGAACATCAAGCATACAATCGAGGATACAAACAAGTGCCCAGAAGTTGTTGTCAGTCAAATGGAAGTCGTCTCCCACAGCGAAAAGATTGATCCGATAGAGGACCTCGAGGTTTTGAATCTAGGTGAAGGTCTGCGCCGTCGTAAGCCCAAGGGAGGTGTACTCAGTCAACTGCTAAAGCTGCAGCGTAACGAGGCCACCGCTGCCGCCGCTGCCGTAGAAAGATCTTCCTCGTTAAGACTGCACCCACCATCATCCGCCAAGCGTCCTGCCGTCAAGCGAGTCAAAAAGGCATTCTATTACCGATCTTCTAGGAACAACTCGGCGACCAGCTTGAAGGTCGCAGCTCCTCTATCTGCCGCAACCACGCCCATGGATTCGCCCAGGGTTTCGCCCAAGATATCGCCCCGCAACTCTATGGTTCTCGACAACGAAAAACTCAAGCAAGATCGGGAAGACAACGCTGCCGCTGCCGCCGCTGCGATACTCAAAAAAGATGTAGATAATCGAACCATTCACCACGACATTGCCGAGATCCTGACACGCCAGTCGTTCCTCATCATGATGACCAAGGCCTTGATCCTCTATGGTGCACCTTCACACAGGATCGAGGAGACATGTGTGCTACTGGCAAGGAAGATGGAGGTTGATGCCTCATTCTCGTTACTGCCGGGTCTCATGACCGTCTCATTCAGCGATCCTGAGACCCACACAAGCGACACACGACACTTGAAGTGCAGCCAAGGAATGGATATGAGCAGACTAGCAGAAGTCCACCGGATTGCGCTGGCGGTTCTGAGGGGTGAAAGCATCGAAAAGGCGAACCGGGAACTGGAGCAGGTGACGCTGGAGCCGCCGATCTATCCACTCTGGCTGACGCTACTGGGATGGCTCGGCTCCTCTGCATGTGTGGCTCCGTTGGCATTCGGTGGTGGGTGGTATGATATGGTCGTCGCGGGATTTTGTGGTCTAATGGTCGGTATCCTCGGTATCGTGGCCGGCAAGTTCCCGGTCTACGGCAATGTCTTTGAGATGACATCGAGTATTTTGGTCGGGTTTGTTGCGAAGGCCTTTGGCGATCGCGTCTGCTTTTCGGCTGTCGCATTGGCTGGCGTGGTGGTACTGTTGCCAGGTTTGCTATTAACGCAGGCGATTATGGAGCTGTCATCCAGGAACATTGTCTCTGGTGCCGTGCGAATGTTCTATGCGCTCATGTATGCCTTCTTTCTCGGATTCGGACTCGCCCTTGGTGCAGAGGCCTGGGATCATGTAAGTTACAGCCTCAGTTCACTAATGAGAATGACTTTGTCGCTGCGCATCCTTTACTGACATTACGTTTTTCATTTCAAATGTTTATAGATCTCAGGAGGACCAACAACAGCTTCGCCCACGGCATGCCAGCACCCGATTAGTCGCTGGTGGTACTTTTTGATCTACCCCGCCGTCTCTGTATGCATCAACATCACCTTCAACGCTAACCTCCGCCAATGGTTCGGTATGACATTCGTGACAGCCGTAGGCCTTGTTCTGACCTTATTCCTCCAGACTGGACCCCAGATCACGGCGGCCATTGCTGCGTTTGCAGTGGGGATTACTGGCAAAGTGTATGGACGATTGACAGGGCAATTGAGTTATGTGCCGCTGTTAAGCGGTGTCCTTCTTTTGGTGCCAGGAAGTGTGGGTGTGCGTGGGATCTTGGCAATCATCGAGAGCGACCCTTCGCAAGGGTTCACGTTTGTGCTGACGATGATCCATGTGTCGGTGGCGATCACGCTTGGAATATTCTGCTCGGCCCTGGTGTGCTACCCGTTCTGGCGCAAGAGCACCTTCATGAACTTTTAGATCTTTACATAGAGGCCTTGATACTCTTATTCAGGAATCATACAATAATTCGCTATCCTTATATCTCAACTATGGAAAATCAGACAAGGATGAAGAATGAATTTCTGTGTAAAAAGATATCCCGGTGCCCAAACAGTGGGATCTTTCGAGCAAACAAAAAAGGGGCCGCCGGAAAAGGGAATAGTTTATCTTCGCAGCAATAGAGTTTACGCCCTTGGCAAAATGGCGGGGGGAGATCAGACAGATAAATACTGCTGGTGGTCCTCCTACCCATTTGCCACCCCCGTTCGCGGACACATCCCCTTCCTTATCCTACTGGTCCTACTTCCCCTACTCCCTGCCAAGAATGTCGACTGCTCTGCGGATAGCAACTTCCGCTAGGGCCTGTTGTGGCACTCTTCCCCTCCTCGCCAGAGCCTTCCTCTCGTCGACCTCGGGATCTAAATCAGTTCGATCAGTCCCACCATTGCTCCGATTCACACATTCGAATCACGCTCTCCATCGACCGAATCCTCTCCTCAGGACCTCCCCTCAGCTTCTCAAAGTCGCACACAGTAAGACCATCCCCTCCCGCTTATCAGCGTCATCATCAGCATTCTTTGTACATTCGAGGCGTGTCGTGTCCACAACTGCAGCCCCTGCTGCAAAAGCCGAAGAGGACGAGCCGATCCAGGGCTCCGCACCTTCATACGAGCGTCATCTCCTGATCTGCACAGGCACACCCTCCGAAAACTGGGTCAAGAAACCTGAACTTTCAGATCCGTACCACAATCTCCTTATGACTACCGTCCGTGGACAGGAAGTCAAGGTCAACTTCACGGACGAGCCTTCGGGGGAACACCAGGAAGATATTCTTTCGTCCAGAGGTCCGAGACACGATTTGATCCTCTTTCCGGATAATGTCAAGTTCAGAGGGATCCGGTACGAGGCCTTCAGGGATCTCTCGCGCTTTTTGGAGCAACATCCTAGTGGTACCCTGCGTCCGAAACTCGAGAAAATGATCTCGGAAAGGACTTCTCTGAACAGCAAGAAATCTGCTGCCACCAGCAGTGTCAGAACCGAACTCATCCCCGGAAGCGGCGAACCCATCACCATCGATTTGATCGCAGAGCCGAGTGCAGTTCTCGTCTGCACCCACGGATCGCGCGACTGCCGCTGTGGCGAACAAGGTGGAGACTTTTACAGGGTTCTCAAGGATATGGTCCAGGCAACCGGATTAAGTGGCTCGATCAAGATATATGGGGTCAGTCATATTGGCGGACACAAGTATGCGCCTAACACAATCATGTACCCCTCGGGCGACTGGCATGGTCATCTGTCGGAGCTGGATTCTGTGGATGCGCAGCAGATCTTATTTGATGCCCTCGCAAACGGTGGAATCGCCGGTAGAGTTAGAGAACGTCCACAAGCAGATCCGGTCATGATCGACAAATGGAGAGGGCGCATGGGTATGAGCAAAGAGGAGCAAATCCAGTTGTATCAGCAAGTGCTGAAGAAGCAGAAGCAGCGGTCATTAGGATCGGGTCAACTGCCAGGACAGCAGCAGCCTCAGAGTCTGTTCTCTGCGCCGGGCGATGATTTGTATGAGGACGATGGACTGAAGGACCAGAAAACGGCGGTCTCAGTCGAGTCTGAGAAGCCCTCAACGAGCCAGGTAACAATAGGAGATGGGGCGTCGCGGGTCAGGGTTGTATTCGAGACGTATCAAAAGGTCCGCACAGAGATCGATGCCAAGGTCGGCGAGAGGATTCTGGATATTGTCAAGGATAAGGATCCTAGTCGCCACGGCATTTATCAGGCACTCGAATGCACCTGTGGTGGCCAGTTAGGTAAGTTGGAAACTTCTTTGCCCACCTTCATTCAAATGCACTTGCTTTGACATTCGTATTGATAATTGACAATCGTAATTTTGTATCTCTTGATTTCCTATCTTCCAGAATGCGCAACTTGTCACGTCTACATTGAACCACCTTACAGTGCAAGACTGCCTGGAGTCACAGATGCAGAAGAAGACATGCTCGAGTACGCTGTCGGCCGCAGAGATTCCTCTCGCTTAGGTTGCCAGATCAAGATCCAGCCTGACTTGGAGGGCATGGTTATCAAGTTACCGCAATACTAGAAATAAAACAAAAATAGAACCTCATCAACAAGAACAACCACTTCTCGACAGTAACCTCTTATGTGTGTCTTTTGCAGATATATTATCAGGTCAACCGTCAACCAAGTAGTTAGCAGTTAACAGCACAGCGTGAAGCAGAGCCGTAATACAAGTGAAAAAGAGAACGGTTTTCCGAATGCAGATGAAGCGTGCATTTACTGCCCTTCTTTTTGAACAATTTTGCATAAAAAACAAATTGCGAGTAGTTAACGGATGATGCCTCTGGGCCGTAAGTGTCGCCGCTCTACTCTCAATAAAACGGACATAAGCAGCGATGGCTGTCTCTTTATTTTTTCAATTGCGCGCCTGGATTCAGCTTCTTACACATCCTCCTTTCCTCCTCTTACAGCTCCCCTGCTCCAGCACAATTAAGTTTTCATCATGGCACCAAAGATATTTTCAGAGAGCGCCAGCACTCTGAAAGTCCTCACAGAACTGGATTTGGACGGCCATGAAGAGAAACAACATCATAAACCACTTGTGACACCTCTTAAACGATCTGAGCTCTGGGCATGGGTAAGTGTTCGTAAGGAACTTGAGTCGCATGTCGAATGGATCTGTAACCAATAACGCCACTAACCTGGTTCTATTACCTCCTCCATGTAGTACATTCAAAACGGAACGTAAGTGGGTATCTGCACCGCCATAACGAAAAGAACTGTCATCGTATCTAATCTTCACCGAGCACTCATCCTGTCGCTTTCTCGCCCCTTGTTATTGTCAACCAGATACTGTGGTTACGGATGGGTTGCCAGCTCGTTGTTAGCCCCGCTTTTAATCCAAGACATGGCCTCCAGGGCCGGCGTGATGGCCTCAGACCACACCATCTCCTGCAACGTTACCATCCCAGGCTTCAAATGCGTGACTTTAGTGCTGGGACGCTACCTAGAACCAGGCACCATCTCGCTCTACATCTCGTCTCTATCCTCCATCCTCAGCTTCTTTGCCTCACTTTCCATCTCGGCGGTCGCTGACCATGGATGTATGTTACACCCTCTTCATTTCTTTCTTTTTCTTATGTAGATTTGCTAATGCAGCTGAGCAAGGAGGATCTAACCTATCTGTCCCTTGACTTCTTACTTGCTCTAATTACTACACTTCAGCTTACAGAAAATCTCTACTGATCGCATTCTCTGCTCTCGGCTGCATCAACGCTCTCGCCTACTTCATCATTCAAAGCCCCTCCCTCTTCTGGGTCGGCGCAATCCTCTCTCCCCTCGGCGGAGCCTTCTTCAACATCACCAGCGTCTTCTCTCACTCTTACCTCCCACTTTACGGACGCGCCCACCCCGACGTTCTCGCAGCTGAGTCCCGGGGTGAGTCCGTCCAGGTAATCCGGAAGATTGAGGAACAAAAGATCAATGATATCTCGGCCTACTCGGCCGCGGTCGGGAATATCGGCGCAGCGTTGATTTACGTTGCATGTATTGGTATATCCTTGAGCATGAACGAGAGCCCGTTAAGTCTCGAGATCGCGATCGCATTTACGGGCGTGTGGTGGCTGATGTGGACCCTGATCGTATCTCCTTACCTGGATGCGCGGCCAAATGAGCCCTTACCCAAGGGAACCAATTGGGTTGTTCATTCCTGGAAAAAGAGTAAGTTTCACCTGTGTCTTTCATGCTGTTGCTTCGCCATCCTAGTAGGCATTCCAGCCAAAACTAATCCGCCTTTCCGCCGTGATACGCTTCGTGCCCTTTGTGCGATTTGTAGCATATGACACCTTATGCTCAGCCCGCAAACTCCCCGAGATCTTTAAGTTCATGGTCTCCTGGTTCATTCTCTCGGACGGTGTTAACACCATCCCCACAATTCTCTTCATCATCCTCTACCGTGAACTCGGCTTCACCCACGTTCAATCCCTCATCATCTCCGTCCTCCTTACCGTCATGGCCTTTGTAGGCGTCTATGCATTCATGTTCTTCCGCAAGCTCTGGTCCCTGAGCACACGATGCATGATCCTTCTCTGTCTGGCCCTCTACACGCTCTTGATAGCTTACCTCACCATAGTCCCGTTTTTTACAGACAAATTTGGGTTGAAAACTGTGGGTGAAGGATGGGCCTGCACACTCTATATTGGATTAATTATCAGCACCTTCTATTCTTCTACACGCGTGTTGCTGTCGGAGATGTGTCCCGAGGGGGATGAGAATGAGTGGTTTTCGCTCTACCTCCTGGCAGACAAGGGATCTTCATGGTAAGTGCTATTTCATTTTTCTTCTCGAGAATGCTCGATATGTTTATACTGGCACTAACATCCTCTTTTTTTTTCTGTTGTTTCTATATTTTATAAATGTTTAGGCTGGGTCCACTCGTTACAGGAGCAATCTTCACTGCTACAGGCGACTATCGCAAAGCATTCTGGTTCCCTCTTGGTTTAATCGCCCTTGGCGTCGCGATCCTTCTCACGGTCGACGTCGATCTAGGAAAAGATCAAGCCCAGCAGTTTGCTAGGGATAAGCGCGAAAAGTTGCAACGGTCTCGACAACAGCCTTCTTTTTAAATCGCCAGTTATACCCTCTACACGACATTGTGTGCATTTGTATCATAGTAATCGCATATTTTTTTCTTCGTTTACTGAAACTAGCTAATTAAACATTGGTGTAGCACAAAGACGGTGCCGTGAATGTGTACGGGCGGAAACGGGACGTGTTAAACACGCGGCGCGTCAAATCTCGTCCAATGATAATCCTTTCGATGCGTCCCAAGACTGCTGCTCAAATTTTCTACTAAACTAAAATTCCTCGGTGGAGCTGCTTTAGCTTCGCTGTCGACTTGACGAAAACTGATCCAGTCCACCTGCATCCTTGGGGATCATCACCGGTGCAGAAGACGTATTGACAGGGAAAATGCGATAATCCTCCTCAATCTCGCTGTCTTCATCATACCCCTTGATTCGGTGCCCACGGCCCATGATTCCTGTGACACCTGCATTATCTCCGTCCTTTGCGAACTCGTACACTGTCATGTCGCTGAAATATGAAGAGAGTGTAGACATGGAGGAATTTGATGGCGAAGACGGCAGGTAATAAGCCGATGGAGACGAAGACATCGCTGGCGAGGACGGCGTACTGTCGCTACCGTTGTTACTGTACTTTTTGTTGTCCCCACTGATCCCTGCGCCAATGAGCCCAGAAGTTGCTAAAACGTCCTTGACATCCGCCGAGGCACGCTCGGCCATGTTATCCTTCCCCATAAAGGCAACCTCCCGATGCCCTATATCCCGGGCCCCATCTTTCCGTCGCTCACCCGTAATCGCCGCTACAATTGGACGCTTGATCTCCAATCGCTCCCGTTGCTGCTCTAGCTGCTGCCCCGGTCTCCGGAACTCGTCCTCGATCGGATACATGAGCACATTCATCCTCAAAGTGATCACCACTACCGTATTCATCGGCACCTTCAACCAATCCGTCTCCTCGACCGTTAAGGGCTCTGACGCGATCATCACTAAATCCTCCCGTTTCGCAGCCTCTTTGACCATCTTGTAATGCCCAGGCTTATAGCACTCAAACTTGGTTCCTGATGAGATATACAGGCTGGCGGATTCGAGCGTCAAAGAGTTGATGTAGCGCGTACACACAACCGAGACCCCATCCGTGACTGCAAAGTTCATGAACGAAGCCTCGCTGATCCCAGCGTCTTTACTCCATGCGTTGAGTTTGGAAATGGTCCTCAACATCGCTACTTTGAGAACATTGTGACAGAACGGCTCCGCCTGGCGCGGCGCCATAAGCTGACTGAGAAAGACTGCAAACACCCATTCTGAATCTGTGTTGCCATTCACAGTCAGAAAAATCTCGTCCGAGAGCGACTCTTGGACCTTGCGCTTGATCTATGAACAATAAAACATTGGAGCTCTGTCAATCAGATAAATGAAAATTAAAAAGAACCACAATCATCCCCATCTACACCCATACCAAAAAGCTTGGTTATCAATGACTAATAACAAAAAAAAAAAAAAAGCAGTGGAAAAACTCTGCTTTTCGCTCTCTCTCTCTCTCTCTCTCTTCTCATTCATTGCTCTTCATTGCACAACCGTTTCTTCTCCAGTTCGCCCCAATGAAATGAACGGACCAACAACAATAGCGCGATATGTGCATGGATGGTGTCAGGAAGGACCATAATGATGTTAGGACAGACCACACTGGCGTCATTTCAAAAGTGCAAGAGTTCTTTTTTTTTTACTTACCAAGTGAAAATCCGCAATCAGGCCATAGTGCATGAACATTAAGCGTCCATACTGCCAGGGCTGACCTATTTTTTTTTATTATATTTTTGCATTCCTGTATCAGAACAAAGAGCTACGATAATAGTATGCCTCGTTTCATCTGTTGATCATCTATTCATTCCGGAACCTGCTCAAAAAAAAAAAAAAAAAAAAAAGAAGCTGCAGGAACAAATACTTACAGTTGCTTTCTGATACCGAGCCCGCAGACGAGGCGCGCACATGGGCAAAGACCAAAGGGCTCTTGATCTTCTCTGCCAGGCGAATCAGATTCATGTTATTCCATGCTGGCGTGACCGAGGTGAATAGACAAGGCGTTGCTCCTGACTCTTGATCTGGTTGGGATTCATACCATCCTTTCAGAAGGAGAAAAATAAAATAAGATACAGTCAGTAAACTTCATGCCCTGTCCTTCCGTTGCTAATTTGAAATGCATCTATCCACATCAACGGGCTAAAAAAAAAAATATGCCCGCACGGTTTAAGGTACTCAAGTAGATGGCGACCCATAAAATTATACAGACCCTCAAAGATGGATAGTCGGAACGACAGCTTAATTATACGGATGGATATCAAAGAATCTCATTATCGTCGAAAAGCATGCAAAGTTGCTTTGCCGACTATCTAAAGACTTACCGACACCAAATCCATCGCCTGCCGAAAAAAAAAAAAAAAAGGGCTGTGAGTGCTTGATGCTTGAATCTTGCTTTGTTGTACAGCCCCTGTAATATTCATTTCCCTCGCATACCACTGACGCATTGTCTTCCCTGCAACCGCAACCTCGAGTCGAAAGATTGATTGATTATTGAATGTGCCGGTTTGGTCAACAGCTGTGAATCCGGTGCCGAGTACAAAAAAAGAAAAAATAAAGTTGTTATTTCTTTGCCCTGTCCTTTGAGGAATGAGCACCATTCCGAATGCATGCATGCAAATGAACAACGGGAGCAGAACCTACATGGGCCAGCTGAATTGGCTGTCGTCCTTTGTAGAGCAGCATTCTGCACATGGCCGCGGAGCTGAACCGCTTGATATAGGTGGGATCCAGCTTGTGTTGGTTCGTAGAGAGGGTTTATTTATTTGTATGTATGATGTATGATAAATGATAAGAGTTATTGAAGAGCAAGGGGAGGAGGCAAAGCAGGAAACAAATGGGAATGAGAGTGAGGAATGAAGATCCAGACAAAGTCCAGCAAAGCGGCATGAGTGAGCAGGCCCTTTTACCCGTTGAGTCCACATCCCAAGGCACCATGACCACCCATGTGGCCTATATGTATTTCTGCATCAGAATACACTTCGAATCATCTACTCCACATGCTTGGATAAATAGTTCATCGTGTTGAGGATTAGAAGCAACAGAATAGAATACAAGTATATAATGCAAGTCGCTATGTATGTACATGAGTGAATAAATCAAAGAATGCAATCGGGAAACACCAGCAGCAGGTCGACTGCTGTCTTAAGAGGTGTCATTTATCTTCGTCCTGAGCCCTTCTTTCGACGCGTCAATGGAGCAGGTGGTGGCATCCCAATCGTCTCCTCCATTTCTTCCACCATAATCGCGTTCTTAGCTCGGAGTTTGCGCCTCCGCTTCTTGCTCGGCGTCGCCAATCCATCATTCAGATTCGATGTCGCATTTTCCTCAGGCATTTGCGTCGAGTTCTCCTGCGGATCCATTTCTTGGCTACTCGAGTGGTCTATCGTCGCCATGTCGAGCTGGTGTTCAAGGCTCTGGATAGCACTGCCATAGTCTGATCGATCTTCCAGTGATATGTCTGCGGGGTCGAGGGATACAGTCTTATCGGCGTCCCCGTCCTCTCTACCATCCTCCTCGACATGCCATTCCCATCTGCTGAAAAGATGTCTCTTAATAGGCTCATCCTCTCCGTTCGTGACGAAGGGGCTGTCCTGTGCTTTTGTTGCGTGTTCGTTATCCGAGGGCTGTGGCTGATCCACTTCCTCTTGGTGTCCATCCCTCGGCGAGAGTGGGGAAAGCCTTGGATATAGGGATCGAATGGGCGATATGTCCGCAAGAGGCGTGTTGACGTGATCGTCAATCACATATCGATTGCCCGAACTGTCACGTCGACTCTCCTTCTCAGGCGTCATCAATAGATGGTCCTGCACTGTCTCTGCCTCAGAATCATCGGTTTCATCGCCATCATCGGGTTGGAAGGTGTCGTCGTGACTCTCTTCGACACTCATGATCATTTGAGGATCACTCCAGTTCACAGGACTATACTCCGAATCGCTATCTTCAAGAAGTGTAGGCGAGGCTTCGGTTAACGAGAGCCGAGCCTTTTTGATGGACTGCATAGAACCCTGATTGTGAAGACCTCGGAGTGCCGCAAAACGCGAGGACATAAGAGCGTCTGAACGCATCTCCATCATTGAAAAGCGCCGAGGCCCGGTGTTGGAGGGGATTGAAACCATCATAGCTGGGAAAGATCTCCGATGTAAAGAAGTGATCATGGTTCCTGGATCGAATCGGTCAGACCTAAGTGCGGTCATAATATCTGTGGAACTCCCGTTATAGTCTTCCTGCATGGTGGTAACCGCATCGACGTCATCATTCGCTTCATTGATGTCCTTTACAGCCTCGATAGCGTCCTCGGTTGTCTCCCTAGAGATTCCATGGTTCTGATAGCTGTCAACAGGGAGTTTGGCTGACTCGATTACACACTTGTCATGGGTATCATCGTCCTGCCGGACTTCCTGCTCTGCGCGATCTTGGTGTTGATCGCTGTCGTCAACCTCATTCCTCTGGAGCTTGACATCCTTAATTAAACGACCAACCTGGGCCATATTCTCAATAGCCAATTCGTCTCGAAGTGCCTTCTCGATAAACTCCTCATTCTCGGCAGCGTTTTTAACGAACGCTTTATCCTGTGCACCCTCTTCCAGAATTAACCCATTCAAAGACTGAGCAGCTTCCTCGACAGCCAATCCATTCTGACCCTGGACCGCTTCCTCAACGAAATTATCGTCCTGTGAGTCTTCATCGAGGATTGTCTCTTCCTGAGCAGCATAGTCGACAAATGCCTCATCCTGGGCAGCCTGCTCCACCGCATACTTTTCCGCATCCTGAATGGTTTCCATCATTCCCAACCCCACGGTTGCAGCCCTTGCAATCTCAGTGACTGTTGTAGAAGAGTTCGTCCGCCTCGCATATCTGCTCTCTTGATCCATCACTGAAGAAATATGATTTTCCGTCGTTTCATATCGCTGCGCTGTGGGCTTAACTAAAAAGGCTGCAGGAGTGCCTTCCGAGTGGCTGCTGGGGACCCTGATATTCGACCTCCTGTGCATGCTGGGGGCGTCGTTGAGCCATTGTTGCCACGCTTTAATAGTGTGATTGGCGTCCTCGAGTGCCCGTTCCAATGCTGCTCTCTTTTCTTCGCTCTCGGCCAATGCGCTTCCAAGGAGCTGTAACTCCTCTTCTTTCGCCTGATTCTTCGTTTCGCACTCTTCCATAATCTGACGAATATTCTCGGTGGGGACTGGGGCTCTCTTGTTCTGATTGTCGGATTTGTTGCTGATGACGTCCACGGGCTCAAGAACAGGAGGGCTAGATGACCGTCTCGAACGCGACTTTTCGATGACAGTCTCCATAGCCAAAGCCGGAGGGCTGGCTGATCGCGTACAAGTTTCTTTTTTTGAAAAGGCGACAAGAAGCTTGCTTGTCAGCTGATCCATGAACTGCTCCCGTGCTTGTCCCTCAATCGCACTGCATCTACCCTCAGCGGCCGCAAGTTTCTCGTACAGGTCCTCAACTTGATGCTGAAGTGTTGAAATCAATATGCTCGACTCTAGGTTGCCATCTACATCATCCTGGCTACGGCTCGATTGGCCACTAACAAGCGGGGATCTAGCGGTTGCCGATGACTGTTTCTTTTGCGTGGGAGTACTCGGAGTCCTCCGGATGGGGCTGCTTTCGTCCTTTGAACCGCGTTGTCGTAGTGTTGAGACATTCATTGCCACTGATGAGAACCTCAGGCTTTGGATGGTCTCATCGAACTCGTTCTGGAATGGATTTACGTTAATAATTAGGCACATTTTCGAGTTCTTTGACTTTCCATCCAAAACGCCTTGAAAGAGCTGCGTGAGTTTGCTGTGGCGATAAGGGACCATTTGAGGGACCTATTACAAATTGAGGTTCAGAGGTGCACCGTAGTATATGTTAGCTAAATTGTTCGTTTCCATTAAACCCACAGACTACCAAGCACAATTGTTGCAAACGTACTTTTGAGGCGCCTATCTGATTTAGTCGTAAAACTTCCATGCAGTGGCCAAGAACCATCAGACTGTTGTTGATATTGCCGGCCTCTCTCCGTCGTTGTCCAGTGCTGTTAGTGTTCCGAACGCGCTCCGATCCGGCTAGATCCACGATCGACAGTCGCGAAACAGATGTTTTGCCCTTGGCCGCAGTCTCCGCCGCACTATTGCCGAACTGTGGGGTCTTCAGGATCTTGATCGTGAAAACACAGTGGCTCCGAGATGACACGTTGTTGAGCAAGGTACTGAAGACTTGCCGTTGTCTGAGCCCAGCTCGAAGAACTAACAGCGCTTCCTCCAATGTCCTGACTTTGATATCTCTTAGACCATGAATGTATTTTTGTCCCGTTGTCTGATCGGTTTGCATATGAAGTGCGGGTCGTTTTGGGCTCAGGGCGCCTAGACCTGGCACTAGCGATTCTGGTGGCTCCGCCAAGAGGTCATGAATCTTCTCAGTATAAATCTCTGCACATGAGACCCATACTGTGTAATCCATTCCATCAGGTAGTGACACAACTATGAAATGCAAGGAGAAAACATGTGTTACATACTCAGTGACAAACACTGTGTAAAAAGCCCACATTAGTAAAAGGTTCCATGAGTGGATGTGCTGCCCTACCATGACTGTCAATCTCAGTGTTGCCCTCCCCAAGTAGACACTCAACGCTGACATCGTCCAGCTGAATATCGAGTCTCTCGGCAAATTTCATGAGATCACCATCGAGGGACTTGATACTATCCACGCTTTGTTTCTGCTGATACTCATGTTGCTGTTCGTCTTGCATAACGTCCGTCCCAGCTGTATCAATCCTTTCAACGTCCTGGAATCCAATCGGTCGGTATTGAGCAGCCTCTCCTGAGTCCTGAATAAATGTATCGATCGACCGAAATACGACAGCGAGGGCTCGCGGAAGAATGCCGGCTTGCCCAGGCTGGCTCGATCCGAGGACTGTATGTGTCTTTCCGGAATTACTGACCCCATACGCAAATAATAGGGCGTTGTAATTCTCCTGCCTCATGACGGGCGCCAACAACGGTAGGCACGTCTCCTCGAATATATCCGATTGCGCTGTGGCCTGCCCAAAGACCTTTGTGAACTTGTGCTTTGATGACTTTTTTGCCCGTGACTGTAGAGACATACACAGTGGATGATCAGGTATACATCGTGATTGCAAGTTGCGAAGAGGCACATGCATTTGAGCTGCGATCAGTACGACTTACATTTGGTGGTGGTGTCATAAGAATTTCGGTCTCGTTCTCTATCTCGACATAACCTTGACTCTGACTCTCGTGCGTCGCTAGCTCACTTGATGGCCTGAGTCGCAAATAGGTCTAATGGACGATTTATCGACTTGTCGTTTAGTAACGCGCGTGCTTTGTACTGCCACACGCTTTGTCCTCCAGTCAAAGCTCGTCTGACGACATACCTTGATTGGCTCCATCTCTGTATCGAAACTTTTAGGGATGTGCTGCGTCGCTGTAGAAAGGTCCTCCAGCTGGAATGTTGGACTAGTTGAAGATTCTGCCGAAGTCAAGGATGCTGGCGAGGAGCACCCAAGGACCAGATCGCTCAGGGATATACGAGAAAGGTTGCCTGGAGACTGATCTGGTCGCTTCGAGGGTGTTATGAGGGTGCTGAATCGATCACTTGGAGATGAAGGGAAGCGCGTCTTTCTAGAGGATGGTGATGATGCGACCTGGAAGGATGGGAGGCTAGAAGTAGGCTTCTGAATTAATTTTGTCCTTAGAGACTGTTTCAGGTGGAAGGTGTCGTAGATCTTTGGCGGCGGTAAGAAGAGCGAGCGAGGGCGAGGTCGAGCCTGGTTTGTGCGCTCAGAGAAGACGGCTCTTTGGTGGCGTACGGAATGGGCTGGGACCGAAGTACTGGTAGAAATAGCGGGAGAGATGAAAGCACTGGTTCCAGACGTTGACCTGGCTCCTGACGTTAACCTGGTTCCTGAAGCTGAAGAGGAGCTGACAGCAGTGGGCTTGTGCGCATTCCTCGCTTGAGTCCTGTTGTTGCCCGTCCACAAAGAAAAGAGAAAGAAAAGAGACAGTTGAGCGTGAAAGAAAGAATTGACAAAAGGAGTGAGGAGAAGAAAGTACGGACTATAGATTAGTGGCGCCTTTTTTTTCTTTTTTTTATGTGTGCTGTGTCTGTGTGCGTGCGTGTGTGCGTGTGTGATCAACAGCCGCCATAGGATGTGCTACAACAACCGACATTGGTACCTGAAGTTGCGCGGCTGCTTGCCTGGTTTTGCCATGGCTTGGATGCAGATGGAGCTGATTTAGAGGAGGAGGACAAGATGGACAAAGGTGAGAGGCAAATGAGCGAGGGATGTGGGATGCGACCCTTGCAGGGGGAAAACGCGCGGTGCTGTTTACATTGAACAATTGCTGTGCTACGGAGCTGTGACTGCACTTGATCCAGATAGAAGACACACATAAAAAAAAAAAAAAAAAAAAAAAGAGCTGACGGTGCTGTGGCATTAGACTATTCTGCATGGCAGCCTCATATCTGCGTTGGCTACATGATTAGGCTGGTTGAACTGTACAGCTCTCTTTTGCACAGAGCAATTAAACCCAAAGGACAGGCTGCATCGGTAGACTACGTATGTGCACTGGGGTGTAGGCCCAGACCATACAGACGCACCACGGACATGAACGAAGGTTATTACGTCCGAATAGAGAGAGCGTTTGAAGACAAATAACAAACAACGCTGCAGGAGAGAAATGAGTGCTTGATCCATCCACGAGCCAATCAGAAGAGACCGTTCCTGCGATGTACGGTATACCCTTTGGGCGTCGTGTGAAAGGTCTGCAGCTCCTCCTCCCTCTCCATTCTCGGGGCTAAGCGGCCTCACGCCTTTATTTCGCCTCTCTCTCCTCTCGCCTCTGTTTCTTTTTTCTTTTCCTTCTTTTTTTTTTGTTCATTCCATTGCACTCGCCCATCACCGTTTTCAAGTCTTTCTAGCCCGCTGTCTCCTTCGACCCTCTCACCCGCGTTCGCCGTCATCGTCCTGGGAAACTAATCTCACGGTCATCTCTCATCTCCGTAACCTCGCTCCACGCCCTTTTTTTTATAAAAACATATTACTCAACATAAATACATTCATATCCTTCTGACTGCCCTGCACTGGAGCTATATACATTTATTCATTATTCAGCAATAGCACAGCTTTTTTATATACAAATATTCTTAATCCATTCCTGACTCGCACCACTACATTTATAATACATACCTCGCCTTCTCCCACGCATTCATTCTCTTTATTTGTTTGTTTGTTTACGGCAATACAAAAGCAACAATGGCACCGAACTTGCCCCTGACAGAGACAGAGAAACTCCTGATCGACGCCTACAACACGATCCTCAACAAACCCTTCGAGGACAAGTACGAGGAGCGGTGGGAGGACGAGCCCTTCGACCGGGCCATCGATCAGTTCAAGACGCGGGCTCAGGAAATCGGCTTTACAGACCCATTCGAACTGTTGTCGAGGTTCAAAGTCGAATCGTATGAGGCAATCCGCGCACAACTCAAGAAAGGGCCTGCACCATGTTTCCGCGAGGGTTGGAAGAGCCCCATCCTCGGAACAAGAATCGACCCATTAGTCATCACCTCCAAATGTGAACACATCACCGGTCCTCGCTTCAAGGGTGAGGAAAGGGTCGTCGTGCTCGACTTTTGGGCTTCATGGTAAGTTTTCCTGATTTCATATTTTTTTTTCTCAATCACTGGGTGGTTCAACAACGACAACGACAACGACAACAACAACAACAACAACAAAAACGGCGCCGCGAGCAGATGTAATTACACTTTTGCATTAGGGTTGGTGGCAGTATGGATAGAGTTTTCGCATGCGCTGGTCGTTTCCTTTATATTCCTTTTTGTAATCAGATACAAACACCTGATGAGCACAAAGGGCCATACGACGTCTCCGCCACTACCCATCCTTGCTCTTGTGCATCGTGCACTATACCAAGGATGGGCGAATATGATGGATGGACTAGGACCTGACCTGGCCCATGGACTTGCAATTGATCTTGTGTCACAAGCAATCATGTACTCAACAAAAACAAAAAACCTATCTTGTTTCCTTTCTGTTCTCAATACGTTAGGTGTGGCCCATGTCTCCAAGCAGGGCCAGAGGTGTCAGAGCTGGCAGAGGAATTCTCGGGGCGAGTGGCCTTTATTGGAATCAATAATGAGAGCATTTTCAGTACCACCAAACCACCCAACATGGAGTTCCTTACCGCCTTCATGGACGAACATCAGGAAGAGTTCCGCTACACCCTCATGGTCGATAATGCCGAGGGTTTTGCAAAGGATTGTACGACAATACAGCCAAGAACTGATCCATAAAAAAAAAAAAAAAAAAAAAGCAGACTACGCATTGTGTTGGTACTGCACTGGTCTCGTCCCCAACTGACAGCCTTCATATTTTGTTCTATTTTTTTAGCGGTCTACAAACCAAGCGGGTACAGAGCCATCCCTTGCGCAGTTTTGCTCGTCGATGGGATCGTTGTTTACGTTGGATCACCTTTGAAAACCTTCCGCTCAGTCCTGGAGGAAGCACTAGAATCCGTCTCCTCCTCATCCTCGCCCACCTCTTCCGCTCATTCTTCACGGGAGGGGTAATACAGGATATCATATTATCTAGCACCAGTATTCAACATCGTGATGAAAGGGTCATAAAGCATAATATGTGGAATGCCATTCGATTTATAGCGATCTCAGTCATCCTTTCCGTAGCCAGGCTTCCTGGTTATTGTGTCATGTATAAACCTTAGATTTGTGTATATGAACTTCCCCAGAGCGAAAGAGAGCAGTGGAGAATGGCGCAACTCCGCATCATGTCTCTCCCATCTCTCGTGCAAACCAACGGACTGTTGTCTCCGGTGGGAACATTGGGCGCACCTAATTGGCCAATGCATCTTGCCGAGAGCGCGTATCCTCAAAACATTGTAAAAGGCACATGCACAAATAAATAAATACAAAAACATCCTTAACTCCACGCGGCCATATATTGATTTTCGGAACAACCCGCCCGACAGATGCACGCTCTGTGTTCTGCTCTCGTTTCACAACGCTCAGTGGAACCTACAGCGCTCCTTTCTCGGCGCGAGAATCAACTTGGGATCTATGCTCTCAAGAGCACTGAAATATCCTCCGACCTTGGGATAAGCGCACGAAATAAAGTTCCTAGTTGTAGACTCTGACGGCTAGAACACAGCTTTGGCGCCCTGGCAATTTACCCGCAGTTCGCGCTGTAGCCTGCATTACCATATGAGACATAGAGCAATGTCGCAAGTGTAGCCTGTGGGTGCATCAGTGATCTTACCAATGTAATTAACGGGCCCTCCGAAGGTTACCGTCTGTGGGCTGGGGCGGTAATGCGCTGCTCTACCCTCACTTCCACTGGTGTAGAGGAATGTGATGCCCTGTTTTGCACCGTAGGCGTTCAAGTTGTAGCCAAAGGGTGGTCTACACCTGCCAGGAATTACTTGGCTTTCCGTGGTACACGCGGCCACTGCTCACCTGTCCACAGCCTGCACAGCAAACTCAAAATAAATCGAGGAAAGTTTATTCCGTTTACCGTGAAAATAAGATGCAGCCAACTTCCCGTTAAACCATGCCAGGCTAAAGAGAACCCCTACTCAGAGCGCTGCAATGTTTGATAGCGAAACATTATAAAACTCAGGCGTCTTCCGCTTTGTCTGCCTCCAGGACACTTTCTACGGCCCCAGACAGCTTAGGGGTCGCCTTAGAGATCTCCAAGATCCCTGTCATCCTTGTGGCTTCATCATTGGCTACTGCGGATAAGGGCGGAGCTCCATTGGCGCTCTTGCTTGTTGCCACCCGTGCCCCTTGCAATTCTGAAATCCCAATCGCTTCTTCCGACTTAGTCCCTCGCACATCGCCCAATCCAGGGACAATGTTAGCGGTCATGCTTGCGGAAGTTGGGGGAAGGAAACACGACAAGACCGCCTTGTACTTCTCTGGAACTTGAAGCATGGCGTGCTGCAATCGGTTCTGTAATTGCATCAGTCGGACAGACTCCTGTTTACCCTCGTCCCTCATATCATTGTCCAAGATCACAAGGTTTTGCAACGCCTAAAAGTGCAGGAAGAATGGGGAAAATATAATGGGTATGCATGTCCACCATTTCCAGTCGCTTATTCACCTTCAAAGACGACTTACTGTCACGAGGCCCCACACATCATTGTTAGTCCAGGTTGGCTCTTCGGAGGGCTCTTTCAATGAAAGATCGTTCTCCAAGCGCTTCTCAGCGCGGACAAAGTTCTCTTCTGTGAGTGACACGAGTAGAGATTCTTCTAGGTTGATTGCTTTGAGTAGGGCTGCACACGCGCTCAGGTGCCGTTCTGTCAAGGCATCAAAATAATTGTCGCGCCTCAAAAACGTCTCCATGAACAGAGCCACATATGGATTCTGGAGCGAAAGCATGATCTCCTCATTATCTGCTGCTCTTTTGACGGCCTCGCACAAAACCTCGAGATGGATAATCGACCCCACAGGAATTTGTTCGACAGCCAACAACGCACCTACATTTTAAAAAATATGATGGGTATCAGTCAAGCCGTTAGAAGGCCGACCTTCGGGTGAAAAGGACATGGCAGTCTCACAACGCAATGCTGCCTTGTTTTGTTTACCGAGCTCGATAGATTTGCGGTTATGATTGCTGCCACCATCCAGCATGCATGCCGATAACGCGAGCTTCCAGTAAGGCAAGAACCAGTCTTTTAAAACCTGCTGGGCCGCCTCATGCTCCAGACTCCTGAAAAGGTCTGCATGCATAAAGATAAGAGGCCCTATCCGCATTGGTGGTGAACCCATGCTTGATAATGCCTGGCGTGCCTCCAATACACCATATCGGCAGTAAGGCGAATTGACTCCGCCAAACATGCTTTGGACTTGATAGCGTAATATAACGTTGAAGCACAGAGCTATGTATTAGCACCATACTGAAGTTTAAGCCCAAATAGCTTCGAGGACGTCTTCTGAATCAATTACCTTGTACATGGTTCATACCGCCAGATTCCAGTGAATCCCTCAACTCGCAGTGTGCTTTATCCAACACCGTGAGAATCGGGGCGGCCTGTGTATAAGTGGCTTCCTTGGCAATGACCTCAAGTATCTTAATCGAGTTTCCATAGACCTGTGGCTGCGCTGTCCACATCAGGTTTCCGGTCAGAAGCTCGATGGCTGTATGGATATTGCTCCAGTGATCCATAGCTTCAGCAAACGCTAAGTGTTGAAAAAAAAAAAAAAAGGAAGCGTTTGTCAGGACCAACCAACAGTGATCTTATTACCAGTCGCTTGCCTTTAGAACTTTTAGTTTACCTGGCGTGTTGCGGCAGACAGTCATCTGACAAAGGTAGTTACTGAGCAGTGCCAAAGCTTCAACAGCAAAAAACTCGTTATCGCTAGTTGCGGTCCCTGATTGCCCAGCAACGTTCATGACCTTTGGCGGATAAAAAACACGTTAGATCCAGCAATATCCCAAAAAAAAAACTCGTGACATTGTGTCTTTATATCCCGTCATTCGGCTTACATCTGTCAGGCGTACAAGGCCACGGTGCTGATAAAACAATGTCCCGGCCAGGGCATTCTCGGCCTCAAACATTGCAGTCGCCATCCTATGCACGTAGCTTATTAGGTGGGAGTTCTTGGTTATTCTGTCTCAAATTGCAACATTTGTCACCTCACTTACTGTATGAATATAGCGGGGAACCGAGGCGTTTCCGAAGATGGAAGCATTCGCCAGCACTCTTGTCGATATTGGGGCAGCTCCGATAGTGTATACTGCAGCAACTGACTCAACTCATTAGGGCACTACGCCGAGAAATTGAAGACAATAAATTTGAGATATTAGTCTTCACCCAATGCATGATAGCATTATCGCTCTGTTCTCAAGGTCTTCAGATGCCACGTACATGTTGAGTGAATGCACCCCACTTCATAGCATTGAGAGCCCAGTTATAATTATGACATTGGACCCACTCGGTGTGGAAGACTGAGTCGATTTTGCTGAGGCGTAGCACAAGGCCAAAGTAGATAGGAAGAACTTCTCGATGAAACTGTACGTTTATCGGGTTGTTCTGGAGACAAACGTAAAACTTTCGTAGGAGAACGCCAACCGGCTTAAACTTAGCCAGCTGAAAGTTTCTCTCTTGGTCCTCGTTCATGATTTTGCTCCAGAAAACCATCATTTCCTAGGGTATCAGGGAAATCAGAGCGACTTTTCATGTTAGGTTCTAGTCGTCAGGACGTTAGCGACAGAAGCTAATCATATGAGAGTGCCCATTGATACCTTCTTATCATAGTCCATATTGAGTTGCTGCGAATCGATCTTTATCAGAATATCTATGAACACCGACCAGCATTGGAAAAACTAGAGGCAATACACAAAGACAAGCTCAAATCGTTAGCAAACACTTCTTGGCCGTACTCATACCATTTTTCATTTGACCAGTCATTACCATATTCCGCTCGGTATCACTTTTGACGAGCTCGCTCAAAGCTTTAAAGTATTCAACAAATCTCCAACCACCATCATCCTCATCTAAGTTACCTCCGCCCCCCATGAAAAATGAAAAGAGAGAAAGAGAGAGTAAGTGCACTATGCTGTAGACATTTGACGGTTGGTAATGCGGCATGACGAAACATTCAGTCGAGAATGACTATGCCTACCTCTTCGCACATGGGCATAATGGTATGAGAGTATATCAGGAATGACCTTCAATAGCTCCAATAATCTGCCAAAGTGCTGTGCCGAGGCAACGGCCGCCTGATCATCGCTCCAGCCGTTGAATGCTCGCTCCGAACTCAAGAGCTCCATGAAAAACGACCGGGCACGCAAACGCGTATCAGGCTCCGTCTGCATGAGCAAAAGCTCCTGGAGCCACATACGGTTGTTTCGTAGCAACCAGCCCTGCGCGGACCGACCGCACTGGCCGTAATCGGATATCGTTCGGAAAAATTCAAGGCAGTCGTACGCGATCGATGGCTGCGGCGATCGCTCAAGCACCTACAGAGATGATGATACAAGTCAATAGTTAGAGTCATAAACAGTGCAGGCTGACCAAATATCCATTACTATTATTTTCTGCAGGAATACCTTGAGAAGCTGCACCAGTATGAATTCAACCCGCGCTTCCAAGTTTTCGTCCACCACCTGAACTAGTTCCTTGAAGACCTGCATGATGATTGTGAACTGGTCTTCGCTCGCATATTGAAGATACGATGACAGCGACGCCAAAAGACGTTGTCCGGTGACTTCGTGGCTCGACAAATGGGTCACCATTCTGGCAATGATAGCGCTGTCGGTTCTATCCGCAATCATTTTGGTGAAAAAGATCAAGGATCTTTCAGATGCTAACGATGGCCCGGTACTGGCGAAAAGGGCGTTGAAATCCGCGGTTGAAATAATGACACTTCGTCCCAACTCAGGCGATACACTTGGGATGTGCATGTCATCCTCCACGGCCACCTCGTCTGAATTCGAGCTTGAGAGAACCGAAGATGTCGATGAGGAGGAGCTCGAAGATTTTCGGTATGCATTATTGCCAACAGGGCCATGAGCAGAGTCCTGTACTTGGGTACGTCTTTGAAGTGCCTCGCATGATCGCCTAATGTCGCAAGTAGTGAGAACTTCCTGAATTGTCAAGAGAAGGTAATGGAACGATGGCTTCGTGAACTTGTCACCCATCTTCTTCTTCTTGGAATCAGTCCTCTCATCAAAGGTGTAAAACTCGGCAAGATCCGTAAGATATCCTTCCTGAGCCATCAGAACACGCTCCGCTCGACCCAGTTGCGTAATGTTGTACATGAGTTTGAAGTATTCGTCAAAGTTTCGCCAGTTTGCACGCGCCTCAGATAACATTCTCAGAAGCGTCTGAATAAACAAGTGAACAGGCGATCCATGTATGCAGATCAAGTTGTCGTCCTCGACTGAATCGACAGTCGTATCAATCAACGCTCCGCTACCTAGTGACACCGTCAGGCCGTACTCGACTTTATCGCATTCCCGTAAATCATGAAATGCGTCGTAGATCAGATCGACCACCGCTTCGCGAACCTGCGTAATCGGACAGAGGAGGAGGATGTTCGACAAGAGGGTTTGGTTGTCGGCCAAGTTCCGCAGAAAGTTTGCGCATCCTTTAGGGTATTGCGCAAGAAGCGAAGACAGAAAGCGTGTCCACTGTTGAAGTTCCTGGTCAACGTCTCTAGCATGAATTAACACAGAAAAGAAGAAATCCAATCCGTACTGCATCGAGAGATAATCCAGAGGTTCTGCCATGGCCGCTCCTTCGTCATCATTGTCGATTTGCTGAGGGAATGTCCGGTACAGATTGAAGAGCTCCCAGATAAAGCGATAGTACTGCCGATCGAACACCACCAAGTCCTTCAATAGAGCAGCATTTTCCTTCGCCACGACACCCTCGATATCGACCGGGACATTCCCAGACATGCCTTCGTGCGGCTCTTGTGTCCGATGATCGACGCGTTCGTAAAACAGCATGTAGGCACTGTACGGCTTTGTGGTCGATCTTGGAGGGGACTTTAAGTACGGTGATGATTCCTGCGGTATGTACTCAGGGCCACCAAAAGCCTTCGCAGGGATCTCATTGGCATCAAATTCCTCCACCTTCGAATCATTGAAGAATAACCACCGCGTTCTTTCGCCGTAAGTAGAGCCCAGAGATGATCCTGACGGGATATCTGAGCTCCGGTCTTTGATATAAGAGTAGTAATGTCCTGAATCCGCCGTCCCAGTGTGTACAAGAACACCAACTAAATTGTACTGAAACGCACCCGCGTTCTCCTGTCCTCCAGTGCTATACGCCACAGGCGATCCGCCGGCTCCTTCTTGCGCCTGCTCTTTTCGAGTCAGGTAGTCGAGGGTATAAGGCTCCATGTCAAGTCGCGTAGGAAACTCGAAGCGGTCATTGATTTTGATGCGACGCATAGTGTCCATATCGTAGTCGAATCGCTTCAAATGCAGTATGAGGTTTTGAGGAAGCTCCTTGATGCATGCACTAATATGAATACCAGCGATCAAAAGATGTCAATGAACATGGCTCTACACACATTGCCTTCAAAGTAGGACAACGATCTGGAAAAAAAATCCTTACCGCTTGATTGCATCGACATGTTTATCGCAGCTGGAACATTTGTATTTGTTGTCTAATCCACAAGTTTCATTTGTAAGAGGCATATTCGGGCTCCAAAATATTTGGAAATCAATTGTTCGCGCTCCTTACCTCCATCCAGGATCTCTCCTTGCACATAGAGCTGAAGACTTTCCTCCAGTGTCTTCTTATTCTTGACCTCGCACTGGATGGAAAAGAAACTGTCTTCGCGCTCCGATATATGTTCGCAGTCCTTTGATTTGATTTGCTGAACGAGTTTGCCTCCGTACTGCTGCTTGAACAATAACTCTTGCGGGGTGCTCTTCACGCTGTTCTCCAAGCGGTCAAAGAGTATATTGAAAAATTCATCCACGTCCATTTGCACAGCAACGTTCATCGGGTTTCCATCCCAATCCTTATAGGCGTAACAGAACCCGTGTGCGTTGTAGGCGCGCTTAATACTTTGCTGTAGATGGCCAAATAGTACCTGAAGCTGATACAACAGTGTGTCATGTCTCCCCGGGTCATCCTCGCTGACAGGAGCATCCAAAATTCCGTGTCTGAACTCCTTGTTCATGAAGAACTGCTGGATGATTGAATTTACATAGCATGTCGCGCCAAGATTCTGGAGTCCTACAAATCCACAACCAGCCTTCTTGATCATTTGTGGATCATAGCCCCACTGATCTTCTATCTCGGATTCTAAACAACGTGACATACAAAGGTGAGTCCCATTATTCTCTTCATAGGCAATGGTACATGATAGAAATTGATATCTCATACCTCTCGCAAATTGATTGCGGGTCTTCATGATAATATGGCGTAAAGTTTCCGGCTCGCCCTTGGCCGACTCCTCCAAAAACTCAAACGCAGCAGATCGAGATCCCTCACTTTGGCACTTGGCAACTTGGAGAGTAGTGGCGTCGACAGTATCTGAAAAGTGTGATCCTTGTGGAAAAAGACAATCATCCATAATGTAGTCGATAATTCTGAAATTGGTATACAGCTGCTTCAGCCTTGCATCCGTGTTGATCATGGCTGATGCCACCCTCAGCATGCCGATGAGAATCGTGTCGTCCTTTTGCATGGACATGTCCTAAATACATGCAAGTGTCCGAGTGTTAGTCAATACTGTATTTGAATATATCATGATAAAGGGATATATGATACGTACCTCGGACGATGAATGGCCGATGATAGTCTCCATCAGTCTGGTGTACAAAGCTTTGAAGCGATCCTCGGAGCAGTAATTGACAGCCTCCCTGTAATAAATCATGGAAGCTCGTTAATCCATGTGTAAGATTGAATGTCACAAGGCTACCAATCCCATTCCAATACATTATTGTATTACCTTGCAATGATCTCAAAAAACTCAAAGAGCTCAGAGCAGTTGCTTTCATACTCCTTGGATACGGGCAAGAATGACTGGAGTATGTCAAGGAAAAACATGATTGGCGACACATCTGCTGAAACGGGGTTTTTACTATTACAAATTTCAGACCGAGGTAAGGCCAAGATATGAGTATTATGTAACACATTCCGACGGCACATCTACAAAAGTCAATCAAGCATCACTTACAATTGCGAGCAAAACTTTTTGCCCATTTCGAGGACGGTTTGTCTGATCTGCATCGACTCGCTCTGGATCATGGACACGAAAATCAAAGAACGAATATCGGACCCAGCTTGAAAGTGATGCCAACCCTGCGGGCCTGCACAAAGGTAAGAAATGAGGCCTGCAGCGTTGAGGACGATACTTTGATCATCTAAAGCGGAAGTAACAAGAACGGCGTGCATCTGTAAGTATACAACTCAGGCTGCGTACTTTTATATTTCTGGGCGTCGTCTGACACCAGAACTCACTTGTATCGTGGCCGCCAGTCCGAGAAGCAGACGTAAGGATCTCTTGCACCAATTTGTTCAAGAACTCTGGGACAGTTGGTCCATTCGAATCCGTGGCCATACCAGACTCGATTTCTGCCGAGCTCGTCAATCGGACCAAAACCTTCAACATCAGGGCTAACGCCTTCCTCGCTATTGGGCTGGTATTTGCTGCACCTAAACCAGATTCAGACATGAGCAACGCCGTCAAATGTCGCTGACCGCCAAGTCTGAGGAATCGCTTTATCCAAATTTGTTTCTCAGGGTCCTATTTTTTACCATGTGATAGACGTTAATAATGAGAACCAAAATACAAAATGATGCGCCCATCCACGATTCATAGTCTCAGATAGCGCAGAGGAGGCAAAGCATACCTCAAAGCACTGATCTCGTTTGATCAAACAGTTGACAATTTGCAAAGAGTAGAGCAGCAAGAATGGGGATCGTGCATCCAGTACGGTTGTCCAGTCGACATCTTCCTGCAGACTCTCAAGCGAATGAAGAAGAACCGAACTAGTCGGAAGTCGAACTACCACCTCCCAGGCTTGCGAGGCGTACCTCTCCTCAAGCAAGAAAATCCGGCGTACCCTTTCGAAGAAGCTGGGCTGTAATAGTAGGTCTGTGGGCACTCGTTTCTATAGTGACGGGGTAGATCCAAGATTCATCAGCAAGAGAAGTCCATTGATAATCGTTTGGTGTTTTGACGGGAAAGGTGGACACATAACCGCAAATATACCATTGTTGGAGTGGGACGGAGTGAGATAGCTGACTGAGGACGCTTTGATGCGAGAATCGACTGGCAATTATCAATGTGTAGTTCCTCGAGCGTCCTACTGTCCCATGCGGTCGCAAAGTCCTTGCCGAGCGAGAAAAGGCGAACGTCCTCCGGTTCAGAGCAGCCAAGTTTAGTCGCGATCATTCTTCTCAAAGATGCCAGTGTTGCTGAGGGATGAATCGAAACTTGGAATTGTGGTAACTATGAAGCCGACGCAAAAGTAAGAAGCAGATCGTCATTAAAACGTTGTGTGAGATGTGCCCAAAACACATGCACGCATAAATTGTGGCCGTCTTACATTTGAGCTGACTCTGATAGTAAGCATAGCATCTTCATCCAAGGTCCCATGTATTTCAAGTCTGGTTGCACCATCGCTCCGCTCTGCGTTACATGCTAAAAGGAACGCTTTTAAAATCCCGATGCAGCGCTCAAAGACCAATGAAACGTCTGGCATATCCATTGTGTCCTCGCCTCCCAATTGATCCGACGAGCGAACTAAATGCTCGATGCAAGTTTCGACAAGCCCTTCACGGAACTCATAGATCTCCTCAAGCGCGCCACTCTCCTCTTGGCCGCTATGCGCCTAAAGTATAAAGTAGGTAAGTGAATTGAGGCGTGAGAAATAAGCCTTGTTTTTGGATCTTCGCCATCATGGCAAGAATTGTGTGTTTATTCTTTACCTTGCATAGCGAAGATAAGAGGTCGATTGCATTCGCTCCTACGGCTGGCAGTCTTGCCTGAAGGGCAATTTCCCATATCAGGTCCATACCGTATAAGGGTGCAAGAACAACGATAGCTTGCGAACCATCAACTAACGGATCAGTTGCCTAATTTCAAGAAAAGAAGTGTGGGAAGTTTGTTAAAACCCATTTTCAGTATGCTGTGATAATTTACACTCTGCTGTTTTATCAAGAGAGAGCACCCACCACCACCAGGTTTCTCTTCTGCCAATTGAGAAGAAGAAAGTATTGTTTGATACATTGCCATGCTTTTTGTGTTACTGCTGCAACTTCCAGCCCTGGCAGTAGAATCTCGTAGATATACTCGACAAATTGAGGCTCTGCTATTCCCTCCAGGCATGCAAAGGTCTCGTCCTGCTCCTGAATACTGATGGGATCGACTATGAGACAACTCCAGAGTGTCTCTGCCAAATCAGGAGAGTTCCAGTAGACAGGGAATATCCTAGCGATTGTTTTCAGAAAGTCGAGCCGTATCTTGAGCTGTAAACCTCGCCAATACTCCTGTGAGAGATGGTGCGTGGAGAGTTGTGCGAATGCTAGTGATAGGGCGCCAGGAACTTGGTTAGGCGCTGAAAGGTATTCTATATAATGAATAAAGTCAGAGATAGATTGGATGATAGAGAGGCACTTACAGGACGCTGTTGGACTAACAGCTGGAGGGGTCGCTTTCAGGGCGACGGTGTATGCCTTCAAGTTTGAAATATATAGCTCCGGTAGAGAAGAGCATGCCTGTTTGTAAAACTGCAAACTTCCGCTCTCGTTGTTGATAAAATGGCTCTCTACAGTGCATTAAAAAAAAACCCCCCCTTTCTCTGATCAGTTATTCAGTCAAGGCAGAAAGTACTGCATCAACTTTTAGCTATACCCAACTTACCAAAGATATGCTGTACCACTTGCAAACTCCAAATGGCTCCTGGATGATTCGATTTGAGGTCCTGCATACAGCGACCGACTAGCTTCATGCGATCTTGTGGAAGAGGACCCACTCCTAGTCCTTCCTTGAGAAGCTGCGCAATGGCTGCAATTACATTTCTGTTACTTGGAGTTGTGGCACTAAATGAAGGATCCTCGTGGGTATCGAATGGCGGGGTTGAGTTTCTGAGGACGTTCAAAAGGGTTTCATATGGGATCAACGAAATGGGCCCTTCCTCCTACGATTTATGAGATACCAAATAGTTCGAAAAGGCGTTTTGTTAGCCGCTGTGCAGTTCATCGGAGGCACGAACACGCTACAGAAATGCCGTATGAGCTCTCACAGGATTGTATTTCGCACGCTGAACCATGGCTAGAAATTGAGATCGCGCAAGATCTACCAACTGCAGGTCCCAGCTGTCCAGCGCCACAGCCTGCAATTTGATGAACAAGTTGCGCAAGAACTCTTGAGGTAATTTACTGCATAGTTCTCCGAGGACTTGATACACTCCATGGACAATCGATGGGTGTTGATTACCCTAAAATTGCGTAAGCATAGAAATAAACGGCGTTAGAGCACGAGTATTATCAGCGCTATTCTGCCAACTTTCAAAGTTCATTTAAACATACCCCAACGCTCGCCCATATGAGATCAATGTCATCGATCGTGAGCACCCGCGCTTGAACAAGAAATACTAATACATCTGTACTCCGTTGAACGATTTCCAGATGAATATTGGATCCAAAGATACATCCCATAATGCGCATGCTCTGCAGCTTAGAGCATAGGTGCCTAGTAAAGTGTAACGACAAAATTGTATCAGACATGAGCTCAACTTTCATCGTGTGCGCGCATACATACATACGACGGATTCTTACTTACTCAATAGGTTTCCGATCCATTTCCATCTGTACATCCATGTCCGCCTCAGATCGTCTATGCAGGCGTGAGCGACCCTGCTGGAGTCGTTGGATCCTGACGAGCACCTCTTTCAACTCGATCAAGCCAGCTAGCCTTAAATCCAAACGACTTGTCTTCATCAAACGGACAGCCATCTCCAGTCTGAAATCTGCGAACTTGACTTCACCCAAGTTGGAGAGGGACATTTGATCCTGGATACCGTACTCTCCATAACCCGTATCCTGTTCCACGACAGCATTTGAGTGCAGACCCTGCAGGCGATAATTTTCCAAAAGAAAGCAGCCGACTTGGGAAATGATATCAAGCACCGTTGTTTTGTTCACAAACCTGAAGCTGTCTGCGTGGTCCGGAAAAACCGCAAGAACCGCTGCGACCAGACGCCTAGAAAGGTCTGACAGCTTCGAAATTTGTGAGTGCTCCGAATCTCCTGATACCGGGATCTAAAGACATAGAAAGAAACTCGCTGTCTTATTAGGTTCGTCCAAAATGTCCCAAATGTCATGTCTCATTGAACTTTGACTGCCCTAAACGCATACCCTTGAGATCAATCCAAGCATGAGCTGCAGGTTCAATAGTCTAACTTCTGGTTGTTCGGAATTATTCAGATGGTACTCAATCGCCTTCATGCAAATCTCTAGTCCACCCAGTCCAGAAAACAGCCTTTGGAACTCAACCTGCAACTGAGGCACTTCGTCATCCTAAAAGATATTCATGAAGCATACTTCAGGCTATGTTCGCTGCTTATGTGAATGGGCGGTATGAAGACACGTTCCTACCTCGGGTCCATACTCCGATGCGTAATCTTCGAACCTGGTCAACTAAAAGGAATAAAAGAATGAAACTAAGAGAATGCGGACAAACTGCGAGAGAAAGCCTGGCAATGCATGATCGAGAGCAACATACTCTTTCAATATGAGCAAGCCTGGATGGTCGCTTTGGGTTGCGCTTGTAGATCTCCAGTTCACCCTGCTCAAATATGGCGTTCATGATCTGCGCGTAAAGTTCCGACAGCGTGTTTTCTTGCTCCACGATAAGGCAGCCCAGCTGGATAAAATCCTTCAGAAACATCACAATCGCGACGGTGTGCGTGCTAGCCCTAAAATATGGCTGGTTCATCAGTAATTGAGGACAACAATATTGAGCTGCGCGGCTTGTTTGCGTTTATAATTTACCTCCGCTCTACCAACATTTTGGCCCAAAGACCAAAGAATTCGTTTTCGAGGACGCGAAGTTGGTTTGGTGTATACAGGCAGCCCTGAGGCTGCTCCTTCTTTCTCCTCCATTCGATGTTATATTCGATCAGGTTTTTGACAATGTCAATTCCATGTTGCAGCAGCCCTAATGTTCAGCAATCGGCAATGTTAATGGTCCGCAAGAATTGGCTATAAAGCGCTTTGATAATCCCCACAAGTGGACGCTGTCATTCGTAATTGAGGGCCGTGTACCTTGGTGTAGAACGTCCGTTACTTCTTCGCAAGTCTGCGTGAAAACCTGCTCGGATGAGATGGACTCTGTTGTCGCGTCCTGGACCGGCGAATAGGTAACGCCTGGGTTTACTATCGAGTCCGTGCGCGGCCCTGTGCCTGAAATCGTCCTCAATTTCAAAGGTCGTTTTCGTAATGCGGCTGATCGACCGTGGCTCTTTCTGAGTTGTTCCGTTTGCCGACGCGATTTGAGGTATGGCCCATGATGAGCGGCTCTGCTATAATGGTAGTCCTTGGTGCGTGCCTCCTGCAGCTCGTCGGTGTCGCCTGTGTCATCTGAGAAATTGTCCTCGTCCTCTTCAATGTCATCGTCGTCCTCTTCGTCCTCTTCGTCGTCCCTGATGTCGTCCACATCATCACCAAAATCATCAGAGCTTTGATTGACAACATCGGTGGCGGTCCCCGGCGAATCTGCCCAGGCTGCAACGGCCGCTTGCCGCAGTTCTGCTTCGGAAGATGTGTCGTTGTCAAAGAACTCGTCGGGTAACTCTTCCTCGACTGCATCGACATGTCCGCTTACATAGCCTGTCAGGCCAATATTGGTGGGCACAAGGATGCTTTCGTTCGCCATGGTGTCTGTAGGTTGGTACCCTGGAGGAACCTGTGGTCTTGATGGTGGTTGGGGCCGAGGTCTTGTAACATGTGCGGCGTGGTCCTCCAAGTCCATGGTCATTTGAGGCGACTGGAGTTGCGGTGCGTTCGACTCCTGCTGGGACTTTTGAGGTACTGTAGATACTTTGTCTGGGGCTGCTAGTGTGTTGTCTGGGGTCTTTTCTGAAGTCTTCATAATATCTCGTCTTTGCCTGGCTCGTTCTGGTACGCGGGTTGTTTTCTTGTTTTCTTTTTTTCTTTTTTTGAATACTGATTCTGCGCAGAAGGGCAAGAGAAAGGGGCGTAGTCGATGGTGGATGTGGTTAGTACAAAATTACTGCAGCTGGATAACCGAGGAAAGTGGAAAGGGTCCCCACAGAGCTTCGAGGAGAAAGAAGAAGTACCACAAACCGGTAGTGCCCGGTCTCGATTGCTGTAGAGGTTACTGAAGGAAGCGACTGACTGGAGCGTATATACAGTACATACGCCGCTAAATGGGGGTGTGCTGATGGCGTCAAGTCGATGGGGTGCGGGTGGACGACGATGTGTTGCTCCGCGCTTCGTGACAATCTCAAGCGGAATGCTGAAAGGGAATCCTGGTATGTAAGGTTAATGGGTCGTGAAATGGGGAAGGGGAGGAAGAGAGAGTGGAATGGATGTCTTGGCGGGTAGCGCTGTTGAGACGCGCTCAGAGCTGAGCAAAACGGGTGTGTGTGTGTTTGCAATTCAAGTCGCGACAGAGAAACGTGGAAACAAACCTTCTTTGCTGTCGTGCAACAGGGTGGTGAAGTGGGTGGGCGAGATCAGTCAATGGGATGATGAGGATGTGGATGAAGATGATGGATGCTGTGTGTTTCGCAGAGGGGGATGGAGGCGGAGCACAGAAGACAGAGAAGGAGCGAGGACGAGGGAACACACTATTGGCAAACAAAAAAGAACGCCTCGTTTTGCTTGCGCTATGAACGCTCAAGCCTTGTTTGCCACACCTTGTCCGCAGAAAAGAAGAGGGGAAAAATCACGTCACATCGAGGACGGCAGCGGGCGGTGCTATCCTTGAACGCATGGCCACCAAATTTTAGCTGCCTCACTTGCACCTCCCAAAATTATATATTTATACTCTTAAATGTAATACTGCCCTTAGTGAGTGAGTGAGGCCCGTCTCAATCACCGTACTTAGTGAGCAAGTGGTGACCTGGGGTGCTCGTCAAAGATCCTGAGTCAGTCTGCTGCGAGGACTCGAGCTCAGCTGCCGGATAAAAAAGCTGAAAGTGGCCAGCATCTTCTGATACGCTTCAGCGAGAAGAAAGTACCTTTGCATTTGATTTATTAGCTGAAGAATCATGCTGTGAACTAATTGCCGTTTCCTTCCCCTTCTTTTGCAAGTTCCTCGGCTTCATCCTGCTCTTGTAGACTGATAAAGACCTCCTCTAGTGTCGTAAGCGAAAGTCCCACGCTTCTGACACCCAATTTGTTCGCTGCAATCTCTTCGTCCAATTGACTGAATAGCGCAGGCAAGGCTGCCTTCTTGTCTTCAATGTACTGTTGAGCCGTACGTCCGTTTCGCTGCTCGACCGTGCTTGTAGTCGGAAGCACATATGTGATATCCGTTGCCGTATTAACGTCGATAATTGCATCCGGAAAGTGCTGCTGCACAATCGCCGTTGCACGTTCTTCATTAAACAGCACCACGGCCGACTCTTGCGCATCCAACAAACTGCTAGACTGGATGTCTGCTCTCTGCTGATGCATCTGGTCTGCCAGCATAACGCGGCGCTTCTCGAGACTCAGACGATAGCCGACTCCGAAGCGGTTCTTAAGGAACAGTGAACTTCCGAGGGTCTGGAGTTCACCCTTGGAAAGAATTGCAATCCTGTCCGAGAGCGCGTCCGCTTCCTCCATCGAGTGTGTCGTCAGTAAGATAGCACGTCCAGCCTTGGAGTCCTGCATGAGCTGCCAAATCTGCTTCTTAGAAAAGATGTCCATGCCCGTTGTGGGCTCATCCAGCAGAACAACCTTGGGATCACCCAAGAAAGCGAGTGCAACAGAAAGTTTGCGTTTCATACCACCCGAAAATGTCACGACACGCTCGTGCTTCTTTTCCTTGAGGTAGACATCATCCAGGAGATGTTCCAAATACTCGTCGAGCAGCCCCTTGGGCGTCGATTGTTGGGATCCTAGATTTGCTGCAGACTTGCGGCCCTGAACCTTGACGCCCTTAATCGCGGCATACAACTGCATCGTCTCCCAGGCTGTCAATGTTTCAAAAAGTACGTCGTGCTGCGGACATATACCCATCTGCTTCTGGACCTCCGACAACGTCCTCATATCCACGTCTCGCGCACCAACAGCATCGCTTCCAGGCATAAGATGTCCATTGACAATGACTGTGCCGGCAGATGGCTTCACCATACCCATGATCATCGACAAGGAGGTCGTCTTTCCGGCCCCATTATGACCGAGGAATCCTAGGATCTCGTTCCTGTGAACCTCAAGATCCAATCCAGCGACCACCTCATGCTTCTGTACGCCCGAAAACGGCCCCATAGTGCGCTCCGACTTTGGAGGATAAAGGATCCGAATAAAAAGACCCCAGATTGGAATATGATATGCCCATCCGGGCCCTGTCGTGTAGTTCTTTCGAAGGCCCCTGACCCGGACAATGCCCCTGTCTTGAACCGGAATATGGGAGACGTTGATTTCCTCGAACATATCAGCGTGCCCACTGCTGTACCCATGAGAACAAGGCGCCGAGTCGGCCTGGTTACCTTCCCTCAGTCCAGCATCCCCTGCATGATGATACTGTCCAATGCCCCAATAACTTGGTCTCAGGAAAAAGTCTAGCGGCAGCGCATCGCCGAACTCGTTTGGCACGACCGCATCCACATACCACGCCAAAAAGTAGAAAATAATGCAGTCAACTGCCAACATCCAAAGAGCCTTGCCGCAGGGTCCTGAGGAGAGGTTCTCAAATGTTACGCCTCCGAGTGCGGCTTCCGTACCTGTGATAAAATTGATTGCTCTTCCCAACGCAACCGAGGGGATCAGGAAGAGGAGCGTCTCGGTTGTTGGAGAGACAACCTGACTGGCTCCAAAGACAAGAGCTGCGCAGATACCATAACTTCCAATTGTGAAAATAAGGATCACAAAAGATACGCTGTTGGTCTTTTTGGTGTCGCGAATGAAGACTGCAGCGATAGTTCCGAACGCCGTGGCATTGAAAGAGAAGAGTATCAAGAGAAGCCAGATGATGAACGCGTTTGTGTAGATGAAAATGCGGCCGACAAACAGGATCAAGATCATGAGCGCGCACGTAACCAAGTTCTGAATACTATTCCGGTAATGGTTTGAGGGCATCCGCGTTAATATCGACAGTCCACTCTCAAAGCACACCTCCATCAAATCGCTAAAGCAGAATTTGTACTCACTTTTGCATGATCCAGACAGAGACCAAATAAGAGTTTCTACTCATGCCCATCATGGTCATGGCCATGCGAATCTTTTTCTTCTTCTCCATGACCAAAATGCTTAAGACCCCCAACCAGACTGCTTGGAAGCAAAAGATGATATAATAGGCGTTCAAGCTCTGGTTGATTGACGATGACAATCCAACAAATTCGGCAGTTGAGATAAAGGTCCGTCCTACACCGCTCGGAGCCGTTCCTGGGTCGGTCTTCAGAGGCAAAGGCGAAGAAAGAGTGGACTTGTTGTTGGCCTTGCGGCGCAAATTAATAGCAGCGCGCTCGATATATGCCTACCCGATGAAAAAAAAAAAAAAAAAAAAAAAAAAAAAAAGTGGTAGATGCGATTATTAAATGATTTATGTAAACCCTATTCAGTTTTTTATTGCTTTGTGTGCGCATAATGTGTCGAAAATCGACTTACCTGTGCAGTGGCGAAACGGGTATCAAGGTAATTGCTGTAGACATAGGCTGTGTGGTTGGCCAGAATTGTGTACTGGTACAGGTCTGCCTGTGAGCCTCCAGCAGTCGAGGGTGCCGACAAGTTGGTGGAAGGACCATGAAAGACGGCACCGACCACAAAATTGACAGGCGACGTATCGTACGCGGTAGTCATGGCGGCTTCATCTGTGTAGAACTTTGGGACAACTATATTGGGCTCCGATGCGGCAAAGAACCCAGAGAGCTCTGCGATCATGGGATCTGTAGCCGGTAAGCCGGTGTATCCAAAGTAGATGCAATCTGTTGTCGATTTGCAGGTGTCAACGGAAAGGTAGGGCAGTGCTCTGACACTCATATCTATGCACCATGTAAAATGCATATTTAGGCCAGAGTGCACCGGGCTACAGCAGCATATCATGCATGAGATCGATTGTAGGTGCTATGATCACGTACGACTGGAGGCGCTTTTGGCTGAGAGATGAAGGAAGACCAGGATGAGCATCATCCATACCGGCTGTAGCACGAAACGGATGAGCAGATTACATGATTAGACGGCATGTTTAGTACGAAATGCGAAGTGCACACTTCCCATGTCATTAAGCACCAACGTACCTCGAACAATGAATTGCTATGTAAGCAGTCGAAGAAAAGAAATTGGTTGTCAGATATGTTATTCTGACAAGATGAGAAAGGTATGTTTCATAATAACTTACATTGTCTGAGCCAGGTCCCTGGCGCGGATTTTGACATTCTTAGCACTCAGGGCAACCAACTGCTTCGCTGGTGAGGGTTCGGACGAGACATTGTAGGCTGCCTGGGCTGTCATATGTGGGGCCGAGGAAGAGGAGATGCCTTCGTTGTTGAGGTGTTGTGTCTGGGCTTTACTACCCATGAGAGGCGCCTCCGAATCTTGTGGATGCATTTCCTGCAAGGAGTGACACTCTGAGTTAGTCGAGTTCATAGAAAGACAAGTCGATGCAATCTGGCCTCGGTCCAAGTTCATGATGAGAAGGAACCAAAGTGAGGAGAATGGGGACCAATGGAATGGTCAGGCAGTGTCTCTTGAAGAGTGAAATCAGGGGACCGGATGGCGATGTATTATATGCTACAAATACTGAGGAAAAAAAGACGAAGGAATGGCCCTGGTTTATATAGGACATCTTCACTATTGATAACGGGGCCGGGAGAATACTTGGATCACATAAGAAATGCCGAGCAGGATCGACTCTTTTTTTTCACCATCGTCTTTTACTACAGCCCACAGTGATATTGACTATTCTCAAGTCGCAACAGCCCACCTCAAAAGTCTAGCGGGAGTATCAGAACCGGCACATTTTTCTACGGCGAAGGCAAACACTCTCCAAGCGGTGTCGACTTTCATACATTGCCCCTACTTCCATCTTTGTTTTTTATCCTTGCTCTCTTCTGTGCATTGAAGGATATGCGCATCTTCCCATGTCGACTTTACCCCACGCTAACATAGTAAAACAATTTGTCAAAGAACTTGGCAAATGTCCTGGGAGCCCATCGACTAGTCAAGCAACATACGCGCATATAAGAGCTAGCTGTTGAGTGTATTTAGTCTATTATGTCCCTGATCTATGAGTGCTCGCTTCGATAGTTTGCCGCTCAAAACAGATCCAGAGCAGTGTCGTTATCCTTCTTCAACAACTCAATCATGCCTGGCGGAAGCAATGGCTCGGGTTGCTTTGACTTCTTTGATTTTTTCTTGCTTGCTGCCTCGTCTGTCGTTGATGCTGTCTCCTCCTCTGATGCCGATGACTCCTTGATAATATATCTGAAGGGCATTGTCACCGTCTCCTTCTTGCGTAGCTTGATCTCTGGGTGGTCGACAAACGGAATCTTGTCCAGTGGGACTATGTTGTGATTGAGAACATATAAAAATGAGGGTATTAGCGATCATCAACTGCTTGCTGACCAACAACTGCTAAAACGAATCTTTCAATTGAGCGTCCTCGCGGCTTTCGAACTTTACCTCGTCCTTCGACGACGCGACGAGTGACATTGAGGGCCGTATCTGTTGTCATCTGGACTGGTCCCAAGTGGCGGGTTGCGAATCCAAGTTTTCTCAATTCGCCGGTGCGATCTACAACAATACCATCGCGATATCACTTTCATGTTAGTCCCACTGCATAAACTTCATCGTGAACAAAAAGAGCTGAATAGAGCTCCTACCTCTTGGTGGATCGTCTCCTAGGATACCGCCAAACAAGAAGAAATCAAATTTGTCGCCATCCTCTGGGCTCAAGACATCGGGCGAAGCAGGATCGAGAAGGCAGACCTTCTCGTGAGGGATACGATCACCCATGGTCAATATATCTTCAGTATGACAATGAGCCCTCGCCAGGGACTCTGGCATATCTGCGAGAGTCGTTGGCGTCAATGCTGTGAAATAGACATGTTCTGGTCCACAGACCGCGACCATGTGCTCATACTCCAGCTTGCACCAGTCATGCATACCTACAAGTTGAATACACGCAATTGTCAGGATCGCTTGGAAATATAGTCCTTGCTCATTAGAGTCCTGACTCTGTCCATATCTACTTACCCTCCTCCATATGCTCGATAATATAGTTTTTCGCCATTGCTTCTTGTCCTGATCAGAAGTGTATGCTAATGTGCTAGCAGTAAGAAAAAAGGTTTTGGTCTGGGAGAAAAACAAAGGAAAGGACTGCTGCTGTCAATTACGGAAATGACAACCACAAGGTTGAGCTCAACGGCATCCGTCCTTTTCCTCGTTCTTCCCCCTTCGACCATTAGACCATGTCGGCACGTTTTCTGTCAAGAACGCGCACGCGTTTCCCAGCGCAATGCCTCAGACAACATAAAATGAACTCATTCCTCGCTTCCACGCGCTCAACGCCCTGCGCTTCCTTTGTCACGTTTCGCTCTCCTTGTAACGTTTTAGCACATCCCACATTGAACCCCTCACCTTCAACCCTTTCTGCTTTCAGCGCATGCGAAAAGCAATTGACAATTCTACGTGAACCTTGTTATCCTTCTAGTGCATTCCCCTACAGAAAAGCTCTATGAGGGCCATATCCCTATCTCTCCATTCCAGCGGGCGCTCCTCGCTGTTGGGTCTGCGTTTACAGCCCTTTACAACCCTCTGCGCGGAGGTAAGTCTTTTTTCGGCTGTAACTGAATGCTGTTTTCCTTTTCTGTCACGCTCTTGTCCTGACAAAATCGATCCCCGATTCTAGATATGGTTGCCGCATTGGGTGAAACCACAGGAGGTATTTTTCTGAGCAGGATTAGAGACCAAATGCTGCTGGACCCAGAAGGTCGTCGTATCCTGAGAGAACGACCCAAAATCACATCAGAGACTATGCAGCTTGACATGCTGCGCCAATTACCCGATGGTGCATTTGGACGAGAGTATGTTCGCTTCCTGGATGATCAGCAAGTTTCACCCGACACTCGCGAACCTGTAAGTCCTAGCCGTGTTATGCAACGTGCATGCCGATCAGCAACATCAGAATACTTTTTTCTGATTTGATGATGTGTTCATATCCGCCGCGTTATCGCCTAGGTTCATTTCGTGGATTCCGAGGAGTTGGCGTACGTGATGCAGCGATACCGCGAGACGCATGACTTTTATCATACATTGACAGGACTTCCGGTCACGGTCGATGGTGAGATTGCACTCAAGTGGTTCGAAATGGTCCAAACTGGTCTGCCAATGACCATGCTGTCGTCATTCTTTGGCCCATTGAGGCTAAATAGTGCAGAGCGGGAGCGGCTCTTCAATGTATATGTTCCCTGGGCGCTTGAGAACGGAAGCAACTCCAAGCTCCTGATGAATGTTCGTTGGGAAGAATGGATGGAAAAGCCCGTCAAAGAGGTCCAGCGGGAGTTGGGCGTTCAACCATGTCCTCAAGCATAAGTTGCATTAAGACGCGCATCTTTATTTCCCGTTCAATATATATTTCGAAGTACGATCCACGTTAGAACACTTCATCACCCTGCTTCATTTCCGTCAAACTTAACATCTCCAACTGTCCCTTGCCCTTTGTTTCTGATTGCAGTAACTCGTTGATGGGTCTGAACTGTCCAGGATCGATCAAACATGTCTGTTGAGGATAAGGACCGATTTATAAAATGATGATTAGCAGCTGCTGTAGCGGGCGCAATTCTTTTTTCAGTCGAGGACACAATAAAGATCCATACCCATTCATAATTCTCATCCAGATCCTCGTCTTCCTTGGACGCGACCATAGTCATCAACTTATCCTTTATCCTTTTGCCGTCTTTGGAGGGGACGATAATCCTGATCCGCATCTGCGCCCTTGCAATGGGAATGGTTTTCTTCTCGAGCAATTGCTTGATCACATCCAATGCCTGTGATTTTGCGGAACGCGAGGGATTGACGGACAAGTGCAGATCTGCCATGGCCTTCTCAATCATTGTCACAGTGTAGGGTCGCTTAGTCTCGGGATTGACGCACTTTTCGGCCACAGTCGTGGCAATATCGCGATACATTCCTTCCAGCATTGTTGAACGTTCCTTTTCGCCGACTTGCAATTCTCCCTTTTTAAGGATCTAGAGAGAGAGATTGGGATGAAGGGAGGAGATCGCACAGCCATGAGTATGATTTTTTTCTTTAGTCCTGCAGGTGTACTGGCGATTAAACTGACAACGGAATACCCTGCTGGGTTGCTGTCTGTATGCGTTTTACCTCCAGAATAATGGCGTTACGATCCTCTGTTTTGAAGCACTTTATAAGATCGTCCTTGTTGGCAGCTTGTCCTTTAGAGACATTTAGGAATACATTGTCGATCTGCATGACCTCGCTCAGGTCCTTTTCACTATTATGCATTGAAAATAAATACTTGGTCAGCCGCAGTAAACAACCAAGAACAAGGTATTCATTGCAGAGAAACTTACACGCCGTTTCTCCATTCCATGACCTTATTCTTGTAACATGCAATCTCGAATCTCTTGCCGCCTTTGCGGTAGCGGACAATGGAGACATTAGTCAATCTAAAACGAGAAGAGAATGTAGAGTATCATTAGACCAAGTGCCTTCCTTTGTTAATCCCCCTTTGTCCGGTGCTCCAGCTTCCGGCGTCGTACTTTATTTGGGCGTTGTACTAAAAGTAAACGAATGAAGAGAGTAGTAATGGCATTGTTAGTCAATGTCCTTGCTGTCATTATTAATGGTGTAACTGCATTGTCCTTGTGCTTACTTGGAGGATAACCATGGTTGATGAGGTGTTTGTGTGAATGTGTATAAGTAGAGTAGAATGGGGTGAGAAGGCACAAGCAAAAAAAAAAAAGGGCATTATGTTGTTGTCCGCAGCAGTCACCCCTCCGCGATTCCAGTATCACAGGAGCCAGCAACGGGGAACACAACTGCATGTACGGAATCCAGGGGAGGGGAGGGAAGGGATTATAGCTCAAGTACGGATGGAAAACCATAGCGTGAAGACAGGGTCTGTGCTGTGGCCCCATATTGGCCCAACACTTGCCCGCACACTTACTGCTCCCCTGTCTTCCCACGCGTCTGTCCGCGGTGCCCTCCAAATACTCTCTCACCCTCTTATACACCCAATCGATACGTTCTTTGCGTATCTTTCACACACACGTCCTTACTCTCTCGCTCTCGCTCCCACACATACACTTCAAGGACTCAAGACCGCTTTTTCAATGGTGCTTCAACGCATCTTGACCCAGCCTCGAATCTCGTCCACCCTCTCATCTGCATCTCTCTCCCCATTCGCCTCCACCTCCTTGACTACCTCAGCCTTACTTAGAAGAGCCTTCTCAACTACCATGACCGACTTGCAGCGCCAGCGACTCCTCGTCACTCGCACACTCCCTCAGGCGTCCCAGGCGCGGCTCGATAAAGGATTTAAGGATGTCGATATTGTTCAATGGAAAGAAGACTGTGCTATTCCTCGATCCGAGTTCCTCAAGATGGCCAAGGGTGCAGATGGGATCCTTTGTCTTTTGACCGACAACATTGATGCTGAGGTCTTGAATGCAGCAGGTATGGACGAGTATACACAGCATTTGAACGCTGGTCAACCACTCCAAATCTAATAAATGAATCATTCGATATCTAGGCCCGCAGCTCAAGGTTGTATCAACCATGTCCGTGGGATACGACCACGTCAATGTTCCAGAGCTGGAATCACGCAACATTGCTCTGGGTATCACACCGGGTGTCCTCACAGAGGCAACAGCAGACACGACCGTGCTCTTGGTGCTTGCAGCCGCGCGTCGAATGCGCGAGAGTATGGACGCTGTGACTCACGGGAAATGGGGTGCATGGAGTCCCACATGGCTGTTGGGCTCCCAATTGACGGATAAGACAGTCGGAATCGTAGGATTGGGTCGTATTGGAGTCGCAGTTGCCAAACGTCTGAAGGCGTTTGGAGTACAAAAGTTTCTGTACCAGGGGACTCGGCGCAAGGAAGAGAGTGAGAAAACGATCGGAGGCGAGATTGAATTTGTAGCGATGGAGAGATTGTTAAAGGAGTCGGATGTGATTTGTGTGTGCTGCGCCCTGAATGACAAGACGAAAAATATGTTCAACTACAGTGCCTTTTCGAAGATGAAAGGCTCTGTGGTAAGTGATCTGATCTTGTAAGCAACGTTGCAATATCGAGTCCGAGTCAATCATTATACTGACAAGTAATCTCGTTACTTTATCGTTCAACAGGTGTTTGTGAATACAGCGCGCGGAGGGATTGTGGATCAGGATGGCCTAATCCGGGCACTGAAGGAAGGAAAGCTGGGATCAGTTGGTTTGGATGTCACTGTCCCTGAACCGCTGCCTAAGGACTCGGAGCTACTTTCGTTCTCCAATTGCATTGTGTTGCCCCACATTGGAAGCGCCACTCTGGAGACACGGACAGCGATGTCAGAGATCGCTATTGAGAATGTACTCAGTGGTATGAAGAGAGAACGTCTTCCTTTTCCACACGACGCGTGAATGTATACCAATTGGAGCATACACGTCTATGTGAGGTGGCCGGCGAATAAAAACCAAAAAGTCGAAAGAAAGCTTGATGGACTGCTTCATGTGCCTCAGTCGACTTCTCCATGGGCAATAATGTTAGGCTAGATTCGAGGAGAGCACCGCCTCCCTCACACTAATTCAACTGGGCTGTTGACCAAGAGGGAACGGGAGGAACCACTGCTCTGCTTGGCGAAGGCTATTGTTTACTCATCTAGTTTTCTTTATCATCATCCTCATTCCACCCAGTCATCCAGTCATCCATTCATCGATCGAACAATCTAATAATCCAATAATCCTAACAAATAAATAGGCCTCGTTTCCCTCTATTTTCTTGTTTCCATACCCGCTGCATCTCACACACACACACTCTCTACCCCTCATTTTCTCTTTTTACCGCAACTCTTTACACCCCTTTTTCCGCAATCGAAGCTGGCGGATAAAATAAGAAAAAAACGCGGCGTGTGTTACCCTCAGGTACGGGATAAAAAAGCATCAGCCCTTCCAACCTTAAAACTTTCTCCCTATCGGCAATCATAATTATCTTTTCATTCACCACCATAATACCTATGTAATATTCATATCTACAGCACTAGCAAATAACGACAAAAAGGTACATCCTCAGGACACCCTTTAATACCATAACCAATATGGTTACGCTAAGCACTCCCTCTCCTCATCACCATCACCAGCGTAACAACGATGATATCAAGGGCATGGACATCATCAAAGCCACCCGCACACCTACAAAGATGGACCAGTTCAGAGCTCTAGCCGCACATAACCTCATGGTCACCTTCAGGAATCCATCGGTATATATCATTGGTGCCCTAGTCCCGCTCATCATGATCGGTGTCGCCATCGGTATTGTAAGTAATTGTCCTCTGTTGAACGTGGCATCTTGGTTCACGCCGTGATACAAATATACAAATGTGCCTTTTGCAAAACAGGCTCGTATCGTGGTCTGATCCCGGTCGCCTTACTTGTTGCAAGGTCGAAATTAGAATAATGTTTTGTTAATACTGCCTACGCTGTCCTCTCCTTTGTTCTAGTCACTTGGAATCCAAAGCAGCATTCCCAAGGTTGTTGCTGGCTCCGTTGATACGTAAGTAGACTCTGAGAAATCGTTGGGCGAAGTCAATATTGGCTACTCATGCGTAAAATTTCTTTTGCACTTGCCAATTCTTTCCTACAGTCGAACGTTCACTATCTTAGAAACCGGGATCCAGGACCCGACGTCGTATGTGGGTACACCTGTCGCGTACTTTCCAGTCATCAAAGCCGTTCCAGCTCTCAACAACCTGACGGATTCTGTGGAACAGAGTCTCCGACAAACCTATAGCCAATTCAACCCAGTTTTTGTCGACTATGCATCCATGGACGACGTCGCGGCATATGAGCATCAGAATGCGAAGAACATGCTCAAGAACACGATCTTGAAGGACTATAAACCACAGCTTGGATTCGAACTCGATGCTCTCGGACCTTCGGTCAGTAATGATGGCGCAAGCCTTGACCTTGGATTCACCGTGGCGATCGCCCAGAACGAATCTCTTCCGTTTTTGTTAAGTGCACTAAATCGGTTCACACAAAATGTGGATGCTACGAGTGGAAGTAATGGCGCGACGGCTGCACAGGGGCTAAATCTTAGGCCGACGCTCAAAACATTCGGTGCACAGGGCAGTGAGAATGTCGACATTCCCAGCTTTATTGTGCCAGCCTTTATGACTTTCGGTGAGTGAAAAGGTGTCTCCATGGATATTAACCATGACAATGATGAAAACTACTTCTCTAACCATATGAAGGATTCTCTTTGTATAGCATTCTCGTTCTTCACCACATTTGTTGCCGTCAATTTGGTGACTGAAAAGGAGAACGGACAAAAGGCGCATCTGCAGAACATGGGTATCAAGCCGGTTATTTATTACTTTGCCCGTTTTGTCATTGACTGGATCTGCTATTTGGTCCCTGTCTTGGCTTCCTTTGTGCTCATGGGCGCTACCCGCTTGCAGATGATCGTCTCGGGTTCGTGGGTACCCTACTTCATTCTGCTCCTCGTCTCGGGCTTGCCATTCATCGCTTTCGGCTACTTCCTGTCGCTATTCTTCCAAAAGTCGCAATCTGTCGGCCAGATCCTCGGTATTGGTCTCAGCTTGATCGTTTTTGTGCCCTACTTTTTTGTTCAGTTTGTGTTTAATGGCGCCTCGCTCCTGGCTATTCTTCTGGTCGGTCTCCTCACACCCTCATTTGCGCTTGAACGATCCATCTCTGCCATTGCTCTTGCCCAAACCACAGGAGCGCCCTACTCTATCAAAGACACGTTCGATATCACAAAGGCACCATTTTGTTCCATGATTCTTTTTGTCTTCCAGACCCTCTTGTATTTTGTCCTCATCTTCTGGATCGAGAACCTGATCCAAACGCGTCGGTCGCCCATCGATTTCTTCTTCCGCCGCCGTGGCGGCGGTGCCAAGTCTGCTTCTACGTTCACTACTACTCAAAAGGATAGATCTCTCACCGATAACCTATCCCGTCGAGATACTACTGTCCTGGTCGATGGCAAGTACCGTGAGCGTGATGCCGAGGTCATTGAGGAGAGCCTTCGGCTCGAGAGTGAAGCCGGCACGCCGGACGAGAATGACGCAGTTCGTCTCTTTGGACTATCCAAGACGTATCGTCTCCGAGGAAAGAGGCGCGACCATGTGGTTTTGGATGACATTTATCTCTCATTCAAAAAAAATGAGTGCTTTGGATATCTGGGGCCGAACGGTGCTGGAAAGACCACGACGATCAAGATCCTGATTGGCGCTGAGGATCCAACCTCGGGCAACGGCATGATCGAGGGCCTCTCTATTTCGCCTTACCATGAATCTTTGCGCTCCATGATCGGTATCTGCCCACAGTTCGATGTCCTCTGGCCCAAATTGACGGCCCGCGACCATTTGAGACTCTTTGCCAAGATCAAGGGTGTTGCACCAGACCAGGTCGATGCGGCCGTGGACCAGATGCTGGAGGAGATGGGTCTTGTAGATCTCGGTAACAAGCGCGCAAAGACATTCTCAGGCGGAAACAAACGTCGGTTGAGTTTGGCGATGGCGATTATCGGATGTCCTAAGGTCGTATTCTTGGATGAACCCACAACTGGGGTAGATGTCTCGATCCGACAGTTAATCTGGAACTCGATCCGTAAGCTGAAGCGCACGTCCTGTGTGATCCTGACGACCCATTCGATGGAGGAGGCCGATGCACTGTGCGACCGCATCGGTATCATCACTAACGGACACATTCAGGCCTTGGGCACGTCGCAGCGTTTGAAGAACACGTACGGTGCAGGGTACAAGGTCATTGTCAAAACTCACAACAGCACCAATGCAGTGAGCGCGGCACTGGAGCAGTCGGTGGGGACAGGTCGGGTGACACTTGTCCAAGCATTGGGGGCCAGTTTGGAGTACGAGATCACGCGCGTGGAAGGCGAACGCACCACGGAGATGTTGGCGAAGCTGTTCAGGTTGTTTGAACAAAAGCGCAGGGAACTCGGTGTCGAGGACTACTCGGTCAGCCAGACCACCCTTGCACAGGTGTTCATTGAGTTCGCCAAAGGACAGGCTGCGCCAGAAGACCTCTAAAGTAGAATGACAGAGTGCATAATAATAATAGCTTATTCAACCCTCGTTCTCATCGTTTCTTCAGTTCCCGATTCAATGGCGACTCCTCATGACAACACAAGCAAGGCCATCGCGGCATTGGACCTTCGGGAGATCATCGACCTCATCAACTTTCATGTAAAAATAAAGCGCCATATTGTGAAAGCCCTTCGCGTCTGCAAGGCCTGGCACGAAGCTTGGACACCCGTACTGTGGAAGGATATTGAATTCGACTGCAAGACAGACACGTTCCCAACAGCAGAGCTATTTGCAGAGCGAGGGCATTTTGTTCGGAAACTGACTCTCGAAAACCCCAAAGACCATCACCTGGCCAGCATCATGCCCTTCCTCGGGAACCTGCGAGATATGCGCCTAGACAATAGTAAGGTCACCATCGAAGGACTGACACTCTATATGAAGGAGCTTGGTGGCAATACCGATAGCGGTCGTGAGCACGCCCTGAGGCTCCTTTGTCTCGACAATTTGTGTATCGAGGCCTCGGATCTGGTGCCGGTGCTGAGAGAGTACTGCGGAGGCCTCGAAACTGTCGACCTAAAAAAAATTTACTGGAAGGAGAGGGCCAGAGTAGTTTATGGAGGCTGTTAGAGGCATGTCCGCGCTTAAAAGTGCTCAAGCTTACGCATATTGATATTCTGGATGATCTCGAGTGGATGGACGATGCGGCTGCGGTGATCAACAGGCGACTTGAGTGTCTCGGACTCGACGAAGTAACCCAGTCCGACAACTGCTTTTTCAAGCTCCTTGGGCGCTGTCCGAATCTCCAGGCGATCCATATCGCCGTCAACCCTCTTCTTACAAATGCGGCCGTGTACAGGATCCCAGAGTTATGTCCAAAAGTTGATGATCTTTGTCACGACTCTAATTCCATGGTCACCTCCCCTTCGCTCACACAACTTTTCCAAAGATCGGTCTATCCACTAAGACTACAAACCCTCGCCCTAAATGGCGATGCTATGGACGACAGGCTTGTCGATCACATCGCGAGGAGCCAAGGAGGAAGTCTCACCGTCTTAAACCTCGCTTACTGCAATGAGGTGACGGACGAGGGCGTTGAATCAATACTGGAACATTGCTGTCAACTCCAGTCGCTGTCGCATCTGGATACAGCCTTCACGACCGCGATCATGGATAGCCCACAGGAACGATGGAAGTGTTTTAACAACTTGCAAGTCTTGGATATCCGAAACCTGGAGCTTCCGCAGGGTAATGGAAGCCCTACCAATGAGCTCGAGGAGTTTGCAAAGGTCAAGAGGAGGATCATGATGTTACCGAAGCTTCGGAAGCTGGCGATGGATTTCTTCGGGCTATACGACAAGCTGGTTTTGGGTTTTGGTTGTGGGGATGGCCAGGGGCCTCGGCTACAGACGCTGGACGCGCACCGGGATGTATCCAGCAAGGGACTCAGAGGCGAGGAGTTAGACAGGTTTTTGGATAACTATCCGTATTTGAGGTGCCTGATCGTGGATAAGTCAACCCTTAACCATTGCGAAGAGATGATTCCTCGACTTGGCATGAACGGTGTGAGGTATGACTCTGCAAGGAGCGTTTCGTGGGCAGAGCAATAAACCCATCAATTTGGTTTTATTAAACGTTCTGCTATATAAAAACAATGAACAACAAAAGGCCCTCAAATGTCGACTTCTCTTTAGGCCTTTCGGAATAGGATAAAGATCAATGAGCACCCTAATGCCACGCTTCAATGCAAAAAAAAATTAAAAAAAAAATTCATGTCAGAACATTGGCAACATTTCGTGGCGTCCACTCCTGCTTCTTCAGCATTGTTTTACCTAGCGCCATGGACCCAAATCAGTGCAAAGGCCTCGCTAGCAACGTGGCTATTCAAGATCTGCTTCCTGAAGGTTGCAAAGAATAGCATCATCAGACCCATGAGGAATGAGAGACTGCCGCAGAGGATCAGTATAGCGCGCATGCGCTGATAGGTCGATTTGAGGGTGTTCAGCTGGCGTTCATGGTCCTCGTATTCGGTGTTGTTGTTGTTGTTCCCGACAGGCGTGGAAATCCGACCAGAGCTCTCGTTGATCAAGGCCATATTGGAGGAGATGATCGTTAACAACTGCCTAATATGGCATCGGATAATATAAACGAAATACTGCGTTTTAGTACGAGCGTGTATTTTGACGAAAAACATGATAGTGTAAGAAGAGAAAAAAAAGAGTCTTTTTCGTACTTTCCGAAAAAGAGATAAAGGACAAAAATAACGCCGACTATAAAGGTCCAGACGCCATACATGGCCGCAATCAGTGAACCATACACCTTTATGTCTCCGCGGTCAAAAGACGCACCCGCAAACAATGCCAAGATCTGGTTCACAATCAATGGCAGGACAATCATGCCTAGCAGTGTGAAGTTCAGGACCATGGGTTTTGGAAGATAGATGCGTTTCGGCTCTATGACATGGCGACCCTCGTTCTTGTCCCCGAGACGATGTAAGGAAGAACGACTGCTGAGGCTGTCGAATTCGTTAGAGCGGCGCTTCTTGTTGAAAAAGGTGCCATGGCTCGAGAAGGATGCCGGTGTGGCGTAGATGATGCCGACGAGGTAGAAACCCATGGCGCCAGAGACGAAGACCCAGGGGAGATCCGCCTAAGCAGAAGAATGGAGTAATATGATAATGTCAACATTTGACATATTTTTTTTTAAAAGACTGAGCCAGCAGTAAAAAACGAATAACTTACAACATTCTCCAGGTAGCTGCGCTTACCCTCGTTCACACCAACAAGCAGCAAAACGGATAATACGCATCTAACTGCAGTGAGATTGTAACAATGTGAGGTTGGTTAGTACTGTCTGTTTTCAAGTGCAAGGCTGAGTCTTTGTTTTGAAGCTGCGTATGTCTGATCTCTTACAGAAAAAATATCCTGCGCACCAAAACACGAATCCTTCAGTAGGTCGTGGTCGGAACGCATTATCATTCCTTGAAAACTCCCAAACCTTCTGGCCCTTCCACCAAATATTGTGGATCAAGATGCCCGCAGAGATGAAGAGGAAGAGGAATGAGGAGATGATGTGGGTTGTGTAGAGAAATGAAATGTAGGTCGCGCCCTCGCATATACCCTGGGATTGTACTCGCCAATCGCAGTATTCTGTCGCGTTGACATTGCCTACGGCAACTGGATTCATCTGTGGCGCCTCTGTATCAAGTCTCTTAGAGTGCTTTGGGAGGAGTGAATTCGCAATCGACTCTGCAGTTGAGGAAGTTGGTCACGGTGGCAGTACAAAGTTGGAATGGACAAACAGGATGGGCGAATGCAGAAGGGCTCTGTTGGTCCGTGGGTGTGTTGGTCTGTGCGAGAAGATCTACGGATAGCGGCAAAGATGAAAATTGAAAGAGAAATAAGAGATAAGGAATGCAAGAGAATAAGCTTAAGTGTGCAGCCAACAAGTTCACACATACATAACCGAAAGGAGGGCAGGAAAACAAAAAAAAACAATCTCAAGGAACAGGTCCCAAAGGGTATCCGAACGTCCCAAAAGAGACTTCTTGTTGCATCCATCTTCATTCGCAAAAAAAATTCGAAACGTGCCTTCAAGGGCAGGTCTGTAACTGCGTGAGGGTGAAAAAGAAGGGGTTCCTGGAAATAAGAGAGAGTGGAGAGGGAGTGAAGAGGGAGTGAAGAGGAAGTGAGGATCAAAGAAGGGGGCCTCGCATATGAAATGTTAAGGAACCAACCTCGAGCAGGTATATACTCTACAGCCGCAATGAAAAAAAAAAAAAAAAAAAAGGAAAAGTGGGAGGAGCCTTAGACTATTTTTCCATGGTGGAACAAGTAAGGGTCAGATATGATCTCGAATGTCGTTCAGATATTCAGGGCCTTTTCAGATTTAGCGCCAGGGATGGTAAGTAAGGGAGAAAGAGGGCGAAGGCATAAAGCCGCCTTTAACCTGCCTGACGTTTCCACAGGGAGGATACTCCTGGTGATTTCGGTCTTTTCTGGACATTCTAGAAAATGGACGTGCAACGACCCGATGTCCCCCCAAAAAGAGCGGATGGGACACGCACAGCCCTGAACGTCCTTCATAGATGTCGGATTTGCTTACTGGTATTCACAACAGAGGCACCTTTAATTTATTTATGCTGTCGTACGATTCATAATGATCGAAAGGAAACCAAAGTGAGCGAACCTTGTCAAAGGATCCCTGCCTGCACAGTCGGCAGTGTTAATGATCATTTCTAGATCCTTTTGTGGACAGTGCGTCTTCATGTCTTCATGTCTTCATATCCCCAAGCAATCAGTCCTCTCTACCTTATCCGAACACGCTCCTATCTATTTATTTAGTTTTGCTTTCGTTTGGAGAAAGAGATTTAACCTTCCGTCTCTTCATATAGGCACCCAGGGGCAGCATAATATGCAGAAGTGTCGGCATTATGCTACGAGTAAACGGTTACAGGGCAAGATAGAGGGGGGTCGAGCAAGGTAAGTGAAAGGTGGCGATTAAGGTAAGTGTGAGATAGGGTGGATAGGCGGGGTAGCGGAGGGAGAGGGGTAAGTGAAAACAAGGTAAAGGGAATAAACGAACTCGCCATCGCAAAAGGTACTATGTCTTTTCTCTGGGTCTTCGTACTCATGATCTTTGTCGCGCTTAAATACAGGAGCGAGACCGGATCGGTCCCGCGCGGACTAATGCTCAAGTAGAGTCGTAGACGTAGATGGAGAGCGTGAAGACGGTAAATATGAGATAGAGAGCGTAAATATGAGAGAGATTTTTTTTTTTTTTTTTTTATTAACATAAATCCCCATGAGATAAATATGAGAGAGATGGAGAGGTATCAGGGAGCCGGTTAGGTTTGGGGAAGGGCGTGCAAATAAGGGTGATTGTGCAAATAGGTTTTTTTTTCCAATGGACAATCTTTGCCAGGGTTTATTGGTTATTTTATGGGGGTTACTATTTCTCGCTGGTCAGGATGTTCCTGTTTGTCCCGAACAATGGTAGGAGGCGCCATATAAATCCCGCGTATTTTCCCGCAAGCCTGCCTCGGTCGTCCTGTTCCTGCTAACTTGATATCTTGATCCTTTGGACTGGCTCTCTCCTGTGTGACTTGATTCGGCAAATATTCAACTTATGTTTCGATCCGGCATATATGTACGGCTTCCTTACGATGTTACTGCGGCCCTCGAGTGATTTTCTGAAGTAAATTATTTAGTCTCCTCTCTCAATAGTCCCCCCCGTAACCTTTAGTGCTGGAGAACGGCTCTGGCAAATCCGAGTGACAGTTCTGAAAAATCTCCTCGTAGCCCACGGTGGCGTACGAACCTGAGCAGAATAGAACATTCTATCAGGAGGGAGCCAATCCCCTGCTGCCCGCGATCCGAAAGGTAATTTATACACGGCCCCCCGTGCCGAAAAACAACCGCACCAAGCTGGATCCGAAACTAGGATCCACAGCACTGTTCTCTGGAAGCTTCGCGTGATACTACTGTACCACACAGGCTCGCCCGCCTGGTGATTGTGCAAATAGGTTTTTTTTTTTTTTTTTTTTTTTTTTGATAACTAGAACCCACGAGGATATGTGGGATTTATTAGTGAGGGACTCTAGACTAGGGAACCCTATTGCTAGAGGCATAGTAAAGGGTGCTCAATATTCTAATAAACGGCTTTTGCCGCACCGCTGCTGGTCACTCGCAGCTCCAATCCCCTTCACAATCCCAGTCAGCATGAGTGGTAACTCGACCCCGCCTGGGGTCGGTGACTGAGCCCTGCTCCCTACTTGGCCTGTTGTGCGCGAAGGTCATCCTTTAGCCGCGTTCCTCAATCATCAAAAATTTACAGTGGTGATTGTGCAAATAGGAAATCCGTGCAAATAGGGAATCCGTGCAAATAGGGAATCCATGCAAATAGGGAAGGTAGTTATATATGGAATATATTAATCTATAACCGCACCAAAATGAAAGAATAGCTAACATAGTATAATGGTTAGTATATCTCGTTGTGGCCGAGACGATCCTGGTTCGATTCCAGGTGTTAGCATTTTTGCTTCCAGGCACAATCTCACAATCTGCTTGGCAACCCAGGTTGTCAAATTTCCGTGGGAAATCCATGTAACTCCTTTGCCCTAAAAATCGGGCCTATGGCTTAAGTAATACCTTCAAATGCATCAAGGATTTCCTGCAGAGGTTGTCAAATAAGATTGATAATCCATCCCTTGCATCAAACCGTCAGGTCACATTGGTGATCTATTTTTCTATCGTTTTTTTTTTTGCTACAACCTTGGTTCTTTTTCTTTCCTACTCATATTCTACTCAACCAAGATGGACTACACTCCCAACCAGCACTATGGTTTGACTATCTCCTTTAGTATTGTCCGCTCAGAATTCAAAGGATTGAACATTGATTCTCCTACACAGACGATTATCCGTGCTGTTGACAAGATTATGCCTCATTCGTCCGTACAGGGTTACTGGTGCTGTATCTTTGAGGAGACCAAGAAACCACACCAGAGTGCCGTCGAGCTCTACCTCAGCCTCAGCTGGATTCCTGGGCCAGAAACTTCGCGTCGACCACCATCATCATTGACTCAATCTGGTGCTACAGAGAGCTCTCGGCAAATCCAGGACTTCATCAAGCAGATCAGAAGCGTCAAGATTTGGTCAGACTCGACACTGTCAGAGCTCTTGGTCGGTCAGATGGATGGATCTTGTCTCGTCCAGGGTGAATCCATTATGGGTAATCTCTTCAGACCATGTACCAGAGATAAATAGTAGTGCTACATCTTTGGTCATTCCTCTTTGCTACTGACACCTGTGCTCGTTTGACAAAACTGCTCTTCAGTGCGATTGCAGTCAGATCGTGTGCTGAGGAACAATCGTTATAAGTTCCGGATAGGATTCTACACGCAAGGCATACCGAGATCACGATGTCTAGAGCACCCAGCCTTCATTTGTTTCCATGATATAGACCCTGGATTTGATCCGAGGGACCATTGGCGAAATGAACCGTTGGATATTATCTTCCATTTCCCAGTTTCTAGGTTCAGTGCAGAACCCAGCACAATCCAGGCTCACTCATCTGCGCTTGAACAGAGTCGGTACTTCGCGCAGCGCATAGCCGATACGAAGAAACAAAACGCGCGTGGTGACATGCGCTTTGATGGTGTGACCTGCACTATCACAGAATTCAGCCCGGCAATATTTCGTGTCATGCTGCAGTACCTTTACACTGGACACCTCAAAATCAGGACGCCATCCCGTGAAGTGCAGGAAATAGCGGCTGTTGGATCCAGTATGGGGCCTGAGCTCGACACTGAGTGCTTGAAAATTGGACCCTGCGATAGAAGGACTAGGAAAGGATGTGCGCAAGGCAGCGAGACTCCAGTACCGGGGGCGGTATACTTTGAAGATCTTTACAGGATATCTGAGCGATATGAGATCCCAGGACTGAAGGCGCTATCGCTCAAGGCGATGCAATGCACGATGAAGATGTCGATTGCGGTCGCGATGCTGGCGAAGCTTCCATATGATCCAAGGGAGGTCACTGGGGAGATTTTGAGGGGTTCAGATGGTCGAAACCAGGACGAGAATGAACGGTTCGATATGATCCAGGTGGAATTGGCCATGGGCATTCTCAAGGAGTACATTCGGTTTTTCGGGTGCGAGGCTAGCTTTTTAATAACCGAGAGAAGGGAGGGAGAAGCTGAGCCCACGACCGAGGGCCGTCTTGAGATGATTGGGATACTAGGCGACTGTGTCTTGCGCAATATCCACCGTTTCTGGGAATAGTGCAGCGTGCAATGCAGCGCAACAAGAGTATCTGCCGACAATAAGACAATATAGATCATTTTCGCGTACGACTTCACGAGTTTATTTTCTTTCGGTCCGCGCCATCACTGTGTGAACTTGCTCATTTTGATAGTTGGCCATTTTCCCCCTGATAACCTTATATTCCTTGAACAAAACAATTTTTGTTTGGTTTTCTGGCACGCGTGAGGATGTCAGTCGCTGCTCTTTACCAATTCAACATCCTTTCTACAGTACCATCCTAAGGCAGCGCTCAATCAACATCCGACCAAACAGATCGCATTGTCACGTCCGCTCCACCTATAACAACAATGTTTGGCCCCAGAAACGGGGCTAGCAACACCAGTCGCCCAGCGTCCTCCCTCGCTAATCATCCCAAGCCGATAGCTCACCACGGTAGGGACAGACCAACCGAGACTGAACCTGCCACACTCCGCAGGAGGATATCATCCGAATCTATTTCCTCAATCGGATCTGCCAGTGCGCAGGGAGCCGCAGCCAAGTCAGCGATGGCTCCGCATCCTCCTCCTCAACACCCGCCAATGTCCAGAGGAAATATCGGACAGCAACACAACAGTAACGCGCCCATTGCAAACAAGGAACTCAATATCCAGGTCGTCGTCAGGATCAGGTGATTAGTTGTGGATCCATAGAGTGCTCGGTATATGCGAACAAAAGGCGCGGTTCTAATCAATTGGTGGCGGACTCATCATGTACTTTAGAGCACGAAGCGAGCGAGAGGTCCGAGAGAACTCACCGGTGGCTGTGCAAACGCAGAACAAGGAGATTCTCGTTCCCTCGACATTGGGCGACAGGGCACCGTCAAAATCCTACAGCTTTGATCGCGTCTTCATGTACTCGGACCAGGAGTGCATCTACAATGAGGTCGTTACACCCATCCTGGACGAAGTCTTAACCGGCTACAATTGCACAATCTTTGCCTATGGACAGACAGGAACCGGCAAGACGTTCACTATGGAGGGTGATCTTCGGGATAATTTTGGAGAATGTTCACGGGACGCAGGAATAATTCCTAGAACACTCTACACGCTATTTGCCGCATTAGAGAGAAAAAACACGGAATACACGGTCCGCGTGTCTTTCCTGGAGCTATACAACGAGGAAGTCAAGGATCTCTTGGTTCCGGACGATGATCGGAAGGTGGTCAAGATTTTTGACAGCGTCAAAAAGCAGGGTCCCTTGGTACAAGGTCTGGAAGAAGTCCCCGTCTTCAACCCTGGCCAAGGAATCGATGCTCTGAGGAAAGGGAGTGCCAAACGCACCGTGGCTGCGACAAAGAGCAACGACAAGTCGAGTCGATCCCATGGAGTGTTTTCAATCACGGTGCATGTCAAAGAGACTGCGGACGATGGCGAGGAGCTGTTAAAGATCGGCAAGCTGAACTTAGTCGACCTTGCTGGATCCGAAAATATCGCACGCTCTGGAGCTGAAGCAACACAGGCAAAGGAGGCAGGAAGGATAAACCAGAGTCTGCTAACCCTCGGACGAGTCATCAATTCCTTAGTGGAGAGGTCTCAACACATCCCATACAGGTAACGAGATGATGAGCATTAGTTAGGTATCCTTTGATATTAGCATTATGCTGACTTGTTTGTATGATCATTGTTACACGTATAGAGAGAGTAAATTGACTAGACTGCTGGAGGACTCTTTGGGCGGCAAGACAAAGACATGCATTATTGCCACCATCTCGCCTGCACGCTCTTGCTTGGAGGAAACAATCAGCACCCTCAACTATGCAAACCGAGCCAAGAACATCAAGAACACACCTGAGATCAACCAGAAAATGTCCAAGCGAACACTCATTAAGGAATACCTGGTAGAGATTGACCGCCTCAAGGCTGATCTTAACGTAAGTTATACTGGATGACTCAACGACTCCGTTTTTGTATAATGTGCAAAAAGATAAGAGTGTGCCAAAGCCTGATTCACCATTATTGTTGTTGTTGTTGTTTTTGCTACTATTATTGTCCTATCTCCTTCTTAGGCCACACGCGAAAAGAATGGCGTGTTTATGACACAGGAGTCGTATCAGACGCTTCTTGATGAGAACTCCAGCAACAAGGATCTTGTTGGCGAGACACAGAAACATGTCGACCGGATTTCTCAAGAGTTGGAACGTGTCGAGGAGAAGTTTAGGGAAAACATGAAGCTTCTTTCAGCAACAGAGATGAAATTAGAGAGCAAACGTGTAGAGCTGTTGGGGATTCGAGAAGAGCTGGAAAAAACAAAGCAGGTTCTGCAGGAGGAGACGCTTTTGCGGCAGGCCCATGCCCATACCGAGGATCAGCTGAACTCGGTTGCTTCAGGACTTCGCTCAACTCTTGCTGCAAGCGTCAAGGATATCAGAGGCTTACATGAGAAATTGGAGAGGAAGAACATGATCGAACGTGAGAACCGACGTGCCCTAGTCGAGTTCCAGGAAAGGCTGATGGCTCTTTCGGGCGAACTTGGGGAGCGAATTCAGGGCTTTGGATCAAATCAGACTGGTTTTCTGGACATGGTCACGGAGAGATTGGACAAGGCGTTCAAGGAGGCAACATACGGGGCGGAGAGTGCGCAGACTTTTTTGAATGATCAGCTGGAGCGCATGTCTAAAGCTATGGACAACTTCAGTGCATTGGATATCAACACTTCAGACAGAGCGTTGGTGTTTAGGCGCGAATTCGAAGCCCTTCGCCTGGAGATAACGGAATTCCTCAAGTCGCGAGCGGAAATATCAAAGTCGAATGCACTAGAGGGCTTTAGCGGCCTGAAGGCGGCCTTGATGGAGTTCAATGGCTTGGTCGATAAGCAGCAGGAGGCCATGACGACAAGGGTGCTTGGGTTAGTTGACGAGTCGACCAAATTCTCGCGGGACAGTATCAGCCGACACCAACTTGCGTTGGACTCTTGCCAAAAAGCGACATCTGCCGAGATCGAATTCCTGACACTGCAGAATCTAACTTTGCGGCAGCAGCTGAAGGACCAAGAGGCAAGGAGGGACGAGCAGAAGAATGCGCTCTTATCAGAGATCGGAGGTCTGCTGGATAGCTTCCTAAGGGATCAAACCAGTGTTGTGATGAGTCACTTTACAGGCGCATGTGAGGCATTGGAGGGCTCGACCTCGCGATTGAACACCGCTCACTCGGAGCAGCGTGATTGGGTTACGCAGTTCGAACGGCTTGGAGCACAGCGCATTCAGGAACTCATCGATACGCGTGGCGCGTTTGAGAAAGAGGGCGTTGAGGGCAGAGCAATGATCGCCCGCGACGGGGAGGGAATGATCACCAGATCAGACGCCCTCCGATCCAGCATCGAAGTCGATTTGCAGTCGCAACAGGAGTTCATGCAAACGAGGATGTTTGAGATGAATACCAAGGCAATCGGCGGCCTCGAGCAAATGCAGTCGCAACAAACTGCTCTGGCTGAGATGTTCTCGCAGACCTCTAACCACTCTACTACGGCGCTTCAAGACCTGAATACCCGGGCAAGGACGATGAATATGAACATGACATCGGTCTACAACCGAACTTTGGACGATGTAAGTAATTGTTTGTTAATAGACTATGTCGTTCCAGCAAGCAAGTCCAAACGTACGTCGATTTATATATATTTACCACTGCACTCTCTTTTTACTACTCCGTTATAAGATGAACGCTGTCAAGGGCAAAACGCAGCTCTTTAGTTATGATGCCAGTCATAACCTGGACTTAGCACGGGAAGAGATGAAAAATCTTGTGCCTCACCGGCTCAAGGTGGATGACTCAACAGGAAGGACTCCTTCTCGCAGAAAGTACACCTATCCGCAGACCTGGAGTCGCACAAGGCCATCACAGGATCTGTTGAAGGAGTTCAGGGAGCTTGGTCAAGTGAAGGTGTTTACGATGGATCAGCCAGTAGGTACTTTCGACCTTTCCGAATCAGATGATTCTGCACCGGTTTCTCCCAGTCCCGGTCAAGGACCAGACTTGACCGACTTGAATCTGTCAGGCTCAACAGTTGCGCATATTTCCCCGAGCGATGCAGATGATTTACGCCACGATACTGCTACAGTCAACAGCAGCGAACAGCGGCTCAAGGATTCGGACCTATTAGCTGCGGATATTCAAGACGAATCGCTCTCTGGCCCAGCTTCGAGAAGAGCATCCTTATCTTCTACGAGACTAGAAGCTGAGAAAGAGAAGGAGAACAGTGCAAAGATCCAGTCTACTGCCCTGGGCGCTGGAAACGCCTTGAGGCCCATTCGACCTCCAGGCAAATTTGGCCTCAATTCAATAACGGATCTTGGATTCCGTAGGAAGGTTGGAGCTGTACAGAGCGCGCCTGGATTGTCTTCACTATTGTCCAAGAGGTCCGCACCCGAGCTGGAGGACGAGGACGCCGAGGGCAACAACCATACCAACAACCTGACCGACATCAGTAATAGCATACACCCAACGCTTCCCAATCCTTCCCAGGCAAAGACAAACGGGGCTACTCCTCCACCCTCAGTAGCAACAGCGCCATCAGGACTCACAGCGTTTGGAACGGGAAAATCGGGGATGATGAACAGCGCAGAGGGACCGCGTAAAGTTATTCGAACTGCGCATGTCAAACCTGTACGGCGGGGGTTCCCTTTTGGAGGCAATAACAAGTCTTAGGAGAGACAAGGCATCTCACGGTCGCCAGGCTATCATTTTTTATTTCTGTTTTGTATACTACATACCCTCGACTTTATCTACTTCGTATCCGGTTCTGCAGCGCTAGACTATTTCTCGTACAGCGACGGACAGGACCTGTAAAAATAATAACTTTTTCCACCTTGAAAAAGGATTATATGGTATCTCATGAATTGCTTATTTGATTTTTAGCCAGACAAGACAGCGAGCCGTTGACGAGTTGACGCGTTGATGGCCTCAAATTCTTCAGATGTGATCCAGGCAGCATAACGAGGGTTGGATTCCAGGTTCTGCTTGAGCTTCCACAAGCCTGGTGTTGCAATGGGCGAGATCAAATCCTTGCATTCCGGGATAGTCAAGAAGCGGTCAACGCATACCACCGAACGGATATCAGCAAGGGAGAGCTGGCATGGACAGAGAAGGAGTTGAATGATTGAGTCAGACCAACACGTTTTCTCTCATGGATTTTTTAGCTTGTTGGTGTGTTGGTTTGTTCTTTTTACCTGGTCGCCGACGTAAAATCCATTCGTCCCGTTCCGTTGCAGCCACTTCTCATGCTGCGTGATCCAAACTGGGATATCTTTGCTGACGAACTTGATCAGTTCCCGAGCCTTCGTATCGGAGAACGCCAGCAGGACCTTGTTGACATACAGCGACATGACCGCGTTGGAGGAGCAATAGAACACGTTGATCGCGGTTTCTTCCCAGAGATCCCTACCGAGGAGCCCCAATTTACGGGCCAAGTAACGCTCAATCGCCTCGGACTCTGGAATCTCGAGAACGAAGGGGTCTCGAGGGTCTTGGTTGGAGTGAATCTCGTAAAGAACGGGCATTACGCCTAGAGGGACCTTTTCTTTCTCCTTGGACCAGTCCTGAGGATCCAAAAAAAAAAAGTTGATAAAGAAACAGTGCTGTGACATAGTTTGCACATCCGTTCAGAAACTACTTCTCAGTCCACTTACGCTGGGATACACATCCTCCCATCTGAAGCCACTGATCGCGAGAAGGATCCGCGTGGTTGCAGCCATGCCATGTAGTTTGAAATAAAGCAACTTGTATGTCACACTTTCGCCTTCATGATCATCAGACTTGGACTCTACCGCGCTAGTAGCGGCAACGAGGTCAGGTCGCGTTCTCGTCGTGAATGCTGGACCTGGCAACCCTGAAAGTGTCGGCGAAGTGGTATCAGTCATGGATGGTATAGCTGAGGAAAATGGAATGAGAATAAAGAACAACAAGCATAGATACATTCTTTCTTGCTTCCTTGAAAAAATGCATCTTCTAGATATAGCAATTCGAGATGAAGGCATAAGGATTGTCACAATGAATCATGCACAAAATCTAGGTTTATTTGATATAAGAGCGCGTGGAGAACAGTAAACAAATCAAAGAGGGACCCCTGCCTGGCGATGTGCAAGGGTGCAAAGTGTCCAGAATGGAATATAAGCAATAAAGCACAATTATGCAAGAACAACTAAAGGTCACGTCCTCGACCGCGCCCTCTGCTTCCTCCGCGTCCTCGACCCCGCGCATGCCATCGGCCACGATGGTAATTCGACTTGTTTCCTCTGCCCCGGCCGGGGACAAAAGACTGTGTTGGCTTGCTGCGGATCGCCATGCTTCCGTTTGCAGTGGTCGCATGCCCTCCAACTATAGTGGCGGTTGATCCAGCTCTCTTGGGGATCCCATAGGCTGTCAAGACTGCTTGTCCTGCTGCCAACCCTGATACGTTGCTGCCAGTTCCTGTGGTTGTCAGTATAGGGCCCACTCCTGGCCCATAGCTCACTCCTTTGCCCGTGCCAGACGTACTGCCTCCACGGCTACGTCCGCGACCACGACTACCTCTACGACCTCGTTCACCACTCAATGCACCTGCTGGTCCTGTGTTTTCAGCATCTGTATTGTCACCCATACCGAATTGCGCAAAGTACATCGCCAGTGCAGGGTCGTCGCGGCGCTTTCTTAGATCCACAAAGTCGTCAAGCGGAGACATATACCCATTATCCTCTTCAACCGCACCACCGAGGCCATCAGTCTCTTCCCCTTCATGTCTCCGCGAACGCTCTATGTTGCCTGGATCTGCGGCATCCCACCATTCTTGGCTCTGCAAGCCGTAGTTAGGATCATCTATCTCGAACGAAGAGGGCCCTGCTGTAAAGTCATCTAGTATCCCAGAATCATCCGTCCTCGCTATGCTCTTGCCAAGCAAATCCTCCGAGCGGGCTATAACCTTGTGATCCGTGTCGGCAGCGGCTATTGTGGATGCCCTATTTACGGTGATTTTTGACACTGCCAAAGACCCTGGGACAGCGCCAATGCCGCCAACGATTCCTCCGAGCCCCACACCCTTGACCTGGCGCCGATCCAGCTGTTCAGAATGCAAGAGGTCGTCTTCCTGGTTCCAAAGCTTTTCCACCACAGGCATGAGCCGTCCAATCTCAATCTCATCGTCCTCATTAATCAGATGCCTTTTGCTCTGATCGCCCTGACCACGCTGACCTCGTGCCTTCTTGAGAAGATGCTGACGCCGTTGACGAGCTGATTCAGGGAGTATGTTATCCAGGATCGCCGATTTCGATTTTGCGCCTTTCCTGGTTGCTGTTGTCTGCTTGGTCCCTACGGGTGCATTGTTATCGTTCTCAGAGTCATCCAGCTCGACTACGCCCTTGCTCGGCTGCTTAGTGGCGGGTTTACATCTCGTTGCGCTTCCCGCAGCTTTGCCCCGTGTCCTGAAGGAGCGGTTCAACATCGATGCCGGCTCGGGTCTGTCCAAAAAGTCATCTAAATCATCCTCCAATTTCTCGTCCTGAATCACCAAAGGTGTGTCCTGATTTCCACTGTCGAATTTCTTGCTATCTTTGGGTAACTTCGTCGCCGCAGTTTTTTTCTTCCTAGAGATCGGCCTGACCGAAATATAACCATCCAGGGATTCTGCCGCTGCTGCGTCGTCGATGGCCTGTCCTGGCTGGATGTGAAACGCACTTTGACTCGACAGGCATTCAAAGTCGGCAAAGTCAAGAGGCTCATCATCCTCGAGAACACGGCTTTGGTCGGCGCTGTAGTTGGCGCTTTCTTCACTGAAAACTGTTGACACGCCTGAATAGCCAGCTGAATCGCGATATCGATCCTGCTCACGCGTTCTTGTAATGGGAGGGGGCGAATCGAGCGAAAGACTGTTCACCTTTCGAATGGGGGAATCCAAAGACAAGACACTATTCCGTACACCTTTGATTGTAGTCGGAGCCTTGGATGAAATCAGTGCAGGTTGGTTTCCGAGTGACTGCCCCTGTATCTGAGCCGAATAGAGAGCTGGCGCTTGGGTATGCGTGTCGCTCTCGGCAAACGAGTCCTTAATATGCACGACATCCTGGGTCTGGTAAATCTCATCTAACGCCAGAGCCATGGCCTCATCACGCTTCTGCATGTCTTCTCTTTCTTTCTGTTCATTGGCAAGTAGCTCTGCATCCACGTGCGCAATCAGATCCTCCACGGGAACCATTTTGCGACATATAGGGCATCTGTCCATGGCATTCTGTGACAAGATTGGCGAGATATCCCTGATAAATTGCTCGTCCTGCTTTGGCCAGGTATCTTGTCCTTGATCGTCGTACCTTGGTTGTTGCTGCGCCTGTTGCGACTCCCGCTGCTCCCGCTGGATATCTTTCCCTCGATCCACGACTCTATCCTTCTTCGAGTCCTCAAAAAGAATTCTCGGCTGAGCGCGACCCCCAAGTTGTAGGCCGCTATACCGTCGCAGCTTGCGCTCCCCTGATTGTCGAGCTTTCTGCGACCTCTGTGACCTTTGGTCGTCCGAAAAGTCCTCGATTTCCTCTGTCTGCAAGGCTCCGCGGCCCTTGCTAGAATACACCCCGGTGATGAGGGGCTGAGAATCAGACATGGTGGAGAACGAGTCGATCGTCTCCATCTTCGCGGGCGGAGCAGGCTTCTTGATATCCGCCTGCTGCCGGGAATGATCTGCAGCTGCCTTTAATGCGGACTCCATTGCCGAGATATCCGGCGCAACTTCCGAAATCCTCATCTTCTTGGGCGGCGATGCTAGAGTGGCTCTTCCTGAGCGACGTCGCGCACGTGGATCCTCCAATGGCTCGTCGTCCTGCTCATCCTCCCGTCCAATCATAGCAGATAAAATCTCAGTATGTGGACGCTTTCCATCGGACTCGCTGGGTTTCTTCCAGGATGGGTAATATTCCTTCAAAGAGTCCATATCGGCCATTCGTCCCTGCTCGTCCATGTTTGCGCGCTTCGTTGTGCGGTTGAAGATCGGGAACGCAACAAATGGGCTTCTTTGTCCATTTTCTGTATCCAACTTTCTACCTTGAGGCCAGTCTGGCTTAGATGATGGAGCTTTGTCGTCAAGATGATCCGTAAACATCAAAGTCTCCCTCAATTTCCTGTGCTCCTCCTCCAAGCCTGCGGTATCGCCTCTCTTTAATATCTCTACCACATCCTGACTGTTGTCGTCGTCTGAAGGAATGTCCAGAATCAGTGGCCGAGGTTTTGTCAGTCTTGTGTAAGTCTGCTTGTTGTGTAGATTCTCCGTGGGCGATGAACGACTTTGTTTGCACAGCTCGTAAATGTCCTGACTCTCGATTGAAAATGCTCTTTCCCCCATCCCATCGCGTCCTCCTACAGTAGATTGTGAAACGGTGTAAATTTCATCCCTCTCGGCTTGAGTCGCATCAGATACCCCAATTTCAGCCTCGGAGTCAGAGACGATTGCCCGCGACAAGCTTTTCCTCCGATCATCCGCCATTACTGACTCAACCTTAGGAAGCCCCACATGCTCCGCTCGGGAAGAGCTCTTTCGGCGCCTGGTTTCAGATATGACCAAACACTCTTCAGCCTCAGAGAGATCGTCCTCAGAGTCACGAACCATGTCGTAATGCCGTGTTCTTTGTTTCAATGTCGGCGTTGAGAGGACAATATCCCGATCGGGACCCTCCGTGATTGACCATGGCATTTTAGCAGATGAACCCAGAGGTGTGCTTGAGGTTGCTGCTGTTAGCGTCTCGGGGCGTTCAGGAGACCGAGGTATAGTGTCGTCTGCAATTGGATGGCGAGGGTTTCTCGGCCTGCTGATATCAGTCTTCAGTACGTTTCTACTCGCATCCCGCGACAGTTCGTCAAGATCATCGTCACTGCTCTCCACGATTTCCTTCACGAATTTCCGATGGCTGACTAGCGTAGTAGGCATCTCGTCGCTCTCATCGTCATCGCTCGAAATGACATTGATAGAGGGATATAGTGCGGAGGTCCGTATCTACAAAGAAAAAAAAGAGTGTTAGGTTCATTTGCTCAACCTTGCATACAAGAAGCGGCTACAGCATCGACTGTGGAACAGAACAACGACAGTGCATACTAGACGCCTTCGGTTGGGACTCATTTTTAGAGGAGAAACTGCCTTTCCTCTGAACATGTTGCTGTGGGCTGTGCTGTTGCTGTTATACTTAGGTGCGGTCTGCATGCGTGCCCGGGTATCGTCCTGTGTGGTCTCTTCACTGTCAGAGCAGTTGACCTCGATTACATCCAATGCCTGCTTTCTCGGTGATGTAAATTTTGGTCCTGGGGTCTCGTCGCGGAGTAGGCCTGGCGTGGTTGCAGAGGTCGACATCAGGACCATGGGTTCATGTTCGAATCTTGATTTAATAGAAGAGGTCCTTCGCGAGAGCTCGGCCAATGGGTATTGGCGATGGGAGCGGACCTCTCGACTACTCCTAAATCCTCTAGACGAGCGAGTGTCCTTTTCTGAAGCGATCGCCTCAGCCGAGAGCCAGGGATCGATTGATAGTTGACGACTGTCGCCACCATTTTTTGTATTCGGCCATTTGCCATCAGCACTTTGCCTGGTCTTGATCCCATCGCCATGCCTGCTCCTGTCGCTGTCGATGGTCGATGCTGTAGTGCTACTGCTTTTTGAGTCGCTGCTATATTGACGCATGACGCCGACCTCCATCGCGCTGCCTGTGAAATAAAATGTAAGGGTTAGGGCGTGGTGGGAAGTAAACAAGAGAGGGAGACTTTTTTTTTTAACGAGAACCCTCAAAGACATGGGATTTATTAACTGTGGTCTGAAGGAAACCTGCAGGTGGGGCAGAAAACAAACAGCAAGTTGCCCGCCCCGACTATGTCGCAACGGATCCATATTTCATAATCAACGACCACATGAGTGGTGAACCGATGTCCTCTCCTCCTTACAATGCCTGTTGTGCGCGAAAGTCATCCTTTAGCCACGGTCCTCTGACATTTTAAGGAATTGACATCCTCCCAGTCGCTCCATCACATCGAGTCTCAGCTGTCCCAGATAGTGCTCCTGCACTCGTTCATCCGCGGCGTCGTTGATCTCTTTCACATCGGGCGCTTGTCGTTGCCTCAGGGTAGGTCCCATAAAATCAGTGCTGCTACGTCGGTGGTGCCTATCACACTTGCATCTCAGGGCGCGTTTGCTCACAGCAGTGATCCCATGTTCTCGTTCCCAGTCGACGGTAACTTTACATCTTCTGTCCCAGATCTCTGTTCTGCCGATCTCTTCAATGGCCTTACAAAGCGGCTGACCGTGTATGTTGCGATCCGTTCAGTAGTGTTAAAAGCGCGTCTCCAAGACTGAGTCATGCACCTGGGTGTTAGACTGTGATACAAATCCTGCACTGACCACTCAACCCCTCGAATCTTTCCTCCTCGGTGTCTGCCTCTGACTGTGACCTCAAGCGCGTCCCAAATTGCGTCCAACCTGGTCTCTTTGAACGTCGGTGGTTTGCGTTTGTTGATTTCGAGTCCTTTCTCTTTCTCTTTCTTTATCTCCTCCTTCCAAGCCTTCCTCGCGCTACTTTATGCTCGTCTTCCAATTGCATTCACTTCTCCAGCCCACAGCGAATTTTTTTTTTTATTAACATAAATCCCCATGAGCACGAGACGCATGGTCCGCAAAGGCCTTGAAGCCATAGATGCCTTCCATGCACGGCATAGCCGCATTCCCTACCAACTATGTTGGCTTGAGGCGTCAGATTCATAACCCATGTCGCATAGCTAGTTTAACCTAACTCCTACGTGACCTGTTGCGCGATACACGTCTCCTAATCCAGATCCAATGTTAATAAAGTTGTTTTTAAACCGAATAAACCCTCCCTCCATTATGTCCAACTTCCCTCGCCCCAAGCAATGCTGTAGCACCCTATAATCCGCGGCCCGTCTACCTTCCTGGATCTCCGTTGCAAGTAACCGTCTCCCTTTCAAATCAGAGAAATCACCAACACTACGTTGGTGTCCCCGATCACCGTTGCGTCCTCCGGCGCGTTTGCTCATGAAGGTGATTCCAACTGACTTTTCCCAGGCGACAGTGTCCTCGCATCGTTTGTTCCATATCTTGGTCCTGCCAAACTCTTCGATCCTGCTCACGAACTTTGTCACCATGATCATCGCAATCCACTTGGTGGTGGTAAATAGCTGCTTCCAGGTCTCAATGAGTCTCATTGGCACCAAACCTCGATATAACTCCTTGACCTCCCAATCCGCATCATTCTCCGGTACCTCTCCTTCCGCAACGTGATATGTCCCTCGTCTTTCCGCTGTCCCCTGAATCCACTGCATTGACTCTCAGATAGCCTTCGTTCCTGTTGCCGAAAAGGTGGGACAAGTCGCAGTGAAGAGCCTGTCCTTCCGTTCGGCCTCCTCTCTCTCCTGTTCCCATTTTCGCACTGCCTGTCTCCATGCACGATATCCATTCAACTCCACTTCCTCCACCGCGTCCCTCCACTCTTGTCGCTGGTCGCATAAGGTAGCCGAACAACGCCAAAGATGATCGTTCGTCTCTGCTTCCCTTTCGCACCTACGGCAGTCGCATAAAGTAGCTGGGAGGGTTTTTTTTGTTTTTTTTTATTAACATAAATCCCCGTGAGCACGCGACGCATGGTCCGCAAAGGCCTTGAAGCCATAGATGCTGGCGTGCAGATAGGGAGGTTTCGTGCAAATATGGAAATTTCGTGCAAATACGGGGTCGTGCAAATAGGGAATGATTGAATAATATTATTGTTAATAGTGATATATTCAAGTCACCCTTCCCATCAAGAAGGGGTTGTAGCTCAGTGGTAGAGCGCTCGCTTTGCATGCGAGAGGCCCGGAGTTCAAACCTCCGCTGCTCCAAGTATTTGGAATAATATGGTCTCACCTCCGTGAGATTATCCCTCGTTTTGTCATCTCACAGGGGCGTGAGCCGGTTATTCTCACACTTTGGTAAGAATAATTCAAGCATTTTTTTGTTCACGGGGATAATCTGCGGCCTCGTTCAAAAAAATGAAAAAGTACTCGTTTATTGTTCAAAGTCTGTTTCAGCAGGATGGAATTCTTTGGATGGTCGCGACATCTCGCTGCTGCTCTTGATACGTTTGGCTCTTGGACGCCCCTTCGGCTTCACTACAAGTGGGTCTTTGGTGACACCAAGACCTGCTTCGTTGTCAGATGCGTCCTGTAGCTCCATGAGCCCCTGTCTCCGTTTCAGCGAGATTGAGAGGTTGTTACTTCGAATATGGGTGTTATCCTGTTGCCTCTTACCATGGTAGGCAGTGAGGCTGTTAGTCAATCAAAGGTATTATTCAGAAGCCGGATACCACAAACGATCTTTCGTGCAGCGCTATACGCGTCGCTCTTGTCTTGTGCATCGAAAAATAACCCAACGGTTACAGCCCAATTGAATGAATCTCTCTTGTTCCTAGTTTTGGAGCGTCAAATATGTGGGTTAAGTCCAGATGCACTTCTCAGTTCATCATGGAAGAAGGTTGAAAAAGCGAATGGGTGGTGATACATCCAAACGTTTCTCAATTGCAAAGGCGCTTTGGACAATGCACAAGGTGAGCATCAAGAGCTTACTGAAAGCAATTGTTTATGAGTATCTAATCTATGAGTAAAACGTATCTCAGGACATTCTCCAGATACCCGGTCTGGATGGACCATAGACTATAGCCTTGTATAACGGACTCTGGTGAATATGTGGTATTGCTGATGCTGCTGATGCTTATGACCATTGATTACCCATCGTGATTTAGCAATCTCTCTCTTCTTCTTTTCTTTCTACATAAGACAACCCTAATCATGCTGACTTAAAGTCTAGCATTTCATGTGAACAGCCTTGCACATTTCGAAAGAGAAAAGAGGACGAGCTCCAGAAGGACGAGCTGCAGATGGGTGTAAAGCAATTGGACGAAGAGAGAGAATGACACAAATGGCCGTTGCTCGAGATTGCCTGGTCATGGAGATATGGTCAAGAAGAGAGCTTGTAGACTATGAGGCGAGTTATATATTCTATGCAAGGTGGAGGACATGGTGAAATGCACTCTTTCTCGCAACTTTTTCTCTGTGCACACTCTAACACTCTACAACCAACATCACTGTTGCAAATTACCTTCCTCGCCAGCATTCCACTACACGCTACGCCAACTACAATGATCAAGGCACAGAGAAACGAGTTTACATTCTACAACTGTGTCCAGGGACTGCTGGACAGGAAAGCGGCGATCCAGACACAGGAGCGTCGCATTGATCAGGGTCTCCCGGTCAGGGACGAGGACAGACCTGTGCTATTGACCAAGTCAGAAAAAAATTACTTGATTCGGTCGCACTCAACAGTGCCAGTTCAAGTGAGAAACGTCCTTTTAAATGTGTTCGTCCAATTTGAAAGGCGCGAGGATAGAAGCATGGATTTCATCTGCGTCTGCAGAAAGCCATTCCTGACAGGAGCAAGCATTACAAGCGAGTCTGCGCCCATTCCAACATCCCGATCAACGTTTCAGGGCTTCAACTTATTGGCAGCGCTCAAGTTCTCCCTGATGATTTGAAGGTCGTCAATGCCTCAGGTACATCTGATGACGAGGCTGATGAGGAGAACGACAAAGGCGATGAGGCGTTTAGCGGCAGCAATGCACTCGCGTTCAATAATAACGACATTTCGGCTACTTCAATGACATTTGATTCAGGAAGAGTGGTTGGTGCAACTATCCGAGAGTTCATGCGGAGCTTGGGCACTGCAAATATTCAACAGCAACATGCACAGCGCATGCAAATCATGACGTTTCAAGAGCAACAGCGCACGCTGATCACAGCCATGGAGCAACGGATCCTGAGCTCTATTGCCCAGATTGCTGCAGGTCAAGGGCAGGGGCAAGCTGCACAAGCTGCTTCTGCTTCTGACACCGGACCTTCCAGTCCGGTTTCTACAAGTAGAAAAAGAACGCACTCTGACGTCCCTCACTTTGGAACATTCAGGCCCCCTAGTTGTATGTCTCCAACTGAAAATAAGTAAAATAAAAATGGCGGTTTGGTGGAGCGAGTGTAGATCGATATAAAAATTGTGCAGATGTAGAGACGGGAAAGCGCATGGTCTCGCCTTGCTTATCATTTTCCACGACAGTGAAAGCTAGCTCACTCCCTACGCGTCGGCATGCTTGCAAACGATTGGAGTATCTGGGGTGTCGAAGGATCTAGGGTGAAAAGGATATTTTATTGGGCGAATGCTGCTATCTAGTTCTATGCATAGATAGGGTTTATATACTAGCGGTGTCAACTGTGCGTTGGATATATTGTAGAAACTGGGCGAAGCACTGACGACACCATAGCATACTAAATCTAGCGTTAAACCTTTGCAAAGATCCACGATAGTGATTTTGAGTCGTAGAGTACTACTCCAATATGATCATAAACGATTGTCTGTTTTCTCTTTTCCATGCCACCTCGTCATTCAGCTTCGGAATGGAATCTGGCTCAATCCTGCCTCATATTGGATTGGACAAAGGGGTAGATTCTCCAGCGACGAGGAAATTGATATGTGAATCTACATGTAGACATAGTATGATACCCCGTTATCTCCGCACTACTGGTAATCAGCAATTTAGTACGTCGCCCAGGTATATCAAGAATGTAACACACCTGGTCACCTGGTATCAGAGAACGGAGCTGGACTACAGCTTATATCAAGGAAGCGAATTGGGGTGATGTGTGATAGGTGCAAGAGCAATCTATTAACAATTGCGTATTGGGTATGGTGGCGCGTGGTCGGGGCAGAAGGAAAAAAGTGCGGGCTGGTACAGAGAGAGAGGTGTACAAAAGTGAGCACTGGTAGAGAGAGAGAGAGATGTACTAAATTTTGCACTCTTGACACACCTGGGCGACGCACTGAATTGCAGTGCGGTGATAACGGGGTGTCATACTTTGTTTCGCTATAATAGTAAGATTAGAGCTCTCACGGGGGGTGCGAGAAGATTTCACTATGTGCTTTGGATAATCTCACGGGGGGTGTAAGAATAAAATCTCACGGGGGGTGTAAGAATAAAATCTCACGGGGGGAGATGAGATTATATTCTTCCTAATAACACAGCGGTTGTCCGTGCGCGCCACAAAATAAAATTCATGGCTGTGCATAATTATTTTTTTTTTCGCTTCAAGGGAAGTGCGGCAGAGGGATGGCTTATTGCCACTGAAGTAATCAAGTTGTGGTCCTCCGCCTTTTGCCTCCCCTAAACATCTTTCAATCGGCATGTACTGTAAACGAACCATTTTAATTTATTGCGTACACACTTGACACACCTGGACACACCAAAATCACCTCACTGGTGTAGTAATCAATATTTCTGTGTGTCGCCCAGGTGTGCTGCAGCCTGTACCTGCTTCCTCACTTCCTATTATCTAGTAAAAACTTTGTCGCAACACATTACAGTCCAAGCTCATGGTTTCTGCGCGCTGTAGTTTCTCTTTTTTTTCTTCTGCAAACTAGGACGCTAGCTGCACTTCTTCTTTCCTCTTCCTTCTGGCGATCCGTTGAAACGATATAGACAGTAAGCCATAAAATGCACAGCCGAGCGTGATCCGTAGACTTGATCCGCCAGGACACAGCGAAGAGGGAAGCAGCGGTGGAAAGAGCCATATATAGACAAACTGGTAGAAGAAAGCAACATGAATTTAATTGTACTGATAAAAAAAAATGACAAGCGCGCATTTTGAGAACTTGATCTATTGGAACACAATGAGGATAGATAACAGCTTGAGATGAATACAATGCTGCAGTAAATTTAGTTGATTCGGGAGAAGACAACGAGACAAGACGGAGTACATCTGAACCAAAAAAAATTAAGGCTGCCGCTTGCCCGTTATAGATCAAGTATGGTGATTACCGACGTACGTCTTATACTTGTGAATACTTACGCGCTTTTAAGTTACTGGCGATAAAGGGTTGCTCTTGGATATGACATTTGTCTCCTGCGCTACTGTCCGGTGAATGCGACAGAAATGAGTTACAACGGCGGTCCTTGTGTGATAGTATCCTAGGCTAACCTTCTGCTTAGCCCTCAACCACGCCCCCATCACCGCGCCTCCACCACTGCGCCCCCTGTATATTAGTATAAATACCTCTATCTCTCTGTATAATAAAGATGATCCGTTCTAGCCCTTGTCTCTTGTCCCCTGCCTCTCGTGTTCCTACCTCGTGTCCTCTTGTTCCTGCACTTGTTCCTTCCTTCGTTTTGTTGCTATTACATGGTAGCAAAGATAACATCAATCCCCCCTCTGCCCTGCTTTTCCTCTCTTTTCTTTTCTTGATTCATCCTTTTTTTTTTTTTTTTTTTTTTTTAAAGTTTGACTTTTTTTTTTCCACCGTCTCTTTCACTCACACTATCATTATGTCTGACCAACTCGATTCCCTTCTTGACGGCATTCCCACCGACCGCCAGATTGCCATACGCAACTTTTTCGACGCTATACCGATCTCTGCGTCTGTACCCACTCCCGCCCCTGCTCCGGCCGAGCCCACCGAGCGCGAGCTGGAGGCTGATCGCCGTGACCTTGCCCGTACTCTGGCCCAAGTCCTCAAACCCCAGCGCCCTACCCCCTACTCCGGTGCGATTGATGCAGATGCATGCATTAACTTTATCGACAACCAAAAAGAGTACTTCACCGTTGTCAAGCTTGGTCTGGCCGAATGGGTTCAGTACACGGCACTTAATCTGATCGACGATGCCAAGTCCTGGTGGCGCTCTTCGGGCCTGACTATCCGCACTCCTTGGGACGAGTTTGAGACCGACTTTCTCACCTTTCACACTCCTCCCAATGCCGTCGCCGCTGCCCGTGAGGCCCTCGAGTCGCTTAAACAAGGAAAACGATCGGTCGCGCTTTATACTCATGAGTTTCGTCGATTGCTCCGCCGTGTTCCCACCCTTGATAAAGGCACGGCCCTGCACTGGTTTGTTAAAGGTCTTGAGCCAGATACCAGCAAGGAAGTCAAGCTTCGTCAATGTGCTACCTTGGAGATTGCCATCAGCCAGGCTACCTTGATCCACTCCATCCTTTTCCCCAATGGCCCTACCGTCGCCCCCACCCCCAAGCACGACCCTAACGCCATGGACATTGACAATCTCCATGTTGCCATCCACAACCTCACCACACAGGTCAATTACCTGTCCCGCAGCAACGGCTTCGGCAACACCAACAACACTTCTCGCCCTCCCAAGCTCACCCCTGAAGAGAAGGCCTACCTCATCGCCAACAAGGGCTGCTTCCGCTGCCGCAAGCTTGGTCATATGGCAAACCAGTGTCGCACTTTTCCAAGCCAGCAACAGCCGCGTCAGGTCAACAACGTCGAAGTTGCCGCTAGCTCTTCTTCTGCACAGGCTTCTTCCCAGACCCAGTCGGGAAAAGCCAACAGCAACTAGAGAAAGTCCAGGTCCTAGTTGCTGCTGCTCCCTCCTCTGTTCTTCTGGACCAGGGGAGTAAGCGTCTTTCCTCAGATAAGTTTTCATTTTCCTTTTTAAATAAAAAATCTGCTGTGCCCCAAGACCTTGCTCCTCCCCCTTCTGTCGTTGCCGATACACCTGCTGACCCTCTGTCCCTGGTTCCCCCTTCTACGATGGTGCCCTTGCCCGCTGTATGCG